GGACAGGTTAAATTCGGCCGCAGATGCGCCGCAATTGGTCGCTTTGAATTCTAGACGAGGGCAAAATCGTGCGTCCCACCGTTTCAAATGTCCGGAACGGATCTCTGGGCTGTTCTCGAGGACATATTTGCCGAGGAAGGAGAAAAGACAGGATTTTAACGAAACTGGGACCGGGAGCCGAACGCGCCCCCAACGAGTTCGCGAAGCTCTCGATCGCGGAACTCCATATCTGAATTGCCCTTCGGAATAGAATATTTATCATCGAGATGTAAATTCATTCCCGAGCAAATCAACCTGCCCCACGAGCCGGTATTTCGAGCCAGGGATAGATCGATACCGCGTTTGGTCCCACGCTCTTATCTCCTCGGTTATTATCGACAACGGTTCCCGCGTGAAAGCGAAATCGAGAGACCGGGGAGAATTTCTTCGGTTTTCCGGAAAGAGGCGGAATTCCCGCGTTTTCCTTAAATCGGCGCGTCTCGTAATAATGAACCGCCACTTCGGACAACGTCCCGCCGTGCCGGGGCATATTTTCATTTAAGCTGTAATTTAATTAAAGAAGAGAATAATTAACGCGCGGAGGGAAGATCACTCGAGAGGCCCCGAGCGGGAGTCGAGTTCGCAGGATTCGATGAACTCCTCTCACCTGGTTCACATCCCAGTAGGACTGCGTGAACTCGAATCTCGATCGAGTTCCCTAACCGTGAGACAGCGTTCGACCACTCGGCGCGGCCTCCCTCTATTAATTACTAATAGGAATGGAAATACTCATTCAATTTAAATCCCCTCGACTCTCCTCGCGCACTCGCGGGCAAATTAATCGCCTCTAAATATTCAAACGGCGTGCCTCTACATTACCCAGTTTATCCGCTACTCGAGCTCGTCGAATACAGAGGGAAATTAATATTAAAAGGCGCGATGCCGGCAAAAACCGCGGATTAAAGGGTACATACTGGGAGGAGGGAGGTACACCGAGTCGTTCTCTTTTAATTTAATTTCCTCGATTCGCAGCGACCGGCCCGATTTTCCTGGGAGTCCGGGTTAACCCTCACCTGACTTCCGACCGCGAGTTGGTTCACGGTCTTCGTGTGCATCTCCGGGGGCGACGATTACCGTCCCGGTTGAACTAGGAGGAATCGGCAGGTGCGCCGCCGTTTTGCCGTCCACCTTCGAATCGAGCCGATCGAACTTTTTTAATTTGCGAGCCGTTCGAACTTTCCTAAATCGCAGACCGCTCGAGTTCCGCGAGCAAACGTTAACCGGCGGGACGAAGCCGACGACTAAACGCGGTCCCGCTCGGTTCCGTGATCCGCGCCCATTATCCGGTGGAGCATTTTCTCACGAGATCCCCGGCTCTAATTATATGTCTAGCCGCTCCTCGAACCTACGGCTTTATTGCCGAATGTGCTCTACCGAGGTAGGCGTGGAGGCGAAGACCCAGGAAAGGACTCCAATTTCTATCTCGACTCCTCGAACCCGTACCTGGCCGACCTCCCGCCTAGGAGAGCCATTACGTCGAAAGAAAATAGCCCCCCAAAATTCACCCCCCTCTTCCACGTGTCCACGTGTCCGAGTCCCGATGCCGCGTGGCCGTACATTCGCTCCCGAGGGAAGTGCTCGGCAATATTTTCCGGGGTCCATTTTCATATTTCCGGAGGGTTTCCTTCGGCGCAGGAACATCCCCGCAGGAGTCCTCTAGCCTGGACTTCATCCTTAGCTACTGGTATCGGGATCGGGATCTCGTAGACGAATCGAGCAGCTGCGGGGATGCGTGCAACTGCCGGAGGGCCAGCTCGCGCGAGTACGCGCGAGTACCCGGGAGTACGCACCCACGCACGTGCGTGCACCAGAACTAGTTGGGGTGAAGGACCGGCGCGGTACCTTATCGCTCGTCTTATCCGATATCGTGCCCACCGGTCGGCATCGCGGAAAAACTCCGCGCCTCGAGAGCGCATCGTTTGGATCGCGCACCCCGCAACGGCGGGTACGCAATAAACCGGAGCGAAGGTGGAGGAGCGGATGCGGTTATTTCGAGCCGATCGAAGGCTCGGAGGAGAGTATTTCCTAGGAGACGGCCCAGAGTCTAGGAACGGCGAGGAAAGTTTCGCCTCCCCGCGGTAAAAGTTTCCATCGACCGTTTGCGTTTAATCCGCGACGAGGCGCCTTAATCCGGTCCTAGGAGCCGGAAACGGAAACGCCGACCTAATCGAATTCGGCCGAGACGTGGTGGGAGGGCTCCGCGAGATTGCGCCAATTTCCCTCCTCCCGGAGAAAATTCGGAGAATCTCTCTCTAGAAGAGGATCGTCCGAAAACCTCCGGTGAAATCCTCCGCGGGAATATATTTTTCTCTCCCAACCGCAGAAGAGAAGCGCGTCCGAGGAATTTAATCGAGCGGTAGAGAAGACGACGTCGCGTTTTTGGGGGTGGCGTCCCTCCCAGGACGTCTGCCGAGGGAAAATTCCGGGAGTCGTCAAAGGGCTGCGCGTTTCGACTTTATTTCCATTTTTCAACGATATGCCGATATTTGCTAGACGTCACTTTTCATGAATAAAACACGGGGCCGTCTTTATCCGCGCCTCACCCCGCGGCGCGTTTACGGACCGCGACGACTCGAGAAAGGTCCTCCAAGGAAGCGGAGGATCCTTTGACGAGATCCCGGCCCGGCGCAGTCTGCAAAACGAGGGAGAGCGCCGAATTACCCCGGGGAGATGATTTTTTCTTTCCCCCGATATCTCGCCAGGAGGATCGCCGAGGAAGTTTGCTCGCTCCTCTTTGTTTCCCCTTTCCTTTGAGTCGCGACGTCTCGGGGTCGGCGAGGACGAATTTACCGTCGGGCTCCGTTTGGAAAGGTCCGAAGTCGTCCCCTCGACGGACTCCTCCGGAAAAAAGTGGCCGAATAAACTCGGCTTACGAGGAAACGTTCCGAAATAACCGGGCAAAGTTAGGCTCCCCGACGTGGGTGGAGTCGCCCCTGGCGGGACACCCGGAATAAGCGCGAACTGGCCGACCACTTTCGAGACTCCGTCTCGTCGCCGCGACTGAACCTCGTGTCGCGGTTCCAGCGGTTAATGAGCCAGGATTTACCGGCGACCATTGATCGTCGATCGAACGAGGGCGGAAGTCGCGCGGGATCTCCTGTCCACCTCCGCCACCCACGGGGTGGTCTCGGATTTTTCCTCGCGGCTCTCTGGAGGCTCTTTCCCTGGGACCCATTTCCCTCTCATCGGGGAACCGGGCAACGCGCTCCTCGATTATCGAGCGAGGTCTCTCCCATGGAGGCGTCCCACGCCTCGCATTCTAGAGGAGACGCGCCGACGAGCGTCGAAGCGTCCCGCCTCGTTCGGGCTTTGTACGCTTCCGCGTGTACGTTCATCGTACGTACGTACACGTACCAGCTGGAAAGTCGATAAATCGGTACGCGGCTCTTCCTCCTCTCTCCCGCCGCGCGTCTCGCTCCGCGAGGCGGCCGGCAGTGCGGCCGACGTGTTCTCCCTTCGGTCCGGGAACGGCGCCTCCACTGGCGCGGGTTTCCGCCCGGAGCCAGGAGGCCGCGAAAGAATCGGCGTAATTCGAATTTCCCGGCCCGGAAGAGGGGAGTCGACGGCGCCGGCGCGTCCGCCCGGAGCTTCGGCGTCGACTCGGCAGGGCCGGAGGCAGCACCGCCCGGGGCGAAGGGGCGGGGGCGACGGCGGCGACCCCGGGCGTCTTCGGAAGGCGCCCCGCTCGTCGCCCTACCTGGCTGGCCCTCCCCGGTCACCTGCGTCAATCAATCGACCACCCTCGGGCACAGCCTGGACGGAAATAAACACGGAAGGGCGCGCGCCGCGGCGTTCGATGACATCGGCGCGTGCACCGCGACGTCGAGGGTGGCCACCCCTCGGGCGCGCGCCGCGGCCCGAAATACGCGGGCGCGGGCTTTCGAGGTTAGGGCGCCAGGGGCGGGCGCCGCGGCGTCCCCGCAGTCTCGCGGCCGACGGGGCCAAGGCGAGCACGCGCCCGGGAAGTCAGCCGACCGAGCGCCGCCCTCCGCGTCCGCGCGTCCCTAGGAGTCGAGAGCCCGCCGGTCGGTCGCCACCATGGAGCCTCGGACTCCTGGCGCGGCCGAGCGATCCGTCGCGCGAGAGGGTCCGGCTCGCGGCCGGAAGTCGCGTCGAGACGCCGAGACCGGGCGCCCGGACTAGCCCACCGCGGGCGGACGCTTCGAGTCGAGCCGTCGAGGGACGAGGACCGGAGAGCTTTCGGCGACGAGGTCGAGACGGGGAGGGATGGGGTCGCGGCCCGGAGCTCCCGACCGGAAGGGTCCGTCGAGGCCTCTCCCCGACGACGTCGCGCCGCTCCGGGCGGGCAGGAGGCGTCGTCCGAGAGACGAGCGGGCGTAAAGCTTCGGTCGCGCCGAGTTCTCGGGCTATCGGCGTCTCCCGGCGCCCATTGTTCGTTCTCCGACTCGGTGGTGATTATTGAACCCGGAGGCCGCATCCAGGCCAGGACCTCCCGCTTTCTCGGCCCGCCGTTTGCGCAGTCGGATTCCGGATCGGAACTCGGAGGAAACGGTCGTCCGCCGAGAGCCGGAGCGACCCCGATCTCGAGGGGCGCCGACGGCGCCGCGTCCTGACGCGATCGACCGACTCGGGTCGATCGCGGCCCGACCGCGGCACGTGTCTCGTCCCGGTCCCAAAGACGACCCGACCCCCTAGGGGTCGAGGATTTCCCTCGCGGGTAGCGAAAACCGATCGCGCGGCAGCTGGGCAAAGGTCCGAGACGGAACGAGCCGAGGACGATTTAGGACTGCGCGAAAAAGTGTAAAAAAGGAGCGGACTCTCCCCCTGGAGCAGGCCTCCCCACCGCGGGTCGTCTCCGCGGCCTCCATCGACGCTCCGCCGGTAATCGCGGACCCACGTAACGCGGGGACGCGGAGACAGCGATCCGCGTCGCGAGCGGGCGAACGTTCTCCGCGGAAGCTCGAGAGGAGAGGCCGGTCGTCCGGAGCCCGGAGCGATCGTTAACCCCCGAGAACCCGCGGTTGCCGAGGTGACTCGAGGCGATGCGCGTCCGGGTCGTCCTTTGACTCGCCGGACCTCTTTTGGGGCCGCAATCGCCCTCGGTCGTCTCGCCCCGGCGCCGAGCGAGGCCCGCCGGATCGCCGCTCGAGGCAGAGGTCCGATCCAGTCGCGATGGGCTGCGAGCTGGGGAAATTGACGTCCTCGACGACGCGAAATCAAACCGGGCGCGAGAGCCCGCCACCACCGGCGGCGACGGACCCGAGGCTTCCGCTGACCGCCAAGCAGAAGTACACCATCCTGGCCAGCTGGAGGGCCGTGGCGCGCGCCATGGAGCCGACCGGGGTGTACATGTTCGTCAAGTAAGTCGGCCCGTCGAGAACCGCCCTCAGGGTGCAAAGGAAGATCAGTCGGACGATCGGTCCTTCTTTACCCCCCACGTCCGAAAGGGCCGACCGGTCATCCCTCGCTCCCCTCAGGGTCGCCTCGACTCGCGGGGGGTGGGACCGCCCAATAGCCGACCCCCGGGGAACCTCTTTATCCGCGAGCAATTTCCCGCGGCAGACGGAACCCGCGACCCCGATGGCGGATTAATAGGTGCCAGTGATTGGCACTTAGGTTAATTAATCGGAGTACCGGGGCGCAAAGGTTACTCCCCTTGGCATTTAACCCGTGGTCCCTGTGATTACGCCTAACGCGCCGTTTCGATGCCAAACGTTCCCGACGAGCCTCGTCGGCGCCCCGTTTCAACGAGGCTCGCGTCGAATAAATTCCTCCGCGACTCCCTGGAGAATTTGCTACGCGAATACCCTTGGAGAGGGTGCACCCTGATCCCCGCTCTCCATTCCCAGGCACGGTTATCGCCAAAAATCAGCAAATCGTCCCACGCCTCCTCCGGATCCGGACCCCCGGTCGACCCTTACGGGCCCTCGTAAATTCTCCTCCACGGGAGGGCTTCGCTCTTCGAGGGGTTTCCCCGGCGTCCGACGAGTCCTTTTTCCTCTTTTCCCTCGTCGAGAACCTCCCTTCTCTATACCTTCGGATTCCTCCCCTCCACCCTGGTCGCAGCATCCCTTGGCGCCGTTCTCGCGACGAGCGCAGCATCCCTTGGCGCCGTTCTCGCGACGAGCTCGGATTTAAGGCCGCTTCGTTAAGGCCGGGTCACGCGTGACATCCTCACGGGTGGATGCTGCAGTTCGTCACTGGCCTTGGAAATCGATAAGCGTACGTGTACATACGTGTACGTACCGTGTACACCCCGCGGCCGGGTGGCCCCTTTGCGACGTACCTGTGGCTCAGGGTCCACCTACGCGAGGAGTAAAATATGCACGCGAGCCGGGTCGTCAGAGATCAGGTGTCAGGGGCTCGATCTCGAAACCTCCACCCTGGAGCCGCGGGGGCGGAAAGTCCATTTTCCTCGAGAATCGCGAGGAGGCCTCGTCGAGTTAAGGGATGCCGAAATGACTCTATTGTCCATCCTCGACCCCCCTTCGCCTCGTATCGGATTAATTCGACAGAAAGAAAGAAAAATCCCTCGAAGCGCGAACCATCCGAGAAATTTCGTTAAAACATCCCCTGGCAGGAAAAAGGATCCGTTGGAGCCGCTAATTGGCGCGCCTGCGAGAGGTGATTCTCGCCACCCCGGTTTAAGAGGTTCATTTTGAATTCGACCCTGAAAGAGGTGAAGCTACTTCCCGAGTCTCGAGGTAACGTCGCGGTTCCTGATCCCGCGACACCTGGGGGTGCACTCGGGCTTTCGGGGGCGCGAGGTCCTTTGTGGATTAGAAGTAACCAGGAGTACTTGGTAAGGGGTAGAAATAAAAAAAGATCCAAAGGAACGTACATACGCGGCGGACTTCCCGGCACCGACTCCGCGCTTTCGCTATCCAATACGAGGGATGATCCAACCCCTTTAAATCCCCGGGCGCCGCGAAATCCGACGTGGAATCGAAGCGGACCACCCTCGAGTCTCCGTTCGATTCGCAAAGTGGTGGATCGGGATCTCGAGAAAGACGCAAACCCGGGGATTTGGAGAAAACTGCGCCTCGCGCGAATCCCGAGTCGGCTACCCCTTTCTTCCGGGATTCCTCCGGAATCCGCGATTCTCGAAAATCGAAAATCCGGCTTCCGCGGTCGGAAGGTCTCATCAGCGACTCGGCGCCGCGAGGATTTAGGTTTCCCTGGGATAAGGGGCGGACCGGAAGAGATTTTTCAAGAAAACACTTGCCACCTCGAGGAGCCACCCCGAGGGCCTCCATTCGATAACTCGATAACCCCCGGATTCCCCGCGAGGACACCCCTTATTGCCGGAAACACTTTGTCACGTCCCTTCCCTCGTCGCGCCGTGGACGTCGAAAAAATGTCTAGCCCTCTCGAGGCCGCGGGGGAGGCGCGTCGCGACGTCGATAAATCTCGAAGAGACTCCCAGCTGGAGGAAAAAAAAAAAAACTCCCCACTAGTTCCCCATAAGGAATTCCCTACATTATCCATTTCTTTCGCCCGGGCGCCCGACTCGCCGGGGCGAACTTGCGACCCGTAGAACTTTCGGACCTCTCGCCCTCTTTTTACCCTGGTCGGAAAGACAAAAGAAAAGAACTAGCCCGAGAACTTTGGAAATCCCGAGGTGGCATCGCATCGACGCGACGTAGAAAAGCGAAGACTTACCTTTTGCGCAGGTTGTTCGAGGACAACGCGGAGCTGCTGAACATGTTCACCAGGTTCCGCGACCTGAAGACCAAGGAGCAGCAGTCGTCGAGCATGGAGCTGGCCGAACATGCGGTCACCGTCATGACCACCCTGGACGAGGGTATCAAAGGACTAGACGACATGGACGTTTTCCTCACGTACTTGCACCAGGTCGGGGCTTCGCATCTCAGAATCCCCGGCTTCGATCGGCAGTACTTCTGGGTAAGGAAACGATTCGGTTAGACTTTTTTCCTTTTTTACAAAGAAAAGGAAAAAAAATCGAAACCCTCCTTGCAAAGTAGAATTAGCGGTTTCAGGGGGGGGGGAATTGGCCCCGCCTTCGGTATTCCTCGGGACGTTTGGACCGCGGGGAACGAACGAACGGGGAAATCGATTTTCCGTCTCGGTAGGAGGAGAACTCGCGGGAAAAGTCATCGATGCGATGCCCGGCCCGGCCGATGAAAGAGAGAAATAATTAGATCATATCCGCGGATTTAATCAGTAGGAATTAATTTCCTTCGCGCGCGGGGGGGGAGGTTCGAGTTACGTCGGAAAATTCATTTCCTCGCGAGTAACGAATTCGACGCGGAGCTTTACGGTCCAACTTTTCAGGGGGATTTACATAAGGTGATTCATTGTCGTAAAGGGCAAAAAATACGAGGCGGCGTTTTCCCCGGTTTTACGGTGCCCTCTACAAAATGGTCCGTTTCGAGTAATCTAAAAATCGGCTCGCAATTGCCAGGTTCGATTAAAAAGCGGATCACGGATATGCAATAACGGCGATCGGTAACGATGTAATACCGAGGGGGGCGATGTCGTATCGTCCCGCGAAATTGTAACGCAGGGTACCCCGGCCGATAACGCTTAATTGCCCATTATTCCTGGGAGTTAATCAAGACAGAGCTCGTCTACGTTTATCCAACGCGAACCGCAAAAACCGGCGTGCAAGTATAAACCTCGATAAGCGCTTCCGATACGTGCCTCCGGCTCCGGAACGAGCGTTAACGTCCTCGGAGGTAACCGAGGAGCAAAACTTCACTCCCGGATAATTAATCACCGTCTTTTATTGTCTATTCCTCGTAGACGAGTCGACCGAGGTGACTTCCGCCCTCCAAACCGACGATTATCTCTCCTTTCCAGAAAATCGAGGAGCCCTTCCTGGAGGCCGTCAAGAGGACCCTGGAGGACCGGTACACGGAGAACGTGGAGCACATCTACAAGCTGACGATCAAGTTCATCATCGAGACCCTGATCGACGGCTTCGAGAAGGCGGAGAAGGACAAAGCGAAGTCCTAGTTATTTAGGGAAGGATGGAGAGCCAACGCGAACGTCGACCGGGAGCCGAGGTGTCCCCTGCGCCGGGTCGGGTAACCAGGAGCCGGTCCCCGGGAACGCGGCCTCCTCGCCACCTCTCGAAGTCGACCCCGAGCCGATCCTGCCGATCGGCGGCCAGGTGACTCGGACTTCCGGGAGTCCCCGATGAGGAAGACCTCCGGAACCACCTCCTCGGTGGAGGATCCCGGCTCCCTTCCGGACCTCGAGATCCGAAGGAACTACTTTCTATCGTAGCTTAGCGAATCCTTTTTCACCTTGCTCGTCCCCTTCCTCCCCGCGTCGTCCTTCTTTTCCCCTCGCGAGTTTCCCCCGGTCGCCGGACTTTTCCTCGACTTTTCAATGCGGAAGAGTAGAGGGACAAGATGCGGTCGTACCGCGACCGCCGATGACTGGATCATCGGCGACCCCTCCCCTGAATTTCGGGGTCCAACGTAACCCCGCAATACACAGGGGTGGAATAATTTTCCCGGGGTCGGTTTTCCCATAGATAACGAATACATGCCTCGTCTCGTCTGACTCATCGCACTTTACATATCTCCGCAATTTCATCGAAATCAAGGCGATCGAGGTCATGAAGTCCTCTTGTTAGGGAGAGCTCGTCAATTTCTAGATTCCTTGCTACCCCCGCGGACGATAAGCTCAATTTCTCGCCGGTAATTTTCCACGTCCTCTCCATTTTTTCTTTCCCCTCCACTCCCCCTCTCTCCATCTCGAACAACTCGAAAGTAACGAGCCGGCCTCGGGATTTTCAGTTTTCCACCCCCGTAAATCATAGCACCTCGATCATCCCCCTCCGTACTTCGGTAAAAAAATCGCTCACTCGACGGAGATTCTTATCGACCACCGAGCCAGGGGCGATTTTTTCCCGCTCGATGATTCCTCTCACGAGTTAAAAAAAAATCCCTCCCGAGAGGTGCGGGAAAATCTCCGCCAATGCAGAACCACCCCCTAGGACCTGCGGGGGTTCGAAACTTTTCCGAGGAGCTAAAAAACGGGGTTGAAAGTTTCCCCGCGACCCTTCCTCGCGGAATCAGACCTTCCAGAGAATTAACCCTCGTGATTTTCGGTCGCGCGTGCAAGGATCTCTCCCCCTCTCTCTCTCGATCGGTGGAACTCGTTCGGAGGGGTTCTAGATTCTGGACAGCAGGGGAAGGACCGGAGGGGTTGAAAATTTGGCCGAGTGCAGGCCCCCCGCCCGACGCGGATCCTCCCTCGGGAAGAGCCGAGAGCTCCGGCGAGCATCCCTCTTCACATGTCAATTTCCTAGGGACTTTTTAAGCTAGGACCAAAGCCCCGTCTCTCTTTCGGCTCGAGAGCTGGACTTACGATTAGCGGGGGCCTCCCTCTCCGGTAACCGGCGATTATCGACGCGGTCGGCGAAAATCGCCGCTAATCGACCTGGAGACCGGAGATCCTCCTACGGGACGCAGTTGCCGTCTCGAAGTCGCTGTTTGTACCAGAAGAAAAAAAAGGAAGAAAGACAGAAAAAAAAAAACAAAAAACAGAACCATAAATATAGGTAAACGTGTACCGCGAAAAAAGCGTGGCGCCGATGACTCCGCGACCGCTGCAGTCGATGACTCGTGACGGGGAACCATCGATTTCCCGTCGATGACGCCTGGTATCTCGCCTCTGCCATGGGTTACCACCCGGAGCGGCCCATCGATCGACACTTTGACCCTTGAGGTTCGGGCTGCAAAAATCATGGAAGGTTCAATGAGAGGACGATTCCTAGTTCGGAAGACATTACCGAAATTTATCGACGAGTTTCCCCGATAATCGGCCATCGCCTCGGTCGTGGAGACCGCTCCGCGGATGGTTCCCCGTTACTCGCGGAAAGGCGGAAATCTTTCGTTCCCTTTAACGAAGGAAAAGTGCCATCGGGCTCCCCGAGCGGCGCTAAAAGTGGACGTTTCCCGTAACCATCGACTCGCGATCAATCCTCCGCCAGACCATTCGATCCCGGATTTAATCCGATTAGGCCGATTCATGGATGGCGATTGTTAGCGCGTTATCGCCCCCCTTGTGCGTCCGCCGTTTGCAATAAGAGCGAAAACATGACTCGGTTAACAGGTCAGCCAACGTAATTGGTTTCGGGTCATTCCCGTTGTAATGAATGCGGCGTGGAAATAATAATCCTGCACGGCGGCGCAATCGACAATCGCTCCTGCCCGATAACCACCTGCGTCCCCCGCGCCCTTCGGCGGCCCATAACGCACAAAGGAAATGCGCAACAAAAGCCCGAGGATCGCAATCGGTGCCCAAGGGCGGAATCGTTATTTTCCCAGGGAACGACCCCCCGCGAAGCCAATCCAAGAACAATCCGTAATACCTCGGTTTAAAACGATTTACCATTTCTGCGCGCTATCGACTGGCTCGGAAGTTTTCAAAATGGCGGACCGGGCGTCCCTCGATAGCCGGGGAAACGACGGTCGAAAGAGACCGGGAAATTTTTCCCTGACTCGAGATATGGTACATTGGGCCACGGCGGGATGAATTCCGCGTATCTAATTCCTCGGGGCGACTAACCCCCCGAGAAGACTAATTAATTTCGGCCCCCGAGCCTCGGTTTACCGCGCCAGTCTCGATGCCGCAACCACAGAGGAAGATTCCCCCGTGGAAGACGCGCGTTGCACCCCCTGGAATCTCCGATCACCCTTGAGCGGAGGTGCAACAGCCCGTATCGATTATTCGTATTAATAACGATACGCGATTCGCGGTCTTCCGCCGGGAAGGCCGTCCTTACGGGCGACAAGGGTTGCAAACGGGGTTGGCTATCGCGCTTACACCGGAGGTCGCTCCCCAGCTTCCAGCAGGTTATACGAAATTGTATCCCTAGACTGCTTTTACTCTCGAAATAACGGAATTAATAATAATATGATATGCGAAGGTACGGACGGTTTCCCTGGGACGCTGCGTGCGGCCATTTTGAAAGGCAGACCCACGTGACCTGGTTTCGATTTCTGCTGGCTTGGGGGGTGATGTATTTACAGATCTCAAGATTTAACATAATTCTGTCACCCCCGGAAGTATCGATGGGGCATCGAAATACCGGCTATCGAGTAGTTCGGTATACGGACATGTTGATATCGGTTGCATTGATTTTCCACGATTATTACGGCCTCCGAAAAGTGTCCACTTTTTCCGCGGCTCGGGTAACCCAGACTCGCGGCCGATGTTCGAGCTGAGGTTTTCCAAAATTTCGGCCGACTTTATACCATAAAGCGTCGCGATAAATGTTGCATGGAAATGAGTATTATGCGTTTCGGTCCTCGAACGCGGTTTCAAGGAAAAAAAGAAGAAGCAAATGGGCACAGTGCCGAGATAATCGTGCAAGGGCTCGCATTCTAGTCCACCGTGTTGATAAGAGTTTAAGGAATTTCATACGAAATGCACAAACGACCTGTACCTTCTATTCTCCGCGATAAAGGAAACAAGAAACAGATCTATTTAACCGAAAGTCTTCATGAAACAAGAAAAAAATATATATATATATTAATGATCTAGTATAAATTGCAGTTATGCGAATGTTGCATCATCTGTGTTTGTTCTATACAGGTCCAAATGTATTATTGTATCTGATGGGAATATTATATAACGAAATATATAATATATATTTAAACATAATCGTCTTGCTAGATCCCAGGCAAGCATGCATTTAAGAACTAGATTATATTAATATTAATTCGGTACCCCGTTTCCTGATTCGCGGCACACAGAACTAACGCCCGGAGACTTTTTAGGTCAAGCACCTTTGACCCTAATAAGGTAAGAGCTTTCTCAAAGTGTCGCTGGCTCCATTAAAAACCGTCTGGAAAGGAGTTCCATGCCACGATTCTTTCAAGGTGAACCAGATCGACGAGACAATGCTACGAACCACGACATGTCGCATGTAACGAAGGTTAGAGTTTGAAATTACAACCAATCTTTGAAAAAATTTGTACCATTCGATGGATAGAAACTGTCGGTTAGAGTACTGATCGTGTATGTTAAGGCAAAAGAAATGTAATTTGTTTCTAGATAAAACGCGAAGTGATGTTTAAACTAATCTATACACCTGTGGTAATATTAGTATCCAACGAATCGCGTTTATCGAGTAAAATTTATTGAAAAATATTACATTTCTTATATACTATAACCTTACGTTCTAAAATGCACATCCTGATGCCAGAATTCATCCAAAGTTCCCGACGTTCGTTAGGAAATAGTTAGAAAATAGAACAAAAAGTTAGATTGAACATAAACGATGGAAAACATCACGAGACGTTCTTCGGGACCAAAAGACGAAACAACAGCATACTCGGATAAGGTACAACGTATCACGCTATATTTTCTTTGATGGTTACCTCTTCGATATCCGACAGGAACCTTTCAAAAATGCTGGACTAGAGGATCTCTGTCTTCCGACTGCTTAAGCTCTTTTTTATTAAGGCCCAGTCTTCCAGTATGTCTGCATCGTTGAGCATGTAAACGATGTAAGGTCCTGCGACGGAGACTGCTCTTCTTCTCTCGGAATGATTTCTGTGCCTTCTACCGCTTGAGTTTAACCACAAGTCTGCATGTATATCTACGTTATTCCTGTCCTCTTCCAGTCTACGAATTTTTTCCTGAAGATCACTGTGGATGGCATCCCAAACCAGTTCCTTCTCACTCTGAAAGTTTTGCAACGCTGCCTGCTCCTCGGCTAGGAATTTATTTTGAATATTCTGCAGTCTCAATTGCTTTAGAATTCCAGCAACTTCAGTCTTAGTCTTCATATTCTCTTTAAGTCGTTCTAATGGAATTAAATATTCTTCCGACTTCCCGACACGCACTTCGCCAAGTTTCGTATCAACTTGCGTGATACGTTCACGATATAATCTATAATTACAATATAACTGATTACATTATATATCGTTATAAAACTATGAATATAATTATTGTACTTACTGTTCCTTTAAAAGAGTAAATTGTCTTTCAAGATCGACTAGATTTTCCATACATTCGTTCCTCCGTCTCTCACACTCTTCCTCGTCCATTTCGGAAGAATCATCGCTGTCGGTGTGCTCGGCACTGCTGTCGCAGGATGCTGTACTTTGATTACTGTCATTGCTATCGTGTGACATCTCCTCTCCCTCTCCTTCAGATTCGTCCTTCACACTGGGCATCTGAAGAAGAAGCTGCTAAAATAAGGTGTTAGGTGTTGGAGCTTTTCCTACATTATTACAAGATTCATCTTCTCAATAATTAAAATTTCACCATCTTAACAAATAACAAATTATGCACACACAATAGAAGAAGTTAAAACTATAAAATGACCTTAACTTTTCAACGTAATGTCATAAATCCTTTGCAAAATCGCTAACGAAGTACGTAGTAACATAACCTATTACCAATTCCACGACGAAACAAAAGCAAAGGGCAAAGCAACCGGTTGTCCGGACTAGTAGTTTAAGAAAAATCAAGCAAAATAAACGAATCTTTGCAAAGTACCTCACTAACGAATAAAATTGAAAATTAACGGTAGCAATGGAATGATCTACGACTTTATACTCGGCGAGTTTGTCGAATAGGTTTCGAAGAATATTGAGATAAAAATTAGATCGTAACTCAACTACCGTTATTATACTAACGCAAGTTATACTAACGATGTAAAAGAGTCGGACTTCTCCGAGAAAACTCGTAAATAACAATATTTCACACTAAAACACTACTCGTCAACTACCGAAATCACGAGCCATTAACTTAACTTATGAACCTGGTCGACCATAGAACAGAGATGAGTTGAGAGATTGCTAACAGGTAGGAGCGCGCGATTGCGTCTGTGCTGCCCTCGATGGAGATGCGGGCGACTCGTACACTTGCCCCTAATGGCGGCACGTCTCGTCGATAAATGCAAAACACGCGGCAAAGGACTTCTCTGCTACCGTAGCACCACGTATCAGCAAAATATTCAACTTTGCATTCGGTTTCGCCATTATCGACGCTTTTAAACCGATCCGCGCGCAGCGATGCCGCTTGCTCCTCGTAACCGATTCCGTGGCGTATAAATCACGTTTATTACTCCCCCAACCCAGAAATATTTTTAAAAACCACTCCTGCTAATGTAATAACTAGCTAATTATCGTTAACAGCAGGTTACCTTCGTCTTCTGAGCATCGAACTAATCAGCACGCTCGACACGGTAATGCATGCATGCTAATATCAATATTATAACCAGTTCCGATTTGTCATCCTTACAGGTAATCTAGATCGATATTTCTTGCCGTATAATTGTCAGGTTGCATCCGTAATTATCGCTGCTCGGTTTCAGATTAGCCAGAGACCTTGATCCAGAGTGAGGTGCTTCACGGTCGATTCCGCAAGGAGGTAAACGGGGGATGACGTTCACGATTGCCTTTTCCGTGATCGTGGAGTCGGTGTCGGGAAACGGATCGGCGAGTGGTCGACGAGCGATCGGCTAGCTTCGACTTTCCTCGCCTTTGGATTTCAAGCGAAAAAGAACCTCCTACACAAATTCTACGATGTGCGGGCTGATAAGGAAATCGATTCGATATCTTTCGGTAGGATATTCGCCGTTAATCGTTTCCCGGTTAAAAGCGTCCGCGGTCAGGGAAGACAATCGACTGGAAACAGAACGAAATTGTCGATTAATCAATTAAAAATATACAAACTAGCATACGTACATTAATTCTACTAAACACTTTGGAGTTCAAGTTGATTAATAATTGCGCGAGATTTTTTTAAGGCAAAATCCGGCCCAAGGAAAAAGTAATCCTTTGATTTTCCCAACGAAATCGGAGGATCGACGCTTAAGCTATCTTTTAATGGTGCTTTATGTGAGTGATCTACAAGGCTCCGAATTCGATCCAATAAGAAAAGGATCGACGGATTATTTGAACGTTAAATCTCCGAGCGGTTTATTCAAATGGTGAGTCGCACAGAATTTGTTTCATTTCATTTAGAAGGGCCATTTCCTTTGCAGCCATGATACTCGCTCCGCGAAGTTATAGTTTTAAAGTGCATTCACAGTCTTATGGAATTCATCTATGATGCAACGGTTATTAATTAAAAATAGAATCAATGCTTCTTTCGCTACACGTCAATGCCACATGTTTGTCCCGGCGTGTATCTTCGATTGTGGTCGGATAATTGTATCGAGATTGATATAATTACTATATTTCAATCGCGAAATGAGTATTCTCGGTACAGCTTGTGTACACGTCTCATTATGTCAATATCTGACACGTACCATCATCGATTATTTTTATCCTCGCGTGGATTATAATTTTTTTTTCTACAGATTAACTAATAGCGACAATAGCTAACGACGCAAAAATATGACTTTTCATGCTCCGTTATCGCAAGTGCAGCGTCACAAGTCGGAATGCGAATGTTTAACGCGATACGTGGCGAATATCATTACTAATCGTTAAAATTAATTATTACTTGCTCTAGACATTTATAAACATATATTTCATCGTAAATAATGTATAGAGTACGAGCATTAAAAAAAGAGGATGAAAAACAAATATTTGCAGTTTCACTGAGAAACGTATAAACAATTATAGTAGATTTGTAGGATACATTGTTCGGCGAATCCTTAGTCATTAGCTTAGTCATTAGAGCGCGTTATCCCTGGGAATTTGAACAACGTTCGATTGTAGGAAGACTACATATTGACGGTGTCAATGGGGAACTCCATTCGATAAGATACAGCCGGGTTTGTTTAAGGTGCGAATCATCAATTAGGATATAAAGAAGACCTCCAATGGTTAGCACGGTTTGCTCGTGCGGAAGCTTCGCTTCGACTTAGCCGTATGACAACTATCGATTACATTGACACCCAGGAGTAGTATCGCGCCCTCGATGTGGTCCAGCGTTATCAAAAGCCTTGTCATCGGCTCGAATAATCGAAACGCCGAACGCGTACGTCTTTTGGTGAGTCGTTAGATTTTTATTCCAGAGACGATCGCACCTTCGTTATCATTTAATCTAATCGAGAGTCATGGCCATGGACATCATTTCTTCGATCTCTGCCACGTGAATCATTTTACTGCCAGTCGACGGTGCAGCCGATGGTGGTCTCCCGCCGTACTTGATCTCCTCCAAAGGAAGGTCAAGTGCCAATGCCAATCTATCCCTCACGTAAGAATAGGCTCCTTGATTTTTATGTTCCTCCTGCAGCCACATCACCTGTTCGAACGGGAATCGTTGTCTTAGAAAAGTGAATACATTAATGGGAGCAGCGTTGCGCAACGGACGTCCCACGGATAACCGCGCCTTCGCGGGAGGCGCTTTTTATTCCGTTTGCCTTTTTGCGCTCTTCCACCAGAGAATTTAGTCGATCGGATACGGATTGTCAGGAGTAAAAGGGAGGAATCGTCGAAGGCCGCGGAGAGAACATCGAAGGCCGATTTTCCGTGTGACTGATTTTCCTGGATTTTTCCCTGACCTTTGGGTTCAAATATTTCGCCATTTCCGCGCCGATCGCATGATAAGGAAATGGGCAGAGTTGTTCCACTCGTACTATGGCAATGGTATCGTCTAGCCCTTGTTTCTTACGTTCCTTCAATAACTCGAAGTAAACCTTTCCAGAGCAGAACAGCACCTTCTTCACGGTTTCTGGTTTCGCTGTCGGGTCGGCCAAAACGGGCTTGAAGAAGGTCTTCGGTCCTATTTCGTCGAAACTCGACTGGGCCAAAGGATGTCGAAGCAAGGACTTCGGAGTCATGATTACCTACAAATCAATAGGAAATCAGAGGGCCATCGAGTGGTCTTTTGATAATTCAATCCGGTCGAACCAAGGGCTTCCGGAAAGGAAGGAGTATTTGACGTCTCAGGGCGTGACACAAGTTCGCAGGAGTCGTTAAATTACAGATGATCCAATTTATCTCGAACAGCTGACGCGTTTCGATCTCCTCGGCGGTCTCGTTACCGGGACTGTTGGGCTCGTGGCCAGGTAAATAAGAGTAGTCGTCGTCCGATTGCTGAAGAAATCTTTCCAGTCTTCCCGAAGAGTGCTCCGGACCTTGGCCTTCCATCCCATGTGGCAAAAGCATTACCAACCCGATTTGCCTTCCCCACTTTGTTTGCCCGGAGCTCAGGACGGAATCTATGATAACCTAAATATATCGACTAGTGTTTTATCCTCGATTTCAGATTAATTACCCTGTCATTAAATACCTGGCAACCATTGGAAAAATCTCCGAATTGACCCTCCCATAGGGTAAGGGCGTTGTGGTTGAATGCTGAATATCCAAGCTCGAAACCTAAGTGAGAGACCGCACTTTACCCACGGCAGAAGCAATTGATATTTCAATTAAACCGCATAACCCTCGCTAATTTTTAACATTATTCTTTAAACAGGTAGAGAGAACTTTTACCCACCGCAAACTCCATATTCCGACAAGGAGGAGTTCGACACCGTGTATTCTGCCTGGCCAGGAAAGACGTCGTGCAGAATGTTCTTATACGTCTTGTCTTTATTCTGGTCGTGAATAATGTGCATCCTGTGCGAAAAAGTCCCCCGCTCGACATCTTGACCCGACAATCGGACATGGTGTCCTCTTTTCAGCAGACTGAGGAAAGCTATACACTCGCCCATGCCCCAGTCGAATTTTCGGGAGTCCTTCAAGCCTCGCCGTCTTTCCAGAGTCCTCATCACCTGAAACCGAGGGTATTCTCAATCTCAATTCTTTCTTGCTGAGCGTAATTAGAGCAATTAGACGTCTCCCGCAACTCCGTTGCGCTTGCCTGAGCATGAGGTGTAATGTCTTTAGGAGACGTCGAGACCGCCGTGCAAATAGTTTCAATTTCCTCCATACTGATTCCTGTAACGGGCATCTTGTACTTTGAGCTTTGCTGTGAGAAAAAGTCGTTCCAAGGCACGTCGTGCCAATCGCTCATTTGCATGGAAGTAACAGTCTGGGCCTTTTGGAATTCACTTTCCAGGTGGTCCAGGTATTTCTCTTTTTCGGTTTTAACGTACTCCTCGGTTATGACGCCTTCTTTAAGGAGCTTGTCGGTGTAAATGGCGAGCACGGTAGGATGCTCCTTTATGCGCTTGTACATCAGTGGCTGAGTTAACATGGGCTCGTCCATTTCGTTGTGCCCGTTTCTCCGATATCCCACGATATCCACTACGACGTCGTTATGGTACTCGGCTCTAATTTAGAAGAAAATCATGGGAGAAATTTGCGGAAAGAGCATCCGTCCGGACGGAAATGAATTTACCGGTACTCGCAGGCCACTTTACTGCAATACGTAACCAAATCTGGATCGTCGGCGTGAACGTGAAATATAGGCGCGTTGACGACTCTTGCGACGTCGGTGCAATGTTGACTGGATCGAGAGTACCTTGGATCGGTCGTAAATCCAATCTGAAAATAAACCTCCGGTCAATGTCGCCGATCCTCCCGGACTTTGGAAATGTCACCTCACCTGGTTATTGATCACAAAATGCAGGACTCCACCCGTGGTGTAATTCGGCAGGTGAGTCAGGTGCATCGTCTCGTAGCAGACTCCTTGACCGGAGAACGCCGCGTCTCCGTGGACCAATACGGCAACGGATTTTTCACCTGTTTCGAGAGAACGTCGAATAAAAAGAAAAATAATGGTCGCAAAAATAAATAAAAATAAATAAATAAATTGGTCATACTTTTATGGTCCTGCTGGGCAACCTGTTCGGCGCGCACTCGACCGACGATTACAGGGTCCACGGCCTCCAAATGAGACGAATTGGCCATTATAGAAACGCGGATTAACTTCCCACTTCTGACCACAAGGAAACGATTCGATATTTATGTAACGATGTCCGTTTTATACCGGCAATCGCCGAATCACCTTTCCAAACGTTTTTCCGCGCAAGTTCCAAGGTGATACTTGACGTCCCCGGATCCAAATCCCTCCAGAGAAATAGGATTGAACTGCGTGCAGACCTGGTGCACCGGCTTGGAGCATACGTTGACCAAAGTGTTGAGACGTCCTCGATGCGCCATGCCTATGACTGCGCTTTCAACCCCTGTTCGGATGTGAAAATCTTGCCTTAAAATCGGGATTTTCACCGTGATTCGACGATTGATCTACCTTTCTCTGCGGATGACTCGAGACACTCGTGAATCGCCGTAATGAACGATTCGCAGCCCTCCAGGCCGAATCTTTTATCGGTTACGTATTTCTTCGCCATGAAGGTTTCGAACGTGACGGCTTTCATGACGGACTTCCAAGTCCACTTTCTGTGCTCCATCGGCAATTCCCAGACATTCGGGGTCTCGAACTTGTCCCGTATCCAGTTGACCTAGTGAGAATAATTGCATACATTGTAAGAGGGTGTAAATGAAAATTTCCGCGATCGGCGTTACATCTCGTACCATGTTAATATCATAAATGTACGTGTACTCGAGGCCCAAATGGCCACAATAAATTTTATTCAGCCTTGTGAGTATCTCGCGCAGAGGCAACTTCTTCATCTTGCCTCCTATTACCGAGATGGTGTCGATGGGAAATTCTCTGTTCATATCGGCTTCGGTCATACTTTTCAGGTGCTGTCGCACGACGATAGCGGGTGGCAGATTGGCGGTTCCTTGTAATCTCGCAGAGTCCGGGTTTTGTATACCCAGAGGATCCACGTCAGCTATTACGTGTCCTCGAGTCTAAGAAAAGGGTATGAAGTATCGTTGTAATCTCGAAAAAGGTGTGGCATTTTTAGTTAAGCTCCAAGAGTACCTGATAAGCTCTGATCGTTGCATTCACGTTGAGAACGGCTCTCTCGAAACTGTCGTCCTGCAATTCCGCGGCGGATTTCGCTCGCACTTGTTGCAACTGATAAGCCTCTGGAATCATTGTTTAACATTATGCAAGGTTAAGCGAATAGCCGAATGGAATGATTTAATGCGAGCTCACTTTCGCTAGTTTTCTCCAACTGAAGATTCGAGGGACCCATCGACGGGGTTGAAATTATTTTCCTGAGGCGTGTGCCAATTTGTTGATTGAAATTCGACGGGGGATCTGTCGAGACGAGCTTGAAAAATGAATCCCAAGAAGCATCCACCGATTTTGGATCTTTCAACCAAGCTCTGTACAGGTTCTCCATGTACTCGCTGTTGCTCATGTTCAGGAGAGACATGCGCGTGTATTTATTTTTACAGCGTTTAATCGTGTTAACCACCACATTGGCTCCCGGGAGACGTCTGGAAATGGCTTGGACAATTGTATGCATTTCGATCTCTGATCGGATGCACTCGCACATATGAAAACTCGAGAAGTATGAAAATCTTGAAATAACGCAAAGAGGTTTCCAATCACAAAGCGGGCATTTATAATAATAGATTCTGCGAAGCAGTCCTTACACGCGGGAATAATTCGAGTAATTGTCATGACACTTGAGAATTTATGAACCTGCCACGAGATCTGCCATCCGAGTTACTGTCATCTACTTAATCCTTGAAGATAGGCAAAGAAACATGTAAAGGAAATTTTTAGCGATATAATGATATACAGTGAAACGCGAAATGAAGGGTGCCACGTGTACTTGACATTATCGTGTAGGCAGTAACAGAACCATTGATTTCATTAATTTCATGTTAAATTAGAATCACAAATCTTCGTTCATTCCAGGGTAGCACAGACTCGGTGGACGGTGAACACCGAACTATAATTATCAGTTCTGATAACGATCCGAAACGTACAAATTTCCCCCGGAATCGCATCGCATCCAACAAGGTGAATTACATCCGAGGAATTCTGTGTAATACGTTGAATTTAACGCTAAACAAATTTTACGCTTATTTTAGTACACGATATGGAATTTCCTTCCGAAGAACATTTTCGAACAGCTGCGGAGAGTGGCGAATTTTTATTTCCTTATTGCGGCGACCATCGCCTTCTCCATAGACTCTCCAATTTCTCCGGTGACGAGTTCGTTGCCGTTGCTATTTATGTTGCTGGTGACATCATGTAAGCAAGGCTATGAGGATATTTTGAGATACCAGTTGGATCAACGTGTCAATCGCTCTCCTGTCACCGTAATTCGTAATAAGTGCGTTCAGGTTTGTAATATACCGATTCGTATCGATCATTCTTGATACCCTTAAACTGGCTATCAGTGATAAGGAATCACGAACAGTTGATAACCATTCCCAGAAGCATCATGCACAGGAATTTTTCAGATCATTCAGTGCGAACAGATAGTAGTTGGCGATTTGGTCAGAGTAAACGAGGACGAAGATGTGCCTTGCGACCTCGTACTGCTGTACACCAAAAATAGCAATAATTGCTGCTACGTCACCACGTCAAATCTCGACGGGGAAACAAACTTAAAGGTTACTAAAGATAATCTAATTAAATTTAAGAGTTTCAAATCAACTACTGATGTATGCTTTTCAGACATTGTACATTCCAAAAGTTCTATCTCAGATGTCCATCGATGATATCGCCTCTCTAGAAGCACTCCTTAAATGTCAGAAACCAATGGCTAATCTTTACACCTTCGATGGAAAATTGGACATTCATACGGACGATGAAGAGGCAACTGCTCATTTAACGGTAGACAATCTTATGCTAAGGGGAGCAAGACTCAAAGATACCGAGTACGTAATTGGATGTGCCGTATATACAGGACAAGAGACAAAACTGTCGTTGAATACGAAAATATCAAAAAATAAATTCTCCACGGCAGAACGGTAAGAATAATTTAATTAACCGCTCCATTCGTTCGTTGCGTGATGGGGAAATAATTGACCGCGTTTAATTTCAGATCCATCAATATTTATTTATTATTCTTCATCGGCATACTGTTGACAGAAATTATTGCATCCGCTACGTTGAAAGAGGTAATAGAAAAGAATTCTTTTTGGGACGTTTACTTGGGCAAAATCGGCGTAACGAGTTTTTACAAGGCCTTCGTCGATGCCTTGTCATTCGTTATCTTATACAATTACGTCGTGCCGATATCCTTGTATGTCACGATAGGTAAATAGAAGAAATGTATTCTCGTTCATTGAGCAACGGCACATAGGTACGATAGACATAAGCAACTAAAAATAAACCTATGTACCTTCTTGTTTAGAGATGCAAAAATTTATCAGCTCGTTTTTCTTCGAATGGGATCTGGACATGTATGACCAAGAAACGAATCAACCGGCGATCGCAAATTCTTCAGACCTGAACGAGGATCTCGGTCAAATCGAGTATTTGTTCACTGACAAAACTGGTACACTCACCGAGAATTTAATGGTGTTTCGGCAGTGCTACGTCGGTGGGAATCTTTACATGGAAAATGACTGCGACGGTAACTTGTACCTCTTGCCGAGCAATGGTGACCCAGGAGCTGCTGTGAAATTAATAAAGTGGCAGGTAATCTCGATATCAACGTAAACGATTATTAATTAAAATTTAAAATAACGTGATGTATTTACAGCCGGAAATATGGCACTTTTTGATAAGCATCTCCTTGTGTCACGTAGTGCACATTGCTCCTCCTTATAGAAGAATTAGCATAAGCCAGAGGAGATCTGCATTTCGTGAGAGCTTCAAGTTGAAGCGAACTTCGACACTTGATAGTTCCTTGCTTATGGACCCCGAGTTGCCTGTGTACCAGGTGCACCATCTCTTATCAATAGGTGCGTATTTTAGGGGTAATTACTTATAAGAATGATTTTACAGGCGGCCTCAGCCGACGAAAAAGCTCTGGTAGAAGCTAGTGCCCGCTGTGGGGTCGTTTTTCAAAAAGACTCGGGGGACGAAATCGAACTCAAAGCCAAGGATACCGTTTTGAAGTTCAAGAAACTCGACACCCTGGAGTTCAGTTCAGGTGAGGGTGAAGAAGCAAACGAATACCCACGTTCTTCCTAAAATTTATCAGTTTTTAATCGATCAGGCGCTTCATTAAAATATACTTTCCAGTTAGAAAACGAATGTCGGTGATAGTACAAGATAGTGATGGAGATTTGTGGTTGTATTGCAAAGGAGCCGATTCGGAGATGTTTCCTCTGATTGTAAAGGGAAACGTTGAACAAGCGAAAGTACATGTGAATAATTTCTCAAAGGTACGTATAGATCCTTATGCTTCGTCCTCGTAAAACATTTTCAAACATTCAAACGCCAATCCCTATACTTCAGAGAGGTCTTCGAACGTTAGTCATTGGTTACAAGAGGCTGAAAAGGAACGAGTACGATAGCTTAAAAGACAATATCCAACGCTCTCGAGAAATTATAGGCGAGGAACGTACTACACGAATTCAGCAATCGTACAAAGCTGCCGAGAGCGATCTCACGTTAATCGGTGTTACCGCAGTAGAGGATCGTTTGCAGGAAGGAGTAGAAGAAACGTTAAAATCCTTGCAAGTGGCTGGAATTAAAGTAAGCATATACTTTTTTTTTTTAATACGTCTGAAACCTGCTTTGTGCGAGTATTAAACAATAAGAATTAACTCCCTCAATACTTAATGGATTTAGTGAACTGCTCCTTGCGGAATGTCCTCGATAGTTCGCCATTGCATTGTCACTAGTTTAAAAAGAACCTATTCAGAAGTGTATACTTTTTACAGTATTAGTTTGTGTCACAGATCTGGATATTAACAGGGGACAAAATTGAGACGGCTGAAAATATCGCCCGTCTGTGTGGCCACTTCAATCGAAACATAGAAGTCTTGAGGTTGGAAAATCAAGGAACTACTCAGACCTGCTGCGTCGCTTTAACAAGTTTCGAGTTAGTAACTTTACAGCATATCTTTTCAAATAAAATTTAATTTTTTCTAAATCCTGGTATTGATTTAATTGTTTAACAGGCGCAGAATTAAAATAGAGCCTTATCGGGAGTATGGGCTAGTAATGGATGGCGTCAGTATAGCCGTAGCATTAAAAGATTGTCCAGAATTGCTAAAAAGTGTCGCCATGTCTTGTGATGCAGTCGTCTGCTGCAGAATGACACCTTTACAAAAAGGCGAGGTAAGCGTTCGTAATCTTATTGCTTTCCTCGAAAAAAACCCTGCTCATAAAACGTATAATTAAATCTTTCATTACTTCTATTCGCATATAGATTGTTGAATTAATTAAAAATGCGAGATGCTCTCCTGTCACGGCTGCCATTGGTGACGGCGGAAATGACATTTCCATGATTCAAACGGCTCACGTTGGCATAGGAATAATAGGCAGAGAAGGTCGTCAAGCCGCTAACAGTTCAGATTTTGCTTTCACAAAGTTCAAGTGCTTAAAGAAAGCACTGCTGGTACATGGCCACTGGTACTACGTGAGAATCAGCACTCTGACACACTATTTTTTCTACAAGAATTTCGTATTCATAACACCTCAGTTATTATACGGAATTCATAATGGATTTTCTACTCAGGTATATTGTCACGGTATGCGATTAACATATTCTAAAGGTGCATCGATGAACTGATGCATTGGGATATTTTTTTATTCTGCAGGCTTTGTACGATAGTCTCTACCTGATGTTATTTAACGTGGTATTTACCTCTGCTCCGGTACTAATATATGGTTTGCTGGAACAGGACTTTTCTGCTAGTAAACTTTTACATCATCCCGTGTTTTACCAATTTTTCAAAAATAACCAAATGATGTCGAAAAAATATTTTGCTTCATGGATTGCACTTGGTAAACCGTTGTTACAAGAATTATGTGATAAAGAGATTTGGAATAGGATAAAAAATTACAATAGACTTAATTAAAGTATCGCAATATGTTTATAGGTATGTGGCAGACGTGCGTTATTTATTTTGTACCATATTTCTGTTGGAGGCATAATCCGATCATTTTATACGACAGTACAGCTGCAGATCAGTGGGCTTACAGTATCTGTATATACCATACTGCTACGTTAGTAATTAATACAAAGGTAAAGAATTATACCTAAACATGCATATTATCATCTTGTAAAAATAAACGTCAAGTCGACGGGTTGGATGGATTTAAAATTTTCAGATTTTGATAACTAGTTCACATTGGACGGTACCTTTTGTACTTAGTGTCGTGTTATCGCAAGTAACAGTCTTTACTTTTGCGATTATCTACTCGTCGGTGTATACGTACGTATTACTTGAAATGTGGAAATATTTTGGTATATGTCCTAATGATAACAAATCAAATTCTTATTCATTTTAGAGTCTACAACGGTAACGTTTTCTGGGTATTTAATAAAATGTTACTTTCACCAACGTTTTGGTTACTCACTTTGGTAACCGTGACAATTTGTCACATTCCCGACTTCCTTATCGTTTTGTATAATACAAAGAAGGAAGAAAGGATGCACAGACGTGGTGAGAAAAATAAGAGAAAAGTACAAATCAATTCATTCAGGGAAAATCATTCATCTTTTCAACTAGAGGTAAAGTCTAATTTCACCCGAGAACCAAAATATAAAATATTTAATGGATCTAGTGTTAAACATTTTCAGAAAAGGCGCTTTCATTTGCTTCCATGGAGACGTAGTCTTTCCCTGGAAAAAGGATTCTGATCGAATCAAACTCGCGTGGGGAATGACCTCACTTTTTCTCAGGTATATTATTCAACTATTTTACAATCGCTATTAATAAGTTATCGTTTCCTCGGAGGCATTGCGGTCACGAGAAAGTATATTAAATCTGGTAGAAAAGGGTAGAATTTGATCTTTCCCGCGATCCAATAAAAGGGACATGTTGCTATTATTAGTAGAAAATGTACTTGATTAAAATAGCGGGAAATTGAAAATACGGGGACACGTGACACAATAGAACTTGTTGCGCAGAATTAATTATATCTCGGATTTTACGCAATATCTGATGTATTACAGTGCTTCGAGCTGCAGACCATCCATGGCGTTCCATCTTGTCCTGACTGATTGATTTGTCGTTGAGAATAATTCACATTAACTCACAAAACACTCCTGACTTTGCGTATACTGCGCGTTTCGTACGAACAATTGGCGGTATTTAATCCGTTATAAACGTGTGCCGGTACAATGCGCTCAAAATAGCAAACGGTCACCTGTTACCATTGTTCCGTTTAAGTCGAGGTATTTACTTGAACATTACTGCATAGACTTTTATGTGAATAATCAACGGGAAAGTAATGAATTCAAGTTTTATCCCTAAAAATTATAAAACTGGCTACGAGGCTCTCACTAAAGAGGGATCTCGGCTATTCGATTGGTCGAGCCGCGAGAGTTCGCATCAATATATCGATTTTACTCTCGACTTTTTAACCCCATGCGCGGTTCGGTACAGCTCAGTGTTCAGTCTTCTTTGCAGCTTGTAGCTGTTTACTGGGCTCGCTGCGTTATCTCATGTGGGTGGGTGGATGGATATCGCGTTGATTATACTGGCCCGATTGATTAGTTCGATAATTTTTAAAGTGGAGCCTGATATGACATTTAAGTGAATAATGACCACCAGCAGTCACGACAGGATCGTCCAGCGTTTACCCGACGTCACATTCTATTGTTCTTTGCAATTCTTATAAGTTATAGGTATCAGCATTTGTTCTTCTAAGCGATTGAAAATTTCAGAACTACTTGCCTAAAAACCGCATTGCCTTTGAATTGTTTAAAAAATGTACTTCCGATGGAAATTATTGCTTTAAGACAGTGCTACGTTATGTATGTCCTCAGGGTGTACACACCCTAAATAATGCCCTCTTACCATGGGTCGTAATTATCAAAACATTCAAAGGGAAGTGTGAACAAGATTATCTTAATAAAGGCAGTAATTATAACATCGCTGATATCTCCTGGGCCATGTGTAGTACAAATGAGTCATATTTGTGCAAAAGCGATAGGTGTTCTATTCTAGCAATACTTTCAATAATCTCGTCTGCCTTATAGGTATATCTTGTGTGGCAGAAATGAGGGTTGCGGCATGTCATTTTCGACGGCTTACCTTCATCGCATTGTTCATAGTTTTGGGGTATTGTATTGTACTTGTACTGAGATCGGAATCGAAATTTAATGACACAGACTCTTCAAATTTGGAAAAACTGTAAGTTGAAACATGACTCTATTTATGTACCCGATTATAAACTTGGTTGTCTCGATTATCCGAATGCGATCGCTTTAGTATGCAGTTGAATATTCTTTTAGCACTCATATTTCAAAGTTGATTAAAGAATCTATAAAGGACACACCATATTTTGGGTAAGTTATCATATAGGATACCGATGCGTATTGTGTGAACAATGTATAATTAATTATTCTGTTGCTTAGCGATGAAGTTTCGGCATGTAAACATCCTTATTTGGATGTTTCCAATTCAGAAATCATGAAGTTCATACGCAATGTTCCACCTTTAAAGTGTTCGCCTAAAGACTGGGTCAGAGTAAATGGTTCGAGATTAATTATCGAAGAGAAGGCCAAGCAACAGTATGGTCGAATCACCTGTGCTTTTAGTGGTGACAATCTTCTTCCTTGACTCCCCTGAATGGCATTTAATTAGCATGACTGTAAAATGTTTTTCTACTTTACAGAGATAATCAGAGTAGATGATTTTAATGTAATTGCATCCCAAGCAACGGAAACCGATGACTCTTACTTACTGAAGGAAAGTGATTTTGTAGAAGTCAGATGTCAATCTCCTACTGGAAAACAGTAAGTAGCTTTTAAATATTTTTTTCTAATTTGGAATACTAGTTTTTGAAATACTGTGTAAAATAATTTTTATTGTCATTTTAATTAGATGGCACAGTGTGTTGGCTGGTGTTAAGGACGACCCTGAAAAAAGTAAAAAAGCTAGTTGGGACAAAGTTCCCTTTAGGGTGCTGAAACTGAATGTACTGATGTTTGGCTTTGACTCGCTCTCTCGAAATACGTTTATACGCAAGTTGCCAAAAAGCTACTACTATCTGAAGAAAACCTTGAATGCTCTTATTCTCGAAGATTACAACATCGTCGGTGATGGCACCCCACAGGCCTTAATTCCTCTTTTGACTGGAAAAATAGAACTTGAATTGCCTGAGACAAGAAAACGTTTAGGTGCGAAAGCACACTATGTTAATGTTTACCCTATGATATGGGACAAATTTAAAGAGAATGGTTACATAACAGGCTTTATGGAAGATGTACCTCGTATAGGAACATTTACATACCGCCTCAAGGGTTTCTATCAACAACCTACGGATCATTATATGAGAACATTTTATTTAGCTGCTGAACCACACTTTAAATACTATAAAAAATATTGCATGGGAGGCATCCCCCGTCACCTGGTGAGTTGATACTTCCAAAAGTGACATTTACAATGTTTTATGCCCCACCTACATATAATAATCATCTTGATTATCGATAACAGGTTATGATGAACTATATAAAAACAATATTTGATTCATATCGTAATCAGCCAAAATTTGTATTTGGTTTTCATGGAGAACTTTCTCATGATTCCTACAATGACATTGGTGTGGCAGACGATGATTTGTATAACTGGCTAAAAGAATTAAATGAAGATGGTCATATGAATAATACAATTTTAATTTTGATGAGCGATCATGGACATAGGTAGGGTGCATCATTCATAGAAATATTGTATAATACAATTGAGATAGATATGTATAATTTTCGCACCAAATTACTATTCCAGATTTGCAGATATTCGTCGCACGTTGCAAGGCAAGCAAGAAGAGCGTTTGCCTTTCTTTTCATTCACCTTTCCACCCTGGTTCAAGCAAATGTATCCAAGAGCATATGCCAATGTTGTGTATAATACACAACATTTGTCAACTCCGTTTGATGTACATAGTACTTTAGAAAATATTCTTGATTTTGGAACCCCCAAGGAGGGTAACAGAAATCAGCGTGCAATTAGTTTATTTGACAAGGTGCCATCTTCAGTAAATTCTTTTCTATCAAACTTAAAGGAGAATGAAATAAAACAAAAAAGTGTTAATACTTGTTTAACAAATAGATTCCTTTGGAACGAACTTGTGCGGATGCTTTCATAGAACCTCATTGGTGCGCCTGTCTAACCTGGGAAGAAGTTGCAGTAGACAATCCGACCGTTATAGCAGCATCTGCATATTTTCTTAAATTTCTAAACGATTACGTGGAAGAACATCGAAATAAATGTGAAATCTTACACTTAGACAGCATTTTATGGGCTGCTAAACTGTTACCCACTAAAGGTAATACGCGTGTAATTTACTTAAACTACACAATATTAAAAATAAACTTTTTATTCTGCAGGTTTATTAAATTATAAAAAATCTGGAGACACCGATGGTTTCGTGGGAGATTTTTCAGCTAACACTAAACTTACAAACGAAATATACCAACTGAAAATAATGACAGTACCGGGTGGTGGCCTTTTCGAAGTTAGCATGAGTTATGATGTTAAAAATAACACCTTCAATACCAAGGTTAGTCAAACCATTGTTCTAGTCTTCATTTTTTTTTTTTTTAAGGAAAAACTCACTTATGTCACAACTGCTTTTAGATTTCCGATGTAAGCAGGATAAATAAATATGGGTCGCAAGCCAGATGCGTCGAAAATTCATTGTTTCACTTACGGAAATATTGTTTCTGCAAAGAATAAGTTGCTTTATGATAGATAGGACAATTGAGAATTCATGAAAAATTATTTTGACATATCTGATGCACAATTTAATGGTAAATGTAAAAAATTGTTATCACGATTTGATTCGTTACAAACAGATACTATTGGTTTTATTTGAAAAGGCTGAAGAATAAATCTGCAAGTACTGAAAAGGTGGCCTAACCAAGTTATGAAACTGTGGTAAATATTTTAATGCAACAGTATGTGCCGAAAATAACGTCAGTATTATTCGTAACGAGAAGAGTGATTTGAACGTAACAAAAGTGCAATTCAGTATGTACATTTTCAGAGTTTTCCATCACTATTTTAGAATATATAGTATTAGCCAACCAAAACCGTACTTACATGCCAAATATAGTGTGATTCAATAGTTAAGACATACTCTTTTTTTGTGGGAGCATAGCTACATTGGTCCCTTAATGACATATCTATCAGCAATGAATAACGTTACCTACAATTCTTATTAATAATATATTCCCTAGGCACATGTGTTGCATGCAACAAATAAGTTAAGTTAAAACATACGTAAAGAATAATATATTGCAATAGTGGTAATAGTATTACATTACGTATTGTTCAAGTACTGACAAAACCATTACTTAGAAAGTGATAACATTTTTTATTCAATCAAAAGAATTGATTGATTTTTTTTAAACACTACTCTACTATTAATGTTAATATTACTTGTTTCCTTGGTTCTGAGATAACAAGATAAAAAGTAATGAGAGGATAATTTTGCAATCAAATTGCATAATTTTTTTTAGTTGATCATAAACATGTACATATCAAAAGTATCGAACATGTACGGAACGTATTAGTTGTTAAAGCTGAAATTGGGCTGAGAAGAAGTGAGGTTACTCATTAAAAAAAAAAAAATTATCCGGTGCTAGCAAATATGTACACATTAAGATAATACTTAATCTTAACTTAAATTCAAATAACATAACATATATTATTTGTAGAAGATCATAGTAACGCAAAATTTAGTGGGCAGTATAGAAATGTAGTAATTAATCGGCATTTAATCAATAACTGCGTACTCATGCCAAAATGTATTATTTTAAGTCAATCGAACTGAGTAAAATGTTTAATATGTTTATAAATGTCATATCATATTAGACACTTGATTCAGTATCGAGTATAAGAAAAGTGATTAATTCCCAGCCACGTAAATTGTCAAGCGCAAGTACTTTAAATACATATAAACGAACTGTGATGAGCGATTTAAATAGAGTTAATATAAATTCAGAATAATTAGATTGCTAGAAAATACGTATTTTCATAAGCCAGTCTAAAGTTGAACGTGTAGTATCACACCGTTCAGTAGCTAAACTTAATCTTTGCATTCAACTTCCCGAAATATCTGCTTTATGTATAGCATTTACAACACCTTATTTAGTTTGTCCTAATTAGTTATTCACGATATTACCAGTCACCACATTATTATATCGTATACAGTGTATATTTCGAAGTCTGTATATACAGTTACGGCCTTGTTACCTTGTTCAATAAATTTTATATACGTAAGTGTAATTCATTCATCTTGTGAAATGTATAAACGTGGAAGGAACCTCGTTTGAGAAGAAAATCACCAAGAGAATCCACCAAATTGGTGCACGAATGTCGTTATTTCTCGACTGTTTCCATCAATTAATAAAAATCCAATGTTTTGTTTCTCATATGGTTCCGTGGGAAAGTAAGCATGTCCGTTCTGATTTTTTACTATCACCTCCAAAACCGTTGTAGCGATTGACAAGTCACCCGAAACTTCTTGTTTCTGAACTCTGAAAAATACAGAAAGCAAGTCTTGTTCGACCATTGGTAAATGAAGAAAGTACTATAAGGATATTTAGTATTAATCACCTAATAAGATCCTTGTAAATATTTTTCGTAATATCAAGGTAAGGTTTCACCGTATCTTCGTATTGACACAATGTTCCTCCTAAAATTAGCATTTGGAAAATACGAAAAATAAACTCCTCTCGCTCATTCTCGGTGTACAAGTTGTATTCGTCGCACTCTTCGTCCAGGAGCATCTGCATAACCGAAAATTATACATGAGAAAATAAGTATCGACGCACTTTAATAAATTCAGAGTACTCACTCCTCTAAGGTTGTCCGATATGAGAAAGCCATCAATTTCTAAATCATATCTCTTGCGTATGTTACCAGATTCGTAAACGACGTTATTCTCTGGATCTTTTAATTTGTCAAAAAAAGATGTACCGAGAACGGAACATGGTACACTCTTCAATTCAACGGATGATGCAGTTATCCCTAAAATGTAAAAATAAAATATCTCGCACCCTTTGGAAATGTAACAGGCATTTTCTAAGATACCTTGAACAACCCATGAATTGCCCCGTCTTGTCTTTAATTCCTTAGCGACGACGTCACTTTTAAAAAAAGCCTGTAAATTGAATGAATAAATTCCCTCGCGAATCGTACAGATCATACGCGTAGGAACTTCGCATTGGATTTATGAATGGTAAATTACTTCGGCTAAGTGATGCTTGTGAAACGACTGAAAGGGTTCGTTAAACGAAAAATGTTGTACGTTGATATTTCCATTCAGGCCCCTAAAATTGGAAAAGAAGTGAAAAATTGAAAAGTCATCATTTTCACAATGATTACCGCGGGTCGTCGAGAGTACTGTTTTCAAAATTGAATTGTAGTTATATTACCACTTATTAAGGTATTCTCGAGTAGCCTTGTCGTCATTTCCACAATAAATCTTTGAAGCGAGAGGAACAAAAGTATACACAGGATCCAACTCCATTATCAAACGCAGTTTGTTGCCAGGTAACTAAGTGGCGGACGACATATATGTATATTGATTATTTCCTTTCAAATCTCCCGCTGTAAATGGTGGAATCATGGCACGCTGTTTTGTTCCTCCCATCGTAAAAAAACTAGATTTCATACAGTTCTAGTAACTTTCGAATTCTGTGGCAGTGAATTGAAACGAATGACATATTGTTTTCGGTGGCATTGTGGTATTTTAAGTAACGAACATGAGTGTAAATGTCAATGAAGAGATTGAGCAATTAGAGCCCTCGCTTAAAAATGTAATTGATCAGCGATCGTTGCGATGGATTTTCGTGGGTGGGAAAGGAGGTGTTGGAAAAACGACCTGCAGGTTCGTGACATTAACCTCAAACTGATCCAGGGCAGTAATCTGCTTTGACATCGTTGCTAAATTTATAATTTCAAAGTAACAATAATAGCTACTGTTAATTTATTCGCTAATTACACTGAATTAGATCCGTAATACATCATACCGTGTACAATTTTTAGTTGTTCCTTAGCCGTGCAATTAGCTAAAGTGCGAGAGAACGTACTTATTATATCCACCGATCCAGCGCATAATATTTCTGATGCCTTCGATCAAAAATTTAGTAAAGTACCAACAAAAGTCAGAGGTATCGATAATCTGTTTGCCATGGAGATCGACCCTAACGTTGGTTTAACCGAATTACCCGAAGAATACTTTGAGACAGAAACTGGTATATTTCAATTGCATAAAACTCTTGGCATATGTGGAATCAAAGTAATTATGACCATGTAAATTTTATTCCTTCTTATTTTTAACAGGTAGCGAGGAAATGCATTTAAGTAGGAGTATCATGCAGGAAATTGTCAGTGCATTCCCAGGTATCGACGAAGCAGTGAGCTATGCAGAAGTGATGAAGTATGAAATTCAATTTCTAAACAGTTCCAGCTTTGTAACTGAGGATTTTTGTATTCAATTTTTCACATCAATTTTTCTTAACCATGTTTGCATATTTCATGTAAAATAGTTAATAGCCATATAATTTCATGTTTTAGGTTGGTTAAAGGAATGAATTTCTCAGTTGTAGTGTTCGACACTGCACCAACGGGTCATACATTAAGGTTATTATCGTTTCCACAAGTGGTCGAGAAAGGTTTAGGAAAATTAATGCGATTGAAAATGAAAATCAGCCCCTTTATATCTCAGGTATAAAAAGATAAAAAGTATTAAGTGTAATCGATGATTCAAAACTACTATTACAGTTGAGTTTAACATTTACAGATAAGTTCTTTACTAGGCATGACCGATTTCAACGTGGATTCATTTTCAAATAAAATGGAGGACATGCTAGCCGTAATAAGACAAGTGAATGAACAGTTTAGAGACCCTGAACAAACAACATTCATCTGCGTTTGCATTGCAGAATTCTTATCCTTGTACGAAACAGAAAGATTGGTGCAGGAATTAACGAAGTGTGGAATCGACACCCACAATATCGTCGTAAACCAGCTAGTATTCCTCAAATCGGGAGATGTTCCATGCAGGCTATGTCGCGCTAGACACTTGGTCCAAAACAAATATCTGGATCAGGTGATTAACGAATCATTTAAAACGTACCCATCCTTAAATTATTGCTTTCTTCTAACAACATTATGTATACAAATTTACTTGCCAATAGATAACGGACCTGTACGAGGATTTCCATGTAACGAAGCTGCCTCTGTTGGAGAGAGAGGTACGCGGAGTTCCACATGTCAAAGAATTTTCCGAGCATCTTGTAAAGCCTTACACGCCTTAAGGACATTATCTATAATTTTGAACTGTATTTTTCAAGTACGAAAAGCTCAACATTAAGATCGCGCATGTACAGTCGTGGAGATTATACAAGTAATGTAAAATTGTCTTTCGATACATTTTCGCATGACTATTGCTCGCAGAGAAAATGTTAATAAAATGTCCGACTAAGCTATTAGTTCTATTTCTCAGTTCTTAAAGTAAATGCCATATATATCGCATAACTGAAATCACATTCCGCTTCACTGTATTTTGATAAATTTGGAACTAACGAAACTTTAACAAAACAAGGGTTGAATGATAACTAATAAATTGATTACTTATAAGCTTGAAGAAGCTTGTCTGTCTCGTTAAATCCGTTCCACGCTCAGCATGGACACGTGCTGCACGTTATCCGTTAGGCTCGGAGGTTATCCGCCGATTGAAAGAGCCGGCGCGTGAAAAGGAGAGGATCTCTGCTAAACGTGGTAGAATTTCTGTGGAGGGCCGCTAGGCGACAGCGGTTCGCGGCTAGCCGCGAACCGAGAGCAGCAGAGAGCAGCAAACTCGCCAAGTCTAGAGCGTTTCGCGGTACTAATCCGGGTGCGACCACCCGAGGCAGGAGGGACTCCGCGAGATCCCTCATTCTTTACTCTCCTCTCGTGTCCTTGTCCCACTCTTAGGTGGAACGAGCAGAAGCGAAACGGCTAGGTCTCCGAGGCGGTGGGGTAGGGGGCCGAGTGAAGCAGGGTAGGTAGGACGCGATTCGGACTCTGAGTGCTACCCGTGCTACCTTGGGCACCAACGGGCGGCACGGTGGTCGGCGAATTCACATCAAAATGGCCGCATTTTAGTCTACCAGGTCTACAGACTTGATTTTCTTTGCTGTTTGCCAATAGCCGTGAATAGGGCCTGACAGTGTTCGAAGAAGTATTATCGCCCGTTTCGCCGGAAATTTCTACGTCGAGGTAGCTGAAATTTTTCGCGAAATAGGACAAACTTAGGTAAGGAAACGCTCTCGGAGGATGCTTCTAGCCGGGCCAAGCCCATTGTGTATCGACTGATTTATTTGTAGATAATATCGCTTCTAAAACGATTAAACTACCTAGCGCTTATTGCTAAGTTAATTGGCCTCGATTTTAGGAGCGCAGCGTAATTCCTTGATGCTCGAAAGAATCGATCTGCCTACATTTTCGGCTCTTATTGGCTCGTCTCGAAGTCCGTTATAGCGTTGATCGACAACTGTGGAAAGTACCGCTATTGCGTTTTCTTCACAATTTCATCCTTGCGGGCATTTATCGGCAAACTCTCTTTTGCCGCGTTTTAAATTCTTTCGCATGGTGCATTATTGAAAAGTTTGCGTTACAGAATTTGCGGTGTCTTCCACAGAAACTAGTTTGAGAGGGAAACAGAACCTTATCTCGTAGGTCTCGTGTTTTGGGTTCTTTTTCTTACTCGATATTGAATTATACATACCAAAGGATATAATAAATATTCATTCAGGAAGGAAATGAAACCGTGTGTTTTTAAATTTGCTTATACATTTTGAATATTAATTTATCCATTTCTTTAGATTCTTCAGGGTGGATTTCGATACGATGTTACGGCATCAACATCACACGATGATGCAAAACCAATATGCAGAACCTAACAGGTTGGTGACCTCTTCATAAATCGATATGAAATAAGCTTTCTCAGTTTTGATAACTTTATATTTTTTATAATAAATAATCGATATAATTTATTAGTCGAGCCGAATCTAATGTTCTCGATTAATCGTACAGAGTAGGAGGACCGATGCGGCCCATGCAACCGCCAAACTTAGCTCTACCCCATCAACCGCCCCCACAAATGCAAACGCATCGAAATCTACATGGCCCCCATCACCAACATATACTGTCTATGCCCCCCCATCCACAGCAGCACGTGCACCAAATGCAACATGCCGGGAAACCCCATCGGAACCCGCGTCCGCCGTTGTTGATGGGTGGAAATTCACAAAATGGTAATGGCATGGTATTGTTTTCACGGCTTCTGATCGATAACATGCATTTCACGTACTTTTAACCTTCAAGAGCAATGTAATTTAACAAAGTTAATATTAGAGGTGAATCATTTTTGCCAATGCCCTTGCGGAGTACATTCATTTTGTTAGTTTATGAATGTTGTTAGTTTTAATATCATTTAGTTGGGTAGTAAAGCTATCGTTCCATAGTTACGTAGATCCGTTGCGCACTAAAGTATTCCATACTACAGGGAAATCAATGGTCTTTGTACAAATTTAGGTTGAGAAAAATAATTAGTGTTCTTCCTTTCATTCTAGGACTTGACTGTATAATACCACAGTAGAATTTAGTAAGTTTCAAGATCATGAAGATCACATTAGATTTTAACTGGAAAGAAATTTTAACCATTTTCTATGACTAAAGCTACTTTATAAAAAGAAAGTAGTATTTTAATCCAGCTTAACACCAGTACTGCACAGGGACACCGTGTTTTGTTAATATTGGGAACAAAATTACGAGGATTGTATTTAATTTTGTTAGCTCTGTACTACATTTTATCCGTGGTATTCTTGCTGTCCATCATAAATGGAGGACATTCGAAAATTCATCAGACAACCGTACATGTTGATATTGAAACACTGGAGATTTTGTTTGGATCATCAGGGTGCATCGAAGGTCTGTTGCGTTCCCTAGTCTATTGAATAATTTTCGGTCATTTAATTTATTACAGTTTTACGGGAAATCATCACTTTGTCATAGCTTTTACCTTTTAAACAGATAGCCTAGGGATGGTCTCAAATGCTTCTAATGTCTATATTTCTATATTTCCCCTCAGCAGTAGAAAGTACAAAAGAAAGACAATCTATTACCGCCAATCTTGTCTTTATATTTAATTACAAGTATTCGAAAATAAAAATTAACTCAATGCGTGTACCAAATTGGATTAGGCACCATGGTCAACGTTGGAATGAAAGAGCAGAACGTGGCGACTCTTCGCAATCAAAATATTCAGCAGACACAGTACGATACCCAACAAAACATTCAAGAACAACAACAACAGCAACAACAAAACAGTGAAAAAAACAAATCACCGACTAACGAAGACAAAGAAGAGTCGACGGACCAGAATCCTGAGGTTGCGGAGGAAAAAGGAAAGGTGAGAAATGAGTAAAAAGTTATAAATTATTCTATATTACCTTGGTAGAAGGACAAATGAGATCTGATTTCCCTTAACTCCTAATCAAGCAGGATCATGAAAACGTGACCAATTCAAACTTGGCAAACACGAAAGAAAAAACACCGATGTGTTTGGTGAACGAGTTGGCGAGATTTAACAAGATCCCACATCAGTACAGACTCACCAACGAACAAGGGCCGGCCCACAAGAAAGAATTCACCGTACTGTTAAGACTGGGAGAAGAAGAATACGTTGCTCAAGGACCTAGCATCAAAAAGGCTCAACACAGCGCCGCTGCGGAAGCCTTAGAGAAATCGTGGTATAAGACCCCACCACCTAAATCCGCAAGAACTATGAGAATCGGTCATCCTGGAAAGTGGCCTGCCGGTACGTATTAATATAGGGTAATCCGTACAATCTACCGAGTCCTTCCAAAGAAATCTTGCCAGAATCGGTACTTGAAAACATTTTGGTTCTCCGGTCGATATCGCCACGTACAAAGTTTCCCATTGTTCTATTCCAGGGCGTTTACCACCGACCGTTGAACTGAACACTCTGGCAATGAAAAGAGGAGAGCCTACGGTATACACATTTAGACACGCTCCGCCAGCAGCGCCGCAGCCTTTTGTCACTCACGGCTTTAATAACTTTCCACGAATTTACAATGCTCGCTATCCGACGTACAATCGCGGGTTTCATACCGAGCCCCAAGGACTGTATCTCGTCACCTTGAAGGTGCTACCCTTTGCCGTTTTTTAAAAACGTCGGGAAACGCGGCGGGTCGAGTATTTTATTCGAGGAATTTCACAGGTCGGAGAACGCGAATTTACCGGCAAAGGCATGACCGGTCAAACGGCTCGCCACGATGCAGCCAGTCGTGCCCTGGAACAATTGCGACAATTGCCGTTGCCGGAAGAAGCATCGAACACTTGCGCGGTTAGCGAGAACGGAACGGTCAGTGGAATCGACGACCCCAACGCCGAGCTGAAGAGCCCGGTGTCGCTTGTTCACGAGACGGCACTGAAACGCGGACTGCCCGTTAACTTCGAGGTCATCTACGAGACCGGAAAGCCTCACATTCGCACCTTCATGACCCGCTGTACCGTGGGAGAAAAGGTCACCGTTGGCGAGGGCTCCTCTAAGAAGGTAACGAACCTTTGTGGATACTTTGCGAGCCAGATTCTTGCTCGTGCCAGTTAAATACCCGTTTCGTATTCATAGGTATCCAAAAAACGCGCTGCCGAATTAATGCTAGAAGAACTAAAACGACTGCCCCCTCTGCCCGTGAACGTCCAAAATCGATCTCTGCAAAGATTGAAGCGCAAGCCGCCGGCAACCAAGAAGAAGCCCCGCAACCTGATCAAGGTTCTGGAGGAATCGCGTCCCGGGTCCGAAACCACCGAGGACGTCAATCCTATTTCTCGATTAGTCCAGATCCAACAGGGGAAGCGCGAACGAGACCCGGTATACAATTTAATCGAAGAAAAGGGTGCCCCCAGACGCCGAGAGTTCGTAATGGGGGTCACTCTGGGGAAGAATTTTGCTCAAGGATCGGGACCCAACAAAAAACTGGCCAAGAGGGCCGCCGCCGAGGCTCTCTTGGTCAAACTGGGGTACAACAAGCCGCAACCATTGCCCACGAAATCTTCCATCAAAACGGGAGACAGCGAGAACTCTACCACCGAGGGCAAGCCTAGGAAGGTTACATTTCTGGAAGACGAACGGCAGACCGAAAAGAAACAGCCTAACATTGTTGGAGGTGAGATATTTTTCTTTTTTTAATATAGCGTCCACGTCCACCGGTAAACGCGACGGCGCGATTGATGGGAATTTTCATAACAGGTACAACCGGTCGACAAATAGCTCCTGGACTGTTACTGGTAGACGGTGGACAAGAATCGAAGCTCATCGGTGGAGGGCCGAGTGTGCAGGTAGTCGCTGAGAAATTGCGCGGCCAGCAACAGCAACGCGCGTCACTGGGCTTGCCGCCAAAGGACCGACTCACGTATCTGGCTCAACTGCTAGGATTCCACGTCATGTTCACGGACTTCCCAAAGGTGTGTGCCCTTTAAGCGGTGACGATCTAGGAACGGTAACCGGTAAACCTCTTGCACTTTATTTCCCAGGCTCTCTACAAGGGATACCTGTCGCTCGTGTCGCTGAGCACCGATCCACCCCAGGTGTGCCACGGGCACGGACCGACCAAAAGTGCCAGTCGCGATCAGGCTGCTCTCACGGCCTTACGAACCCTCAGCAAGCTGGGTCTCGACAACGTTTCCCCAACCCAACCCAAAAAAGATAAAGGTGCGTCCGGGGACGGAATGCACGTCGGTAACCAAGTTAAGACCAACATGCTGAACGGCGCCGTCGACAAGTAACACCCCGGATCTTGACAAGTTGCATTCTACTGGCTGCTCGTCGGCCGAATACCAACCGTGGGAAGGCACGTCGACTTCGGAACCTGTACAAAACTGTCTTCTTCGTAGAGACATGAAGGACCAATATCGGAGTTTTTCATTTTCGCACGTTTAAACGTTAGTCCGATGATTCAGGAACGAACGGTTGGTGCTCGACCGGCGAACGCGGCGACTTGGGAAGGGAAAAAAAAAGTCTTCGAGGGCCAAATACGGCTTAAAATTCCCGAAGAGACGGGCACCTTGGGCGTCGGAGGTGTCTCTTTGAATGTTCGTAATATGGGAAAAATCCGAGATGAAATGCGGCCATCTTATAATTCGTCATTGACACGAATGCAAACTATATCTAATTACCTAACGCTGTCGCAACGATGGATCGAGAGACGATTGTACGATAATTTCGTCGGCACGGACTAAAGAGGCTTTACGCGGAATCATTTGTTTCGGCGAGACTGATTCTCGCTCATCTTTGACCTTGATCTTTCTTTTTTACACGTATATATATAGGGAAACGGATTTTAATAGGGAACTCGAATTTTGAGTTGCGACTCGACGCGAAGAGTAGCTAAAAATCAGGTGTACAGAAAATTTAAAAGACTCGAAGCGGCGAAGGGAGGAGGATAGGTAATTTGATGTACGTTATATTTCTGTCGTCCCCAATTTGCTTTTCCACGGGGCCTGGAAGCATTCTGGGGTGTATTCGCGTTAATGTCTTGTCACGCGTTAACGGACGAATGGGTATTGAAATTTTCAATAGCTTAACCTACCACCGAAACGTTCCTGCGTGGTGTTGGAAATTTCAATCGAGTCGAGCGAGTCTACACCCTCGACAGTTTGTCTCGCTGTGTCGCGAAAGTCGCCAAGTCGAAGCGAAGCTTTCTCCGGAAACGCGAAGATAACGGAAAATCGATGCAAGAAAAGAGAGGGAAAAAAAAAAGTGGCATATGATAATGGATCTAAGTAATTTTGGAGCTCGGCACAAGTTCTGGCCCGACGGGACGCGTTTACACACGTTACATTTTGGTTACTTCGTCCCGTAAAAGGTTTTTCCATTTTTACATCTCAGGGTTTCGTGCCGACGCTCCTCAATAATCCTACCTTATATTCATTATTCGTATTATATAGTCTGAAGAATATTGATTAAAAATTAAAATACCACGTTCACTTTCTCCCCCGCCCCCCGCCCCACCCGTTTTTTTTTTTTCGTTTTTTAAACTACGGTTTTCTTATTTTCCATCGAAGCATGACGAAGCTTAGTTCGGGTGTTTCAACGTTCATTTGCATTCTTTATTTTTCGTCGGTCTCTACGACTCGTCAGCCTTATCAGTTCGTTAACAGTTCACTCGGGAACGTGAGTCGATGAATGTTCCTTTTTTCCCAGATATCGCTTCATAGCTCTTAGGAGGGCTGTCACTCGGACAACGTTCGTTACTGTAACTTTTAGCGATAGGATACAATACCGACAAATAGTTGCGCGTCCCGGGGGCGAGGAGAAAAAGCTTTACAGAATTTTGGAGGTGAATCTCGTGCGTTTAATTTTCATTAATTTCGCCGCTCTCTCGTTACGAAGGCCAATAACGCTATTGGGATTTTCTCGTTGCTGGGAATTTCGAGAACGTCGCGGCGAAAAAAAAAATGAGACTCGTCGCTTTTCCGACTTTTCAGCAATTATTTGAAATCTAGGTATATCCCACTTTCGACGTACGCATCCAGGGGTGAAATTCGGAGCTAACTCCAGAACCCTGGAGAGAGAGAGCAACGGCGAATAATTATTTCTTACACTTCGTCAGTTCACCCCCTAAATTCTGAAGAGCTTTAGAAATCGCCCCCCGAATCCCAGTCCTGATTTACTCGGACGATGTCACGCGTGGACGGAATATCACTAGACACGACACGTTATTAAACCACATTTCACGAGGCAGGATATTTGGGAAAAATGAATTCAGATGCGATATAGTTTTAAAGGCGATGCAAAATGAGAAACGTTATTTAAGTATTATTTTACATGTAATGGTCGCTACCCTGCGCAAAAAAGAAATAAACGAAGGATAGGAAGAAAAAGAAAGGCCCCCCCGAGAGGTTTCATTGCGTCGAGAACGATTCTACTAAAATGACATTACAGAAATATATATATATATATATATTAAAAGTGCGCGTGCGTACCACCTAAAACCGAGAGCTGCGTTATAAACGACGCCCTAAGCTTTCCTCGCAAAGTGTACGCTCGTTGTCGACGTCTCGTCGATATAACGAAAACCAAGGTATCCCCGATAAAATTGCGTATAAGTAACGCATATCGGCACGAGAATTTGTTACAAGAAACCCGAAGGAATGAAAGGCACCGATACCGATATAGCAGCATGGCAATAAGTTTCTCCTAGCCGAAGGGACGAATTTTTCGGAGCAAGAGTTTCGATGCAGCAACAACGGAATCACGAGGTTCCACTGCTGGCCCGTTTATTGATAAGAATTACCTCAGATTAAATACACGTCACATATCGTCATCCTCTTACAATATAATGTAATCCATTCGGAATATATACAAAAAGCCATTACAAGGGAATTCCTATGTTAATACGGCGATACATCGAAAACGTGTAGAGTCCGTTCGAGGTACGAATGATGAAGAGACCTTACCACCTAAATGCGTGCGGTGTCGGTCGTCGTCGAATCGCGTGTCCCGTGATAAGGAAAAACTGTCCGCGCACCCACTCCCATAAAACGAGACCAACGTCCCGAGTTCAATCTAATGAAAAATGGGGGGGGGAAAAAAACACAAACGAGCAACGCATCTAGACGTTTGGTCATAAGGTGAAATCGTCCGTTTCCACGTTCCGAGCGTACACACTCTCTCGCCTACGTCGATGCTTATTCTTCTTTTGTTTCTAATTCCCTCGAAATCGCGTCCCCGCCAAAAAGAAGGTTCCACTTCGCGAGATTCGCGAAATCCATGTAGCCGCGAATTATTTGTCAATCATTGAGGGGGATGGGAAACTTGTCGCGGGTAAGACGGACTTTTCTCGACTGTAATCAATGTGTGTAAAAAAGAAAAGGGAAAAAAAAAAGAGAGAGAGAAGGGAAAAGCGATCGAAAGAACGGCCTTCGATCGCGTTCTTCCGAGAGGTCGATGGGTTCTCATTGCCTTCAATCGTCCTTTTTGTTGTCCGGCGACTTGTCCCCATTTATGGGCGAGCGGGAACGACTGCGACTTTTGCTGTGCTTCGGGCTGCCGGATCGCGATCTGGATCGGGCACCCCTCGATCGTTCCCGACTGGATCTGTCCCTGTGAAGCGGCCAAAGAATCGTAAAAACATGAGTTAAGGCAGTAGCGCAACACTGAATAGCAAAGGCACCTCGCCGTCCAGGCTACTCCCAACATGTAATCATTGCCGAAGTATCTCGTTAACTTTCCTACCGAACTGGTGAGATCTTAAGGCACTTACTTCGAGGGAGACTTGGCTTTGGACTTGGACTGCGACCTGGACTTCGACCTCTCAATCTTGGACCTAGAACGAGATCTGGATTTGGAGTTTGACTTAGATTTCGACTTTGAGCGGTCTCTTGATCTGCAAAATCATATGTTCGAATCAGAAGAAGATCGGACCCACCAACGGAGTTTATGACGTAGGTGAATCCGACGTTTACATTGCGAGGGACGGGGGGGGGGGGGGGCGAACGAGGTTTCAAAATTAACGAGACGAACTATAGGACCGACATCGCGTTAAAGGTTGACAAAAAGTGACTCCTCGGATGATCTAAAGGAGCGATTAACGTAATATGTCATAGGATCGATGGGAGCTTCGGCCAAGAAATGAAATAAAATAATGTATAAGCGTACGCATGGCCGCGATGCTTACTTGGATTTGGAGCGAGAGCGGCTACGGTCGGGAGACTTAGATTTGGACTTCGATTTGGATTTCGAGTGCGCCCTTGACTTGGAACGACTGCTGCGACGGCTGCGACTGCGAGAGCTGCGTCGACTCCTGGGACAAACGAGAGAGACAAATAATTAATATCTTCTTAGCTCCTCTTCCACCTACGATTTACCTACGGTACGCTCCAGGATTGCAAGCCTTCGAACGTGCGGTTAGAAATTATTTTTAAAGAGAGCAGATATCACCAGACGTCCCAAAGACTCTAGAAACAGCGACGATCGACCAGAGAAAGGAGACGAATAAAAAGAAATAATACAAGGGACAACTTTTAGCTCCCTGGCGGGCAAACAGTACCTGGAGCGGGATCGAGAACGACGTCGGGATCGAGATCTTGATCTTGATCGCGACCTCGAGCTCGAAGATCGCGAGCGACGTCCACGTCTCTTGTCTTCTATCAGTCTGATTCTGCGTCCATTCAGCTCGGTATCGTCCAGTTTGTCGATCGCATTCTTCAGGTCCGAATACGTGGCAAACTCGACAACCCTGAAAATAAACTCGGTTAACCCCTGCCACTGGAAGCAACAATTTAATTTCCCCCCATCGGGGATATGATCTATATTAAATTACATAAAAGTTCTCTCACCCTTCGTTCCTTCGTTGTTTGTGCGCATCCGCGTATGTAACTTCGCCGGCTTGTCTCATGTAATCCTTTAAATCCTAGGTATCACGTAAAACTCTGAGTTAGTAGATGGCAACGCAAGGTCGAGCCGCGTTAACGTTAATTTAATTAATCGCAATAAGAGAAAATGTACTACGTTGTGTTCCTAATTGAAATTAACGCGGATATTAGAACTGACACTGTGCACTCGTACGTAATTGTATCCGTCAAACGAGATATATATATATCCATCCTACCAATGAAAGCCTACACCTGTATCGTTAAGAAGTCTACGTAAGTTACACGTGTTACAGTTAACACGACAGCAGAATGTGTTTGCGTGTGCTCGAATTTAGTATCGACAAACGAAGCAACCTTTCTTTATATGCAATTCAATCTTCGGAGAGACACATAAGAGATACATCGATCCTTTGCCCAGGACTGTTCTGCGGAGTGGAGCGAGTCCAAATGTTAACACTCAAAGGAAAAATATATAACGAGCGACTTAAAGCCACCATCGACTCGTCTGAAACCCTATCATCTCGCCCCATCTCCGCAAAGCAGCTAACATTTTACTTCAACTTATCATCCTACGCGAATATCTTGAAAATTTTCCATCGTCGACATAGACCAATCGTTACTCTAAAGTAACCAATAATTCGATGGATCAAATTAATGCCAACTAAGCGAGAGCGCGATACGAAGAGAAGCCCAAAAAATAAGCGTTTCCTCGACTAACTACTAACTGACGTTTAAAATCTAGAATCTAGGATTGCCCGTCGGAATCAATAGAAACGCAGCATTTAACGTTTGACTTTACATTCGTTTACCTACAAAGCCACTACCACTAAAACTCGGAATCGCCCTCTTCTCCAGTTTTACTCAACATTCGCAAGGTTAAAACGTAAACTCTAAAATAAAATGTTACTTCTAAGTAAAAAAAAAAAAAAAAAAATAAATAAAAAAGATATCCCGTGTACTCGCGCGCATTCCTCCCAATACTTCCGGCCTAGAATCTGGAGATTAAACTACTTCCTCAACGCGTACCTAGACTCGCATCGCAATGAATCTCCCCCTCGGATCCTTTTTTTAACCGCGAACCCGTAAAAACGGAGCAATCAAAATTATCCCAAACAAAAAATATCCCTGGTCCATAAACCTGCGACAAGACGCGCAAAGCACACGGAGGATCGAAGCAGATAACGTCGACACCAAGATAACACCTTATGTATAAACGACAAGGTCTGAAGCCGGAAGCAGCGATATCACTCTCGACCTAATCGTCATCTTTGGAGGAAGGGATGACCCGTCGAGCCTTGCAACGTCTTTCAGGCCATCGGGGGCGAAAGCGGGTACACAGTTCCTCGTATAACATCGGTCTAGGTATCCAGGTCGAAGCCTTTCCCTGCCAACGGGTTCCGTCTTCCTCTAGGCGATCCTTCCGGAGCAGGGTACCAGGAGATAATCCATCGGGGGTGCCGGGCGTTCCTCCCTTAGGTATCGGGCAATAGGCATTCTCTCCCCTTTTCCGGTCCATCCGATCGTATCTATCATCGTCATCGTCGTCATAGCCATCATCGTCATCATCGGGTAGGCGATGTTCGCCCTCAGGTGGGAGCCGGGTACGGCTTTGCGTAGAGGGTAGGTCAGGGATGTCGAGGCCTCTCGAGCTAGCGATTAAGTTCGCCGTTCGTCAGCTTTCTAAAACCGGGTCGATCTCGTCCGTTCCTATCCCTGTTCTGCAATACCGGCCAACGACGACAAGAGTCGGTGCTTAAATCGTTAACCAGATTATAAAGAGGCATCGAAATTGTCTTGCATAAAGAAAAGTTGACCCCGCGAAATGGCGGCAACCTCTACGGGGGGAGCAACGGAAAAAAAGGAGAGAGAAATAAAAAAAAGTATTTAAAAAAAAAAGAAAAAAATAAGGGAATCTACCGCGAGCCAACGGAGAGCGCCGCGACGCGACTCTCGCCGCGTCGAGGAGGTGCGACTCTTTGGGCGGCTTCACGCGGAGAAAAAAAAAAAAAATAGAGATCCCGAGAGATATCTAATTTCGAGCACAGAGGGCAGAGTTAGTGGTTAATTCTCCTCTCCTCTCGTTCGTACGTATCTCCGCGAGCACCGGCCGCGCGTTTTTATCCCACGCTGTCCGAGGAGACGACGCTTCCTTCCACGTAGACCACGACGTAGGGTATTATAGACGAGAGTGTACGGACGCGTTAAATGTACTCGGACGATATATATGTATATATATATGCGAATATCGATGAATATTGAATATATATAAATATATATCCGAAGTGTGATACTATATAGATTACGTCTATAAGTGAGAAGGTAGATATATACATATATCTAAAGAGTACACTCGGTTAAGGTGACGCATTTACCTTGGGCCCAGGCACCACCTTGCTTACGGACAGAGAGAAAGCCCAGACACACGGTGCTTGCTCGGGTCGAACGGATCAGTGTGGCGTAGACGCGGATGCGTGCGGTTCGAGATCGGCCCGTGTGTTCGTGCCCTCACGGGTGGCCGCTGCCTGATTTAATAGACGGCTAGGCTCGGTGTCGGCACCGCTAGCGATACCAGTCGTTCTTGTAGTGCCAGTAGTTATGACATAAGTGGTACAAGTGGTAAAAGAGTCACAGGAAGAGATGGAAGACAGAGAAGAAGGCAGAGTCGGGCAGCGTCGCCGAGGCGCGTTCCTCCTCCTCGTGGCTCGGGGTACCAGGAGGGGGCGGCCGTCGATTCGGTCGTCGTCCGGTCCGGGTCCGATCGAGGCGCCGATCGGCGACGCTGCCGGCGGGGGAACCGGTGACGAAGCGGCGGGATGGCGACGAGACGGTAGCGTGAAAATGGCGGTGAAGCGAGAGCGGGGGAGGTAGTACGATGGCGGTGAGACTCGTCGGCGAAGAGTGTATTCGTTGCGATACTCCGTGGTAACGATGCCAGGTAACGGCCGTAACGAAGAAGGTAGAACCGGGTGGACGGCTTCCCAACGGGCACGGCGTCGTGGCGAGAGGATCGCAGAGAGCGTTAACGACCTATCCGCCAGGGTCTCTCGCTAGGTCTCACTAGGTTTCACTAGGTTTCACTAGGTTTTCACCGCGTTTCCCAGGATAGGCGGCGGTAGTAGCGGGCAGGCGGGCGGTAGGTGCACCCAGTGGTTCGCGGCTCTCCCTCTCCCTCTCTCCCTTTCTTTCTCTCTCTCTCTCTTTCTCTCTCTCACCCGGACACCTCGGAAACCAACCTGGTGCCACTTGACCTCAAGGAGGGCCCCTCGCGTGCATCGTCATCTCTCTATCATCGCGCATCATCGGTCTATTGGCCCTACCGGTCACCCCTCCACGGCGAAGAGGACATGGCTCTTCGGAAAGAACATCAATTTTATTGTTTTTCTCAACTGCTGGCCGAACGTAAATTAAATGATAAACAGATAAAGCAATCGATCGAAGAATTGACTATCGATCGACCGAGAACGACACTACTCGTATCAAAAGGCAACCAATTATCGAAAAAGACAATTAACGGCCGCGAAATGTAAATTGATCAAGTAAGACTTGGGTCGTCGGTGGCATTGCCCTCTAGACTGTCCGCGTCCAGGCGTATCGCTCGTCTCGAGAGTGGGAGACCTCGAGGATGGTTAAAACCGCCTCCTGGTATTTCCCCCACGGTCCGTAGGTCCCGATTCCTCCTCCTTCCTCGTAATAGCCCTCTTTCGCTCGCATAGGTCCTTTCGCCCAGTTCCTCGGCTCCGTCCAAGTGCATAGGTACCCCTCTTCTCGGCTCGACCTCTCCTCCGTCGATTTATCGAGTATTCGTCCCCTGCTCCTCCTCTCCTAGGCTCCGTCCAAGGTCGCGTGCATCCGTTACGGCGCCTCTTTTTTTATGCCTCTTTTCCCTTTGCTCTCGTATATCGCTTCATCGACAGTTCTTACTACAGACATCGTTTCTTCCCTATTGCCACAGACTTACTTGATCAAAATGTACATCTTTCGACTCGACCCGAAGATCGTTTCCGCGGATAAACGAACTTAAAAGAAAAGAAAAACCCAATAGAAACCATTAAATACTAAGAATGGCGTCCATGAGTTCGATTCGACTCGATAAACGACGTTAAGGGTACGAGTACCGTGCGAGGAATTGACTTAATTTTTCTTTTAAACTCGAGCAGCAATCAAGCTCATGGAAATACTGTTATGCGAGTTTAAGGGGCAAAGGGTGACATCGTAACTTACCTGCCAGCTGACTCGGCTCGACAAATTCTCTACGGTGAGACGGTATTCCGTCCGGGTCGGCGGTCCGTATCTAAAAGAGAAGAAATCCGATTAAATCACCCGCCGTAATCATCGTCCTAGAGTAATGCAGGTTTGTCTTGGACCTGACTTAACGTCGATGCAAGAAAGGAAATCATGAACGAAAGAAAAAAAAAAAAAAAGAGTTATATAAGTTGACGCGAGGTAGTAACACCACCAACGGAAAAGATTAAAATTAATAGGACGTAGTTGTATCGTTAAAGCGTAACATTAGATGTATGTACCTGGGCAATGATTGCTTGTAGCTAGATGCAGTCCTTGTGTTTCTGTTCACACTATCTCTGCAAAAAGGGATGTCATGTGAACAGAAATAACGGAACGGTGATTAAGTCTTCGCAAATAACTACAGATCTGCACTCATTGCTCAGGCATACGATCAATCACCTGTTCCAATCGAATCAAATCTACTGTAAATGCAGCAATAGCGTACCTGTCGTGTCGCATATCGTCTCGGCTGTAACAAACCAATACAGAAAACATATCTATTAGTCGCCAATTACATCTCATCGCCTCTCACTCTCTCGCTCGTCGACGAGCTACCCGGAGTCTCTTTCGCTCGTAGGTAGCGAGGACCATTTTGGGAAGGCACGTGGTACCAGGCAGCTCGATGTTAACGTATCGTTATCGTTAGGCCGACGACGCGACTTACTCGGGAGAGCAGTCAAATCCAAGACAACCAATTTAGAAAAATAGTTATATACCATTCGGGCGAACCAACTTATCTCCCGGTAAGAGACAAGCTGGTCGCGCCCGATCGTTCGTCGCTATGCTTCTAAAGTACGGTTTCGTCTTATTCGACGTTACACCGTTCCCCGTTAAAAGTGGACGTACGAACTCGTAGACGGTCCGTTCCGCGCGCTCGCGTGTCCAGTTAACATACGTCTAGAATTTCCAAGCCTTCCTCGAGAACGCGAAACGTCGACCACGTGTCGACAAGTTTGCACGTCCTTAGTACACATCCCGAGTGATCTGGTTTCGCAGGGGAGAAGGGGGATTATAATCGGATCGATAAAATAAAAAAAAAGGATAGCGTGTCTTACGCAGATCGCCTCGAGTCCCCATAACCACCACGGGAGTCACCATAGCGCCACTGGTCACTACCCCTAGGTGTCCCCCGGGCCCTCTCTACAGTAATTCTGTAACAAGACACATTGGATATGCTTACTTGTCTCTCCAGGAGCGTGAGCGCCCGTAGCCACGGTCGCCTCGCCTCCCTGAAACACCCCGTGCTATCTCCACCGCCACTCTGAAACACACCCAACAAAACCCCGCCTAAGTCCACGACTGATTCTTCCGCTAAACCTGCTTCCCACCTCCATTTCTTTCGTAGCTCCCGGCTTTTCCCTCCTCGGCTATCGAAACATTGCCCGTCTCTTTTATTAATTACCCCGCTAACCTACCTCCCGCTTGATCATTATTAAAACCCCCTCAAAGATTCGCTGCCTCATCGAATTATCGCTATTAGAAAGCGCGCGCATTTAAAACGAGATCAGCTGTAAACCCGGCATCATGAGGCAATGGATCTATCCGATGGTATTAAAAAACATTGCTGCATAAAATCGGTACACGTCATTATATCGTTTCATTCAAATAGCTAACGGAGAAGTTGTATAAAAAAAAACATCAATATTCACCATCATTTAGATGAGGTTATTTCAGATATAATTTGTCATGAAATATATGATAGGCGATATTCCTGGATATAAAGTCATCGATCTATGTGAATGTAATAATCGCGACGAGACATAACGAATATCAGATGAATCTTGCAGTTAATTAATTCGTTTCTTCATCGGGGAATTGATGGTAGTAGTTCAAAATGGCGGCTAGCTGTGTCAATATCGAGGTGAATATCAACTTAAATCATTGTACGTTTTCATTTTCGGGTGATCAAACAGCATCTGAGTTCTGGTTAAATACCAAAATGCTATTGGATTAACTACGTTAAAAATTATTCACAAGCAATTCTCAAGTACTAAATGTTACTCGATCGTGTATGGTTTGCTCTCGTGAATTCATTTTAACGAGTATGCCTTTAAGAAAGCTAATCATAATTACAGGACCACGGTTATCTTCTATATTTAAAAAAAAATATATGCAAAGTACTGGAAAAAAACTGTTGAAATTTATGAATCTCTTTTAAATGCACCCATCAGAATAAAACACGTTTCAGGGTAACATTTTATGGAATTTAAATAACATTTCCTCAACATTAATATCTATAACTACATTTAACCGTCGATGCTGCCGTTCCTGTAAAATACAATTACACTTCTTTATAAAAGTATTCATAATTCTAAAACTCAGACTTTGATTGACTAGCTCGAAAATTCATCAGATCACTCATCAATTTTTCTCCATTATACCACAAACGCCCCCAGTCATTACCAAAACACCACCATATCGTGCATAAGCATACATCTCGAGCAACTGACATAGCTACGTCATAAGTACTATTTAAAATTAAGCGTTGTTAGTACATGGTCAAGCGTTTGCAAAGAAAATAATGAGTATGTTTTGATACCGACGACCAGTTCAGAGAAGCTTTGTAATTTAGCTGTATTAATAATGTAATGGAAAAAAAAAAAATAAGCATGTGTTGTAATATTATGAATACAACTTGACCGTGCATAACCATTTCTACCTCATACAACAAAAAATTCAAACAATGCATATATATACACCTGCAAGATACATATCTGGTCTGAATTACCTTTCTCCTAAAAGCTCCTTTCCATTAAGCTCATAGACGGCATCATCTGCATCCCGATAATCATCAAATTCCTAGAAAACAAACAATTTCCTTAGCCCGTTGGAACAAAATAGGTGTCTAGCTAAACGTAAAGTAGTAAATTCATCATTTGTGTCTGATGCCGATTTATCTCCATAAAAGAGAATATTTCTTTCATATACTAGAAATTATATTAACCTTAAAAACACTTAAACATTATGAATCATGTTGACTTCCTAAATTTAAAACATATACTTACAACAAAGCCGTAGCCATTCTTGATAAGCACATCGCGGAATCTCCCATAACCTCTGAAAAATCTCTCAAGGTCTCTTTCCCTGGTGCCGTATGGAAGTCCACCGACATAGACCCTTGTCCCTACCATACTGTAAAGAAAAGAAAGAAAAAACAATTGTATTACCCTAAACTTACCCTGAAAGCAAATCGATTCTTCATAACAACCTCATTGATTTTACCATATTTCCAAAAGAACTTTTCAAGATTATGCTTTCGCCCCCCATACATTTATCCACCAATGAATATTCCGATACTCATTCTTAAAGAGAAGTATAGGTCACGAGTGTTCACTTCATTATACAATTTAAAAACTAATGACCTTGAAAGATACAGGTACCGATACCGTTCAAGTCACAACGTAACTAATTACATATGACTTGTACTTTTATAAAATGTACGCAAGTAAATAATTTAGATTCACGTTCTTTTTACGAGAAATTTTGATGAAAAAAATGGCGGGCTCGCGCACTGAGCCGGCTTCTCTAACCATTGCTTAACGCCGCGTTATGGATTGCAGAAATATTGGTAAATAGCAATAAGGGCGGAACTGGAAATCAGGAAACAACGGACGTCTTATTCGAACGAGCGACACTTTAAACCACGTATTCCCTCGATCTGTTTATCTCGATTGTTCCTGCTTGCTAAATAATTCGAAAACCAGAATTATAACCTCAATCGCGGTACAAGACCGTGGGCACGCGCGCTTACCGTTACGCCCGATTTGGACCGAGTATTCGTATGACGTGGAACGTAATGTCCGCGATGCTGCACGATATCGATGCAGGTAATGCTTTCTCGTTTGTAAATATTCGATTTAACGTTCAAGGAGTGGTGATAACAAAATGGAAAATTCCGGAAAACCGAAGCCCCAAGGATCGCATTAAAGTATAGGGAGATGGAACGCGATGTCGAGGATCGAAGAAAGGTTGCATTCCCGGTTCTCTCGCTACACGATAAAAATGAATGGTTTGTAATCGTATACTAACTCACCTGAACAGTCGAGAATTGAAGCACGCTCGTTATACTCTTTCTCGACAGTAATTTTCGCAGCGTAACTACAGAAATTACTAGAACGAATAACAATCGGCGTCTAAGCCAAGAGGCAATATGGCGAGGCCGTAACGACGGAAACAATACGGGGCACACTCGACCAACTTCACGGAGGAGTCGGGGCTTAATCTCCACCTCAGGCACACCAGAGACGCGTACCTCGGTCATTTCCGACTATCCTCGACTATCTCCGGAATCCGATGTTTGCCTTGCTTTCTTTGCTTACCTGTTTAACCGCAATATGAACATTATTATTATTCATTCAATCCCAAAAATTCTTATTTAAATTCGTGTATTTCTCTGACATTGCAATCTTCAACTTTTTTTTAAACTTTTATAGTAGAGGACAATTTCAAATTCTATTCCGGACTTTGACTAACGCTGTCATCACAACCGCGTCTTTCAAAGTCCTCGATCTCACTATCGAATGGAATCGAGAGTGATCGAGAGTATCGATGATCACTGCGCAAAATTGTTTTCGTCCACATTTCGAAAAATTGACTGAGAAACATGTTGGACCAGTGGACAAATTTTGCGAATTCCTGAAATCATTACAAATTTTAACAAGAGAACCTCGAGCCGGCTAAAAGCCATGTCCTCCGTCAACTATTTACCATTCATCGAATTAAAGACGGGGCAAGTCGCAGACGCTTAGCATGTGAACGAACGTAGGTTATGTTTGTTGATAGTAACTGGGTGATGCTGAAATAACGATCGAGAAGCCAAGTGTTTTGTATCGGAAACCTAGGAAACCTAGGAAACCCGAAGAAGCGTCAAACATGTTCAAGAACACATTTCAAAGTGGATTTCTATCTATTTTGTACAGTATTGGTAGTAAACCGTTACAAATATGGGACAAGAAGGTACGAAACGGTCATATAAAAAGAATCACTGATAATGATATCCAAAGTTTGGTGCTCGAAATACTTGGTAGTAATGTCAGCACCACTTACATTACTTGCCCTGCCGATCCGAGAAAGACATTAGGCATAAAACTGCCTTTTTTAGTGATGATCATCAAAAACTTAAAGAAATATTTTACTTTTGAAGTTCAGGTAAGGTTTCTTTTAAATGACTCATTTAGACTTAATAAATTATAATTTCTTTTTACTATATTACTTTTGTATTCCTTCAGGTGATCGATGATAAAAATGTACGACGGCGTTTTCGGGCTAGTAATTATCAATCGACAACAAGAGTCAAGCCATTCATTTGTACAATGCCAATGAGGTTAGACGATGGATGGAATCAGATTCAATTTAATTTAGCGGATTTCACGCGTCGTGCTTATGGGACAAATTATGTGGAAACACTAAGAGTCCAAATTCATGCGAATTGTAGAATACGCAGAGTCTATTTTTCTGATAGACTATACTCGGAAGATGAATTACCAGCAGAGTTTAAATTATTCCTACCCATTCAAAACAAAGCAAAATGTTGAAGACTCGTAAGAATATCATTCTAATACCATGCACTCCTAAAAATGAACTTCTTTATTAAGTTATAATTCATCACTAATAGCACAAGGTATATATTAATTTAATTCGGTAATAAAGTTTTAACCTAATGGTCATTTCCATAGTGTTTTCAATATGTATTCTAAGTCATAGCAGTAATAAGAGAATTACTGATAAAATGAAATTGTGAATAATTTGGTAATTATTCACTGCTTTTACTGAATCAAAGATTTTTAGAAGTTGTTGTCAATATATCCTTAAACATGTTTACCGCAGCACGAAATAAACATTGTGCACTACTAACATTATGGACTTTTGAATTTTTTATAATGGTCTTGAATGTGCCTGTGGAATAATACATTAATAACATTCAGTGTATCGTATTTATCTGAATGTACAATAGTATCAGAATTGTTCGTTCTTTTCTTAGCACTGGATAGAATGCATTTTGCATGACCAGGTGAATGAAGTTTAATTTCATCATTGACTTTTTTCTGTATGGATTTTACTTCAGCTGTAAAAACATATGAATTGGAAGGACCCGATGAGACATCTTGGATACTTTTAATCATATGTTGCACTTCTTCTAGTGACCTACAATTATTTAATGGTTTTAAATATGATACAACAGCATTCGGTTCATTCTTAAGTTGCATACACATTTTATTGCTCAAAGTTAAAAGTTGTTTCTTTAACGATGCATGCACTTCTGGAGGGTTAATTGAGCTAAGCCCAGTGCCTTTACTAATACATTGCCTTTGAGTTTCAATGAGTTTTCCCTGACCATAGCAGTTTCGACGATTTATAGAATTATAAATAGACAATTCTACTTCAGTCATAGTCAGGCCTTTTTTTCTTAAATTATTTAAAATAATCTTATTTGCAAGATGCTGTAATTTTAGAAAATCATTTACTGCTGCATCAGTGGACAATGCTGTATTTTTAGGATTTGCCTCTTTAGGATTTGCATGCACCTCTACAAAAGGTGGAATAATGTCAGGGACGTCCACTATTTTTTTTTTCTCAATTATAGTGGAGTTCTTAAGATTTGGACAATAATTGCGTAATTGTTCCCTAATTCTTTGAACTTCAGTGATAATGTTCTTTATTGATTTAACATCTTGTTGCTGTGGTTTATCTCCATTTGTTTTCTCTAAATGTTTCCAATTCCTATTGCTTGTTACCATAGCAATTTGCGTCAATCTTGAAGGCAGTTCGTCCTGCTGGGGAATCACAGTAGTTTGGGGCTTAGTTGCGGAAAAATGTAAATCAGTAGAATTTGGATTTTTATGTCTGACTTCATTTTTATGATTTTTATAGTTAGTTGCAAAATCTATTAAATAAGATTTGTCATCACCACTCTTTTCATGATATGTATAAGGCCACTCTTTGAAAATACGACCCGAACTCTCTGGTTTCTTCTTCATAAAACTTTCATTAATTTGCATCTGTAAGTACTGACTCTTCTCTACGTGTGGAAATGACTCTGCTACATTTTTATCTCCTTTTAAGTTTGTACACACGTCATCGACTAAATTAATTTGTTCTTTATCTTTCTTTTTAAGATGTTCTCCTCTCAATTTCTCTTTGTCATTAAAAGTTGCTGATTTACATTTTCTCTTATTTTCATTATTTACAGTAACGTGTTTCGAGTTATGATTAATCTTTGTTTTGCACAAAGTATGTCCAATAGACGGATTGATATAATTATTAAATTCATTAATGGATCTAGAATAACTCGACATAAATATCTTATCCGATTTAGATACTGAAGTGGAATTATCGATAGCTCCTTGATTTTCGAGTGCAGTAGAAGCAGATATAGTAATTGAAATATTACTTTTTGATGTAAAACATTCCAAACCGAATGGTTGCAAAGGTCCTATCAAAATTTATATATACAGAAGCAGTTGCACAGAAAGGAAAAATAAGCTGATTATTTATTATTGTAATTCAACCAGTATACTAAATACCTGTATACGATTCTTCCGTTTGACAACATCTCTCAACTAAATGAATACCCCATTTCAATGAGTACATATCAAAAAAGGCTTGGCATAGTTCAATAGGTGTTTCGTTGCAATTATAATGACGATCTTGCAAATATATCCTCCGCACCCGACAATTGGGATAGATTATTATTTTTTGTAGTGCACAGAAGTCCACTTTAAACGTATTATGACATAACGATTGAAGATTTAATTCCAAAATGTTCCATCCTTCTTCTAAATTTAGAGCTAAGCATGCAAAATGTATATTTATGATCGGCAATTTTTCATGATCATACGTAATTAAGGTAATTTTTCGACGTTGCTTTTCTTTATCTATCAACTGAAACAAAAATGCAAATTTTAACGGTATGCAAGGATTTTAATCTTATTTAAAATGTGTGAAATACGATCGATGAAATCATCGATTACGGACCCGATAACTATACTTACCTGAAAATCTACTTTTAATTTCAGTTCCAAATTTTTAATGATTAACACAAGAACAGGGAGTTTAATACGAAGAACGTCCAATGGATTTGCTGGACAACAAATATTCGTAGGCACTGATGTTTCATGAGGTCCCATTATTTCGATAACCTTATCTCCCTGTAACGCTTCATCTTTAATTCTACGAATTCTTCCATCCAAAGAAACGTGTTTCGACCATAATTCTAACGGTCTTTCTCCGATACTATACAAGAGAGAGACAAATCCACAGGGCTGCGATCCCATCTTCAAGGCGAATGAAACGATATTTGAAAGTATTTAAAATCACTTATGTAAATTTAAATTCCTAAACATGCTCAGGATAAGATGTCATATATTTTCCTTCATCTTATGTATACCATAAGGTATACAAATTTTGTTGAAGTATTGCCATATTATAAAGGTTACCGATGCAATGTCTCAACGATGACAGTTTGGAGGTAACCCAAGCAAAGACAAAGGCAGCAATGGATCGCGAACGTTATTTACTCGACAGATCGTTTGTTTCCGGTCATCATACGCTTACGTTTAAACCTCGAAACGTGGGTGCACATTTTATTCGGATTTACCCGGGCTACTTTGGCCAATGCTCCCTGACAGCAAATTTAATCATCAGGAAAGCGAAGGAATGAAACGTCATCCTTGCGATATTTAATGACTCAACATTACACGTTCGAGGTAAACGAGTCTCGTGATAGATGCACGAAACATACTCGAATTTCATGAAATCTAGAGAAACGGAATTGAAAAACCTCCTGCGCGAGGGCTGCGGAATCGTCTAATTTGTCAGGCCGGAATAAAGCTCTCGCCCGGCCGCGCCGCCTCGCCCAACCGGAGCGCGACGACATTCGCACACATCCATCTTGTATTAATTGCTAATTATTAAGTATTGATTTTTTTAAACGGGGACGAGCATCGCGGGCGTCGGGGGAGGCCGCGAGTACCGGGGACTACTTGGAGGCCGCGCCGAAAAACGTACAAAACGTCGGCGCCCGCGGCGGAGGAACATCGGTCCGCCGAATGGCGGGAAAGCTTGGACCGCCTTCGGTATTTCGAAAATCGCGGCCGTGCCGAGGTGATTTTCCGCGGGGGCGGGTCGATCCGAGGGAGCCGAGGGGCCCGCGGACTCGCGGCCGCGGAAACCCGAAAGAATTTCCGCCGGAACGGGGAGTCAGGCCGAAATCTCGGCGGACCGCCGAAAGAAAATGGCGGACCAATTAAGAGTGCCGCGCTGATACATTTTATTCTTTATTTCCGGCTCGGGACGCGTCTCGGCGGTCTCGGGGAAACGGCGAGGGGCGACGAGTGGCGGCGAGCCTCGGGGGTCGAGAGACATCCCTCGGGGCTCGGGATCGGCGGGATTCGGAGGGCCGGAACCGGGAAAGGGTCTCGACGGGGCGCGGGGCCGCGCCGCGCCGAGTCGCGCCGAGCCGCGCACGGGATCCATAAATAAAACAATTGGTTATATACATATGTTTTTCAAATCGACGAATGCTATTATATATTTTGTATTGAGCACTCGTTTCGGGGGCCGACGCCGACGCCCGGCGCCGACGTCGTTTTTAAAGCGCGTCGACGGCGTCGGAGTAATCCGACCAATCCCGGGTCGTAAGTTAAGGAGATCTCGTCGCGCGGGGATATATAATCAACGCCACCCGCGGAACGGGCCGCGGGCTCTCGCGGAGGATGCACCGGTGAGGCGAGGCCAGGCAGACGACCGGCCCGGACGAGGGGATGCCCGCCAGCCCGTGAGGCCTCGCACCCGGGGACCGGCCCTCTTTTGAAATGGGCACGGCGGGCCGGGATTTCGAACGCGACCGCGAGGCCGCCCTGTGCAGGCTCTGCGCGGCCGATCTCGTCGGCGACGACGCCCTCCACATCTTCGAGGCCGAGGACGCCAGGCGACGCTACCTCCAGGCCAAGATTCGCAAGTACCTTTACCTCCCGGTGAGTGCGTACGTTCCGCGTGTTTACGCGCGCCGGGCTCGCGTTTCGAAAATCGAGATCGCGGCTCTTCCGCTTCCGACCCGACGTCGCGTCGGCGAAAGGCGTCCGTCGACGAGGTTATGTTCGCGGGAATCGGACGCGAATCGGCCGATCTCGAAGACGCGGAGGGACGTCCTGAAATCGCGATCGCTATTTTTGCGCCATTACGAGGAAAGGAGATTCGGCGTGATATAAATGCGAACGAGAGCTTTCCAAGGTGTCCAGGAAACGTTGAAGTGAAATTACCGGTTTCGAGAATGCTTCGCGAACGCGCGTGACGGGTGCCTGGGGAAAAATCGCGGTGAAGGCAGATACCTGAATGCGGGATATTTTGCGTGTTTTAACGAGACGTGCAAAATGGCAATCATGATTTCGGGTCGATTTCGATCGCAAATTCGAGATGGAATTCCAAGAAGCTTTGAAATCCATTATGCGAATCTAAGTGACACCCTAGATATATCGTTGACCAGGCGTCGAGCCAATGAGGAAACGAACGCGAATGCTGGGCTAGTCTTACGGTAACCATTTTATAGCGAGATGTAAAAGTGTTAAAAATTAGCATATTATTGATTGCCATGAGTACTTTACTGTATGCGCTGTACGAGAGTGCGCGGCTATAAATATAATTGGCGATAAAACGTCAGAGGATCTGCCCGTGACGTTTCTCGGGACGTATGTACAGGCGAATTATGAAATAACAGGAAGCAAATAAATATTATGCAAAATGACTTCTTTTCGTAGGAGGCTGTTTATGAAATATTCGATACCTTTTCAGGTCGCTTCTGAAGATAAATTACCAAAGATGGTTTGTTCAACCTGCGTTAAAAGATTGGAGGGAGTTCATCGGTTTGCGACGATGGCACACCGAACGCAAGAAAAATTAAGATTACAATTGTATGGCGTCTTTGACGATATTACCGCTCCTCGAGATGTGGACACCGATAAGCAAAAGGATCCTCAGGATACCACAAAGAAAATGGAGGACCGAGGACTGTTACATTCCATATTAACTAAAGTAAATACTCTGCAGTTGAGTTATTCCATAATTTCATTCATAGCTAATAACGCTACTTTTATGAACTCTTTTTGATTGCACAGGGGGCAATAGAAATTTTAACAGAAGGCGAACCATTGGGTCCATCGACCTTACTTACGCAAGATGACGACCAGCATGCACTTAATATGGAAGAAATGGAAGTTAAAGTCGACCCGATGCTGTTTTTACAGTGTGGTTTGGAACAATCATCCTCTGAAATGTCAGATACTTCTGACACGGAAGAAAAAGTGACAAAAGCGCGTTCTCCGGAACCTCTGCCTCTTATAAACAAGTTCGTATTTATTATGGCACATAATTACATAAATGAAATGCAGGATTCAATAAGTATCGTTTCACTGCACAGGAATTATGAAATTAAGGAAGACTGTGGAAAAGAAATAAAGCCATCGGAAGAAAGTGAGGAAGATGTATCGAATACAACAACGAAACCGCACGAATGTACGATCTGTGCAAGATCTTTTATATCGCAAATCGGTTTGCAAAATCACTTGTGGTCCCATTTACCTACAGATCGACGGTTCGATGGGAAATCGGTGTTAAGGTCGCAGCAAGTGTATTCTGCTAATGGAGTTCTGCATACGAATATTGATAATAATTCTACAGGAAATTTCGTATGTCCAATTTGTAGTAAGAGGATTTCTACTAAGGGAAACTTGAAAGTTCATTTGGAAACTCATCGGCCTAAAGGAAAGTACGGATGTGACATATGTGGTAGAATGTAAGTGATATTAATTAATAAATCAATGTAATTAGAATTTTTAGATACCACTATTTAATGAGTGCAATTATATTTCAGCTTTAAGACGCAGTCTAATTTGTTTCGTCACAAGGAATATCATGGTGGTATACAATTCCCATGCAATGTATGTGGAAGAGTATATCCTACTAAATCAACTTTACGAGCTCACAGTATTACTCATTCCAATCTCAGGCCGCATGCGTGTCCTCTGTGTGATAAAACTTTTAAAAGGAATCAGGATTTGAAATTTCATATAAACCAACACACAGGTGCTAGGCCTTATCAATGCCCTTACTGCCCAAAAGCATTTGCCAGCTCAGGTAATTGTTTTTCTCACCGAAAGCGTATGCATCCTCGAGAGGTTCATCGGGACAGGCAAAGGGCCGCGGATTTAATGAGATGAACCATGGGGGATCGATTTGAGGATTGGTTTGATGCTCAGCAATAATTGAAGAAATTGTATGCGTATGCATTAGCGTTATTGTTAAGCACGAGGTTTAATTTTTAAGATTCGCGGTGCTAAGAATTAAACCACGGTTTGAATGTTACCATTAATCTACAGTTTGTTTAAGCTCTACGTAAATACGTTATTTATTGAGATTCCATTCGTTTTACATTTCTTGTGATTTTTATTCTCTCTAATATCGTTACTGTACTTAACGACAGAGGGACTATAAATAATATCGATAGTTTTATAAAATCTTCCATTATTACCGGCATTACCGGTGAGAGTAATACCGATACATATTTAACATTACAAACTAATAGAAGATTTCTTCAATATTTTAATTTCTCTTAAAACCAATTCTTAATTTATTACTACATTTTTATTTTTTCCTGCCAATATGATTCTGTGATACTTTAATTATGGTATTAATTCTGGCTATGAAGCAGTTTATTGTAAGAGATTGCGACGTGAAATATTATTTCGTGAATTTAGACTGTGTACTTACGAAATCATAGGCGTGCTTTAAACTGTAGTTGGAGCTTAACGACGTGTTATTTTGCCTCTATGCCAACGGATAATCGAAAGTGAATAGAAAATGTTGCAAAGCAGAACCAACTTTATACGTAGCGTGGGTGGTTTGTGAAAATATAAGGAGAAAGCGAGAACGGACGTTTTCCATATATATCATCGTCGACATTAAGACTGTATAGGGAAATCTCGTGTCAAATTGGAATAATAAGAACTCGCGTATGTAGGGTAGAGTGCCGTGATCGCATGTCACAACAAATAAATCTAGTTGTTACGAATTTAGTATTAAACAAGGACAAAGTAAAGGGTGTAGTTAGAATTATATACAATCGTATAACGTTATTCTTTTAAACAAGGTTGTACGGAATACATGTTAACTGAAGTCTGAATAGTTTTAGGGATTCGATAGTAGACTAAAGATTTCGTGTAACGTAGATTATAGACTGTGCTTCCGTATGATATACATATGCAGACATATGTGCCCTCGTGCCAATATAGCTGAAAGGACAATGGAATTTGTTAAGATATATTTAAAAATAAACGAGCATAACGCGAGTTATTACGTGTAAGCCATCGAGTAGCGCTGTTTTAACATATTTAAACAAAGTACTAGTAACTTGTTTTGCAATAGTTCACACAGATGAATACGTATTTTGTGATTGCGTTTTTTACCCCTGATAGAATAGTCGCTAGAATAGACATAAGTATACGTAGATGGTAAAGGTGATACCGTTAAAAATAATCAATTTTTGAACCGTAGAGATCTTCGAGATTTGACATCAGTCATTAAATCGACGCCATAGCTGTTAGTCTAATCAAAAATTGAATATTTTTTTAGCCGCCTACACACCAAAAATTAGTGTTAGACTAGCGAGTAATTCAGAAACGCCAAATAACGTAGACAAATATTAGACACTTGTTCAAACGACACGATATTTACATATGCAATTAAATGAGAATATACTTAAACTGTAAACGTAAGCAACGTGAAATTACACGACGTAATACAGTAGATTTATGGTGTTTAGTGATACTCGTGAAAAATCTATTATGTATGACACGTGCAATGTAAACATGACATAATTTGAAAATTTATTTCAATGATATGTACATTATCGAGTAATCATTTAGTAGGGATTATAACAATTTGGTAGGCCATCGAACATATCACCGGTAGCGTTATATAGTGTATAGTCTGCTACGACTCTGTATGCAACTCACGAGTTGTCCATACTATTAAAGAATTAAACGAGATTTACTTTTGATGCCCGCGCAAGGTGCTCCCATTTCGCATGCGCAGTTCACTAGGGGATGCTGGGTAATTCAAGATGGCGGCGCCGGTAAGAAAAAATTTAAGTTTTGAAAATGCGCTCAATTGCTTACAACGATGAAGGAGAGGAATGGATTAAAGAGAAAGGAAATTCGCGGAGGTGTTAATACTCTTTTTCTTGGCCTTTATGACGCTAGAGTACCTAGGCTACATGAATGTAGAAATTATCCCAGAGTAAGTGATACTCGATATGTACGGGATGGTTAATCAAGGTTTTAAAAAATTCCTATTTCGGAACTTCTCGTCGTTAAAATCGAACTGTTAAATCGGATGTCGGTAAACCGGAACGTTCTTCCAGTGAATAGCAAAACTCTTATTTTTATTTTGACAGATTACTCAACCTCAGACAACAAACGGATGAGTATTATTATCTTGTCGGATGAGTCTTGCTCAGTTATCCTAAATGCCCATATTTGAGTAAGTTAGATAAACGCAATTAATGCCAACATTGCTTGGAGGATACCTATTTCATTTGGTTGCGAAAGTAGTTCCATTACAGATTAGATAACGTGCATACATCGCAAGACCAGAAATAGCCGAATCATCAATGGAATTATCGCTGTACGTTTGGCCGTTGGTAAAGCCAACATTACATTGGCCCTGCGAAGGAAAAAAATCAGGATGGGACAGAGATCTGAAGATAATAGAAAAACGATAAAGAAATCGTGCCCAGAATTATGGACCTTGTAAGTAATCACGAGGCGCGCTGCTTTAAGTATCATTGATTGAGAAAATGACAGAAGGCGTGGAGCGTGACTCATCGCTCGAAAATAGAGCTATGCACGTACCAGTCGTGGACGATCGAACCTACGATAGAACTTCCAGCTTTTCAAGGTATCGACCTGGAAAAAAAAAAAGAAGAAAAACTTCAAACGAAGGGCATCATTTTCACAGTGACAAATTCATCGTCTGCGGTCGAGCGAGTATACTCGATGACACGACTGTGTCAATTCAACAATCCGGATCATACTATCGCTCTATGCATGTCACTTTATCGGTATCTCATTGTATTGCTTCTATTTCTACATAACTAAAACGCCGGTCAACAATAATTCTAAAGATTAAGAGGTTTGGCTATATTCGACATGATTTCGTCCTGCTTGGAGCACAGGCCGACTGTCGAGAAAAATGAATAACAGTATTCCGTAACAGCCTTATTCATAGATGACACGCATCTTCGCAAACTCATTCAAAGATCATATTTCAATACGGTAACCTTTGATTCGTAGTCTCGCTTGTGCTTAGCTTTCGATTGCGTGTCGAGACATTAAGATCCCATTAACGAAGCAATTTCATTATGGATAAACATCTATCGGAGGAAACTTCTTAATCTTCAAACGAAAAGGCCGAGTTTTAATTCGTTTCTAATCTTAACACTTAATCTCTACTACGAATTCTTAATCTTAAAAAAGACGTATTAAAAGGATTAAACGTCGCACGCGTCCCTGGGATCCCTCTTTGATCGTTTGTGACAAAATCGTCGGTCCAATTATACGAATGAAGTTTCAGATAACGTATCGATTAGCCGTCTTACTTGCGCCATCGAGAAAAATACATATCCCCCCCTGTAAAAAACCCTGTGATATGGAAAAAGATGACCAAAGGCTATCGTGCCATGGCTTGTGATAGCTTTTAAGGTTGTATGTGAATGATAATCGATTCATTAAGACATCTTCGGTAAATGTTTACGTACCTGTAACGATTCATGTATCATCTAAAAAGCATTGATTTTTTTTTTTCTAGGCAGTTTGAATATTTTTCGTCGGACCTTCTTGAAGAACTCCGAAGCGCCCACGCAAGAAGTATTCTCGGCGTTTTTTTAAAGTACTCGATTGTGTTATTTTTGGGTCAATTCGATAAGCCGAGTCCGCGTCGTCACATCGATCAGCTGATCGCATCGAACCGTTCCTCCCAACGATGGGTTTAGTGGAAGGCTCGTGTCGTTTAAAATAATCGTTCCCGTCCTGGTAGTACCTGGTACCTTTACTCCCGCGACCAATTGTACTATAAATATATACAACAGTCAGACGAAGCGCGATACCAGATAACATATTCTTTCTTAAGTCGACCGCAAATCTCCGATACCGCAATCATTTTGCACGTTCGCGTTGCACGTTTAAACGTATCGCTAGCCAATACCACCGCATAAAGTATCATCCAGGGAAATTCGTTTCTGCAAGTACGCAGATACTGTAAACGTTCGTGTCCATAAATTCAGAAGGCTGTTAGGAGAATCGTCAAACGAACTCGGAGGGAACTTTCATAAGCTGGGCAAGGTTAATGGAAGGTCGAGACGTACGACAAGACACGATTATTACGTCGGAGATCTCGCCTCGAGAGATTTCGCTTTAAAATTTGGGCTTTCATAAATCACGTACCCTTCATCCGTGCATACACAACTCGATATCTCGATGACAAGCGTGTAACGCGCTTGAATTAAAAATACCATTTTTGATTCACGTCCAATACCACTTACGCCTAAGGCGTGGTATCGGAAGTCCGCAATCGGATGCCAATGTTGTTAAAGAAACCTGTACCGCGAATGACGTAGTAGAATCTTTCTTTTCCTCTTGTACAGTCGCAGTTGAGAGACTGCATCGCTGGCGGTGCGTGTCGTACCTTCCTGCGGCTTGGAAACGCTTGGAAACGGTGCCCAATGGTGCCTATTACCTGAAACGCCTAAACGTCCTTCAAACGTTCCTATCGATCGTGAGAATGCAGAACTTGTGTATGTAATACCGTGGCCTATGCTGGCTTACTTCGAGTTCCCTCAGTTCTTCGTTAACTTGGATACGGTAACGCAGCGTAATCGGACCGGCTGCGCTTCTCGGTCGGCACAGTTCGGCTCGGTTCGGCTTGGTTCGGCAGTTTGCGCTCGACACCGTCGCGGGGCGGACCGTTGAATGTTTCGTTCCGACGTCGCAGACCTGATATCCGTATTATCGAGAGACGCGCCTTAAGCACCGATTAGTATCGTTGCGTGACATCGTTTGGTCACCACGAAGCGTCCTGTGCCCTGCCTTGCACGCTGCGATTATCTGCGCGCATCCCCTGGATCGCTATCAATTGCTATTGCACCCGTTACGCTTTAAGTGTTGAGGTTAAGTGCAGCGGTCCAGAGGTGACGCTCCTCTACTCGCGTCCGAAAAATCTTACATAATGTCCAATTACGAGGATACGTCGTGCTGTGACCGGCTCGGTCAAAACGCAGTGGTCCAGCCTCTCCTTACAGGTACTTTAGCATGGGTACTCCAGTTTCGTCGAGTTCTTTAAATAAAACAGTTCGACTAACCTTAAAATCGCGTTTTCGACCCAACATGACCTCGGGAATGATTTGTTTATTTCAAAATTTCTCGGTACCACGTAAATTAAACCGTCGTCAGTCCCCCGTTGAAAAAACTTCTGACATGTGGAAAATTTGTCGTTTGGTTTTAGATTTATATCAGATCACGATGGCATATGCATACTGGAAAAGTGGAAAAAAGGATGATTATGCCGTGTTTGATTTATTCTTTCGCAAAAATCCTTTCCAAGGTGAATTTACCATCTTTGCTGGTTTAGAAGAATGTCTTAAGTTTCTAGATAAATTTCGTTACTCCAAAAGTGGTAAGTTGTATAGAATAGATTTAAAGTTACCGTATCTTGTAACTTTTATTATTACCTATACTAAATGTAATTTTTCCTACAGATATTGAATATCTGAAATCGACGATGCCTTCGGTAGACCCAACGTTTTTTGATTACTTAAAAAATGTAACTACTAAGGAGGTAACTATTTATGCCATTGATGAGGGTTCCGTCGTTTTCCCAAGGTGAGATGTTTCCATAAGGATGAAAAATATTTTAATTTAATTAACCAGCATTTTCATAAATGATGTATCCACGTAAAGTTAATAATTAGTTTAATATTTATTCAAATGAACGCAGAGTACCATTGATGAGGGTGGAAGGTCCTTTAATAATGGTACAACTATTGGAAACGACCTTATTAACATTGGTTAACTATGCCAGTTTAATGGCAACAAATGCAGCCAGATATCGTATGGTTGCTGGATCTAAAGTTAAACTTTTGGAATTTGGCCTTAGAAGAGCTCAGGGACCTGATGGAGGACTTAGCGCGTCTAAATACAGTTATATTGGTAAGAGTGATATTACCGATCCTTAATACCTTTGTAACATGCAATTTTGATCGGTATATGTTTATCTAGTTGGAAGGCAAATAATAGGTACAATTTGTGAAAGTGTGTAATAGCATTGGCTTATTCATCTATAGACATCGACCATTTCGGTAAAAGTAAAATCAATAGGTAGCTCCAAGCGGTACCAGTGAGTGTCACCCTGCTAGCGTAGTTTCCAAGTTTAGTTAAATTTACCCTCCTTCACAAACTGCTTATAACAGACGGGGAACTAAACGTTCAAGAATTAATAATTAAATTCTTATGACATGAACTTATAGATTTACGTAGTAATAATTTTCTATTTCTAACTTTGTTTCTGTAGGTGGTTTTGATGGTACTAGTAATGTTTTAGCCGGTAAATTGTTTCACATACCTGTTAATGGAACACATGCACACGCCTATGTGACATCTTTTGTAGGAATAGCAGAATTACAAACGAAGGTATGGAAAATGGTTTTAACATCAGATTGTTTATAAAAACTCATCAATTATACTGTATTTGATATTCTTCGCCTTTTTCAGACTTTAGCACATAAACAAACTGGACAGTTACAAGACTTGTTAGCATTGTCTTGTAAATACCGTGATGCAATTGCTTCAGATTTGGAGGCATTAGTATCAGAAGCTTCTGACGGAGAATTGGCAGCCTTAATCAGCTTTGCAATTGCCTTTCCAGATGGATTTATGGCACTTGTTGATACCTATGATGTTAAAAGGTATTTTACTTTTGTTCTTAATTGGACACGCTCATACTGATATTTTTTGACATTTGAAAATAATTAAAAAATGGATGGTCTTATTCGAACATAACCAACCGGTACAATAATTGAAGCCTTAATACAGAATCTTAATGTGACTACATTTAGGTCAAGTATTCACTTGTGTGTGTACATATTTGCTCCAAATTGTAATGTAGTCTAACAGAATTATGTTTGTAGCATAGAAGCATCCGCCAAGCGACAACATATACACGGCCTAAATTTAAAAAATAAAATTATAACTAATGGGTCCAGTAAGCCTACTCAAAACAATGTGAGAAACAACCCGGTTGTATCTGAACCGACTCCGTCTTACAAGAATGGCTTTTTAAGACGAGGTGAATTGGGCGAGCTCTATGTGAGGTACGATTTTCTTGTGTTTGTCGGCTCATTAATGCCAGGAATTCTTTTTCCAATTTTTTGTTCCCCAATTATGACTGAATGCAATTGTGAGGTTTTTCATATTTTGGTTGTTCATCGAAAGCAGCGTGTCCATGGTATCGCAATCAAAATTCCTTGTTTTAATAGAACGGGAAACAATGTGTCTCCATAGCTCTGTCATATCATATTATCCATTAAGCACGGCATCGCAATGTAGTACCGAAGAATATTTTTAATGGGTGGCTTTGCTTTCGTTTCTACTTGATATGAGTATTCATATCGGACCTTATATAGTACCTTTCCCAATTCAACCACGGGGAAATATTTAGCTTCCTGTTCAAATCGTGTACATGCTTAAGTAAAAGAAAACCCTCGAAACATTTAATTTATTTTAAATCAAAATCTGTTATATTTACCGTGCTTAAAAATTCGAAGTTGCTTTATATTAGCAGTACGCTAGCACAATGTGAAGTACGTGCTAGTTATTATTTTATACAGATTACGTTAAACAATGTTTCGCTGTTTGTTTTTTAATTGCAACCATTTCAGGTAGAGAGCATTGCCATTTGTTCATGCATTCCATTCATGTACATGTCCAGGTCAATTTAAGTTCATTCCATATAATCGGTCCAATTGTTTTCATACGTTTTGTTCGCTTCTTTGTAAACGTTAATAGAAGCGGCTTGTTGAACTTCTGCGCGGTGGCGTTGGCTGTAACAGAGCTAGGATATAAGCCAGTTGGAATCCGAATTGATAGCGGAGATCTAGCTTACCTCAGTCACACTGCTCGAGATGTTTTTCAAAAGATAGCGGTTAAATATAATTTACCGTGGTTTGCCAATTTGAAAATCATTGCCTCGAACAACATCAACGAAGAAACAATCTTAAGTCTAAATGAACAGGTAAGAAAAATATTGGCAACTGCTCTCGTCTAGTCGATTGATAAATATATGCACTACTTCGTGTCAACAGTGGTTGTTTTATCAACGAATCGATAACGTTGAATTCCAATCACAAAAGCAGCCATTATTGCATGACACGTAAAATATTCTTTTATAAAAGGAAGACCTTCCTTAGAATCACAAAATCGATTGCTTCGGTATTGGAACGCACTTGGTGACATGTCAAAGGCAACCGGCACTTGGTTGTGTCTACAAGATGGTGGAGCTCAATTTCCAGCCAAGACTCAAGCTCAGTCAAGAAGTTGGCAAAGTTACTATGCCAGGAAGAAAAGATGCATACAGATTGTACGGTTCCGATGGACATGCTCTGATCGATTTGCTACAAAGGTCTGTCGAAGCTGCACCCGAAGTGGGACAAAAAGTTCTGTGTCGACATCCATTTGAAGAGTCTAAAAGAGCGTATGTAATTCCAACGCACGTTGAGGCATTGTACAAGGTGCGTAGCAAAATAATTTATAGGTTTGTGTTAATCTCATATATTTTTATAAAAATTATCTGATGTGTGTCGTAAAGGTCTACTGGAAGGATGGTAAAATATGCCGGCCGTTGCCAACGTTACATGAAGTTAGGAATAGAGTACAAGAATCATTAAAAACACTGCGCAGTGATCATAAGAGGAATTTGAATCCGACTCCTTATAAAGTAAGTAAAAAAAATAATTTATTTTTAAAAGCCATGAAATCCCAAATTAAGAAGTACGCTCTAAGAAATAATTCAATTTTGTGGGTTGGTTTCCTTCAGGTTGCAGTCAGTGATGATCTTTACAGTTTCATACACGATTTGTGGCTGCAAAATGCTCCAATAGGAGAGTTGTCTTGAAGCTTTAAATACTTGTCAAGTGAATGCCACGAGAGTTGACATTTTTGGTGCAGGAAGTTGTTTAGTAGAGCGACCTCTGCTCTTAGATAACTGGAGGATTTACAAGTCATCGAAAGAGAAATACTATGTCCGATATGATATCAAAAGGACGTATTTTAAAATGGATATTTGATTGAAAAATTGGTTTGTCGAAGCAAGATGGTTTTGCATGTATTTTTACCGAATGTATAAAATTCAAATTACTTACATGCAAGACAATGGTAACATGTACGTGAGTACGTGCGGTAAAAAATCATGCTTCGCGTTAAGAAACTCATGGGTCTAACATGTTTGATTATTGTGTCCTTTGGATTTTTTCTATATTACAAGTAAAGTTCTCAATGATGGTAAATAATAAGAACTTACCATCATAAATGAGGCATACTTGCATAATAGTTTTTATAGCAAAAGAAGTACAAACAAAATATTTACCCGCGTAAGGAATACGAATACTTAAAATATACATCCTGTAGCAATTAAATAACAAGATATAATATTTCCTTCCAAGGTCTGTAAATAAGAGTCGAAGAAGGCAATAAATTATTTGTAAATATGTAATTGATAATACATTTTGGTTTTTTTTTTCTTAGCGTAGTTATTATCTGAAATTTAGGAGAATATTTTGTCTTTATGATAAGGAACTGCAGTATATAAAAAATCATTACCGAAACATATTCACTTGCCTGAGTTTGTTTATTAAGATTATATAAAGAGTGCCGATTACGTAGCATAGTTATACACACAGTTATTATATATCTTAACAAAGTCCATAGTAGAAAGACGTCTAAAACCGTCTTAAAACGCGTATTTCTCCTGGATAAAATCGCGTCCCTCGTTCGATAGACCAATTTGAAGGGAAGAACCTTCCCCGTCGAGCTGCAGCGATAGCAGGTGCGAAAAAAATTCACCAGCAGCAGGGTAGCACGAAAACGGGTGGAATAGCATGGACCCCTCAACATAGCTTCAAACCCTATGTCACCTCAGTGCTCTAACAGGTGGCAAGTGCGTTAGCTGTCCGTATTCTCCGCCGAGGGCAGCACAGAACAGATGAACAAGGTGACTCAGCCGGGGAGCAGTCTTCCAACTTCTCTCTGGCGTGAATACCCCACATTCTCGGGAACACTAGCGCTACCCTTTGATTTGGCCGATCTAGGGATTTTAGCGTGCCTAGGGCTGGCTACACCAGCGGTACATACGGGAGGTCAGTGCACGTCACGCAGTTATTATCCGGAGGTGAGAAATTCGTGCGAATCTATCAATTGTAGGTGAAATACGTGAAATTCCTGAGATTCTCTCGCGGCGGAACATTGGGAAGTAGCGCGCGAGAGTCTCAGGTATCGGTGGAGTCGGTTATCTCCAGGGACCGATCGCGCGTTCGCCTCGAATAAACGCTGTTGCGCTTACTTTTTGCGGTTGCAATATTTGAACGTGCGAGGTATCTTTGCCGTGGAATTGGCGGCGTCCGCTCTCCTGCGGGAGAGACTAAACAGACCGCGCGGCAGGTTATGTCAGCTGGATTGGCAGGTGCCGTTTCAGATCAGGTCAGTCCGTTGACGTGCCTCGACCTACACCGCTGCGCGGCGAAATCCTCTACGAAGACAGCCATTATAAAATTTCTATATTTTTCCATGCTTTGGAATGCAGCGGATGAAAGGACAAGCTAACAGTCAGGGTAAGTACTCCTCTGCGCTCGAACCTTCGCCCGATTATCCTTTAAAAGACTCCGAGGATCTACCCCTTACCGATCGTTTGCCCGCTTGGATTTTTATAGCTAACCGACTTTCCGCTCAAAATATTCCATGTAGACAGTTATCTTTTGCTCGCGATCTCGCTCCCTTGCGTTGAGTTTCGTCAATTTCTTTGGTTACAAGATACTGTTTGTTCTCCAGCTGTGTCAAAATGAGCACCGGACAAAAAATGTGTTTTTTTTTTGTTGACGGCCAATGACTTCTTCGTCTAGATAACATTTCGATCCATTTTGAAGTATGTTTCCATCATATTTTAATACATTTTAATACCGTAGTTAGCACGAGGCATAGAGAAAGTATTAATTGCAATTGATTGAAGCCTGAGCGAATATCGTAATACCGCTCTCTTCTATGTTAAGAGCAACTTGCAGGTGGAGTCTATGAAGCTTGACACAACAGTCATTAATTTCAGTTTTAATGAAGTCCGACGAATTAAGACAAAAAAAAGCCAAAGAATGCAAATTGTAACGTAGCATCTCTGTTTATAAAACAAGCACAGTCTTATATTATGAATACCTACTAATGACAATTACGGGAGAAATATGTAACGTTTGAGTTCGATAATTATCCAAGTTGAGATCTCTTCAAGATCTGCCCACAAGTACGGTATTTAATTTATCTTAACATAAACTATCGTCACGTTTCCAGTAAGCAATGGTCCTAAGGAGCATCAGCAGCAGCAACAACAGGCAGAGCATGCAGGTGGAGAAGACACCGGGTTCGATTCTTGGAGAGGGGGCAACAATACTCAGCACCATTCCAGCTACCCGATTGGAACGGGCGATCCCTATAGCCCTTACTATGCAGGAACGTCCTTTCCATACCAGGCATTTGGAGCCGGTGATGGAACGTGGTCAAATGGAACGGATCCGGTTGCATTCTTGTCTGGATACGGGGGACAAATAGGACACGATGCTTACGGCATGGATGGTATGTTTTCTGCCAGCGCCGGTGGTGGGTTTGGAACGTTTGGTCAGCCAGCGTTCAATTACTTCCATGGTAACGGAGACTACAGTACTTGGGGAACGCCAAGGAAAGCTCGTTACGAGGATTATTACCAACAGCCTCGGGGTAACGAGAACTATCCAACTCCGGGTGGAGCGGATATGAAAACTATAGAACAAAGTGTGCAAGGTTTATCCCTTGGTAGTGGTGAAATTCCTAGGCCGGATCAGCAAGCGCCTCAAAATCCTCCGCCAAAGGTAGAGGCGAAGGAACCAAGAAAAATCACATGGGCGAGCGTAGCGAGCCAACCGGCCAAGCCGGTACCACCGTTATCGACATCCCAAGGAATGAAGAAGAAAGCAGGGATGCCTCCGCCACCAATGGTGCCAGGAAAGCACAACATGGACATCGGTACCTGGGGAGAAGGAAAGTCATCGGCGCCACCACCCAAAGCACCACCACCGCCGCAAATACAACCTCCCGTCCCGCCACCTCCGCCACCCGTTCAAAGACAGAGGCCTCCGCAACAACCGTGCTGGACCAGACAGGCTTCCGCTCCCCCGTCGCCTCCTCAATCACAAATTCAGATTCAATCGCAGCCACCGCATCAGCAACAACATCATCAACCTCCGCCTGCTACGCAGCAGCAACAGCAGCCACCGCCGCCACCGCATCAGCAGCACCAACAACACCCACAGCATCCGCAACACCAGCAGCACCAGCAGCACCAGCAGCATCAGCAGCATCAACAACATCAACAGCACCAACAGCATCAACACCAGCAGCAGCAGCAGCAGCAACAGCACTCGCAGCATCAGCAGCAGCAGCCGCAGCCACCGCAGCAACAACCCCAGCAGCAGTCGCAACAACAGTTAGTTCCATGTGCCCAGGTCCAATCTCATCCAGTGTTGGATGAGCTGAAAGTGAAAAATGACTACAATCCCGAAGTGTTTGATCAAACTGCCCATGGCGCTAGGTTCTTCGTTATTAAGTCTTATTCCGAGGACGATATCCATAGGTCTATCAAGTACGAGATCTGGTGCAGCACGGAGCACGGCAATAAAAGGCTGGACCAAGCGTACAGAGAAGCGAGTCGAGAGGGTGCTCCCTTGTACCTGTTTTTCTCCGTTAACGGATCGGGCCATTTTTGCGGAATGGCCCAAATGGTTTCACCGGTCGATTATCAGAGCAACAGCTCGGTGTGGTCACAGGACAAGTGGAAGGGTCAATTTCGTGTTCGTTGGATTTATGTGAAGGACGTGCCTAACGTGCAGTTGCGGCACATTAAGTTAGAAAACAATGAAAATAAACCAGTGACCAATTCGCGGGATGCTCAGGAGGTGCCACACGCGAAGGGAGTTAACGTGCTGCGCATCCTGCACACTTATCGTCACACTACTAGTATTTTCGACGACTTCGGACACTACGAGCGAAGGCAAGCCGAGGAGGATCAGCGTAAAGCTCCGGTTAACCCCGTTCAGCATCATCACCTTCCGAATCACAGAAACAGGGGACATCCTTCCGATCTTCCGCGCGAACATCACCAACACCAATATCCCCACCAGCAGCACCCTCACCAACACTCTCGTAAGGTAAGAGACCCCGAGAACGGGCGAACCTAGAGCCTCGAGATATCTACGAGATCGGATGAAATCCATCGGAGCGAAAACCACGCTCCGGGCTTTCCGGAGAGAATCCGTGGATCCGTCGAGCGGAGTCGGTCGTTTTCGAGAATGAAATTAAAGGCAGGCTATCACCGAGCGGGGCACCTCGCCGATAATAAATAAGCGATATATATCGTCCTTGCAGGATCGAGACGGAGGTCGGGGAAGAGGTCGGGGTGGCACGCGCCAGTAGCGACGACCACCCAATGGGCATAATAAAATTAAAAATTATTAACGATAGTAATCGACGTTAAGGAAGAACGCTCCGACTAATTATCGACTCATCACTTACTCTCCTTCGCTTCTTTCCGGAAATATAAAGGGCTTCTAACCGCTGTGACGGGACTCGAGTCGTCCAGGCTATTTCCCTTCGTTAAACAAATAATTCGTATGGTAATTAGCGTTGCGTAAAAGGTCGTAACCACTATGTTATTGTAATCGCTACGAGAAACAATGATCGACCGTCAAGAGGTATACACCTCGGGATAACCTGCGAACGGTGACGAGTATACAGTGTGGTGTTGCGTGCGACTCGTCGAGAGGTGTTTTCGTAAAACGTACAAATTAATAAAAAAAAAAAAGGAACATACAAAAGAAACTCGAGAATAATACGGGACGACGATAACGAGATGCCGAACGATGGAGAAAAACTTTAACTACGTGGACTAACCCCCCCCCCAGTATGAAATGCTTCAACGTACTTTTGTTGAGAATGAAGAAATTCTATGCGAGAACCATATTATGCGCAAGGGTCGTTTGAATCGATTACGACGCCGTTTGAAACTTCAATGGACAGATAATCCGGTGCCTGCGAACGAAGGAGCCCGCTTTTCTTAACGCGGAATAAGGTGCGCGGGCTCGCCACTAAGTTTTACGTTTATCAGGATGTACTACCGCTCGCGATCTGTGGATAATAACGGAAAATTATTGTCAGCTGGTTATTTTAAACATATTCTATTGTCTATTGCGAATTATATATATATATATATATATATAATATTATCTATTATTGTATTAATCATGGACCGCAGTAAATGATTTAAGATTATTATACAAGAAAAAGGAATAACAGTGAAGTTACTCTGCAGTAACTTGGATGACGAGGACGACGACGCCGGCGAGGAATATTATTAATATTATTATTAATATTGTACCATTTGATGAGAATTTCATGAGACATGATTCTTATTGTTAACGATACCTGTTATTGTTTTTCTTTTTAGAACGAAGATTGGCGGGCTCTAGACTCGGATAATCATCTCGGAATTAGGATTTCTCCGGGTCGGTAGTTTATGCGTCTCTTCCGATGTGTGAACGAGTGGAAAACAAAAAAGAAATGAACATTGTGAATTCATCGCTTGGATATCCTTGGTTTATTTTATTCTTTTTACACTCTCTGGAATCCCCGAGGGCCGATCGTACCGCTTTCCAGTGTCCGATAATCCGAGCCAATAGAAAATCCATCGGTCCGGAATTTATCGTGGGTTACGTGAAATCGATATATATGTATACACGTACACATATGCTCGTAGGAGCGTAAACAGGACGTAGAAAAGGCCACGTGGACGGTCCAGAAGGACGAGTCACTTTCGGTATTTAGAGTAACCGTGCCCTGGTTTTATTTCATGTACCCCGTTTGCATGGACTCCAGAGTTCGCCCCAGGTTGCCTTCCGGATCGGGACGACGGAGGCTGCGGGAATTTTCCTTTCGGCGGTTCCCTTGCGTTCTCGCGCATCTACTGGCTAACCTGTAACACGAGTTACGCGAGTTTGATTTCTGAACGGCCTGGCTCCCTCCTAGGTGTTTTAGATCCTTGAAAATAAACGTGTTATGGAAATTGATACGGCGCTTCGAATCTCCGGTCGCGATTCTCGAAAGAACGAGGCGGGACATTCCCTTTCTCGCGGAGGGGTTGTTTTGGAATGGAATTAAACCTAACCCGACCTAATTCGGGACTGCGAGAGACCTTCGGGGGGATAGTGTCGTCCAGAGCTTCCAACGAACCTCGCCGAGTTTCCCGAATTACCTGATCGGCCCATTTCAATTCCTTCCTTCCGGACGGGGGAAGAGCCGCCCCGCCTCCGGCCGAAATGCGCGGGGTGGAAGAGGGCGCGGGTTCCTCGATTCGCGATTCGGCTCCTTTCCGTTCCAAGGCTCGAACACCCAGCTGAGCGTCGACGTCGTCCCTTAGAAGGCCCTGCCCCATTAAGTAGTCCCGCACGTTGTCCCGGAGCTCTCGACAGAATTTCTCGGGATTCGCTTCCATGTATCGGTACACGAAGAGGTCGGCTCCGGTGATGACGAAGCTAGTGTTGTAGACGTTGATCCTCGCTCCGATGAAAAAGTCCTCCGGGGTGTAGAACTCCGGGTTGTCCCGGTCGGCGTCGGGCTTCGGGATCGCCCCGATGGACAGGAAGCACCCTCCCCGGCGACCCGAGTTTCGCTTCTCCACCTCGTTGATGACGATGCCTCCGTCGCTCAGATTGTACTCCAGAACGAAGTCCCGACCCTCGTCCTCCGGATGCACCGCCTCCATCCTCATGGAGTAGCGCAGCTTTTTCGGGAAATTAAAGAGCTGACGGATCGCGTCCTTCCTCGGTCGCTTGGGGACGAAGGAGAGGCAGGTCGCCAGGGTATCTTCCGGGGAACCGATCCCCTGGTGCGGCGGCGGGACGAATTTCACTGGAGGTCGCGGCTCCTCGACGGGAGGGTCGATCCTTGCCGGCTGATCCATGCCCAACGCGCTCGAGTAGTACCTCCTGGTGAACGGGTCGCAGTCGCAGAGGAGGAACCTCCTGCCGTACACGAAGATCGTCTCGCCGACCTGAAAGAAGGGAAAGGTTCGAACGGAGACTTCGACCTGGCGACCGAGCCATCGACTCACCCTCAAGTCCTTCGGCGTGTAGTACTCGACGACCTCCTCGTCTCCGCGTTCCATGTACCCCGACGGATAGGAGGAGGGCAGGTCCTTCCAGTTCTTCGGAAGCTTCGTTCTCTTCAGGAGCAGGGCCACCGGGTCCTTCCCGTCGTTCGGCCTGCGGATCTCGCGGACCGCGATCGTGTCGTCGGTCAGGAAGTACATGACCCGGTAGAGATCGTCGTTCCAGAACGCGGTGAAGGACAGCACCGCTCCGTCGAACTCGAGGAAACGACGCCTGGAGTCGTCGGGCACCGGGGTCGACCGAGAGGGAGCTTTCGCCTTGCCTTCTCGCAGCTGGATGTAGGGATCGGGTGGAGGCTCCTCCTTGTCGTTCGGGTCTATTCCTTGGCTACGCAGGAATTCCGCGGTGAACGGGTCACAATCCACCGTGTGGTACCCCACTCCGTATATAACTGCAATTTGTCGTAATTAGGTTCTCCAGGTCCTCGAGGATTCTACGGTCTTCCCGGTACCTAGGTCGATGCCGACGTTGAGGTCCTTCCAGTGGTACGCGTCCCCGCGGGCGTTCTTCGGGATCCTCCCTCGCCTTACCAGTCTCCCCTGCACGAGCCCCGCGTTCTCCACCCTGGGCTCCGTCACCGTCATCGTGTCGTCCTCCAGGAAGTAGACGATGTTCACGTGGCGAATCCGGAAGTGCTCGTTGGGGGAGTCGAAGACGCCCTCCCGGAAGAACCCTCGGAAGCTGAGGCACTTTTGCGCGAACAGGGCGTACCGAGGAACGAACTGCGGGTACGCCTCCTCCTGGACGCGTCCGTAGGTCAGCGACGGGTCGTACCTGGAAATTTAAAGAGAGCAATTCCTTCTTCGACGCGGATAAAAAATAATGAGACGAAACCTACTCCAAGAGGTCCTCTTGGTCCGCGGGTCTCCCGACGTCGTCGTCCCGCACCACTCGGAAACCATTCAGGAAGTCGAATTTCTGCTTCAGCTTGTGGTCTTGCACCTTGGCCGGAGAGCGAGGAGAATACAAGTGGCGGTTCCGATTCGCGTGCACGGGCGAGGACTTACCGTGGGGTCGTGGAACGCGTACCCGGGGATCAAGGGCAAGCTCTCCATTGCGCCGTCAAACGATACCTGTAATAACGCCAATCGGACACGCCAGTCCGTCGAGAACCTCGAGAACCTCGCGGTGGTCCCCGCGTATTCGGGTTATCGGTGAGGTATCGATTCCGTCAACAAGTCGTCGTCAAGGCTGCGCTCTTCCCTACGTTCGGCCTATAAAGCCGCGAAGGTATATGTTACCGCGTCGCTAAAATAAATTCGTTCCAGTAGCCTCGAGAGAGAAATCGATTTCCATTCGCTCTGTGCATCCCCGCGGCCGAGCGGACGAGATGGGAATTACCTGGGATTCGTTGCAGCCGAGCTACGAAGATGAGGTAAAAGAGGGCGACGGTTCGCCACCCTTAGGAGCGAGAGACCCGACCGGCGGTGGTTCAGCTTTTGATAATTTATTTCTTAATAAGTTATTGACAACTGTAACGTCGGATGGTATTTACTATTTAGCCTCTCGGTTGGAGAATCACAGAGTTATAAACTCCCTGAAAAGGGCCATGCAAGCCGCCGATAGGAAACCTGCGACCGGCACGGTGATCAGCCAGGCGAACGCGATGTTGCGAAACAGTCTCCAGGATACGCCTTCGCCTCCTCGAGACGCCCAGCCGACGCACACCACGGATCCCACCTTGCAGTGAGTCGTTGACACAGGTAAACCAGCCTTGCTTGCCAACAGTACCGTCACCGCGGCACCCACCTGGGGGTTTGAAGAATTTCAGGAATTTAAAAGGGCAACGACCCGGTAAAATCGCAAACCTCGTACCTCTATCGTGAATCCCGTGGTCGGGGTGATCCGAGCCAAGTCTTGCCCAAGGGTCCTAATGACTTTCCGTCCCCAGACCCAGAGTCCGGTCGATATGCCGAGTCCCCCGTAGAGGAGGATCAGCAGGGGAGTGTCGGCCTCCTGTCTGGCCGAGCCTTCGGCGTAGACGGCCCACAGGGCGATCAGGGGACCGATGGCGTTGCTGACGTCGTTGCCTCCGTGGGCGAAGCTGCCGAAAGCCGCGGTTAACACTTGCAAAAAGGAGAAAAGCTTCGAGACCTCCGGGGATTCCTCGTCGGGCACGGCGAGCTCGGTAGGTCCGCCTTCGCCATCGGCCCCGGCAGCCAACAACAGAGGACTGGCGCTACTGTTTTCTCGGAGCTTCGGCGCCTCCTGCCTCGTAGTGCCGTTTTCGTTCCCCACGGGGGCCTTCGAGATGACGGACAGGGCGGTGGATTCCTTTCGACGGTGGGCCTCGAAATCCAGGGCTCTGCCCTCGCTGTTCATCGACAGCAGTATTCTCTTCCTCTGCCATGGCACCACGAACGCGTATACGATTAGTGCCGACAGAATCCCCAACGTTAGCGCGGCCGTCAGGCTGCCCCACCAAGGTATCTTGTCCAGCAGTAGAACTGTGGAAAATAATTAAACGTCTTAACGATCCACTGGATTTACGGTAGATCGAGAAGCCTCGATTAAACTCAGCCTCGTCTCACGTTTAGGACCGTCGTGCGCTATGGACAGTATATTAACGGCAACGGTCAGGCCGTACGCGATTGGAAGAACGTGCAGGCCCTGGTCCAAGGGTCGGCTAGACCGTAGGATGGATTTCCGCAGCACCCAGAAAATCGCTGCCGACACGATTCCACTGAGTATTGGACTCGCAAACCACGACGCCGCTATATTTCCCAGAGCGACCCACCTCACCTGGAAATTAAGTGACGATCTTGCCCTGAGTACGAGCCAACGTACCGAGGTCGCCGGAGAGACGGTCGACTCCATTTACTCACTCCTGCGGTTCCTCTGCACACGAGCGAGAAACCAACGGTGGCCCCGACAATGGAATGCGTACCAGAAATGGGAAGTCCTAAAGCGGTGGCGAGTATTAACCAGATACCGGAGCCAGCCAGACTGGACAGTGCTCCTATCATCAATTCCTTTTCGTGGCCTTCGTAAAGGGAGACGTCCAATATTCCCTTACGCATCGTATCCGACACCTGTGAAATCATTTATATTATGTTAATCCTGGGTAAAATGGGGTTGAAGGGAAAAACGATTTGTGATCCGTGGTACGTCATTGTAGCCTCACCTTATAACCTATGAGCACGGCACCAGCAATTTCGAAGATCGTAGCCAAGATACAAGCTTGAAATATCGTGAGCACCCCGGCACCGACACTAGTCCCAAAACTGTTAGCAACATCGTTTGCCCCAATTCCGAATGCCAGAACAAATGCCACGACGAATCCAACCACCACTATCCAAACTAAACTTTCGTCGTAAGGGATATTCATTGTTTATCCTCGATTGGCTCGGGTTCCTTTTGGCTGTCTTACCACAGAGATCTAGATCTACGACGACGAGTCTGATTTTGGTTTATCGTTACGTTAAAGTACACAAATGTCGGACTACTGGAGCTTGCGTTTGCTTACGTGACCGTGTCGAATAAATGTAAGTTTGCGCGTAAATATAAATAAATAAGTATCTTTTATTTTGTTCCTAATACGATCGTTTCCGTCTTCCTACTTTTGTACACGTAGCAGAGGTAGAATATCGGTGCGATACCTAATTCGTCTCGTGTCATGATTTCGATTAACACGGCAAACGTCGACTTTCTATCTACCGAGTTATTGGGTAAAACTGCACCTAAGTTCTGTGTTTTTCCTAAGCTTGCAGTATCGAAGTCTGGTTTCGGTACTATTTCCTCTCTGTGGTTCTCTCGCATGGAAGCGAGCCGTTCTCTGTGGTTCCCTCATCTGCAAATAATAAACGCCGTACAGGTTTACTTCTCATTCCTCCGTCCATCCTATTTCAGACATTTACAAGTAACTAACGACGCGCAATTAATCTCATTTTTTGTACAAAACTTTGGCTTCAAAGAACTCGTCCTATTATGGACCGTCTTCCAATTTCAAGGAACGAGCTCTGCGTTCCTCCACGTATCATTTACATATTGCACAAAGCGTGTAGGCAAACTGCCATTATTAACTGGTTCTCCAAGTCCCAACGATCGTCGAAGGACAACGGGGTGTTGGACCCTTAATCGTTACATAACTCAAGGGCAGCGATAACGGCCTTAATTGCATGCCCGGTCGAATCGATGAAATGCCTACGAGACGGTGCCTCTTGCTTCCCTGTCGACGCTTCCGAAAAGGCCAGGGTGCGAGCGGGCGCAGGTGGAACGCGATGCCAACGGATCCTCTCTCGAAGGAAGTTCTCGGATTCAGGTGGTACGGTAAAAACGGTACGTGTGCATAAATATAAAAATGGGGTGCTTTACCATCGCTGCCCGAACGCTTCGCAGTACTGGACGTACTCGAGGCGTCCACACTTCCAGACCCCGACGACGTCCTCGAGAACCCGAAGCCTTGACATTCGACGCTTCCGCACCTCCAAGTCCTCTTCTCTTGGGCCGACGTTCCCGATCGGGATGGATTCTCGCGAAATTGGGTGGACACCTCGCGCCGGCCGCGCTCGTCCGATGCACGCAGGTGGGGGTGAAATATTGATCTGCCGAGAGCCACGCGCACGTGTGCGGCACCGTGCACATTAGTTGCATTGGCTGACTGCGAGCACGAGAGAAAATCGGCTCAGCTGTATTCTAATCGATTGATCGTAACAATTGCAACCACTACCCCGGAGGTCCCGCCGAAATCTCCCTCACTTGGGGAATACTTCTCAGAGAATCGATACGAGTTGAACTTCAGTTCGTACGCGTTGGCGCGTTATATCGGTCAAAACGTGAAAAAACGTTTTGCAGCTCCTATTTTGGACTCAGTTATGAAACGTATTTTAATTCGTTCAATTTGCGTTTATTAATAAGAGCCCGCAGTAAAGTACGCACTGTTGTGCTATACGTTTTGGCATTGAGTAAGATATGTTAGCGATTTAACATATTACTTATGATCAACTTATCGTCGATCTCGCACTTCCAGTGTTAACGATACACGGTAGAAATTGAGTTGTCTACCTCTTAAAATAAATGTACATTTTGAAACATCGGTTAACAGCTATATATTTTATGTACACGGGAAAGAAAGATTACAGACATATGTAAATGAAAGCAATTAAAATTCAAATACTAGTTGCTGTATCGGACTAAATCATCGGTTTCATGGATCGGTTGGCTGATTATTCCTTGTCCCATTGTATCTTCTCTTCATTTTCTTTAATGACTTCTTTAACGTATGGCGTGAGGTATAATACATCCTGTAAGTAAATTAAGGTTAGTCTCAAACGACATCAGACTTCCTCTTAATTTGAAATTAATACGTTTAAAGTATTTTAATAATATTACTTCTTCCAGTTTTGTCCACTGTTCCTCAGGTAATATAGACCTGTTCATATCAAGTTGCATAGCACGAAAGAGGCGAAAGTTGCGTTCGTCTCTTATGTGTTTAGGTATACGTCGAAGCGCTTCTTCGACTTCAGGGGTTACATGAAGTACGTCATCCCGCATCAAACCTAGAAATGATATGTACAGTTTTAAATAAGTTACCAGTAAGTATGATGTTTTAAATAAGACATTTACAAAATTTTAGTTTATCGGTATATTGCAATTTTTTAATTGTAGGTATAAACATCTTGTGATCACATTTGAGTCGATACTACTTGTCATGCAATTAAGAATGAGACAAACGTACAAAGTACAAAGGTTCATCGTTCTTACCATACTGGTTAAATCTACTCGAGTTGTACACATAATGCTTGAAAGAGTCTAAAACGAGAAAAATACATTTATTTAAGTTATGTAAGGAAACTTTGCGGATGACGATGTAGCCTACTGATTAATAAATATTCAAATTCATGCGGAAATCGCTACTTACTGATCATTTTATATGGTGATCTCAACATCATGAAAGCCATTAATTTATAATAATCTTAACAAGAGCTTTGGCTCGCAAGCTTCCAGAGCGAACACGAGAAACTTTTAACGATCGTGCAGGCCCATCTACCTTGGACGAATTTGGAGAGCCCGTCGGTAACGCAGGCCGTACTTTAAGTTGGTACAAATTCGCTTTATCGATCGCGTATTCGTCAACAGTTTTTCATCATATATTCGTGTCGTAACTCAGAATCCAAAGGCATATCCATCACTAGGCGAGGATGCACGGGTCAATGGAAAAAAAGGAAGTTTTCTTGCCAAAGCATTTATGCGGAAAGTGAAATTGTGGACTTTCCTTCGCATCGGTGAACGAGAGGCGCGCGAGAGGTCGGCAGATGGTGCGACGGTCGCGACCCGGGACTATTTCTGCTTGGCGGAGGGAGTGGCGCGTTCGGGTATATAAGGCCGAGGGGCTCTGCTTTCAACGCCTCTTCCTCATTAAGAGTAGAGTTGTGTTCACGTGTGGTTGTGTCTCCTTTTTCCACAAAATAGGTCACACAACCCACCTCCATTCGTGAATTAACTCTCCTGTAAAAAAAATCCAAAAAAATATAAAAATCCAGAAAAACCAAGCCAAAAAAATCGAAAAATCGTAGCCGAAAACCGCGAAACCCAGTAAAGTGTGGAAAAAAATAGTAATCAAAGCAAGAGAAGCGACGTGGTCGGAAAAGAGCAAGCCATATTGAAGGGAACCAAGAGAACGCCGAGAAACCGGAGGATTTCGAACGCGTAGCGGCCGTATCGACGTGGGAAAAATACAAGCATGAATCCGGGAGCTCCGAATTACCCGATGGCCTCCCTCTACGTGGGAGATCTCCATTCCGAGATCACCGAGGCGATGCTGTTCGAAAAGTTCTCATCGGCTGGCCCTGTCCTTTCGATCCGCGTTTGCCGCGACATGATCACCCGACGCTCGCTCGGCTATGCCTACGTTAACTTTCAACAGCCAGCCGACGGTGAGTACCTTCGTTGATAGGAAAATCGATAGGGTGTCCATGCGGGACCGACTCCCTGCCTGCGAGGCGACTAGATTTTTTTTTTCGCCCAACCGTGGACACGTGCTATTCGTCGCGCCAGGCCTCCATATTGAATTCTCTTTGCCCGTTATCGGGCCCGACCGGACAATGGGCGACGGTGACGGCCGTCTCGCGATTATCTTCGTTCCCTTCCCTCCCTTCTGGAACGCTCCTTTGCTGCCGCATTTCTCGATCTTCCGACCGTACGCGCTTTTGAATCGCGTCGAACGCATCTGCCATGCGCTTTTCCGGCCCCCGGGGAGGGGAATTCGTCCACGTTAACGTCTCGAGACCTTTCTCCCCGTGAAAGGTGTGCCTGGAAACGCGGACTGGCAAACGTTTTCCTTGTCACGGGCACGTCACGTTCATGCGTCACGTCTTCCACTCGACCGGTTTCCCTGCTGCGCGATTATATCGTCCACGTTTTATCTCGTTGGAACTTGCATTTTGGGATAGATGACGTATTTGAACGATATGCTCGGAGAGCGTTCGAATTATTCTTTCAGTTATTAGTACTTTTGGTATTTCGGAACGTGGCGGACCTTCGTATTTAGTTTTAACGTATTGTATTTTCAGCCGAACGTGCACTGGATACCATGAATTTCGATATGATAAAGGGACGGCCGATACGCATAATGTGGTCTCAGCGAGATCCATCCCTTCGAAAATCTGGTGTCGGAAATGTCTTCATAAAAAATTTGGACAAAAATATAGACAATAAAGCAATGTATGACACATTTTCGGCCTTTGGGAACATATTAAGTTGCAAAGTTGCCCAAGACGAATCAGGTAATTCGAAGGGCTACGGTTTCGTCCACTTTGAAACGGAGGAGGCAGCCAACAAATCCATCGACAAAGTGAACGGAATGTTGCTGAATGGAAAGAAGGTATTATCGTTTACGTAAAATAGGAGACTACTCCTGATTGAAAATTATGACGCAAGCGTTACTCAAAATCCTTCCGTCTTTGTATGATTTAGGTGTACGTCGGAAAGTTTATCCCCCGCAAGGAGCGCGAGAAGGAACTCGGAGAGAAGGCTAAACTGTTTACGAACGTTTATGTGAAAAATTTCCCCGAAGATATGACCGACGAAAAATTGAAGGAAATGTTCGAAGTGTACGGCACCATTACCAGTCACAAGGTAATGAGCAAGGACGACGGAAAATCACGTGGATTCGGATTCGTCGCTTTCGAGGATCCCGATTGCGCTGAGCAGGCTGTACAGGAGTTAAACGGCAAGGAGGTTGCCGAAGGAAAATGTATGTACGTAGGTCGCGCCCAGAAAAAAGCTGAGCGTCAGCAGGAGCTGAAGAGGAAGTTCGAGCAACTTAAGATCGAACGATTGAACCGCTATCAGGGTGTGAATCTGTATGTAAAAAATTTGGACGATACCATCGACGACGAGCGCTTGCGCAAGGAATTCACCCCCTTTGGCACGATAACTTCTGCCAAAGTCATGATGGAAGACGGTCGCAGCAAGGGCTTTGGATTCGTCTGCTTCTCCGCCCCGGAGGAGGCGACCAAAGCGGTTACGGAAATGAACGGCCGCATAGTGGGCTCGAAACCTCTATACGTTGCCTTGGCCCAACGTAAAGAGGATCGCAAAGCTCATTTGGCCTCGCAGTACATGCAGCGGGTGACCAATTTGCGCATACAACAAATCGGACATATATTCCCACCAAGTGGCACGGGCAACTACTTCGTCCCCACGCTTCCTCAGCCCCAGCGATTCTACGGGCCTGCTCAGATGGCCCAGATTCGCGCGACCCCGCGTTGGCCGGCACAACCCAATCAAGTAAGGCCCAATGCACAAACCGGAAGCTCGGGCTTCGCGGCCATGCAAACGCCGTTCCGGGCCACGCCTCGTACTCCGGCTGCCCAACCCGGAGCGATGCGTAACGCCATCTCGGCAAGGCCCATCACAGGTAAGACCTTCGAACCACCCGGTCCATTTGCTCTCCGGTTCGTCGCCCTGCCGAAGATGTACAGTTTCCCTTGCTTTTCCAGGACAACAGGCGGTCGGTGGCGCCAACATGCAGAGTCGCTCGATGGCCGGCCCAGCGGTCGGAGTCTCTCCCCAGAGTCGCCCACCGAACTACAAGTACACTTCGAACATGCGCAACCCACCGCCGACCATGACCATTCCCGCTCCGGGCGCCCCGGTGCAACAAGCGGTCCACATCCAAGGTCAGGAACCGCTGACGGCCACCATGCTGGCAGCGGCTCCTCCGCAGGAACAGAAGCAGATGCTGGGAGAACGTCTGTTCCCGCTCATTCAGTGCATGTATCCCTCGCTAACTGGGAAGATCACCGGGATGTTGCTGGAAATCGACAATTCGGAGCTCCTCCACATGTTGGAGCACAGCGAGTCCCTGAAAGCCAAGGTCGAGGAGGCCGTGGCCGTGCTGCAGGCTCACCAGGCCAAGCAGGCTTCCAAGAAAGAATAATCTTTTTACGACAGGCTATCGTTTTATTCTTCATTTATTATTCAACCGTAATATCGTTTCCCTTTCTTCTTTTCGATTCTGCGATTGATCCTCGGTTTCTGAAATTTCTACGTGGCTTCACAACGGCGCGAGACACCCAGGAAAAGCTGTTACATGTAAGCTAATCACGAATCGCAAAGAGGGTTTTTTCTTCAAGTTTTATGATAATAAATTTTCCTTTCGAGGTAAACGTGCCTTTTGCTTCGTTCCTTTTTCGTCCACGAGTGAGAGTAGCGTGGAACACGCGACGGAAGCGGAATTCCCAGATATTTGTCGAGTGATTAAACGTGGGACCTCCAAAATCTACATGGTAAGCTCTTTATGGTTCTACCGACAACCGAGGAACGAATCCGCTACGTTCCTAAGACGATACAGATTTTTCCTTCCATTCTTCCTTTTCTTTTATGGGCATTTTACCGGGCTGCCGAGGCAATGCGGGTTTCGGTGGGCATCGAGCCCGCTAACGAATGAATAACGACGTGAATTTAGCCATGCTGCACACACGAACGACGAGACGCGCGCACAGAGCGATTCACCGCGTCAACGAAATCTAATTCTGCATAATGGTTGATACCCTCTTATGCATCGTCGACGGATAAAAAGACTTAAATAATAGAGTCGTTTCGGATTGCACTTACTTTAAGATAATGTATTTATATCTCTTAAAACGAAGGCAGAAGCCCGCGTTATTTAATCGGTTCGTTATTAGTTTTATCGGCTGGACAATTTGAAGACGCAAAATATCTGACCACCCGACGCGCGTTTCGCTCGAAAGTACGCTCCGTCGCTATTTATATTCATATTCGATACTTTTCGCTCGAAAGTACGCTCCGTCGCTATTTATATTCACATTCGATCCTTTTCGCGAGGATTTTTATCTGGGAGAACGGGCCCGCTAAGGGAAACCTAACACGTTTTTTTTTTTTTAAAGGCTTGAGATGTTTCGGATTTTTCCATCGCGAAGGGCTTCATCTGTTTACATATTTTGAGAACACGTGACATTTATGGCACTCAAGTGCCACGGGAAAAACGGTCATTGGGACGTCATACTGCGAAGTACCGGATGTTTCGGGGCGACCTTTTCTTTCATCTGTTTACGTTCCCTCGCATATCGTCATTATTGTCTAGCCGCTTAAGCCGTATCCCTTGAACGTCCTTTGGGCCAAGTATTTACAGCCTCTTCTCTCGCACGTGAGGTTCCCAGAAGCGGCGCATTTCTCCTCGGCGAATTTTTTAGACAAAACTCCCTTTCCTAGTTTTTCAGCGATTCCTTCGTCAAGGTACATTTAACCTTCGACGGCGCCTAATTACGTTCCATTCGCGATATTACGTTCCCTCGACGAGCATGCCAAGGCAATTTGAATATTCGCCCAGCTTACGCGTTTAAATAAAATCCGTGCGCCGAGGTGAGGCCGCCTCGTCTGGAATATAAAATTCGTTAGTGTTGCGGAATATGATTCTCGGCAGGGATAAAGTGAGAAGCCGTCTCGAGTGATTCGCCTACACCTTCTCCCGAAGTTAGCGCATTGACGATAAGGATACGAAGGACGTCGGGGACGAATACACGAAATTAAGCGTAATTTATTAAGCGACCCGTTATTAAATATTTATTAAATGTGAAGATAGAAGCGGACGATACGTATATCGTCACTCATCGAGCGTTCGTCCGGGCCGATATAGGCGCCTCAGGTTCGAGCGCTCCCATTGGTCGGTCGCCGCCGCCGTCGACCAATCAGAATCGAGAGCGAGCGGCACTCCCCCTCCCTCGACCGCGCTCTCGGTTTCATTCCTCGGAGAGTGGCTGAGATCGTCGGTAGCGGTCGGTGGTGGTGGCCCGAGCTCGTGACCGTTCGCCGTCCCGACTTGGCGCTTTCCCCGCGTCCTCGCACCCTCTCGAGACCTCTTGGAGCTCTGCGCCGAGGTGGAGAGATGTCAGAGCTCGTCTACAGTTTCTCCGATACGTGGAACCACTGACGAGGCGAAATCGCGCTCAGTCGAGCCGTCGGCAACTGGATGGTAAGTGGCTCGTCCCATGATTTCGCCCCTGCATTCCGAGCCGGAGATAACGAGGTATCAGATGTACGACCGCGCCGATCGAGTCTCGATCCGCAGTCTCGACATATGGATCGACCTTTCTCCGGCTTCGTCTATCGGGTCGCGCGTTTTTCCAATTATCTTGCTTGGCGCGATCGCGCCCGCGATTTTTAGGTCAACGGGCCGAACGTGGGTATAATACTATTATTATCGGCGCTCATTAGACAGCCCAATTTCGTCACCGTCTTCCGTGACAGTTGGGCTCCGACCGGTCCACCGTCGACGCGCTTTGAATGCCCGTTACGCGGCCAGGTAGCGAGTGCATTCCTCGAGCCATGTGCGGAGCTCCTTCGTCGCGTGCTCGGCTTGAAGTGGGACGATCGTAACAATTGTTGATAGTTGGGAAACAAATGCGGAGGAAGCCCCCGCGATCCAGAGGTTGTGCGGCTTTTTGGGCTTTTCGTTTTCTCGAGCAAACGTCGCTCGGCGAATTGATACGATCTTTTATTTCGCTGTAAGTTGATCGTCGACGAGCGGAGACCACCGTGAACAAATGTAAGGGTTCGATAAGAGCTTTCGCTCCCGCGGTGGTTTATCACCTGATGCAAGTTTGTCTACATATCGTATGTTTTTATTTCACAGGTGACTCGTCTGCAAACGTACGAGTGATCTAAAAGAAGTATTCTAAATAAAGACTCCGGCAGGAAGAGGAGCTCGAGACAAGGATAATTCCTGGAAGGGAAGTTTGCCATCATGGACGGTGTTGTTTCCAATTTGAAAGCATGCGTGGTGTCCGCCAAAGGTGGAATCTCCATCAGCCACCTAAACAGTAAGAACTTTGACTTGAGACAAATTTATCTTTAATGTGTGAAAAAAAATATAAAAACATATTTTGTAAATGCACTAATATCATTAATAATTGTATTAATTCGTGTAATTTATTTTTAGGGGACTTCAAACTGCTCATAGGAGATAATATTCCATATAGGAAATTGGGTTTCAGTACCCTTGAGAGTTTCCTGGCTGAAATACCTGGGATTAGAGTCGTTAAGCGGGGATCCGATCAGTTCGTGGAGGCATTACCAACGGCTGAGACGGCACACATTACAAAAATGATTTCTAGACAAAAGTCGGCACCAAAGAAGCCCATGAGAAAACTGGTACGATCTGAATGTATTATCCCATGGTTAATTTAACTTATTCCCGTAATGTTTGGTTAAAATCGTTTCGATCGAGAACCTCATTTTTTTAACTATAATTTTAGGCTACCGCTAATCGAAGACCAGCACCTTCTTCTTACCAATTTACCCCCATGAGCAATGCTGCGCGGTCTCAACATTCCCGTACTATGAATGATGTAAAAAAGAACGAAAGGTAATCAAGAAAATCTATATTATATATTTTAGAAGAAACGATTAATTAATGACAAAGTTATTAATGGGATATATTTATTGTGTTTACGATATTTCAGGTTATCGAATCTAACACCTTTAATGTCGCTACCCGTAACACCACCGGCTTCCGTTTCACCGAAACCACGATTTCTGACATCGAATGCAGAAATGTTGCAAAGATCACCCACGAAGGTAAAAATCCTTAAAATATTATTCTAAGATACATTGCATATGTTATTTACAATATTTACAATATTTATATTTCTTTCGAAGCAAATGCAAAGCAGATGGGTTCCTCCTCCACCGGTATCTTTAAGCCAAAGTAAAGACATACCTAAAAGTATTGAGAACCATGTGAATAATATGAACGGAGAAAAGCCTAAAAGTCCTGTGGAGTATCCGGTCCGAAATCACGAACCAAAGAACTTGCAAAATGGAGGCTTGATTTTGCAACAACCACAGAAATCACGATCCAGTGTAAATGACAGGCTATTGATAAAACGTGCAACGGTGCCACCTCCTTATCCAACTCAATTAGTAGAAAATGGAAATCATTCAACCCTGCCAAAACCCATGGTACAGGTAAATATATTTCGGTATAAGATGGACGCGTGTTGGGTTGATCAATTTATCGATACCGTCTAGCCTATTAAATTGTATATTCTAACGGAAATTATATATCGCAGCAACCGCCTTCATTAATGTTGGGAAAACCGATCGGTCCACGCGAAGAATTAAAATATCTTGTTCGTTCGTTTAATTTATCGGAACCTGAGTATAAGTGCTACCAGACAACGGAAAAGCATGGTAATAAAGGAACCGTCGTTTACTGTCAAGTGAAGGTACTTATTAAGATCTCGACATTTGAATGCAATCGGTAGATCCATCTGACGATATATTCATGCAAATTGTATCGACAGGTTAGCGGTAAAAGTTACATGAGCTATCCTCAAGTAGCGCGAACCTATGACGAAGCTGAAAAGTACGCGGCTGCCGAGGCTTTAAAGGCTCTTAAGGAAGAGTACGAACCATTGGGCAATATCGCTGAAACGACAGATAGGGTTTTGATAAGAAAACGCGTGATTACTATTATAAATGAGCATCCGAGTGGCGTTTTTATACATCAACTTCCGATATATTACAAACAGAAGTTTTCAGAAAGCTTACCGGAAAACTGGCTAGAGATTATAAAAGCGAACCCTCTGGTAACTGTAGATAAGGTTGCTGACAATTCTGTGATTCTGCTACGACATACCCCGTGCGTTAAGAAGGTAAGAGTTATCGATGTATTTAAAAATATCTAACACTTATTGTCGTAACGCAATACATATGTGAAAATAGGAGTAATGTATTTTTTCCCCTCAAACTATGTAGGGCAAAGAACAACTTTATTATACAAACATGATATCGATTAGCACTTGGCCTCGGTTCACGCGTTATTAAGAAATTTTGATTTGTATGCACATCATGTGAGTAGGTACACTATCGTATGACTTGGGAATTTGCATGCGCGAGATAGAAATTTGACTTACTTTGGATTTCTTTTTATTGGCTGATTCTTTTTTTTTTTTTTGTGTAATCGTATGTTACCAATGTTTTCCTGCATATCCGCTTTAACGAACATAATCACAAGTGTGTCTTTTGTCCTCATAATTGTAAAGAGAGAGAAAATACTTGCAATCTTTTGACAAAAATTATTGGTTCTTTTCAATTTAAGGTCGATGAACACGTTCTGCAGAAGGAAGAAAAAATTCAGCTGAAACCAATTGGACCTGCTATTCCTGGACAGTTAGAGCTGCCTGAAGAAGATTTCTGGATTGTACTAGTTACTTGCACTCTTAGTACCATGGATATTTGGGTTCGAATAGTCGGTGAAGAGTACAGTGTACGTTGGTATTGGCAGATGTATCTAACGGGGGTCATGAAAGGCGGGCCGATAATCTGAATCGTTAAAAATACCGTTTTTCATTAACAGGAACAATTGGAAGTTATTGCTTCTGAAATGGAACAGTATTATGCCCCCCTGGAACGCTCGACGGTAACTTCGGCAGTCGATGTTGGTAGCTACTATGCCGTCTTCCAAGACGATTCATGGCACAGAGTCGAGTGCGTCGAGTTTGATGCTGCCAGTGGTAAAGCTGCAGTGTTCTTCATTGATCATGGAGATGACGATGTTTTTCACTGCAGTAAATTGTATCCGTTGGAGAAACAGTTCTGTCTCCTTCCTGCTCAAGTACGTCCGCATTTTTTCGCATCTAATAATTATATGCAACGGCTGTTAAGACCTACTAATATAATTTCCTGTCCCCGTAATAGGCCTTCAAGGTGTGTTTGGCTGGTTTGGCAGAATTTTCAGAATGTAATAACGCGGTAACTCATCTTGAAGATGTCTTATTGGAACGTACGCTCCACGCGGAGGTTGTCAGTCGCGAGATCTTTGATGACGAGCCATTTATAGCCGTTATATTACACGATACCAGTGGCCCAGAAGACGTCAATCTCAATCCGATTCTTTCCACGAGAATAATGCAACAGGTTCTCACTCCTCCTAAACTAGATGCGGTAAGTAACGAAAGTAAACCGTGCACAAATGCCACCGCGACTACCAGCGAATTAATATTCTGCATTCTTTTTCAGGAAGGACAAGTGACCGAAGTTTTTATTTCTCATGTAGACGAAAACGGCGATGTGTACGTTCAAGTGAAATCGGAGAGTATGACTTATTTGACCACGTTATTAAATCAACTGATCAATGCTGGGTTAAGTGCGGAAGACTTGAGAAGAAGTACCGTAACGGCTATCGATACGACGGAAGTATACTTTGCTTGGTGCCTACAGGATCAAAACTGGTATCGAGCAAAAGTAGTCGATATCTCGAAAACGACAAATCAAGTGAAGATGTTCCTCATTGACTTTGGCAAATACATTATGGTTGGAAAAAAGAATCTCGTGTGTTTGCAGAAACTGTCGGACGTTTTGGCCATATACCCACATCAGGTGAATATGATACCTTGCGATCACATTTGGAGGACCGCGAAGAAAGCATTTATTAAGCGAACTTATGAAATTCACTGCTTTAACATCCGTCATGTTATAGGCATTAAAGGTTCGGCTTCACAATATTCCACCTTCGATATTCAGCGAGAAGATGGTCTCCAGGTTAACCGACCTGGCGCCGCCCAGCGAACCTCTCCTGGTGAAGGTTGTCACGCCGCAATCGACCGACTCCCCAGCAGTCGTGGAATTATTTAAACGAATTCAGCCAGACAACGTTCTCGCTTCCATTAATAACACTTTAATTCTGGAACCTGAACTTATCAGGTGCGCAGTGAAAATTTTCGTTATATTCATAAAGATGATCAGTGATCTCAAATCAGTGACCAGTGTTAAGAATGAAATATCATCGTGTTTATTTAGAACGAACGGTGATGGCAACAACAATACGAGAGTACGTAAGCGACTGGATCGTATAATGTCTCGACATGGAGAAGGCGATTCGGTAGCGTGTTCTTTAAAGCCGCCACGTATTTCGAACATCGGCAGTTATTTCGACGTGCACGTTACAATGGCTGCAAATCCAGGAAACTTTACCGTTCAGCCCTACGAGGATTCTGTACCACTTGAGGTGTGAATCATTTTATTAGAGATCCATCAGTTGATACAGTCGTTTTTTACTAGCGGTAATATGTATTAATGATTTATTGTAGGCAATGATGGTTCAGTTGCAAGAAACTTGTGCCGCGTTTAAAGGACCATGTCCAACCTCGGATTCCGTGAAAGAAGGTAGATTGTACGCTGCCAAACATAGCGATGGCTTTTGGTATCGGTACGTAAAGGTGACACTTAAATCGCATCGATGATATCGCAACGTTACGTAGTAGTCCTTGACTGTTACTTTTATCATTAACATTTTAGTGTCTGCATTTCGAACGTCATCAACGATACAACGGTCACCGTCTATTTTTGCGATTTTGGGGACGTTTCTGTGTTAACGTTGGATAAACTACAACCTTTGAAGTCGCAATTTATGGAGTTACCTTATCAGGCTATCAGGGCCAGGCTTGTCGGTTAGTCATCTTGTTTTGCATGTATACTCGATGATTGCAAATTGTAAATTTATTTATCGACACAATTGTTGCAGGAATTCAACCAGTCAACATAGACTGGTCTGTGGAAGACTGTCTAAGATTTCACGAATTGGTCGTCGAACGAAATTTCGTCTCCATTGTACGAGAATCTGGACCCGACAAGTTGTCTCCAGCTGATACCTTGCTCGGTCTGACATTGATAGATGTCAGTGGACCCGAGGACGTTTATATCGACAAACTTCTCATAGAGGAGAGAAGGGCCGTGTCCGCCTAGAGAACGCTAAATACGTCTGTTATTCCTAATTCGATAACAAACTGCGATATTAGTTCAACGCAACGCAACGTTTGCAGGACAGTACAAAGAAAAAAGAAAATGAAAAAATGGAGAAGACGGATCCAGCAGGATATCTAATGAATCTCGTTGATTTGATATCGACAGCAGACTGCTTTACCCCCTTGAGTCTAGCCATTGATCGAACGGTCGATCCAAACTCCTATGCATTTGGATGAGAGTAAAACAAAGTAAACGAAATCTTGGTGCTGTAAAATGGATCGTGCGCGGGCGATGACTTCCGAAATGATAATGTACCCGTCCGTAAAACCGTTTACGGGAATTCATTTCATCGGAGGTTGCGCACGAATGTTTGCTTTTTTTTATGCTCAAAAATGCGAGGGTTTCTTTCTGTATATTAGCAGAGATTAATATATAGAAACTCAGGTATATGGAAGCTTTAGTGATTCGTTTTTTTTTTTTTTTCTTTCGAAGGTTTATCCAAAGTTACGCATGCTTACGACAACACTATTTATGTTATTCTTCCTTAGTACGAAGCCATTGGTCGGTCATACGACAACTCAGTAGTGTTTTACTGCAGGCCATAAACCTAACTGAGCCCTTGACATACGACTTCGCTTCACGACTGAATGCAGTAGTAATCGTAAGAACGCATTTTTTTTATCGTACATATTCCTATGTTGTGTTTCCTTAATTTTCGTATATAGACGCGTTTCTATAGTGATTCACAAAGACAGTTTCATTTTAACCTTAGCAGGTACGTTTTCGGGTCCTAATTATCTGTTATTCTCGTTGACTTTACCCACTAGGCTTTTAAAACTCGCTTACCGTTGGGTCAAGATTTTTAGTGGATGGCGTAAAGATTTAATGATCCGATAGTATAAACGTAGTGAAGCCATTTAATTGTTGGAAACCAATCGAATGATTCCCCGTCCTGTTCGAGGTAATCGAGTTGCCGATTACAGCAAAGAGATAGAACATTGACTCGATTGACTGATGATTCCGCAGCCTGGAACAGTGCTCTTCCAGTGTGTTAAAATTACCCGCTCCCCTAACTTATACGTAAATATGAATATTGTTTTCAAAATGATCCACCAACGGGTGATTAAATACGTTTGCTTGTACTCGTATTCAGTATTAATGTGACATATTGTATTGGCAAAACGTTCCGAAGGCCGCGTTCTAAATTTTCGGAAGAGATAAGGTTTTGTCAAATGTTCATCGATATATCTTGTAAGAATTGAAAGCAATAATTTTATTATATTCACCTTGTTTCCGTTATTATAGGCCTGTTCTCATTAGAATTATAAATCAAAGGCGATATGAGACGCAAAGGCCCACATGTAGATCAACCGATACTATATTAATAAATTTTGTAATAATTATGTTTCTAATAAGGGAGTTAATTTCTAAACGCGTCGAGTAATGGAGGTAATGGGTATACTCGTGTCGATAAAGCAGTCGAGTTGGAATTAATTTGATAGAGATCCGGCAGGTAGCGCGCGATCCTTTCTCATTTGGACTTTCGAGCTATGCCTTTCCCATCTGCGTTAACGACTAGTTCGCGACTCGACGGCAACTTCAGACTTATTTTATGCTCCTTCTCCCTCCGAATCACTCATTGAATACATCATCGAGTGTTACTCTATCTTGCTCTGTTTTCCAAGAAGGTAAAAAAAAAAATCGTGTTGTAATTTATATTCGCCCGGTTCCGGTATTTAACTCAATGGAATACCATCTGTGTGTATCTCGCGAGTAGCCTTCGATCTGGGAAGAAAGCGAGAGACGGAATTATGAATTTACCTTTCAAGGGATTCTTCGCGTGACATCCCTCTTGACTTCAAGACATGACGTCATAGGAAAAAGTGGTAAAAAATTGTTAGCCCTTGACGAGAAAACGAATCAACTTGGACCCCGCACAAAGATTTCGTGGTAAGTGCGAAAGTTTAAGGACGTGCTCTTGGCCTTGTTTAATATCGCGTCCAGATCCTACGGACGCGTTATGTCTCGCACTCCCATCAAACCCAGAAGTCCTACAAATATGATCTGATGGAATATCGAGCGTTGTTTGAATGCAAGGATTTTTTAGTGTTGTTATTTCTATAAGTGAAAAAACGTACATTGGGAGTAATGCCGAAAGAGTAGCTTCTTTGATATCGGCACAAGTTACATTTCCAAATGACAATAATATGTAGTAACGGGTGGTGTATGTAATTAAGAAATAGTATCGTTGATCGTTATGTATATCTTGCGAAGGTGGAATTTACCGTGTAATCGCATTTGTAGCCTGTAAGAAGAAAATGTCACACGCGGCTGTAACGTCTACTGGCGTGGAAAGGAGTATCCATGAAATGTTAAAGGATGCACCTTCCCTTAATGAAAGCGACGGCCCGGTACATACGGGTACGGCTTCACCTCATATACAAAACAATCATATTGAAGAATTTCAAGCAAGACCCACTAGTATGAACATACCGCTTAATAGTCCGACACTGCAAAGTGGTAAGTTTATTTTGTTAGACTTCTACTTTAAAATATGTTCCTTAAGGTACGTACTGCATTACTCGTGTTTTATATTATTAGGATCGACAACAGCCCCGACCACTCCGATGCAAAACGGCGATGCGCAAAATATGCGATCCGCTCAGAGTAAAATTGAGAGTATTAAAAGCTGGAGTATTTCAACTTATAAATGTACTAGGCAACTTATGTATGAAAAACTTGGAAAGTCATCACGGACAGTTGATTCAGGTAACGTTTTTTGCATTAGCTTAGAGTAATCGATAAATGTATTCGGTATTCGCATATAAATGTTTTGTATCTTAATCTTTTTCCAGAACTCGAGGCACAAATAGAATTATTAAGAGATACGCAGAGAAAATATTGTAACGTGCTGCGATTATCTCGTGCTTTGACATCTCATTTTCACCATGTAGTTCAGACACAGCATGCTCTTGGTGAAGTATTTTCTGAATTGGCACAGAAATCGCCCGAGTTGCAGGAGGAATTTTTGTATAATTCTGAAACTCAACGAAATTTAACTAAAAATGGTGAAACACTGTTGGGTGCTTTAAACTTCTTCGTTTCTTCGGTAAATACCTTGTGCAACAAGACTATCGAAGATACTTTGTTAACCGTTCGACAGTACGAGGTTGCCAGGTACGATTTTATGTAATATATAAAAACCTGCTTTTGCGAACAATTTTATTGAAAATATAGAACGTAATGGCGGTTTATTGTACAGGAGAGAATACGATGCCTATAGAACAGATCTGGAAATATTAGCACAAGTTGCGAAGAGCGATCCTAATAGCATGGCTCGGATGGAAGAAGCACAAAGCAGTTACGAGCAGCATAAGCAAAATTTTGAGAAGCTTCGTTCCGACGTATCGATTAAATTAAAATTTTTGGATGAAAATCGGGTAAATACAATTTAAATATTAACATATATGCTACGGTAACAGAAGTTAAGGATTTAGGAATCGATCAGTTATTTGGTCCCTAATCATTTACAGGTGAAAGTAATGCACAAGCAGTTGTTGCTTTTTCACAATGCTGTATCCGCTTACTTTTCTGGGAATCAGTCGGCCCTGGAGGCTACTCTTAAACAATTCAACATTAAGGTAAAATCTCCAAACTCATCCCTACCATCTTGGCTCGAGCAGTAGAGGAGCTGCAAATCCGTAAGGACTTTGTTTATCGAAACAAAACTGCTAGGTGTAAGCGCATCATCGTAAGTATCGTCCTGGTACTCGTGTGTATTGATTTCACGCTAGAGTTAAAATTCTATGTATAAAAGTGAGTACCATTTACATCGTTGTAAAGGTATACTAAAATAACCCGGGATACGTCCTTTGTCCGTTCTTAAAAGCAAGTAGAATAGTGGTACGACTTAAATACTACAGATTTTTTTAAGAATGGAAAGGGAGATAGCGCTATCGAAAGATATCAGGACAGGACTTTAACCAGTTGTAATGATCAACGTTCGATAAGTTACATCCTATTAGATATATCGGTAATTTAATTTTCTATGTCATCTTTCGTTTAAAAAATACCACTGTAAATAATGAAGGATATCTCACGCGTAAATGCTTTGACGAAACGGCACTTCATACGTCGGATCCGAGCAAACGACATTTCGTTACCTTATTTATTTCATTATCATAAACGACATTCTGTTGCGCGCATTAATCGTAATTGAAATTACGAACAAATTGTAATGCCATTCATCGTATTAACGTAACTTACGTTTTGAATTGGGGTAAGAATCGATAATTCGAAGTCGAATATCACGGGAACGGCGACGTCTTACCTTAGACGTCACACGAGTTCTGTCCAAAATACTTTAAATCGGTGTGTTCTTTGTCTCGATCGAAGTATCGATACCCAAATAAGTAGGACGTGAAATTAAGATTAATCATATTTATACGAAAAGAAGTAGCCCGAGTAATTTCGTATTACGCCTACTTTATAATAGGACGTAAGGGCGCTCTTTCTTAATAGGGAATGACTTCTTTTGCCATTTCTCTGGAAAGCTTGCACGAAATTATATAAATCGCGTCTCGCATTGTCCCAGATTTGACCCTCGAGTTCTCGAAAGAGTCTGCCTTTCGTTCACGGTCGAGACGTATCGAAAAGGTCGAACGATCGATGAAAGTTATCGATCGACCTTGCGCCACCAACGACCGCCAAGCTCGAGGGTCCCGCACCGTTATCGTGTCGCTTATTGTTACGATACTTTATCCCTCGTAGATAAAAAAAAAATGAAACTTTAATTCGATAAGGAATAAGAATGGATGTATAGCGTTATACCGCGCGGTATAATTATAATCTCGCGCGCGAGTCACGTACTTAAGTTAAAGCGGAGGACAAAGAGGAGGTAGCGAGCCCGGCCGTCTAGGTTTCGGGGTCGAGCGGTAATATTTTCTCGCACATTCCGAATGGTCGCGGGTTCCCTCTCGAGGCGTCCGATCGCGTCGACTCTTGCTACCGTTAAATAGTCCGCCGGAGGTTTTTTAACCCCTTAACTTACAATATCGTGTGAGAGACGTGGTATATCAATCGGGGCAAACGTAAACAAAACGTATGAGAGACGTGTGAGACTTCGAACGTTCAGCCAAGCCGTGAAATGGCCCGATGTATGACCGACATTTTTGTTGTTCACGGCACGCGCTTTGGGAATTAAAATCGTAAGGCAAGGGGTTAAGGAAAGGCCTTAGAAAACGGGTGAAAAAAAAAGGGGGGAATCGGAGTTTGCGCGGTCCGGTGGAGTCGCTCGACGCGACGTTCCCGTGGCTACGTCCAGGGCGATATTTCCCCGGAAACGGTATCGACGGCCCGGTCCCACGAAAACGCGCGCGGCAAGGCTTGTAACGCGATATCACGCGATTATATTATAGACATCGACGTATCGACATTCCCCAGGAGGTAAATAAACGCTTATGCAATACGTAAGGTCGACCGGTCTCTGGAAGCGCGCTTCTTCGCGCGGCGAGGAAAAGTCGGCGGCCTCGGCGGCCTACATTCCCGGCCGCGAGGCGAGGACCGCTCCGAAACGTCGGACGGAACCCGCGGATTTCCCTCTCCCCTCGGTGTTTCTCCTAGAGAGCGACGGTCAACGGAGGAACGCGAACCTTCCGGAGAATAAGAAGAAAAATAAAAGCGGGCGTCTCGAGCCGGTCGGCTCCAAATTGGCGGGTCGGAGAGCTACCGGAGAGCGTCCTGCTCTTGCGGGCATCGAAGTCACCGTCGGTCGGCCGCGCGCCCCGCCTCGCCAATGAAGGAAATCTGGTCGGAAGCGACGCGCTCTCGAAGAAAGTAGGCCCGCGCGAGAGGCACAGGTGGAAACAGGTGGGAAACAGGTGGAAAAGAGAGGTTAGGAGGGCCCCCGGAGGTTTGCTCGCGTTCGCCACTCGAAGCGCCACTCGCGGGGCCGATACCAAAATGGCCGCCGCCCGCTCGGCAGACCGTCCGGGACCGTCGAGCGCGCGGGCACCGTGCCGGAGCCACCGGAGGTCCCCATCGAGTGCACCGACGATCGCCGTCTGACTCGTCCCAGGGACAGCGTACCTCCCGAGCGCCGGTAAGTCTCTCTCTCGATTTTCCGGGCGTCGCGTCCGTGCGACTGCGCGCCTTCCCCCGAGGCGGCGATCGGGACAGGTGTTTCCTCTGTGCCTCCGCGATTACCTCGGGCCCGCCGGCAGGAAGGACCCCCGGAGGATCGCCGCTCGGGTAAGCGAGAGGTTAAGAAACTTTGCCGGAAGTCCTTCCTAACGGGCGCCCGAGGATCTCAAGGACCTCGAGGTCTCTCCTCCGCTTTAGTCCATACATCGCGCGCGTTTTCCGGGAATTATTCCCCCGGGGTGTGCCACGTCGACCGCGTGCAGATTTTACGGGCGGATACCTCGTCAAGTTAATCGGGGGATCTCGACGCGGCCGAGATCGAGCGTTAACGGTAGTCCGACGAAAGGTTCGGCCGCGTCCGAATCCGCGTTTTCCATTACGGTTATCCGAGAGCACGCGACGGGAATTTCGGCCGAGCTCGGAACGAGGCGTTTTCCCGGGAGAAAATCGGCCACGGAGGTCGGCCGACCTCGGGATTCGGCTCTTCCGGGCGCGGTCTATTTACCGCTAGACGAGAGCGCGCGCTCGGTCGCGGCTTTCTCTCCATCCGGTAGTAGAGCTCCGCCCACGCAGAGGGAAACGAAATCCTGGAAGGAGCGACTCCACGTGCGGCGGAGACTCGCCGGGTCCTTAACGAGCGAGAGGCCTAAAAATCGATCGCGTAACCCGGGATTTTGCGGGCCGACGGTGACTTCCTTTCACCGCGGCCTCCGATCGAGATTTAAATCCCACGTCTCCTCGGAGGCGTGGGCGAGACGGGGAACCTTCTCCGCGGCTCCCGAGAGACGTCCGCCCGGTTTCCTTTCCGAGGAGCCCCTCCACGGGCACCCGGGGCGTGGGAGACTTTGCGTCGTTTCTCGTTCCTTCTTCGGGCCGCGTCTCCGGTTACCCGGGCGGAGCGAGAGGAAACGTCCGGGTTCCTTGGCGATTCCTTCTCAAGGCCGGGCCTGGCCGTCCGGCTTTCCAGGTGGTACCGGGAGCGGGAAGGACCCGAGGAGAATGTATCGGCCCAATTTCTACGAGAGCACGTGCCTGCGGTGCGCGCAGACGGTCTACCAGGTAGACAGGGTGGGACCTCTCAAGGACTTCACCTTCTTCCACGCGGGGTGCTTCAAGTGCGCCATCTGCGGGACCAAGCTCACCCTCAAGACCTACTACAACAACCAGCACACGATCCACGACAAGGAGGTCTACTGCAGCAGCCACGTGCCCAAGCCGGGCCCCGGGACCCTGGACGGGTCCAGCGTGGGCATCCGGAGCGCCCTCAACGCGCCTCGCAGCGGCTACGTAAACGAGCAGATCAGGGCGGGCGGAGCATCTCCAAGGGGCGTCTACCCTCCGGGGTAAGGCTCGCCGTCTCCCGCGAGGATCGACCGATTTTAATTAAGAACGTTCCTGCTTCAGGTACGAGCACGGGGATGCCTCCAACTCGGCAAGATACTCCAACGGACACGGGGCCTCGCCCGGCGGCAACGCCTCCCATCGGGATGGACCCGGGGGAGTACCCGGGCACAATTATTCCGCCGATGGGAGCTATCGGTACGGGAGGTTCGACGCCAGTGCCCTTCACATAGCTCACGCCCTGAAACAGACCGAGCTCCAAAAGGGCTACAACAAGGCGCGCGAGAAACCGATCGACTACTACCTGGTGAGTGGAAGGACGCCGACTTCGCCGACCCTTTTCCGGATTTCTAGGACTCGGCAATTATTCGGAGCGAATCGAATTTCAGGACCGAGACGAGCAAACGCGGCTGGAGATGAAGCACCGGAAGGAGGAGGACGACCTTTACAGGAAGTTCGCCCACCACCGGGAAGAGGAGGACCGCAGGATCCGGGAAGAGTTCAGGGTACGTGCTTGAATTCGAGAATCGCAGGAGACGCTTCCAACGACCGGTTTCTTACATTTGCAGGACGAATGGGAAAAGGAACTGGAGCGGCTGTCGGCGCGATGGGACCAGGAAAGAGGAGACCGAGGCGAGCGGGGTCGGAGCCAACTGTTCCTGCAGGAGAAGGAGAACCTCGAAAAGAACATGACCCTTCGAAGGGACAAGAAGAAGGAGAGTCTCACTCGGAAGATGCTCGAACACGAGAGGTGAGTCCCGGAGACGCGTCGAGCGAGACGAGATGTGTACCGTGTCGATCGTTGTCAGGGCGGCGACCGCGGCTTTGGTGGAGAAGCAGAGCTCGGAGATGTTGGAGCTGATCAACGAAGCCAGAAGCGAGTACATGTTGCAAGAGAGCCTCTATCTCGACGAAGGAGACGGGTATGCCCAAGAAGCGCCACCGCCTCCGTATCCGTCGCGAGCGCCACCCCCACAACCGCCCACTCTCGCGAAATATCACATTTATACCGATCCTCTGGAATTCGCCGACATGGACCAAATCGCCATCTCGGTAAGTGAGGGACTAGCGCGAACACGGCGATCGCCGTGGAATTTCTAACGCTTCGACCCTTCCTCCAGGTGGCTCAAGAGGACCAAAAGACTTTTACCGACCTGGTGCGGCAACTGGTCAGCAGGTGCGGATCGGACATTGAAAAGGCGAGGACGATATTCAGATGGATCACCGTGAAGAATCTCAACACCATGCAGTTCGACGACGACCTGAGGGGCGATACTCCAATGGGCTTGTTGAGGGGTATCAAACACGGCACGGAGAGTTATCACGTTCTCTTTAAACGGCTTTGCAGGTAAAGTTACGTTCGAGCCCTAGACCCCGCGGATGAGTTTCCGCGTCGGAGGGATGTGGACATTGTCGATTAACGTTGCTTCCGGGTTCTGTTTCAGTTACGCCGGATTACACTGTGTCGTTATCAAAGGCTACAGCAAATCCGCAGGTTATCAGCCAGGCGTCCGGTTCGAAGACAGCAAATTCAGAAATAGCTGGAACGCCGTCTACGTAGCGGGCGCGTGGAGGTTCGTCCAGTGCAACTGGGGAGCTCGTCACCTCGTCAACGCCAAAGAAGTTCCTCGTCCGGGACAGACGAAAGGAAACAGCGACAGTCTTCGGTTCGTCTAATGACCCTGTCCTATCGCCTCTTGTAACCGCTCGGAACGCCCGTATCCATGTCTACCATTTCTTTAGGTACGAGTACGACGATCATTACTTCCTGACGGATCCACGGGAATTCATTTACGAGTTCTTCCCGCTTCAAGAAGAATGGCAACTGCTGCAACAACCGATATCCGTTAAGGACTTCGAGGAGTTGCCTTTCGTCAGGTCGCTCTTCTTCAGGTAAGGCGCATGGTTTCGTCGATCGGCTACCGCGATCCCAAAAGGTAGAATGCGTACCGAAACGACAAGTGATGAAATCTATCGATTTCAGGTATGGCCTCTACTTTCCCGATACGAATACAAATGCCGTAATGCATACGGATTCAACGGGAGCCGCCACTGTGAGAATAGCTATGCCGGCTCACATGCAGTCGTCTTTGATTTTCCACTACAATTTGAAGTTTTACGATAGCGACGGAGATGGTTACGACGGAATATCTCTTAAGCGATTCGTCATGCAGGTAACCTTTATACAATTTGTATACAGTCACGGTGACCTCGAGTCGTTGTAAAGTGAGTAATCCTTAAATAAAAAAATACTTCAGTCGGTCGTTGGGAACATGGTAGCGTTCAGAGTTCACGCACCGTGTTCCGGAGCGTTCCTTCTGGATATCTTCGCCAACGCCGTTACGCCCAGGGAATATTTAACCGGTGAACCGATGAAATTCAAAAGCGTTTGTAAGTTCAAGATCGCTTGCGAAGAACTTCAGACGGTGATGGTGCCTCTACCTGATTGCGCCAGCGGAGAGTGGGGTCCTACCAAGGCGACCAGACTCTTCGGCCTGGTGCCGATCACCCACCAGGTTTGCAATTTAAATCCTCGGGGCGATAACGAACTCCTAAGTGGCTGGCATCGTAATGCACCACGCTTTGTTTCAGGATGCCCTAGTGTTCGCTGGCCGAGAATTAGAAATTCAGTTTCGCATGTCGAGGCCATTAACGGACTTTATGGCTACTCTCCATAAAAATGGAATCGAGGAGAAACGTCTGTCCAAGTATGTTTCCCATCTTGTGGCCGATAACGACGTGGTGACTTTCTCCATTAACTTCCCCGAGGAAGGGCAATACGGCCTCGATATTTATACCCGAGAATTAAGCACGCCGCCTCATCAGGAAGTCTCTGGCGAGAAACACTTGCTCACGCACTGTTGCAAATATCTCATTAACTCCAGTAAAAGGAACTAGCTATCCGAAGGAATCTTGGACATGCCACGTCTTACCTTTTAATTCGCGTCTCTAGGCGACCGCGGAACTAACTAATTTTTGTACCGTACAGTAGGGCAATTCATCGATCGTCCGATCTACCTAAAGAGGATTCCACGTTTCTTTTTTATTTTTTATTTTTATACCAAAGCTGAGTAAGACACCATCGTTGTCGAGAGGAATATTATAAGACGTGGCGCTTTACTCGGCTTTGTTCAAAAACAAGCGTGGACATTTCGAAGGCATAAATTGTCACGATTGTCGTAGCGTAAGTAATGATCGCCAAACCCTTTAAATTAATCTCAAACGTAACTGGTCTTATTTGGTATTACTACGTTTTTCATGATTATCTGTCTAAGGTAACTCTCATGTGTGCTAACTTAGCGATAAATATTCTATCGTAGTTGAGACTGTAATCAAGGATTATCCCGAAGCAACTCGTAGCTGAATCACGACGTAAGTCACGAACATAGATTTGTTTCTCGCGTTGGTAAACAAATTAAAAGTCGACGTGTAGTAATTTTAATTAGTCAGAAAGAAATGAATGCGTAATTCCAGTCGACTTTTGATTTGTTTATTCGTTATGACCAGCAACCAAAAATGTCTACTTATCGTACCGTGCTGGTCCTTGCAAGATAACTATATTTTGAGAAAAATTATAGAGAGAGAGATATATATATATATATATATGTATACATATACATAACTGTATTTATAAACGTATTACCAAATTGTAAATACAAATAAATTCATTCCACTTTGCTAAATATATCTCTTAATATTATTAATAACGTTGCAATATATAAATTGTTTATGATGGTTATATTTTTCACATAACTTGTAAAAAGTATATCTTTAACCATACGTGTTACGTACTTTTAATTATATTAGTTATAAAAATATTGTAATCGTATATTCGCACATCGGATTGGATTGTTTAGACTTGATCTAGGAACGCTCATTGTGTGGCAGTTATTCAAAGTATTTCAGGTCAATTAGACGGGCAATCAATTCAGAGAGACTCTATCAGCACAGCGATACCTTGACCACCGCCAATACATGCCGAACCAATACCCAGGCTGCCGGCTTTCCTCCTTCTAAAAAATTCAGATAATAAGTTAACCAATCGAAGGTTATCTATAAAGTATCAATTGTTTACCTCAGTTCGTGAGTTAAATGTGCCGTGATTCTTGAACCAGAAGCAGCGAGAGGGTGCCCTAACGCTATGGCGCCACCATCGACGTTGACTTTATTTATGTCTAGTTTCAAATCTTTAATGCAAGACAATGTTTGAGCTGCGAAAGCTTCATTGATCTAAACGAAAATTGATATTCAAGTAGTTATGGATAATACTCATCATTCTACGTATTTGCAATTTTACCGTCTTACCTCGACAAGTTCTATATCATCTATAGACTTTCCCGTAACTTTTAGGAGATTTCTGATAGCTGATACAGGACCGATTCCCATGATAGATGGATCTACCCCGACGACGCTAAATCCGATGATACGCGCCAAAGGGGTTAAACCTTCTGACTTGATGGCTTCTTCGCTGGCTAAGATTATTGCTCCAGCGCCGTCAGAAATCCCCTGGAAATATTAAAATATACATATTTTCGGATCCCTTAACCTCTCGTATGAAGACATACTTAAGTTCACGTTAAAGAGAAATCAAGGACTCACAGACGCAGTACCCGCGGTAACTAAGCCGTCTTTTTGGAATACTGATTTTAATTTCGAGAAATCTTCTATTTTTGCATTTTGACGTGGATGTTCGTCCACTTCTACAACTACATCTTTGTTTTTGATCTTCAGCGGCACGGGAGCTATTTCAGCTTTAAAACGGCCAGCGTCATGAGCTGCAACCAGAACGTAGTTACGAAACGACATTCCAATTATGGAGCGACTCTAAAAGGCAGATGACCTCTCACCTTCCTTCCAGAGTTTTTGACTTCTGAGGGAATATTGATCGGCCTCGTCTCTGGTAACACTATACTTTGCTCCAAGTTTTTCTGCCGTTAATCCCATGGGTAGTTGACAGTAAGTGTCCACTAGACCAGCCCAAAGGGTGTCTTCGAATTCATACTTTTGACCGATTGTTGTACCATAGCGAATATTTCTTACGGCAAATGGACATTGGCTCATATTTTCAGCACCACCAGCCAATACAATTTTTGATTCTCCAGTTAAGATACTCTGTAAAATTAGTTCATTCGGGAACACGGTGCATGTATATTCAAACTTAAATGATGATTAATTACAATTACCTGGATACCATTAACTACTGATTGGAATCCAGAGCCACAAAGACGATTCACTGCATAGGCTGGTTTTTCCAAGGGGATTCCACATTTAAGTAGTACGTGTCGTGGTAAATATATACCATCGGAACTTGTAGCCTTAAGAAAATGAATCACCAATAAAACGTGTAATAGCATGATTCTGTTATTTGATTCCATCGTATGATTTTCTGGAGAAGTTTATTGGAATTAAATCTGTGTGGTTATTAAACTTACGGACATGACGTTTCCAAAAATAACGCTGTCAATTTTTTCAGGTTTTACATTAGCAGATTGTATAGCAGCAGTGGAAGCAATTACAGATAACTCAGTGTGCGATGTTTTGGCAAATATACCACCCATTTTTCCAAATGGAGTTCGTTTCGCCCCAACAATAAAGATCCCTATAAAAAAAACATATACAAATTAAAACTTCCTAAGTTTATGTAATTAATTTCAGGACGATTATGGGAACGGAAGTTTGATGTTTTATCTGTATCCATGGGGATAATGTGCCAAGAAAATTATGCAAGAAATTATTTTTTGAGGTCAGAATTGTATAACACGTTTCCTTTGAATTGCAAACAATGACCAAGGTTCACTCGATAATCAAATGGCTTCACCGTACAGTGCACTTTATCAACAAGATAGAAAAGAAGAATAATACTTAAAACTCAATGCATTCAAAACTTAATGGTATTGAAAAAAATGTTTATTCATTGTTCATCACTGACATATAGATTTCTAAAACATACTAGGATATTGCATGCAATTTCAAAATGTACAAAGTAAATGAAGATATTATAGTTATATGCATACCCTTCTCTTAACTTACATACAACATATAATTTAACAATAATTTAACACGTACCTTTAGTTGTAGCAGCCATGATCGATCAATTAATAGAAACTTGGGATCCCTTGTTGCAGTCTTTAGTTGATGGAGGAGTGGCTTTAAGGAAAGAAAAAATAAAACGATGAGAGTCCAATCAAAGTCCAACCAAAATTATCATTCGTCATCATACTTACGACAACAATTCACTTAAAATAAATATTGCTTACGTTAAATACAGATTCTGGCGTAAAACGTACTCAGTATTGCATAAACTTTAATATATAAAATATTTTATTATTATCAGTACACTGTAACGCTTTTTTAACTGCCACTGATGCCCTATCATGCCCAATTGTTGCCGTTGGAAGCATGCAAGGAATATAAAGCTTTCCCCCTACTTGTTACTCCTTTCCTACAGGGAAGTCGGTAAGAAATCGTGGACCCTGCACCTGGAAAAGGAAGAAATATGAAATACTTGATTTTAAAGGAAACATAATTACAGAGATGAGTTGGGAGATTGCTCACGGGCAGGATCGTGAGATCGCATCTTGTGCTGCCCTCTGGTTTCGTACGTTAGCTTTCACCGTTTTTTGCCCCCAAAAAGTCTCCTTTGTGTGCTTCGTGCTCCGTAGTGTGCTATTGTTGACGATCACCGGCGCGCCCGGGCAAGTTCCGATGAGCCCCGATGGCTTTGTAATGATATTTGACAGCTAGGAATTTCAATTATTACTGAAAAATGGTTGTTGCGATTGGTCTCGAAGGCAGTGCAAACAAATTAGGCATTGGGATTATTCGCGACGACCAAGTACTAGCTAATGTAAGGTACACTTATATCACTCCTCCCGGTGAAGGTAATTCTAACCTTTCTTTTCCACATTTAAATAAATGGGAAATCAATGCCCTTTTCAGATGCTATTTAATACTCGTTATTTTTTTAAAGGATTTATGCCACGTGAAACTGCACAACATCATCGGAAACATGTATTAACAGTTCTAAGGAAAGCACTGGACGATGCTAGCGTGACAATGAAAGAAATTGACGTTGTCTGTTACACAAAAGGTCCAGGAATGGCTCCTCCGTTAATAGTCGTTGCTCTGGTAGCACGTACGATTGCTCAACTGCATAATAAACCCATCGTCGGTGTTAATCATTGTATTGGCCATATAGAAATGGGTAGACTTATTACTGGCTGCAAAAATCCAACAGTTTTATACGTCTCTGGAGGAAATACACAGGTCATTGCATATTCTCGTCAAAGATATAGGATATTTGGGGAAACGATAGATATTGCGGTTGGTAATTGTTTGGATCGGTTTGCGAGATTGTTAAAACTTTCAAATGATCCCAGTCCTGGTTACAACATTGAACAATTTGCAAAGAGGTAAATTATTACATTTATAAATAATAAATAGGAGTATCAGAAAGTATTTATGTACCCATAATGTTCTTAGTAGTTTATGAACTATAATTAGTGCAATTAGAAATGTGTTTAAAAGTTGTCCTGTATTCATGTTCCTGTTTGTTTTATATAAATGACAGTTGTATGATTATAATCTAAGGGGTAAAAATATGGTTCCATTACCATATGTAGTAAAAGGCATGGATGTGTCTTTTTCTGGAATTTTGAGCTACATAGAGGATCACCTCAATCGATGGCTTTCTTCGGGTGAATTTTGCAAGGAAGATTTGTGCTTTTCGCTTCAAGAAACCGTGTTTGCCATGCTTATTGAAATTACAGGTAGCGTGAACAATTGTTTTCCCCAATTAAACTTATTTGTTATTTATTAACATTGTAAAATTATTCATGAATTTTTTTATTTTAAAGAAAGAGCAATGGCTCATACTGGATCGAGCGAGGTTTTGATCGTGGGTGGTGTAGGATGCAATGAAAAGCTGCAGAACATGATGGAAACCATGTGCAAAGAACGAGGAGCAGTTGTGCATTCATCCGATGAACGATTTTGCATTGACAATGGCGTTATGATTGCTGTAGCAGGTTTGCTCCAATTCAATACCGTTGGTTGTACTCCTTGGATACAAACTACTTGCGTACAAAGGTATCGAACCGATGATGTACTCGTTTCATGGAGGGAATAAATGCATGTTTTTTATTAAAAACGAAAAATAACCATCCTTTTATCTAGTAATGGATATAATCAGAATTTTAAATAGGTCAGGTACAATAAAAGCAAACCAAATACGCGTCATAGTATCAAAGTACTTTGTTACTCAATTCCTAGGATACATTTTTATCAACTTCCATTTAGTTGTAGACACTGGTCGCCAAATTTATACGTGTTTCACTGCAAAAAACTTATTGCCCAGTATACTTTGAACACAATACTATGACAAATAGATCTTAAAACTACAACCAAATGACAGTGATTTATGTGAACAAAATTTGCCTGATATTACAAACTTTTTGTCATTTAAGAAGGGGTCAATTACTGAAATTCTATAATTTACTTAAATATACCATTATGACTGAAAGCACTACATTTAATAAAAAAAATTCTTTAACTATCTAACCTATTATTAATTTGTTTCATTCATCAGCACTTTCACTCTAAAATGTTTATGTGCACAACGGGTGTAGATCAGTTGTCAGAATTTCCTTTCTTAGACTTCCGTTGTCTAGGACTTTGTTTTGGCGATTTTGGCGATTTATCTGAAAATAAAAAACAATTAAGAAATCTCAATGCATTGTTTAGTGGTATTTTTACATAGACACTTACTAATTCTGTTAAGAGTCTCTTTTGGTAACCAATCGTAATCGACATTATTGGGGTTGGAAGTGCCTATTTCTACCGGTGGTTTGCGGGTAGACGAGGACCGGGATTTCCGTCCTAACGAAGATAGTAATTGCTGTCCACCTACAAGTGTCAGAATGACACATGCCGCGAGAAATACATAGAGGAATATCGTTTCTCCATCTAGACCCTCATCCAATTCTATAACTTGTACAGTTTCATTATAAACTGCTTCACTAAACGATGCTCCATTCTGAAATGTAGATTTTTAGTATGGTTATCATTATCTCATATATTGGAATTATGCGGACTGTTTTAACTATACGTACGGCATCCCTATAGTTCAGGTTTATATTAAGCCCAAAAGGCCGTCCAGCGAACACTTCAGGAGGTACGAATTGGTACTCTAACGTTGCCTCATGATCAGGTTTAACAACTCTGTTCAATGCAAGGGTAGAGAAATTCTGAATATAGAAGTTAAAATCCATGGGATAACGGAAGGATGCATCCAAGGTTTCGAGTACAAAATCGTTTGTTCCTTTGTTTGCAAAGCCTACGAGAAACTCGACTACTCCACCCGCTGGTAGTTCTGTAACAAAATTCAATAAGTAGCCGTTTATCATAAATAACTTTATCGCAGAACTTACCAAGGGTCGACAGTGCATTATAAATGGGTTTAGTAAACAGAATTATCGTGTCGGCATCTTTAGACGACGTAACCGTTTCTTCTTCTATTACGTCTTCGCTAACGACACTTCCATCTTCGCCCTCGATATCCACTATATCATCGACGAGCTCATCTTCTTGAGCATATACTCTATTAATTCCTGCAAAAGAAAGGATTTAATCAAGATTTATAATTTAAAGGACTAAAATATTTTAATCGCCTAAACTCCTTAGAGATAACTTTCTCAAAAGTTCAAAATCTAATAAGCTTCTCGACTGGATTCAAGGAAATATAACATCGAATCTAGGAATTTACTGCGATATCGAGGACACGATGCTTATGCGCACTGAACTTTTGAGAATTTGCGTACGTATTTATGAACATATTGTGAGTGGAGATTTACCGTGACTTAATGCAAGGATAAGCACCGATATGGTGAATGAGAAGATAACGTTTTTTCGCCTCATGCTTGCGGGATAGCTAAGAAAACGGTTTTTCTCGTGTGACACCGAACGCACGCCTGTTCAATCATCAACTGAACAACACCACCTTTCCATGTCCCGGCAACTATCATTTGAATTCCCTTGCTACGTGGAAGACGTGGTGGAGACTCGGCATCCTACTCAACTTCGAAACGTGGAATTCTACGAGCACGAATTATGTAGAGGAGGAACGCGCTTTGCGTTATTCCCATCGGCTAACCACCCGAAGACCTCCGCGCCGCGCCGGCAAAAGGGCGAACTAATCGGACAGGACGAACTTGTCGCTCGACTTCGAAGATGGCGTGCTATACCTTTTCCCTGGGGACGAATCGATTTAAAAAAATGTCATCCCATCGGGACGGGATTCCAGGCACTGGCCGGACGTTCAAAGTTGACCGACTAAGCCGGAGGGACCATTTTCCGGTAAGGGAAATTGCATTCGGCTCGATAATGCCCTATGGAAGGATCGATCCGTTTGGTACAGATGGACACTCGGAACGCTTCAAGATTCAGCGACACGACGGAAGGTCGGTTTCGAATTACCTTGAGCCACGTTGATTTGGGTATTAGAGAGTCCTTATTAGACGGTTAAAATTGCCGGGCCACCTGGCACGCGGCGTAGCGAGGGTACTTTCTTGAAACACGTCCTGCCACTACCGGTTGATCTACTTACGCTCTATGTATGCACATTGGAAACTTTCTTCAGTAATTATGTCATAACGTCCAAACTAGTTGGCATCGGGATCTCTCGTGGGAGAGGTGAAGAGACAATGTCTCTTTGTGCCTTTGTGTCTTCGCGCTACAGTTTTGCGCTTCATTGTACGTATCGTTAAAATTCATCTTCTCTGTCTGGGTGGAGGACTGCGAGTCGTTGCACTCTTCTGCGAAACCTCGCGCTCAATTCCTGCAATTCGTTCCTTCCCTCTTGAGCTACGCGGTAATATGTCCAACTTTCGTAAGAGGTAGAAAACCGGCACCGCCAAAAAACTCTGGCGGAAGCAACGTTTTTCCCCTCATTTTCCCTAAAATGGGTAATCTGCGTCGGCTTTAAAATTTTACAGCCACTGACCGGACATTATGGACCTATGCGGAAACACCAGGCTACATCGTAGGCCATCGAAATAGGAACGATTTCGTCCGTTTATAAAGTACATACAAAGAAGACCCAAATGGCCGGCCAAAGTCAAACTGGATCGTGGTTATGGCCAGTAATATCGACGGAATTGGAGAAGAAACCTATTCAAATGAGCCAGGAAATCTCGCGATCGGCGCATTACTCCGAAATTTCATCCGCGAAGCAATCGGCGTTTACGACATAAATAACCGAACGAAATTGGAGCATCGCCTTCCCATCGACGTCTCGCGCATAAATGCATCGTTTTCTCCGAAATCAGAGCGTGATCGGAGGAAAAGTCTGATCGGTAGACCGAATATCGGGTCGAAGACAATTTGATTACGCGGACGCGGATCAAGTAATCTCGAAAGCAAGTTAAAGGATTTCAATAGAATTTGGACAATATTCGGTACCCGGATACCGTATCACTCGGCTATTTCAGAGTAGAATTAATTGGTCGAAAGATGTTGCGCAATATCTAGGAGAAATAAGTGCAAAGTTATGCGCAAGCCACACTTTCAAAACCGTAGAGGAAACAAGTTGCTTGTGCAATGGTGCAGGTAGATGCGAGTCCCGATAGTAGGTACTACGGGTCTTACCAGAAAGGCGAGCCATTCGATCGTACATATGCCACTTAAATCCTGACGTTAGACCGACCAGGACCTCTCTTTTTACGATTCCGATACTTTCCGGATCCTGGTAAATCGGTAAATCGTATTTCTTCTCTGGCCGTAAATGCCAATCATCGCAAATCGAGGTCTTCCTTGTTTCTTTGTCGCGCTCGAGAAACCGGGAAATTATGGGCTACGACTAGGGAATCGGAGATCACTATTCTGTAAATATAGTAGCACTTTAGTAGGGTGTTTTTCTCTCTTTTTATATATAAGTTTGATTTAATTTTTACACCTTGGTAACTGGGGTTACTCGTTGTACTTTTAACCAACGGCGCTCGGGTGCCTTGTAACGCGTTCGAATTATGCAAATAAATGAAAATAAGAGAACATTTTCCGTTTCAGGAGAAGTCCTTGCAGATACTGGGTCACCGACCACCGCTAATTGACTCGTAGAGATTCTTTTTCCTCGTGGAACAAAGTGCGTATTTAAACACCCAAGGAATTCCGATCTGTAGCAACGAGTTACATAACGGTAAGCACCACCTTTTCCCTGGGATGGCAAGTACTTAGCCGAGCATGTAGATAGTACCTGTTACGATATGCGATTACATACTCCGTGACAGTCTCTCCGCGCTCTCCAATCCTGTTGGATTTGCATTTACAAAATGTTCTTTTTAACTACCACTTCCCAGTACGGGGCAAGAGCGTAGGCGAGTCGGTCTCTCGCAGTTATTGGAAACTGCACCGAGCGACATTTCACCCTGAAATAACATTTTCATTTTCATCTTCGTCTTCAAGCTAAGCGAGGAATCGTTTTCCCGTACCCCTGCTTCCGACTTTCCTTCATCTCCGCAACTCGCGACCCACGAGACCGAGAGGGGGAAGAAGATAAACAATCGGATCAATTTGATACCACCGGTAGGAGTAACTTTGCCACAAAGTGTAACTCATGGTTTTCCATTCGATTGGATTCCAGGTACCATCGGCGGGCAGTCCAGGTGGGCGCAACAAAGTTACGCGAGCGAGAAGGACCCCGATTAACGGTAAGGCGGCTCATCCTTTTCGTCCGGTGGGGAAAAGAAAAACGAGACGAGATCCACGCACCTCCAGCAGTAGTCGCGGAGCAGTTCTCAAAGTAATAGCGAAGCAGAAAGAAGGGTCAGGTGAGGCCTACTTTCTTCTAGATCGTCCGAGAGGGGAACTCGGCGTCGGGAACGGCAAGACGGCGGCCCTGTTAAACGCGCTTTTAGTCGCCACCTGACTGTCAAACCGCGTAATTTGTCGAAGGGAGGACACCTCGACACCCCGAACCATCGGATCATCGCTCCCTGGTCTGTGGATGCGGTCTCCACTCCGGCTTTGGATACCAGTGCCAGTGACACGTGCCAAGTGATCCCCCGCGAGGTTGCGGTGAGTATCGATGTCCTCTCCTCGTAATCGATCGCAACCCCGGAATCCAGGAATTAACGTGATCGGGAGATGCGACACGCTAGCGACCCACTTTCGAGAGACCGATTTCGTGCCTCGCGGTTCGAGCCTCGTTTTGAGGCTGTTACGCTGCGAGGATTCCGCGCGGCCCACTTTAGAAACGAGTATCATTCGAAGCTATCTTTTTTTTTTTCCTTCTTTTTTTCTCCTAAGATCTCCGCTGGAAACGCCGGAAGCATTTTCTTTTACGACCGGGCGAATTCGGTGACGCGCTCCTTGGGAAACCGATTTCAGTCCATTTAAAAGGGTCACGCTCTCGGGATTCAGCTCGGCACGCTCTTACGCGTGTATCGGTCGGTGAGTTTTTATCGAGATTTTTATCGGAAACTCTCGGTAAGTAAGTGCGCTCTTCGGGAATTTCCCGAGCAGTGAAATTGACGATGGATCGCTCTGGAAAACGCGTGCCGTGCGTGTCGCGGGTATGACAAATCGGGCTACGTAGAGTTAATCGGTATAGAAAGTCGACGCGTCTTCCATTAATCCTTCCTGAAATTCATTTCACGTCATCGGTAATGTCTCTTTGCCTTAGGTCTTGATGCTTGCTTTAATCGGATTTGAACGTTAAGAGGACCCTCGTCGATGAGCGATAGCTGAAAGAGGAGCTGGCAGCACGTTTCATTCAACGACCTCCGGAGGAGGAAAATTGTCGGCGACTCGATCGATGTAGAAAGCCGCGCTAGGCTCGACGTTTTCATACCGAGTTATCGGTAATAAGGTCTGTACAGTCATGCACCCTCTATGGGGATAATATTCGACATCGTTTACGTCTCGTTTCGAATCGGTCGTCCCGTGAGAATTCACTGCGGAACATTTGCGTTGCGAACGTTTAGAGTTGTCCGATGGCCGAGAATTCCTCTCAAAGGGATTTCGCCTAAAAGCGTTAAGGAAAAACAGACGGGGCTCGATAACGAGGGGAAAATGATCGCGGAGAGCAGATTTGACCCATGTAGAAAGTTGCGCAAGCTTGACGCCGGATGGTCCGACGTGACGAGGAAAGACTGCGAAGTCATGACATCCGCTGCCGGATAGATTTTATCTTCTTGTCATCGTTGGCGCTTTTTTTTTTCCTTTCCCGAAAGAGGCATACTCCGGGTAACGAGTACGACACACTTGCGAGAGCGTCGTCCCAAGTGCTTCCTCGTCGCGACCTAAAAGAGAATCGGACTTCCGGTTTTCGACAAAGCGACCGCTCGATTGGAAATAACTGGGCCGTTCGTTGATTGCAATTAATCGTTAACAGCCAGGTTTACCCTCTGAATCGCCGACCGACCGCGCTAATGAATTTCCGTCGAGCAAAAACGTAGGTACCCTAGGGCGAAGTTACTTTTTACCCTTCTCGGGCACGTAACCTGGGATTAAGTATGTTGCAACAATGAACGCGAGCAGGTGTACAGTTTATTGAGACGTGAAGCAAGTCTTCGGTATGGAAGGAAAAATAAGGAGCGATCGCTCGCAGTCACTTTGGTCACTTTTTCGGACTCTGGACCACTTTGGAGCTCCGGAGGATGGAAACTCTCGGATTTTTTAACGCTCGATAAAGCTAAATGCAGTTCTACTGAAAAACGAGGGGAGCGAAGTAAAAGGAAACGAGCAGTAAAACTTGTAAGGCTGGGAGCTGTTAGAAAACAATGTCAAGGTATATTAATAACGGAGAAATTGTTCCGTGACGGAGCGGAATACTTTGCAACCTCCGTTACCTTGTATCGCCAGGGCGAGACAAATTTCGTCACGTGCAATTTTCAACGTAATCGTATCTGGGGTCGGTACCCGCTCCCCGTAGTGGCATTTAATCGGAGGAAACGGTTTTCCATTAAAGGTAATCAAGCGCAAACTTAGAAAGTTCGGCAATCCAAATATACAACGTCGGGAAGATCGATCATCGGAGAACTCATGGACGGACACCACGTGTCGGATTTTATCGTCCGCAATTATTCCCGAGAACGGAACCCAGTGGTTGGTTTTTCTTACAATTAATGCGGGAGATAAAAGGAACGTAAACGATTCGTACGGGTACCATGGGTGGTGGAAAGGAAACGAGAAAATTGCTCCCGACGTCGAGGCACAATTTCGCGTTTTACGCCTGTACCGAGCGGCCTTATCAATGCTCCGAATTTAAATCGCAGCTATCCCAGAGCCATTGACGGCCGGCACCGCTTTATTACACCCGATGTAAAAGTGGTTATTACTCCATTATCACCGGTTTTACGGTGGCGCGGAGAGGGCCGTAAAATTGAGTATGTCCTTAACGCCGTAGGAGGTACCCGCGAACCCTGAAATAGAACCGCCGAACTCGAGGTAATCACCCAGGTAATTAAGAAATCTCAACGAGCGGTCTTATTCCTATCCGCGTGTAGATAACGTGCTCTCCGTACGTTCTACGCGCGAATCGCACCTTTTCCGGAAATTTGCATCGAATCGAGGGACTTTTGGGACAAAGGCCGGAAGAAAGGCGCTCCTGGCCGATGAGATAACTCGTCGAGGGTCTTACGTATCCCATTGCGAAATGTTCGGTCAAGATCAGTCGGCGGTTTCGTCCCGTCCCCTAAAAGAGAAAAACTGGAGCCCACAGCGGTCGACGTCGACTGTCGCTTTCGTCCCGTTTCTCGACGGACGAACCGAAGACAAGGCAAATGCAAGGAAAGAGTGCCCAAGTGGATATCTAGGTTAACGCGAATACTGGGCTCGCTTTTATATGCGTGTGGAAAGTCGGAGGATTCGTGCCGGCATCGGACGGCATTCGGGGAGCGTTCGAAGGAACGAGCCGCGATCGCAATTAAGTTTCATAAACGTATACGCCGGCGAAAAGGCGGCACGTACGCGTCCGCGGAGGAAAACCGCGTTACGGACGGGACGTATCCGTATAAACGGTGTTGCCCAATGGAAAGTCGTCCTGCACTCAATTATTCGGATCCGTGCTCGTTTCCACTTTCAACAATTAAGGTCAGACTCGGGTGGAATTTAATCGAACGCCCGCCAGTTGGGACAACTAGCGGAAGGCGACTTTGACTTTCGCGACGAAGGTGGCACGCGATCCGTGGGCCTTAAGGTGAAGTGAAACACGTCGAGGAACTTGATCGACGTCGAAGAAGATTTTTCTAAATGCCTACGTTGCCGACGTTCGTTTTCACATCGACAGCTGGGTCGAATTATATTGGATATTCTACCAAATGGTATACTCCACCTGTCGTTTTCGTACAATAAATATCAAGAAATCGACGTGTCAGGACAATTCTTAGATGATCAGGAGTGATGTGTCAAAGTTTCGGACAGTTTGGTCTAATAAAATCCCCCTAAATCCCTTAAAGAAAAAGTGTTGTATTCGAATCGACTGATTTGAAGGGGGTTTCACTTCACCTTAACGCAACGTTATTTCGTTTTGCTCCGAAGCGCGGCATCGGTCTCGCTGCGAGGCCTATCGATTTTTTAGGGGTTTTTCGGCGATCCTCTAACGCCCTTGGGGGTTTAGAGCCAAATACCGACGTGAAAGTGCATTCTTCGTCCACGTCGAGACGTGCCTTAAAATTGGAACGACCGTACGAACGCGATCGGGGAAAGCTAAAATCCTTGATCCCTCGTCGCGCATCGGGAGTATGGGGTAACGTGGCCGGACGTGTATTTATGAATCGGTGGATCTAACCGTGGAGGATTAGCCGCACGCGAATTAATTACCGAGGTCCTTAATTAACGGTGTCGCTTTCACTACCTTGACAAAGGCTCTCTAAAACCTTGCCCGCCATTTGGAGGCTCTCCTCGCAACGGGCTCGGCCAATTACGCGGCTCGGTTTCACGTCTCTTTCCAATTGTCGCATTCCTCGAGACACTGACCTCGGTACGCGGTTTCGCTCCGGATCTATCCGCGGAAAACGCGAGTAGAGCGCCTCTTGGGGGGATCCCTTCCTCCTTGCGCGTTGACTCGGGCGTTCCGCGGCGAACGGATTATCCTTAAAGGCGAGACGTGGAGGAGCGTTCCGGCATCCTTGAGCAAGGTTTTCGTAACCGGGCATTCAAGTCACTTTCTTTCCACGTTGGGACGCGGAGGAGACGCGCGGTTCCTTCGACTGTGGAGTTCACGGCTATGGAGAGGTGTCCACCGCGCCGCTTCCGCGATCCGGAGCGAATAAGGGAATCGACGAAGAAAGTGTCGGGGAAAACCAGGTTTCCGGACCCAGGGGAAGCGTTACGAAAATTGTAGACACGCGTTGTGGGGATTGTCTAGTTTCTCTCGAGGATGACGACGATACGCGATCCGTCGCGTTCGACGGTGGAGTTCACGGCTATGGAGAGGTGTCCACCGCGCCGCTTCCGCGATCCGAAGCGAATAGGGGAATCGACGAAGAAAGTGTCGGGGAAAACGAGGTTTCTGGACCCAGCGGGAAGCGTTACGAAAATTGTAGACACGCGTCGCGGGGATTGCCGAGTTTCTCTCGAGGATGACGGCGATACGCGATCCGTCGCGTTCGGAGAAAACGCGCCGCTTGGCCGTTGGTTCTTCCGTGTCTCTCGAGAGTCGGACAAACGGCGAATGACCGTCTTTCGAGGATCTTTATCGCTTCCGAGTCGCAGGATTTCTGGGATTTAGCGGGACGATCGCCGGCTCCTGGACCGAGGTGCGACAACGCGAGATGGAGGCATGATATTTCCAGGGCGCTTTCTCGCGCTTAAGCTGAATCCATTTACTCCGGTGCTGATTGAATTAATTGCGGGATTAATATGCGAGATGAAAGTGCGTCGATGAGATCCTCTCGGCGCCGGTTTACCCTCCATTGTTCTAACTCGACTTTCGTTTTTGACTGTTTCAGATTATACGCGCAAATGTTATGAGAGCCTGACAGAATGTTACGAAGGCAAGGATTACGCGGTGAGTGGCGTTCTCGCGATGTCGTCGATCGTTAAGCAATTAGAATACCTTGGGTCTGTAACGAATGGCTTCTTGCAGTTGCCGCGGTCCATCTTTGGACCGTCGTAATATCAGCTGCCTTGACGACATGGACATCGGCTCAGGGAATTACGGTTTCCGTCGACCGTGCGGATACCAGCGCCGTAAGAGACGTTCCCCAGTCCTTCTACTTTCGAGTTTCGTGTCTCGTATCACTTTTTCGAGATCGCTAACATCGTTTCCTTTTAGGCCCCGACCCGCGCCTCGATGATCGCCGATGGATGGAGGCCGCTGACGACGGGCTACGGCGCCGCGAACGGAGCATCCGCGGGGAGTTCCGAGAGAAACGGAGTCCATCCCGTGCTGGATGAGGTCGAGGACCGCCTGGCCAGCTCCGAGAAGCAGAAGCCTCGGACAAAGGTGCAGAGTCAGGATTACGCGCCTCCCAGCATCCTGGGAAGCTTCAGCGTCTTTGGACACGCCGCGACGAAAGCGCGCGTCAAGTCGAAGGATCACATTAAGCACGTTCCCTCGGAGACGAGGGAATACTCGTTCCTGATACCTCCACCTCGAGACGCGTTCCGTTTCGACGTCGACCCGCAGAGAAAATCGGTTTTGCGAAACCAGGAAATCTTCCCGAGGCAGCCGACCTACGTCCCGCAGGCCCATCAGCAGGACGTCAGGAATCAACCGTTCGTTCCTCAGAGCCATCACGCGGACATCAGGAACCGGCAGCAGTACCTCTCCCAGGCCCACCAGGAGGATTTGAGAAACCAGTACATTCCTCAAGCTCACCAGACGGACGTTAGGAACCAGCCCTTCGTCTCGAAGGGTCCGGTTTTTTCGTCCACCCCGCATCCGCAGATTTTCTCGAAAACCAGGCCCGGGCCCACCGGTTTCGGGGGTCAGGAGATCTATCAGCCGACGAGGCATCAGATCGCGTCCTCCGAGTCGGTCAAGGTGACGAACACGAAGCCGTTCCTTCAGCCCCCCAACGTAGACGTGGCTAAGGCTTTCGAGGCCGAAAAAATAAACGGACATCCATACGAAGGATACCACCTTCAATCTCACAGTGGACAGGCCCTGAACGGAAGGACGGGAAACTACTTCAATCAGATTTACCATCCCACGCCCTACAAAACGTATTTCGAGAGGGATCCGGCTTTTCTGATACACGAGAGCCACGAGGTCAGTTACGTGAGACCTCGGGAGAAATTTCCATTTAATTTCAGACAGCCTTTACCCTATGAGAGTCTGTCGCCGCCCAATAACTACAGCCCAACTACTCCTTCCGGCACGGAGACGAGCAAGTTCGTTCCTTATCGGGTCAACAACGATCCCAGCGGAGGTTTCGACAGGAAGCCCCTCGAGGACTCCAGAAAACACGCCAATAAGTTGCCGCAGGTTCCACAAACCAACGGAATACCCAGCAGTTACTATTTCCCGGAGCAGCAAACGGTGACCACTCCTACTCCGATTTGGTCGAATCCCACGCCCATGTATACCACTGAGATCAACGAAGTACTTCCCAGGAAGAACCCTCCGCCCAGGTTCAACCAGGAGCCAGAAAATGCGAATCGGAACGTCCACTATCACCAGCCGGCTCCGGAAGTGGTGTACATAAGGCCACCTCAGTACCAGAGTTCGGCGAGGCCCGTCATCGTCCACCAGCAGAAACCACAGGAGGTGGAGTACGAAACCCCCGAGAGCATCTCGCTGAAGCACTTCAACGAGCAGCAGTTTGCGCTGCAGCAACAGCTCCTGCAGCAAGACAGGCAGCGACTTCGGGAACAGGAGCTGCAGCAGCGCGAGATAGAGCGCCAAGAAAATGCGGAACTGCGCAAGGAGCAGGAGGCGAACGCTCGAGACAGGACCAAGCAAGTCGTTCAAGAAGAGGTCGTGCCGGAGGGGATTTCGGGTTTCCACGAACCTCCCAAGCAGGAAGGGGTCGGGCAGATCGAGCATTACGTCGTCGAGGGACAGAAGAAGGTCCCGGAAGAACAGACGTACACCGTGCTGCCCCAGCAGCAACAAGTAGTTCACTTCCAGCTGTCGACGGTGCCGAGCACCAAGGTGGAAGAAAGTCCAAATCCCTACGAGGAGCAGCTGAAGAAGCCTCAAGCGTTCGAGGAGGTAGCGACCGATCTGCAGAGGATCCCCGACCAACGGCCGCGAGAACCCAACCGGGCGCAAAAGCCATTCAGGAACCAGAACAGGAGACGACGACCCAACGTCACCCCTCGTCCGACTTACGAGATCTCCTCGTCGGAGACTCCCTCCCAGAACTTCGAAACCTACGAGACCGCTTCTCCGGAGCCCGAGGTTTCGACGTACGTCTCGACCTCGAGGCCGAGATCTAGAAGACCCGACGCTCCTTTGAGGAGAAGGCGTCCGATCGCGAGTACCGCCGAAGCCGAGACGGAGAGACCCGCGATAAGCGACGATGCGGTCGAATACGAGAGACCGGCGACGAGCCAGGACCCGATCCAGGACGAGAGACCGACTCCGGGTCGAGATTCGGTAGCGCCCGAGAGGCCAGTGATAAGCCAGGATTTGTCAAAATACGAGAGGCCGGTGACGAACCGGAGCGAATCCTTGGCCTACGAGAATCCTGGAACAGGCGGGGAAGATTTCTCCAAGTACGAGGGACCGGGATCGAGGGACGGGGACTCGAAGAAATACGAGAGACCGCAAACGAGTCAGGGGGATTCGAAGTACGAACGACCCGACGGGGACTACTCGAAAACGAGGCAGCGGCCGAGTCCGTCGACCGATCCGGACTCGGAGCCGGAAAGAAGGCCGGTGATCAGGAAACGACCCGGTCACAGGTTGAGGGTCCAGCCCGGAGAACCCTTCGAGGCGGAAATCGTGACGGAGCCCGTCCAAGCGCCAAAGACGACGCAGCAGCAGATAATCGAATGGGGGACGTATTACGAGAGCAACAAGGATCCGTCCCAGCAATCGGAAGTCACTTCCGCGGAGCCTCGGGCCACGTTTCCTCCGAGGTTCGAGGAGGGCTCGACGGAAAGCGTCGGGGAACCGGAAGGGTCCTACCCTCAAAAGACTCGCTTCGAGGAGACCTATGCGCAAAACGCTCCTCCCACGGAGAGCTTCCAGAACGGAAACGGGAACATTCCTCTGGAGAACTTGTTTGGGAAACCCGAGAGGAACCACGTAGGATACTACACCACGGCGATTCCGGACGAGTCCTACGATCCTCCAGTTACGACGACCACGGAGATCGCGACCACGACTTCGGAGGCCACGTCGACCAAAAGGTCGCACCACCGAATCCGACCGATGCGATTCGGGAACAGCACGAGGCCCAGGTTCAGCGTCAAGGACTACAAGAGCAGAATGGATTTCAAGAACAAGTTGTCCCAGAGTTCGACGACCGAGGCTCCTCAGGCGAGCACTCCGAGTAGCCACCGCGGTACGACTACCAGGCCTCAGGAGGCTCAGGAAGCTCCCAAAAGGGACAACGGCAGGTACAGGTACACCTCCAGGGGATACGGCAGAACGTCCTCGACGACCGTGGGATACGAGCAGGCGGAACCGGAGACCGGGACCGGCACCACGGAGAAGCCGAACGGGTTCGTCCCGAAGAGGAAGCCGAACAACGGGCACCTGTACCGAAGCAGGTTCACCACCAGCACGGCGAGTCCTAGAAAGCAAGAGAACGAGGTCTCCGTCAGGCTCGGCACGGCGAGACCCGAGAACGTGTTCTCCTCGTCGATCAGGAAGCGGCCGCTGAGGAAGAGGGTCCATCAGCAGAAGGAGTCGAAGAAGGAGGGAAGCACCGAAATGGCCGCCGCCGAAAGCAGCTTTTATCCTTCAACGACGGTCTTCCATTTGCCCGCCACCGTCAACGAAATCATCGAGACCCCCGACGACGGCACCCGGGAGGCGTCGACCGACGTGGCCACCACCGATACCCACGTCGCGGAACCGGACTCGGAGCAGCCCGAGCAAGACACGAATCCCCCGGCTGTTGAAACTCCCACGACGGTTACCGACCTATATTCCGACGAGGAGCTCTTCGCGAAGGCCTCCCAGAGCGTCGCGGACCTGACGGTGTCGGCCTCCGCCCTGTACGACAAACCCGGGATGTTCAAAGCGGTCTCGCCGGCGACGGAAACCAGAGGAGGCGCCAACCGCTTCCGCGTCATCACGGACGAGCCCACGCTGCCGATAGAAGCCTTCTTTCAAGAACTCTCCAAGAACGACTGACCGGTAGAAGGTCTCCGTCGGGATTTCGGCTGAATCTTCCACTTCCGGCGTGGCGAGGAGCGTCCTTTTTCCTTCCTTTGGACGTACGGATGTCGAGTCCGTGTTCGTAAGATAATGCTCCAGGTCGGTTAAGGATCGGTTAAGGTCGGGATCGGGAGGGTGCAATCGGTTCTATGGGGGGAAAGACGCCGAGGATTATTTATGTAATAGACGAGCACTTTTCACTTTCATTTCTTGCACCTTTCCGGCGAAGTGCCTTGCTCGAAGTATCGAAATCTCGGAGTCTTTGACGTAACCAGGTACGAGGTATCGGTTGAGAGATACCCGGGTTAGATCTCGGGGTCTCGAAATCACGCGGGATCCCCAGGTTTTCCCGGATTTAATTTATTCTTCGGTTGCAAACATAGCGTCGGTCACAAGTGAAATTAGTTTATATACAGCGTCAAAATCGCGGTAGGGATTAAATACGGATTAAAGAGTAGGAACCACCGCCGACGCTAAGCTCGTAATAATTCTCTCGGATACCTGCTCGTCCCTGGAGGGTAGTCAAAGTACTAATATTAACTATTTATCCCCTGTCCCATTTTTTACCTTTTTTTTCCCACACTTTTCGCCCATTTCATTTTATTGGATTTATCCGGTGACACGCGTTCCAATGGAACCGAAATTTCTTAACGGCACGTAAGTTTAGATATCGGCCCTGACGTCAACGATACCAAGAGCGGTATGCTTACTCTGTACATAGTTTAAATATTCACAAGAGGCATTTACCTGATTATAAGTTATCCAAATTGTTGATACTATCGGATATTAGCGTAGATAATGTCGCTAGGTTACCCGTAACTACGCGATGGCCGAGCGGAGATGGAAACGAGAGGACGGGCATGGTTCCCTAGGTGCGCGAATCTATGTATCGGAAACGGAGAGATTAAAAGTATTTATTTAAATTACCTGATCCGGGAGATTCGCCGGTGAAGATGACGCGGGACGGGGGAAACAAAAAATTGTAACCGGCAAGGAACGACGTACGTCCGGGCGTTTGGCTGGCTGGATGTGACACAGCCGAATTTTCCTAAACATCAGCTATGCCGACATCTTGCCTTCTGGACGCCCAGTTCCGATGAAGCCGCCTCTCGGAGTCCGGTTATTTCCGAAAGTTAAAATCGGAGTCGCGGTACCGATCGAGGGGGTACCCATTGTGCTCCTCGTCGTGGCTCGGCAAGTTGGTTTACATACGCATAAAGTATGCGACTCGTGTCGCCCGGACTTAGAAGGTTCCTTAGGTATGCCGGCGATGCGAAAGCGGCCCAAGATGGAAGTAGACGGCCCTATGGGGACAAGAATGGAATTTTAATGCCACGTTATATGACGACTTCGGGCATAATTGCGGGTAAAACGTAGCCGGACATCGAGAGATATCCCAGCGACCCGTTAGTTATATATTTTCACGGTGCATCCCGTCTTTTTCCACGGCCCGTGAGTCCGAATTTGAGCGGAAGGTTTCCGCGAGGTCTGGAACACCGATGACCCTGGAGTAGGAAATTTAGAGCATCCTTGCGATCGCGGGCGAGAACTATGACTAATCTCGAGATTAGATTAAATTCACCAGGACGGCCTTTAGTCGCGAGAAAAGGGCAGCCGCGATAACGCGACAAATGTGTTCCTTTTCTTTTTTTTTCTTCCAAAAACCCCTCGAGGAAGAACTCCAATCCGGTCGATTATACGTAATCCCGTCCCGACCGACGTCGCGGGGAATCCGATAACGTCTCGGCCGGCTATTATTCAATTGAACCGATACCAATATCACCGTTCTTTACGCGAGAGGGAACGCTTCGGTTTATCGACCCATTCGATACCTATCGATCGCGCCGCGATATCGCGAAACCGGGCGTCCGATGTCCCCGACGTTCTTCTCTCGTTAAAGAAACGCTTGTCCGGGGCCGACGAAACTTGACGCGAGGTAACGCCTCGTTTTATCGACGCAAACTTAACGAGAGGTAACGCCGCGTTTTATCGACGCAAACTTAACGCGAGGTAACGCCGCGTTTTATCGACGCAAACTTAACGCGAGGTATCGCTTCGTTTCATCGACGCATTCGATACCCATCGATCGCGCCGCGATATCGCGAAACCGGGCGTCCGATGTCCCCGACGTTCCTGTCTCGTTAAGGAAACGCTTGTCCGGGGCCGACGAAACTTAACGCGAGGTAACGCCGCGTTTCATCGACGCAAACTTAACGCGAGGTATCGCCGCGTTCTATCGACAAAACTTAACGCGAGGTATCGCCGCGTTTTATCGACGCAAACTTACCGCGAGGTATCGCTTCGTTTCATCGACGCAAACTTACCGCGAGGTATCGCCGCGTTTTATCGACGCATTCGAAACCCATCATCGCGTCGCGATACCGCGAAACCGGGCGTCCGATGTCCCCGACGTTCTTCTCTCGTTAAAGAAACGCTTGTCCGGCGCCGACGAAACTGAACGGCGACTCGAAAAAAAGATGCCGAGCGCAAACACGTCGAAGACCCTCTACGAGAGAGTTCCCCTTTTCCTTTGGGAATTCCTCAGCCGGGCTGGGGAATCGTCGCGAGGCAGGGACCTCCCGGGCGATGCCAGAAGAGAAGCGGGCGGTTCGTCGCCCTGTGGTCTCTCCTCGGCGCCGAGTCCCTGCAAAAGACGGGGTAAAAGGGCGCCCTTGCGGGCACGCGCGAGGTCGGGACAGACGACTAAAACAACAGCAGCCCTTACCGGGGTGTCGATCCTCGGGAAGTCGTCCTCTCGCGAGCTCGAAGAGGGCTCCTTCGACGGACGCCGCGGCGGCGGTCCCCGTAGTATCCAGGCCGGGGAAGAACCGACGGCGTGGGCGTCGCGGTGCCGAAGACGCGGCCACCTCGGACGCGTCCACCTCGTCCGCGTCCACGGCTAAGAATACAAAGAGGGGATGGACCCGTCTTCTTTTTCCATTGGCTCGGGCCTCGGCTCGGACCTGCCTCTCGTTGGCCTCTCGTTGCCCTCCCGGCCGATCCCGCTCCCGTCGCTAATCAACGCGCCATTGTGCCAACGGGTTTAGCTTGCCGCCGCTAAACGGATCCACCTTGCCTTCCCCGTCGCCTTTTGGGCCCGACGAGGAGAGCGAGGTTGCTCCGATTTCGGACACCTCCCTGGACGCGGTCGCGAGTCTTGAAAAATCCCGAGGGGGAGCCGCTCGGCCCGAGCACGCGCGGAGGTTCCTCCTCCTCTCCGTGACTTCCGGTCTCGAACGCCGCGCGCCGTTCACCGGATATGGCGAGGAACCGACGCTCGCCGCGGCGTCGGGCCGAATTTCTTATGCGGGTCACGGGACGCCCCTCCGAAATACCGAGGCGAGGACCGATGACGCGCACCCTCCGCAAGAATGGCGACGCCACTTTCCGATCCTTTCGGCCGTCCGGGTATTGCCTCGAATCGCGACCGGCCGTCGAGACGCTCCGCAGGAATGCCGCGGTCGGCGTCGTTGACGTCGGCCGAGCCTCGAGCCGGGGTTCGGAGTATTCCTCGAAATAAAAGTAGTCGATTAGTAGGCATCCCGTCGATCCGTCGGCGGAGAAAGTCGCCGTTAACAATGGCGCTCCGCGGTCGCCATCGACGCCGACCCGATCGGCAGTCCGGACACGTAGGTCCCGACGCAGGAGCGGATACCGAGCGCCGAGGCCCGGCCGGATTAGGCTCCCTCGTTGCCCCGGTCGTTCCCGGTCGTTCCCGGGGCTACGACGGACCTCGAGAAGTGGGCCGGGCGCGTGCTAATCGACGAACAAACGGCTACGGTTCGAGACCGCGCGAAAGCGATCCTTGGCGCCCCTTCGATAACGAACCTCGCGGCACGGCACCTTGGATCGCTCGCGACTCCTCGTTAACGATCCGTTAAGTACGACACCGGGATTAACTGCACTTGAAGCCCGACCGGTAACGAGTCGACGAGTACCTCCGAGGAAAAGAATTCCCCGGACGAGCGGGAGCCGAGCTCCCGGAGGAGGTCCTCGACGAGAATCGACACGTGGCCCGGTCCGGACGGATCTCGACTGAGGGGAAAAGAAATTCTTCCCGGCGCTCCCGGTGGACTGCTCGTGGACGCGACGCGAACGTCTCGGATTGCTCTAACCAGGAAACCGTTCTCGCCTTACGGGATCCCGGTGCGTCAATATTGACTCGTTTCTTACGAAACGCACGAGCGGGATATGTTAGCGATCGTTAATCTTGGCCCCTCGGACCGCTGATAATTCTCAAGGAAACATTCCTTGCGTTCGACGATCGTCGATGACGGTTTAGGTGCGCCGGACCGGCTCCGAATTTCTCGCCGGTCCGCGGTCCCAGGGCGATCGTCTCTCTCGAGCGGACGCGGTGGGCAGGAAGTCGGGCCTCGTTGCGCAAGTTCCGTCATTCAGGAATCCCCGATTAGGAGTAAACTGCACCCACGTAACGCAACAATGGTCCGCATTGTCGGCGCCCTCCCGGTCGCGTTTTTGTATTTTCATTTTGACGGGGAAGGTCGGACCGCGACAAAAGATCCATCCGTGTCGAGACTTTTCCCAATCGGTCCTAACTTTATTTCATCTTGCGTTATACAAGGTACCTACGACTATTCAACAACCGTCCTCGAAAGGAAAACAAAATCCCTACGGGTTCGCTTTAACGAGAGACGGGACTTCGCGCTAACGACGATCACAACCTCGCCAATGAGACCGTTAATCGAAAGAAATTTCATCGACTCCTTCGCGAGATCCCTCGGGAGTTGTAAAAAATACGCGCTAATCCTGGCATCGGCCTTGTGCGAGACGTAACGAGTAAATTGCACTTTGTTTTATCCTAGAGAACGTATCGACGCCAAGTCCGAGTTACGTACGGCGCGCACCGGTAACGTTCGAGGTAAATGCATTATTTCTCTCTGTTCGTAAACGAACCCTAGAAGCTCTATGTTAATTATCGTTTACACTCGTCGACGCTTACATTTTCGGGCACCTTCGTTTGGCCAGAAGACGCATAAAAAAATCCGCCTCCCGCGGATATCCTAATCCTAAAATGTTTCCGTAGCTCTATGCGCTTTCTATCCGAAAGTAACGAGCACCGCGGGTTTTTTCATCTCCCCTTATCGAGAGATTTAAAAAGAAATGTATGTACAATCGGAGCACTGCTCGACTTTACGATCGACGTTTATCCTAGAGATGTATCGGCGCTATGCGACGACGACGAGAAAACGTTGCTTTACAATTTTATTAAGAATGATTCTGAGCTCATCCAGGATCTCGAAAAACGCTCCGAGCCGTCCGAGTACCCGCTTGACTAATATCGAAACTTATTATCAAGTATTTAAAGGTATACTTAACACGATCTTCCTTAAATTTCTTCTAACTCGGGATTCGAACGATCGAACGTTGTAGGCAAAATTCCTCATCTAACTGCCATGCAGTCTTCTTGACCCTGTCTTTTATCTACAAGCCGAATAAAGCTTGTCGATCGAAAGTACACTAACCCGAAGCCGGGTAATTTCACGAATCCTAACGTTCGCATAGCCATTACGATAATATCGCCCCTTATGTGGGTGGAACAACGATCACAACCTCGTTATGAAATAGATCAAAGTCTCGCCATTGCGTTGTACCAAAGGGTAATTAATTCCTTCCGAACGTGTAAATTAAACTCGACTGAGGGATGCTAACTTGGGAATGGTTTTACCAACCTGCTGTCGAAGGAGACAGATTTTTACAAATGGCACGTAACGTGGGTACATTATTGTGAGACTTTGTCGTCGTAATATCCTATTTACGGAGGAAAAAAAAAAGTCTTCCTTTGACTATCTAATCTAGAGAAATTATTCTACGACAATAATTGGTGTCTTTTCTATCACTGACTTAGGCATGCGGAATAACTGGATGTATGGCCTCTTTATACCTCGGAGTAACCTTGATATGTTATACCATGCGGAGATACTGTAGCCGAAAAGTCGAAAGATATTAACGTTACTATTGTCCTATTGAGGTTTAAATATTCAAATGGTAATGCAGAGGGATAACAACGGTCCCAAATTTTCTTTCCGCTGGATAGATCCGTGCAGTTCGTACAATTGTTAAGATGCTAAATTGCTATCGCCAACAAATCGCATTGTGGCGTCAAGAAATTGATATAGATTTTCCTATAAATACTTCCTCGTATCTCTTTATCTTCTCAATATTAATATTGAGCTTATTGTGATGCGTTTAACGAGATAACGCAAAACGTTCCGCTTCAGCAGTTCAATCCCAGGAGTTTCTTGAGAAATACTCAGCTGGATCTATTATACAGTTTGGCTCTGTAGTCCATGCAGTAACGTCCGTTGTTCCGATTTCTTTTTTTAAACATTTAAAATTCCCACAACGTGTACGACGCTGTCCAAGGCGTTACTATTGTCCACGAAGGAAATTGTGATAGAAATCTTTTAAATCGTAACGACTTTTGATTTTCTCCGTGTAAAAAGTGGCCGGCAAGGGCAATCGATAAACAGGGACCTCTGTGTCCCGACGGTGTCTGGAAAAAAGTTGACAGAATAATTTAAAGGATAGAATTCCTCAGGAAAAAAAAAAATTGCAAGGATCAATTTAAATATTTATCCCTTACAATTAGCTCTAGAGAGAAGCTGTACGGCTCACAATTGGATGCACAGGAATAGTAGACGAAATACGTTTCCCTGTTTTTCCACTTAGGACCTTGCAAAGGTTGTCCCTCTAAGATGCTCCATTTTTGTAGGTGAACTCCTTCATACGGCGACATTATTATTCCTATATGATCTGGGCCTGAAATGCAATGCAAAATTAGTATCAAAATATCAATTATAGACCTCTGCACAGCTGTTTCCTTTCGTTGAATTACGTTTACCTGTCACATTGAATGTTAAATTAACAGTGGTTCCTTTCGATATTTTTGATATCAAATTAAGTTCCGTGGGAATCTTTATCAGTGGCGCTGGTCCAGGAATCCAACTAGTTTTCCTGTTAGAATGTAAAGCTCGTTAAAAGTATAATCACACTGGGCCAGTTTTGAAATCGATTCCACTTGTGTTCTTTTAAATTAATCACCATAGAAAAGTCGTGACAGGCATCAAATATGGTAAGCCGCAGTATAACTCATTTTCACAATCCTTAATAGTTGGTATGGCTGCTCCCATCTCAGGTACCATTGCCTCTACACTTTGCGGACTATTCATATCCAAATCGACAACCCAAAACCCAGTTGTCGAATGTCGAAGTGTACCATTAGCTTGGTAAAACTGTCGTTGAGCATGCTAAATAAGAAATTAAGGAATGCGTGTGAAAAATGTAATAAACCTGGGTTGCTCTGAAAACAAGTATTTAAAAAGATTTAAGTAGAAAAAGTGAAAGATTGTTTACCGCAATCATGAAACGTTCAGGAGCTGGCGCCAAAGGATCGCCACTGTATGGAAATCCAAGGGGTGTTAATATCAGTATACCAGTGGCAAATAAGAATGTTCCAATCAAGACACTCATTACCCTGTCTGCATTTTTAATTAATAGAACAATTGGCAACTGAAATGAAAATTGTCTCCATTAAGTATGTCGGTTAAATATGATCTTACTAGAAATACCTGTGTTATATGTAATATTAAACGCATTGATTACCGTGAAACTGAGCAATAGACAAAATAGTATCGCCAACATGTTTGCCATGACAACTTCAGAATTAATTCCTGCCCCTGCTCTACCCATTATTGGAGTAAATAAATAAAGGGCACCGATAGCTAAGTAAAAAGATTGGACATACGGCAATGTTAATGTTCCCAGCTGGTAACACAGCCATTTCCAATCTGCAAATGCAACACGATATGATTTCATAGGAAAGCAGTATTAAATTACGTTTATATTACTCTTATCACCTTTTAAATAGTTGAAGAAGTTTTGGCGTAAAATGTTCCCAACAGCTGAAAACAATACCCAATGCAGGGGAATAAATCCAGATCGAATTTTCAGCAAGACGCAAATGAATAAAATTATCATCCAAATCACGCTGTAAGCATCGCAGTACAGTTGATACAAAGTCCATGCCGACGTAACAACCTGTAGGGTTACATAGCCATTTATATATATGTACACGCGCTTTCCCATAATTGTGCATAACATAAATAATTCATAATTACCCGTTTTTGATGAGATGCAATGTACATGAAAAAGATCATTGACACAAAGACAGTTGGGCAAACGTAGAGAAAGAATAACCACGCAGGTCTGGCATACCAGCTCATTACTCTTCCAAGTTTCGTCAAGATTAAAGCAATTAATGTAACAGAGGACATCGAAATGATCCATGAAACGATGACAATTACAACGCAGGACATTAGTTGCTTCATATAAGTTTGTGTTTTGATATCTGCACCAAAATGAATAATTAGTGAACTCTGGACAGACACGGTAGCAGATAAGTTTTTGGTCGCTTTTGCGGAAATTAAATTTACCCCTTCGTGCGCTTTGCATATTCAAGTAAATAGAATATATTCCTAAGAAGATTCCAGTGAGATTGACAGCACTTGCCATATACTGAGGCCAGCGAATAACAAAGGCTCCCAAAAAGTCAAAAAATACAAGACTTCCATCTGGATATTGACTGCCGGAGTCAGATAAATAATGTCCAGATATTATTCCTCGAACCAAAGCCAAAATATTATCTCCGGATCTTTGCAATGAGCCCAATGGTATTTGGTCAACTTTGTCAAATCGTGTATGGTACACGTAGCCATTTGTCGACCAAGCAAAATCAAGGCCTATAACATCAATAATTTATTGTAAGCATTAATAATTTGATTTATCCACCAACTAGAAAAGGGAATCAAAATATTACCTGAAACTTTTCCAAAGTCTCTGAAAATGCGAAAATCAGTTTCTCCAGGCACGATTCCACTTTGAAATATTTCTTGAGCCAATGACGAGGCATAAGGATATGGTACTGATTTTGCATATACCTATATAATTATTAAATATTAATATATTTTTTTTAAGTAAATTGGGCTATTTACATACTAATTGCACATACCTCAACGATCCAAGAATCATCCGGTCCTGCTTGAAACATTAATTCACGACCTCCGGCCCCACATGCCTCTAAATTGATGAATGCTTTAACTTCCTTTGCCCAATGATGTTGCGTAATAAAACCATGAGATGCCTGATACAATTACATTCAATTCCATTGATTGAAATTATTGTTTCTCTAACTAGCATTTACTATGAAAAATGTAAAAAGGAAGCTAAAGAGCGAATGAACATATTTTACAGCATTATCGTTTACACTAAATATTAGGGGAAAGCTAATAAAATTCACAAAGCACAATGTTCTTACTTGAAGTAGATTTTCTTCGGCACCATTGAATAGAAATATAACATTATGCCTCAAATACTTTGGGCTATGAGCCAGTACTCGTAATACTTCCAACATTACGGCACAACCAGCTGCATCATCCGAACCACCTGATAACATAGTACCGATGCAGATAATAGCAGTATAGATTATAGTCTCTTATCAAGCTTGCGAAATATTTTAATATACCACTAAGAAAAACTGATAATTATGCAATATATTCGTGCAATTTTGACATGCTAAAAAATGCAAGATGACTCGAAATAATCTGCAAATATTGAACTAAAAATAGTAAATTTACTTGCAATCAATTTGCAATGCGTTAAATTACGGATTGCAAAATATTATAGTCTTATATTAAATAAGACTTTCTGAAGTACCAAATATCGCAGCTTACCAGGGCTTTCAGGGAAAGTATCGAAATGACAATTTAAAAGCAAACTGTATCTCGACGGATTATGGGGCCCCAACTTAACGACGACATTCTGTATATTCCTGTATACACTCGTCAAGCCATCCAAAAATGTCAGTGGAAAAGATCCGCTATGTTTTGTGACCTCAACTGCAATTTTATGATTCTCACTAGCTCCTTTAACGATGTCTTTTATAGCTGCCTTTAGGAATTTCACTGCCAACACTTCATTTTCGTAGCTTCCGCAGACTCGTGGCCCGATAGAAGTAAGATTCACGATATGATTCCGAGCTCTTTCCGCGTTAAATCTTCCTGGAACTTCCGAATCGAGGAGCTGTGGTTCGGGCAGGTTCTTTTCCATGACGATAACTGTCAACGAAACTCCAACGTAGAACGTAATTATAAAAAATAAATAATAAGTTCCATTTAAAATTGTGCGTCTCTTTTTCGAGGACCCATCGCCGTTGCACAGAAGATCCTCCGTGGATCTCCTCGTCGCTCTCTGTCTGAATCTAATTCCATCCTTCTGCAAGATACAATACATAAAGCGTAGAGGTGAATGAGGTTCGTTTCTTGAATTTTTAAAGAATATTGATATTTTATTCTACCGGAGCTTTCTAACTTTATACAGTTACATTAAAAAACAGACAAGAAATTATTGTCAATCGTCGCAAGCGTTGCACAAACTAAGGGTAATTCACGTTTTATCTAAGATAATTAATGGAAATAATGTAAAACCTTTCCAGTCCTTCGAGTTGAACTCATCAATGAACCGTAGGAAGATAACCTCACAAAGTTACTGATGACCCTACCTTTTCTTAAATTAGAATAACCCACTATCAGTCACCGTGCGGACAGTCGAATGCTTACCATCGTTCACTCCGTATGTTTTGAATCGGGAACACGGTCACGAAAAGGTACTAGGAAAAAAATGAAAGGCGACATCCAACCAGGATTTCGGGTCTCACTGCATTCTGTCGCATGGAAAGCGTTCCGCAAACCTCTCCGATTGGATCGAGTTTTCGTGGATGCGACTCGAAATGGAGAAAATCTCCTAATTTCCGAAATAGCGTTTGTTCATGCGGTCAATCGAACCGCAATCGGCGGCTATCGGTAAATCGCGAATTTTGGGGACCGTCCGCTTCGGTCCGCTTTCGTCGACGTCAATGGACGATACAATTGATAGATCGTGACGCGGCGAAAGACTGCTCGAAAACGTACATAAATTTATTTAACCGCGCTCGGTAGTTTTACGCGTTCGATTTTCCCAGGAAATACCGCGAACGTCCTTCCACTCGAGAATGAAATTCAAATTTCGATCGGCTTCCCTGATCGCGAAAGTTCACTCGCCCTGCGGTATCGGATTTCGACGACCTAACGACAAGCGTGGACTTTGGTCACCTAGCAACCGCGATGACGCCGCTGGACGCCGCGATTATTAAACGAACGTCCCACCGATTTTATCGTTATCGTCCATCTATTATCTGGGATCGTCGAGGAGAGGACTCGAGGAACCTCGGAGATCCCAGGTCGCGTTCCCTAGGTGCCGCCACCTGGGGACAGATGCGTCGAACCGCGGACCACCTCGGTCACGGTGTCCTTAAACCTCGTCTTCCGGTCATTTTACTTCCTTGGAAGTACCCGCGAGGAAATCGCGGGACGAAACGAGTACCGCCGATTTATTCAGAGAAGGATAAAGCCTCCAAAGACCCTAAACCAAGATTCGAGGTTCCGATCACGGATGGTCGATTTTTTGGCCAAGGCAACGGCGGAGGACGAGTAACCTGGGTAAACGCCTCCGTAACCGTCCGGTTACGAATGCCGGCGACCGTTCATCCGCTCCATGCCTGAAACCCTTCCCCTCGCGCATATACGTAGTATCTCCCAAAAGGGGACAAACGTCAAAGGACGGTAGGAGAGAGGAGGTCGGCGTCGTCCCGGCCCCTTGGCCAGGTCGATCGGTCGCATTTAGCGGCTCCTCGAGGAGGAATTAATCCTCGGTGGGAGTGGGTCCGCGGTTCCATTTGGGCACGTGCCGGACCAGGTGCGCAGGTCGATCAAAGACTCGTCCGGCCTGGCGCGACCGACTCAGTTCTCTCGTTAGCATTTCGAAAGGCCGGACCGTCCACGAGGGAGCCGCGGGATGACCGGATCCGCCGAGTCCGTCCAAAGAAGGAAGGGCCGATCTTCCAAGAGGTACGCTCGCCCGGACGATCGCGCCCCGGTGAGACCGGAACTATCGGGGTCGCCGTCGCTTCCGCGATCCCCCCTGGGGTCGATCGATCCCCGGAATTCCGGAGGGCCGCCGCAATTTCCGGCGATTGGAGAGATCGGGTCGTCGACTCCTCTCGATCGATGCCGGGGCTCGCCTCGGCGTCCGGCCATTAAGGAAATTCGAGGAGCGGTCGCCCGTCCTTAAACTCTGCCCCGAATTTTGATTGGCATCTCTCGGCTCGGGAGTCGCGTGCGGCCGAGGGTCGTGGGACATCCCCCCGCGGAAACGGACCGGAACTCGGCAGGGAATGTGGGTCAGCGACTCCCTTCGGGGTCGATCGGAGCGAGCCGCGTTCTCCCGGAGCGTCGGCGAAGGAGTCGGAAGGCGTCGGAAGGCGTCGGTCGAGACGAGAGGTAAATCGAGTCCGCTCGGTCGGGCGGGCGGAGTCGATTGCGTGGCCGCGGCGGTTACAGATCGACCCGAGGAAGGACACGCGACCGTCGTCGGTCCCGGCGGTTCCTGGCGGCGCCGGTCCAGGAGAGCGATTTTCCGGGCGTGCCCGAGACGGCGAGTTCGCTCGTCGATTGGAGGCCCGGTTCGTAGATCGATGCGTCTCGTCTGGACGTCTCCGTAATGGCACGTACCGCGTACCGCCCTCTTCCCGTGGCCCGGCATGCGCCGGAGGAGTGCTCCTTCCAGTCCGCTCCGGTTCGGGCGTCGACCCGGACTCCTCTCTCGATCCCTTCCGACCTCGACAGGTCCTCGTCGCCGGCGGCCGGGACCGGAGCCAGGGTCAAGGCCAGGACCAGGGGCAAGGCCAAGGCCAGAGGGAGATGGCCCTTGGCGCCGGAGGCGGAGGGTCTCACGGTGGACGAGCTGGCGAGGCATCGACGGCGGCGCGTCCAGGGCCGCCCCGAGGACGGCCCGGGTCTCTGCCGGCCGGAGAACCGCGAGGAGGACGACCCGCTCGTCACCGAGTACCGCCGTGCCTTCGGCGAGGTCTCCAAGGTGAGCGGACCCCGGTCGCATCTCGTCTCCGTCTCACCGAGCCCCCTTCGCGGGCCTTTTCGCGCAGGAAAATCTCCGGCCGTTCTTGAGGAAGAAGCCCGAGGACTGCCTGCACCTGGAGGGACTCTTCGACGACGCCGTGTCCTCCCATCTGGACTTCCGGTTCTACCCGGAGCACCTCCGAGTCCCGAGGCGAAGTAGAGCCCCGGCCGACGGCGTCTCCTTGGCCGGACCGTCCGGAGAGGACGCGGCCATGGAGACCGAGACCGAGAGCTCGAGGTTCGTCGCGCATTCCGACCTCTCCGCCAGGCCCCCTCCGGTCAGAAGGTACGAGGTCGCGAAAGGGTGCGGGAGGTCCCCGACGTCGTTCATCCCGACGCTCCGCTTACAGGGGCACGAGTCTGAAGCGAGGGGGCGACTTCCGCGCCGACACCGAGTACTCCGCCTACGTCGCTCACCAGGGCCGGCACCGGGCCGAGCTGGCGCGGAGGCCGACCTCGCTCAAGATGGAGGGCGACCTGGACGCGGTCACCGAGAAGCGCGACAAGTTCGTCGAGTGGCTGAACGCGAGCAGGCCGGAGCCGATGCGTCTGCCGAGCAACCTGAAGCTCGAGGGCGACCTGGAGACCGCGACGGAGAGTCGCGACAAGTACGTGCCCTTCGTGGGGACGAGGAGACCGGAGCTCCTCCGGCAGTCGGCCCACCTCAAGATGGAGGGCGACTTCGGGTACGTGCCCGAGTACCGGGACGTCTTCAGGCCCTTCGGCCTGGGAGGTAAGTCGAGCGCCGATCCGTAAACGGTCCGTCCTAATTCGTCCTCGCGGCCGTCCTCCGCCCAGAGAGGCGGATGCCGAGGAAGCCGGAGACCAACCTAGGACCGAGCGGGGACTTCTACGGGACGACCGAAACCTCGGAGAAGTACGTGCATCCCAGTCGACGCGAGGAGGAATCCGTGGTCCGGGTGGAGGCGCCGGAGGAGGAGGAGGAGGCCGTCGAGGCGCTGGTCTCCAAGATGGAGGACTGGAAGGGCCCTCCCCTGGAAATCCCGGAATATCGCGACGCCTACAGAGTAAACCTACCGATTTTCGATTACGGGTGTCTCAGGCCTTCCGGTCTCATTTTGAATTCAATCGTCGCAGGACTTCCCGAGGGAGAGGCCGAAGCTGGCACGACCCGAGGACGAGATCGGAAGGGCGGACGGGTCGAAGGTCTCATCGTCTCCGGCGCTCTCGCGGTTCTCGACCAAAATCGATCTGGACCCGGAGTACAAGTCCAAGTACCTCCAAGACGCCAAGGACGCCGGAGACGCCAAGGACCGGCTCGTCTTCCGGAAGCCGCCGACGACCTCGAGGCCGAGTCCCCTCTCGGGCTCGTCCGGACGACTCGACGACCTCGCGAGCGAGGTCAGGTCGCAGTACGTGCCTTACGGACGAGTCCCCAGAGTGGAGACCCTCAGGATGCCGGCGAACCTTCGCCTCGAGGGGAGCATGGATCTTCGGCCTGAGTACAGGAACGCCTATTGCGCCGTCAGGGACCCCCCCGTTTCCAGCGAGCCCAGGATGCATCGGAGACGGGATCGCAGTCTCAGCGCCTCCAGGAGGAAGAACGATTGCTGGACCACCGATTACGGGGAACGATCCGCGGCGGACGCCTTCCGGATCCTCGACCCACGGGCTCCCGAAAATCGCGTCCTCGGGAAACCTCCCCTCGGAAGTGGAAGGTAACCGACGGTACCGAAGATATCTCTTTCGGAATTGAATTCTCTTCTCCCTCGTTTCAGAAATTCGAGGTCCTCGCAAACCCAAACCCAGGGATCTCCGCTGGACTCGTTCGACCGTCCAGTTTTGCGAAACCAACGGACCCAGCGGAATCGATCACCGAGCCCTACGTACAGACTTCACGTCTGCAACGTGGACGACGAGCCGCAAGGATTTGGACGTCGACGACCATCTCCGTCCCTGCAGTCTTCCACCGAACCCATTCGCGCCTCTTCTCCGGAGAAGCCGACTCGCTCGAACGAAACTCGGAGACCCTATTCCCCTAGTTTTGGAAGAACCGCGGGGAAAAACACCAACGAACGGTCTTTCGTGGTCCTGGACGACCGGAAGCCGATCCCTTCGAAGCTGGATCGCTATAACGACGATAACGTGAGGCGAGCCTTCGACGGGGTCGCTTCCTCGACCAGAGGTAAACCTGGACACCCGTCCGGAGCGTCTTCGAACTGGATGCCTTCTTGGTACGACGGTACCACCGACGTTTAACCAACAGTCAATGACCATTTCCTTTCCATGAAGGAATGGAGAAAATTTAGAGATTATCGTATTTATCCCAAACACGTGTAAAGTTTCAATAGTAGCAAAGCGATCGTCCGATTACTTTAGACATAGAGTACTACACGTCCATCGGCGTTATAATTGGTCGTACTCGTGCGGTACACCCGAAAGCTCGACAGGTATCATTAGGACCATTGGGGCTTCAAGACTTAAAAGTCACTTGATTCGTGCTTACGTTTCGTGACGTGCCGCGGAATATTTATGGTAGCACTTTTTTGCCGTTTGCTCGAATACGCGAGTTTCGTGTAAGGCCGGAAACCCCCCGGGAATGGATCGAAGTCTGCCAGTCACGGTTTGTAATCGATTAAAAAATATCTTTAGCAGGTGTATTCCGAACTGGAAGATATCCTTATTCCAAAGTTACTTTTTCTTATTTTATGCAAACGTTACCCATGCAATCACTACGGGCGCCGATTTATTTAGATTCTGCGAACATCGGAAATAGGCCCAATGTTGTTCGAACGCGCTTTCGTAAGTCATATGTGCAAAATAAAAATATATCCGTACGTTGAACGTCACTAGAAACTTTCAAATGCCTCCGTTTACTTTGCTAGGAAGGGTAGCGAGAAACGCGGGTGCCATCTTGTGAACGAGCTGGTAAACTCCTCCGTCATGGCGTGTAATTAATTAGTCCTTAGAAAAATTCACATGTTTACGTATACGGTAAAAGGCGTTTATAACCTAGCGGTGAATGAAAAGTAGTAAACATGACAGTTAATAAGCAAGGCATTATCAAGTTCAAACGTAGGTGTAAAATTGATGATCTACTTGTCACGTGTACGGTGATAGGTTATGAGGTTGTATACAAGGAAAGAAGTACTTAATTTAATATTTTTTCTCATATTTCGTAGCATTATGGTTAAAATACGATGAAGAAAACGTGAATTGCCATCAGATCTTTTTCAAAGAACATTCCGTGCGGAAACAGGAACCTGAACATCCTGAAGGGAAAACGCTCTTTGTACTTAATATACCACCTTACGCTACAACCGATGCACTGAAACGTGCACTTGAGTCGGTATGTGGACCCGTCGCAACTGTCACTTTTGCAAAACAATATGAAAGAGAGAAAAATTCTTTCAAGACAGGATATATTGTATTTAAGAACGAGTCCGGATTGAAGGAAGCGTTATCTCTTCCTGATGATTATATATTAATATTGCAAACGCAATTAAGTCCTATACCAACTGGCATCATGAGTAAGTCATCGACTTATTCAAGATTAATGACTAAATAGTTCTATTATTCAATGTATGATATATCATAAAATAATGAAACTTGATATAACAAAGCTTCTTTTTTTTCAACAGAATGGTGTAAGGAATATAATGATTCCATACAAGATGAGGCAGTGATTAAAAAAGAAATATACGATTATGTCCAAAAGTATGACGAGCGTATCGCAAATAGACTTGCTAAAGAAAAAGCTATCGAAGAAGGTGAAGATAACGAAGGCTGGGTTACGGTTACGAGTAGAAAGAAACGTGGACAGTTTGCCCTGTCAAGGAAGGAATCGGCTATTTCTAAAATTCAGTCTAAGGAAGAAGAAAAGACTCGAAAAAAACAATTACTCAATTTTTATAGTTTTCAAATACGCGAAGCAAAGAAGCAAAGTAAGTAAAACGTCTTTAGTAGTCTTATATTTATCTTCCTAACACTGGGAATCAGGTAAAGTATCCTTGATGTCATATTTCTTTCAGATTTGGCAGAGTTGCGAAAGAAATTTGAATTGGATAAAAAGAAACTACAGCAACTGAAATCAAAAAGAACATTTAAACCATTCTGAAATCATAGGAAAATAATTATTATAGATATTCTTTTGTAAACATTCTCAATTTATAATTAATACCAATGTATCCAAATAAATAACATAAGAATAAGATATTTATCTTGTTATGCAGCCTTTGATGCATAAGTTTGCAACGTCCATTCGATTAGAAAATGCTGATATGACAAAGGTTGGAGTAGAGCCAGTAATTCTTCTGCAACAGACATATTTGACATGACATACAATGTTACAAATGTTAAGAAATGTGTACATAAAAGTAATTCGTACGTTTGTTTCCATATATACAATTGGCTGACATAGCTGAGCTAACAGCCTGAGCGAGTCTCTCCATTGTTAGATCTTGTAGTTCAGTTTTTAAATTTGTAGACGAATGTAACAATGTTGTTAGTGCACGAGTAATAGCTGCTAGATGTTGTGCAGAGATTGCATGCTTATTACTACCACTGTTCTTTAATCGTAATACAGAATCCATCAGTAATTGATGAATCTTTGAATAATATTTCTGTTGTTCCTCCAAGTTTTCTGTACACTCACGTAATGGGCTCAAAATACACCACCTAACAAAGTCAAATTTTTTAGTCACATGTAATTATTAAATAATGAGCAGCCCTATTTATAGATGGTACTTGTATCTACCAAAGTTTAATAAAATTCTCTGAATGGAAGTTACAGGTACCTACCTGAAAAGTGCAGCTATAGGTGTTATCGGCGTCATAGGAATTCCTCCCGTAGGCAATGCTGGATTGTCCATTAAAGAAGTCAATAACAGACTTGGATTTTCATCAATCCAGTCACCTACTAACTTCAAGAGTTCCGTTGGTGGATTTTTATCTTTATAAACTTCTCCTATTGCCGTTAACAAATTTGCAGTGAAATGAGGAGCTAAGGCAGGGAGTTGTTTTAGCCTATCGATGGACTTTGGTGTTAAAACAAAATAATCATTAAGGATATGCTTTGCCAGTCCCACGCTCTGCATAGATGTTGAGCCTAACTGTTGCATCCAAATTCCTGTTGCATTTAAAACAGCCTTGTTTTGCGTGGCTATAGCAAGCGATACTAAATTTCCTAAAATCTTATATCTAGGACTATCTGCCGGATAAAGAGATAAAAATACGGCATTGCGAACTGCAGGACATCCTCCTGGGCTTTGAAAAAAATCGCTTAATACTTCTATCAACTGTAACTCCTGTATAGCAGTATTCATGTTGCGCTTTTTTCTCCTATCGATTTCACCGAAAACGAATTCTGACATTATGTCCATCTGAAGATCCATCTGTTTTCCAGGTCTACTGCATAGCATCTCTTTAAGAAAAATTAAAGAAACTTTTACACTTAAACAAGACTTACTTTACATGCGCTATTGCACTGGCATGTCAAACATATTATGAATGACATTGTTTACATTCGTAACTGCGCATAACCTAAAGTAAAGGGTTTTCTCACCAATTCTACATAGTCCTTCCCTGGCACAAAATGGAAAGTCTAATTTTCTGAGTGACTGTTTAATTTCATTTCCAGCCATTAATAACTGATAATATTGATTGAAAACGGAGAAATTACATTTAAAGGGAATAAAATTGTACCTAACGTCAAGGTATTGAGATATTTCATAGAAGCAAGCTGGCTAACAGACCAGAAGTGGGGCGATATTAACGCGTATATGCCCGACAGAAATAGGTATATATACTAGCGGAGATGAGCAGGATACCAGAGATCTCTGTCTCACCTTGCAAAAGATACCTCCAAGGGGGGGAAGGCTAATCGTACGATTTTAATTGGATGCGTAACAACAGGGAAGGTCGTTTCCCGTTATTCAGATGAATTTCGTTCTCCTGAAAATATTGTAGATAGTTGGAGGATTAAAATTAATTGTCCAAATCCTGTGAAACGGGCTTTAAACTTCGGTTAACTCAAGTTGTGTAACCGGGCCGCAGTTTTACTGAACGTTTAACCTGGTTTCCCTGGTTTAACCCGTGGGATGGACGAATTTCGAGGTTAGCGTTAATGTTTAATTTAATTCTAACAATTTTCAACGATGTCCATTTATAAATAACTACTTTAAAATACTGCGTAATCTAGTTAAAAGCACCAACCAATAATAAACATTACCAGAGAGACACCTGCGCACGAAGCCATTTGAGTCTAACCTCGTTCTAACAATCGTTCTCAGTTGAATTTGACACTTTTTTTTTCAGTTTCGTACAGAGATTTTGCGCTTTAATGCAGGTTTTTTGAATTTTATGAAAAAGATTACACTATCGATATTATTTTATCAGGACTAGAATAGAATTTTACATCGCTTAGTAATGTTTTTGTACACTTCATTTATAGTACAAAACAGTGAACTTCGTGAAGCTCTAGAGTGTGGAACAAACTTTTTTGAATCTTTTCTTGCACAGGTGAGTCGTTAACAAAGTATGAAAACTATTAACGCAGAGATTCAATTTATGTTATTATTTGTTGGTCATTTAATAACTTTTATAATGATTTTAGAGATTTAATAACTTGTCGAGCAGTTGGTCCAAGAGGGGTATCACGTCACAAAATCTTGACGATACATTCATAACGTTGAATGGCACGACTCTGTAATTATAAAATGTTACTATCCAAACATGTAATCTTAAGTACAAATTAATTTTCTATCGTTTATCGTCGAAAAATTAAGTGGGACATTGTTGCTCCGGTTTAATCAAGATTTTTTATTAATAATAATATTTCTTACAGTCATTTACAAAGTATAAGATTAATTAAACAGCCAGAATTTAATCTTACTTATGTAAAAGCAAATTTAGAACTACTTTGTTTGGAAATTGTTTTTAACATTGGGGAATTAAAAATTGATGGAGAATTTACCGTAACAAGTAACGATTTAACCGAAGTACTTCCAGTATTAACATCAGGGACTTTCAAGTAAGTTAATTATTTCATATTACAATTGATGGATAATAATTTTTGTGTGAAATATTAAAGTATATTACAGCATTTCTATAACAAGTGTATGAAAATTTTGGTATAACATTTAATTATTCTTAGCCTCACCTCAAGCAGTGGAATTGCCAAGGGGTTAATTGGTATATATCCTGTTGAGGACAGCTTCCTCACAGATAATTATAAACTTGAATATATACATGATGACATACAGTTTTTAATCGATACACGACAACTCTCTGAAACGAATAAACAGCTGCAGTTTGATCGCATTGGTAAAGTGAAAACGTTGATATATAAGTACATTATTATATGATAGAAATTTGTAACCAAAGTTCTACCAATGTTAGATGATACAGTGGCACAATATTTCCACACGGATCTTGCAATGACTTTAACCAAAACTCTCAAGCAGCAACTCAATGAAGCGATCGTTGAATTATCAGTTTGTGAACTGTTACAAGGTGAAGAACATCTGGTGACACAATTGAAGTGAGTAATTGCTTTTAATTTTAATTGCATGCGTAATTAAACATGCCAGCCATTGAAGTAAAATTTTTGAAAGGCAATTATGATTTACATGATTTACTTCAATAACCTGTTTCCAGATCTCACAAAAATGCAATAAGTACTCTGGCAAATAATATTTTTGATAAGATACTTTTAAGTGCCAATAAACACATAAAGAAATCAAATGCTCAAGTTCCTGTGTCAGATATCGATGCTCCCTTTCCAACGAATGATTCTTTGACTGGCAGGCTTGAAGCTAAAAAAGGATGGATAAAAGGGCTAGACAGTATGCAAAGAAAAGGGGATGTGACTGTCTCCTTGGAGAGAAATAGTTTTGTAATATTTGGTGCTGTAGGCTTAAATGAATTAATGGTAATAATAATTTAATTTTGTTGCATTTTATGCAATACAAGAGTCAAAGATATTCTGATACCGTATGATGAAAAATAAACACAATGTTAACTATTTTGTAGATGGGTTTTGATGAATATTGTGTCACAATTTTGGGCATAAAAACAGCAGGTTTGGTTCAAATAAAAATTGGCAGAAATGAAGCCAGTTTTAAATTTGTTATCAGTAAACATGGAAAGAATATCAAGACTCATTTGGATGATTTTAAAATTACCGAACTCAGGTATGTAATATTTGTACGATATGTTTTTACATCTATAACTACTATTTCTCCGTAAAATTAATTGCTTATATGATATCTATTGTAGTGACATCAAGTCAAAAGTCACTGGATTCAGTGTCATGAATTGTCTGGCATCTAAAATCACAACATGGGTTGCGGGAGGGGTGAAATCGAAAGTGATACCTGTTATTGAAAATAACATTAAGAAAAACGTGAACGGCGTCTTAAAAGATGTCGACGTATTGTTAAAGAAATGATTGTCATTGCGATTATTATCCTATTAATCAACTTGGAATAAGGAAAATGTATTACAAAACTCGTCATTGTGCTCGATGCATTAACAATAATATAGACTTCGTTTGTAAGAGAATCGATGTCTCTGGCTGTGATAACAATTCAAAGAGTATTCTTATATTCCTTTGTAAAAAATTCGTTTCTTTTTTAAGAAATGACATCTAATGTACTAATTAATCCTCAGAATTTGATGTACTTTTTCTCTTTTACGACACCAGAACTATTTAAGAAAACAGTAAAGTGCACATATTCCATTTTAGTTAACGAGGGACAAAATATGCGAGTATCTGAATTCCGTGAATTTTTATCAATCATATGACAATACATATGATCACGTATGATAATCGAATTTTGATACTGGCAAGTTATCTGCGCATACATAACGCAATACGTATAAAATGCAGCCTTCGTTTATATTTGGAATCTAGCGTCCACAAATATTTTATACCATTTATTCCATTTGACAATGTCGTAATTGTATTACACTTCGATAATGTTAAATAAGAAAATCATTTAGTCCAGGAGAACAGCGAGTGAAAGTACTCGATGAGAAATGAAAGATTCGCGTCTCTGTCATTGAGCCGAGAAGGACGATATTTCGCGTGATAAAAACTACGTTATATTTAATCTCTTCGGATTGTCTCTCAGATTTGATAGGCCGCTCTCATATAAGAGAGCCATGTTTTCAACGAGAAAGTAGTCCGTTCGACTAAGGCTACCATGAAGATCTTCCTTATAATAGGTTTTTTAATCGCCGCCGCCGCGGCTGAGTTTTCGATCTCGTACGTACCTTTGTTTTTAATTTACAGTAACTCATTTTTTGCCGCTTAACAAACGGTTTGAAACACTGGGTACATTTAAATTCTGACAATTCCGCTTTATAAAAATGTTAATATTAAATTTCGTTTAAATCATCGGAATTAAATATTTTTCTAGGGACAGGCCTCCGACTTCGGTCAGAGTCAATTTAAACAACTTTTTAGACCGTGCCATACCGCATGTAGCGAAATTTATGATTGACCATCAACTCGATCCCATGAAGGTCCCCGATATCATTGATTTGGTCAAAATCGTACGTAAATCCAGTTTCTCCTCACGTTACGTTTTTTTTTATTTACTAATTCTCGAATTTGTCTTAACGGCAAAGTTATACCGTGTAAATAATCACGTTACATATGACACGGCATATCCTATATAGATTCGTTTTACATTCCACAGAGACGCGGCCCAATTACGTACAAGGGATATTTGCATTTATCATCGGGGTTGATGAGAAATTTGACGAATTTTGTGCGTCACAACGATGTTACGGCTACCTACAGAAACAAGGTCCTGAAAGTCGACATCGGAACCAATCACGAAGCCCTCGACGCAAGTCTCTCAATTTCTTTTCTCTATCTTTAACGACTTTAAGACTTAATTATCACTCCTTCGAAGAGGTTGAAGAAACTGATGAAAATATCATGCCCCTCAGGTTTACTTCAAGTATGTCCTTAGTATCCTTGGTATTCCATATTCCGGGACGGCGACGGCTGTTGGAAAATCTTTGGTGCTGCGAGTCAAAGTAAGATTCGATATCCTCAACTACAGATTGACCCTGGAAAGTCTGAAAGCCGAAAGTATTGGGTAAGTGTATCAAGTAATCCAGCAGATTATGCCTAGGCCGAAATATTTAATAAGCATTTTGTCAACAGGCCTGTACGAGTCAGTCTGAAAGACAACGTCCTCGTCGACTGGCTGGTCACTCCTATCGTTAACATCTTCCTTCCACTTTTCAAAAGGACGATCATCGTAAACGTTGAGAAACAAGGCACCGCAGCTATCGAATCCACGTTCCGTGAGATAAATGCGATTCTCGCCCGACGACCAAGATGACTTGTCCTTGCGGCTCGACAAAGACTAACTTTCGTAACATCGGATAAGACGGATAATATCCTTTATGCTTTACCCGAGTGGCGTTCCATGCGTTAAGATACTATCCGGGAGGATTATTCGATATCGGGAAATGCTCGCAGGTGATTGTCCGATGTAAACATCGTCGATCCGACCTGCGGTCTCCGGGTCCGATCGAATAAAATGATTTCTTCCTCGGCTTATAATAAGGCTCCAGAATTGTCATACAACGATCCCCCTATTTCATCCTTAATAAGCAAACAGCTGTTTGCGCCGAGGTGGATACCCTTTGGTCTCGTTTAATCCGCTCGTTACCGAAGACCGTCCTCGTTCGATCGATACCGCGATTTCCAAACATCTCCGAAAGATACCCTATACGTGACGAAGATAAGATAGATGCCCTAAACGTTCCAATAGACATTCAAGGGGAATATGTTGAACGATTGTATCTGGAAGTAGACGAGACACCCGTGATCATAAAACAACGCATAGTTATCGCCGCGTGATGTTCGATAACAGATCTAGGAGAATTTTATACTTTGCTGGATTCTCTTTGGCAATCCTTCCTGTCCTTTCCTACTCAGGAAATGATTTGGGAAATTTGACGAGAGATTGGTACGACTCCTCTTCTCTTTGGCCGGCATCTGCTCGTGCCGAACGTCGTTTCTAATTCTAACCGGGACGTTTTGAACATCTTAGGGATCTTGCGAAGAATTTAATTATTAAAACGAGCCTCGGGACGCTTCTTGACGGGATTTTGCTGACCTCGGGCAAAGGAATGATCGACGATGGATTGGATCCGATGGAGCTACCGTTTACCAATTTGACCAGTCCTGTAAGGCATTTCTACCTTAGCTTTTTAGTTAACTATTACCGCTAGAGTAGTCGATAATATAAAAATTGAAAGTTCGGAGGGAACCTTTATTTGGATCATGGTCGGCTTTGGAACCTTTCAACCTTCGAGAGGACGGACGATGTTTCCGTAGAAATCATCGATGACTCGGTAGCGCTTAATTTCAGCCTCGGATGGGACGAGTTGAACGTAAGTTCGTAGATTTAGAAAAGTATCGAGATAACTGGTATTAATGTCGAAATGAGAAGGTTTATATGTGGCACGCTTTAAATGAATATAATCATGTCTCAACCGTTTGCAGTTCGAGTATGAGTATCTGCTGCATCTTCTGATAATCCGTGGAAATGGAAAGATTAATGGTCTCGTTAAGAAGTTCGAGGCCAACTTGATAATTTCATTCGAAAGACCGGATATCGAATTTCGATTGCGATCCTTCGAATTCATATCTGCTGGGTAATTAATTAATATTGAATTAATCGTTCGCCTTTTAATATCGAACTTCAATGTCGGTGGATTTTAGAATGTTTACAGTGAGACTAGAAGGTGACATAGACAATCGGTTTGTCGATACAGTCACCACAATTGTCATAAATGTCTTCAAAAGAAACGTGTATCAGATGATAAGAATCAGATCTATCGAAATCATTAATAATAGACTGTCGATGATCAACGATGACCTGAAGATTATTAGCAAAGTACTGAGAAACTTGGTGAAGTGATAAATCCAACTTTTCGTGGACTTGTGAGTATACCTGGGCAAAATTCAAATACGTTTCTTCTTAAATTTCCCTCTTCAATATGGAAGAGCACGTTACGATTCCTGATTGGTTGGTTAAAAATCTTACCCTATACGTTGACTCGCCATATTCATTCCACCGTGTTCAAAATAACCTGAAGTAATCTCATGTATGGTGATACGATTGGATTCGTTCCTACGTGTCACAAAATTGCACATACAAGGTGCAGTTATTCAATTATTTCACCACCGAGTACTTTGAATTGTTGACATAACTAATTGGTAGGGAATTATACAAAGGTAAATCTTCTTAGTAGAAATGTTTATTGAGTACCGCATAATGTAAAACACTGAGTACATATGTACTTTCATCCGCCTATAATCCAAGAAGCGATTGGATAATTAGACTTATTGTTAGAGTTGGTTGTTAAAACAAATACTATGGTTGCATTGTAATTTGAATATTCTTGACTTTCATATCTACATTCTCATTTCCAAGGTTTGCGCTGTTGCTTTTATTTCAGAGAGGATATTGTATTCCAATATGTTTATTAACGCTTGTATTCGAGTTTTAATTAGAAAAATGTTAATAACGATTAACAGAGAAATAACATTTTTCAGAGAAGCGATGCGGCAGCAAAAGGGTAAAACAAAAGAGACTAACAAACAAAAAAAGGAACGAAAAAAGGAATTTCTCGAGAACAAGCAACGGGTGTTTACCATTGTATTACCAACTTTAACCGCTATATTTATAATAATTGCAGCTTATATTTATGTAAAAACGCGTCCAAAAGTTAATGATTATTAATATTAAGAAATTCCGCACAAGAGTTCCTAACGGCATATGCGTAATCTAATAACGGACTTATAAAATTTTGCGGTGCATATGGTTAAATTTTCAAAAACCTATTTTTAATCATCGAACGTCTTGGGAATTTCTAGGAGGTCATACTTATTGTACAGAGTTTATTATCTGAAATTGTACTCTTGTACTAAATTTCTAATCCTCAGCATTAATTAAACACTAATGGGAATTGCATGTTTTAAGTGAAAATATATCGATTGTACATTTCACGTTTATAGTTTTTAGACACAGCATACAACCAACAATGAACATATGTAATGTCGACTGAGAAACTGCATGTTCGAGGTATTACTCAGCTAAGTGATATAAAATATTTTGACCGAGCTATGGCAAAACACAAGTAATAACATAAAGAATAATTATTTTATAAAATATATAGTTAAGAAAAATGGGTCCAATTAAAAAAGGATACATGTCCAAATAAAGATGATATTTTGTTATTTACACTATATTTTGCTAACTTATGCTCAAATCTCTACACTCTTCGGAAAGGCAGGCTGAATTGCCGAATAAAATATTGTCCGACGTTTCTCCTTCTCTTATTCTACCGCTCACTGAATTACCTGTCAAACGTCACCTGGCATCGTGGTCGGCATATGTTGACTGTGGCGTACGTGGCGGTAACCTCAAATATTTCCTGCTGAGTTGGTTCCCTGTGGATTGCGAAAATCCAAGGAATTCAAACAGCTAGCGAGGCGTTAGCAAACTTTAATAGACTGATTCAATTCGTATTTACGTCCTAGAATATCCGCGTGCTTCGATACCGATCATTATCTTTGGAGGCAAGTGTTTTGTCGACCACTGTCGGCAACCTCGTCTCTCGGCTTCTGAAAATTCTATTTCTTCCAGATTTACAAAGTAAAATGTACTGGGTCCTATGGGTTTTTGTAATCGGGTTCCATGGATATCATTCCACATATGCACAGGGTCAAAGAGTTGCCCCTGGAGTACCTCCACAACACTATCAACAGGTTAGTTCCAATGATAATAATCTAACATATGGTTTTAATCAAAACTTATTTTTCATTATGCTGCTCTTTTTTTCTTAACATCTACATAGGACTTTTTATATTGTTATCTTATAAATTAATGAATATAATTAAAGTTAATGGTCATATTGATCCGCAACAATGAAAATCTAACAACGAATATCAAATACGGTTTGATTGAAAGAAGCAATAGTTACTTCTGTATTTATTCATTTTCCAGCCGTCGGTGGGTCAACAAATGCACCAAATGCCACAAATGCAACAACAGGTTATAATAATTTTCTATAAAACGATATTTCATAACTTAAAAATAACGTATAAATATTTTTTGTAATTGTTAACATGTATTTTTTTTTGTGAGAAATTTCTTATCGCATGAAACAGTTTTAGTTATATCATATTCCTGAACAATATTTGATATTATCCTTTTAATTTAAAACAGTACCATCAAGTTCCCGGACAAGTACCCATGCAACAAGGTCATCCACAACAGCAACAGCAGCAGCAGCAGCAGCAACAGCAGCAGCAGCATCAGCATCAACAACATCAACAAGTGCCTCTGCAACAATATCAAGGAACACCTCCGTCGCAACAGCATAACGATCATGGATATCAGCCGATTTTAAATACTGCAAATATCGCTCAGGAGAAAGCGTAAGTTGAACATTTTCACCATCACTACTTATCGATACATTTAAATTGTACTTGGTAACTTATCGGTGTTCTACCATTTAGTCATATTGCGGAACACTTAGACGTTCCGATGGATACAAGTAAGATGACTGATCAAGAATTACAATTTCATTACTTTAAAATGCATGATGCAGACAACAACAATAAATTGGATGGCTGTGAACTTATTAAATCGCTCTTCCATTGGCATGGTATGTAGTTATGATTAATCTTGAAGATTGAAGAGTGATCTAATTTTTTTATATTTTTATAATACTCATAGGAAGCATTTTGATGCGATATGAGTATTTATGAAAAATATATTTCACGAAACATATTTAAACTCACGGTACGTTTTACCTATTAAATATTTTTACAGAACAAGATGATAAGGAGCACGGTGCTCATCGAGTACCTAATAAAATATTTAAAGACGATGAATTAGGTGCATTAATCGATCCTATTCTTGGAATGGATGACACGAATAAGGACGGCTTTATTGATTATCCAGAATTTATCCAAGCACAAGAAAAGGCTGCTGCGACCACACGTTCCTAATTTCTTAGATGTAAATTTGAACTGTACAAAGGCATGGGCGTTAAGTATCAGACATTTTAATTTTTCACTTGTCGGATAAATTCGGTTTATCTTAGTTATATAAGTAAAAATTACATTATATTAGATAGCTTCACATATAATATAAGATTCATTGATTTGTACTTATACAGAGTTACTCGTTTATCAACGTTCGTAGAGGATAGCAAGATTATGGATTATCTTTGTTGTAATTTTTTATACAGTCACGTCTGTTGATTCTAATTATTTTGCTTTTAACAACAATAGGTCACATGGTGCGTCTCGAAAACGAGAATGTGAAATGACCTGTAAATTTGATACTTACGTATACGGACAGTAATTCAGTTGTAGTAAAATCAGTTTATCTTTATCATTAAATGTTATGACTAATGAAATCTTGTAATTTCATATATAAATAAATGATGACATTGATATTTGTAAAATATCTGGATAATTGCTGAATCCAAGAATAAATTTAGTTGCCTTAAAATAGTGCATTGTTTAAAGGGTTATTATCAGTAAACAGACACAATATCATTTCTCTTCAAAGATAAAAGTTTAAATATAAAAAAGTATAAACATTTTTACTTTAACAACTACATTTTAATTACATTAACGGCAGTTACTGAAAGGGCTAATTTTAGTTACGCAGTTATAAACGTACATATATATATATATACATAGAATAACGAAGTCTTTTAACATTAAACTCAATGTACTTAACAAGAAATATTTTAACTACTCGTGTCAAAATATAATACTACTATAACACCAGTAAGGGATCAAAATTATACTTAAAAATATCAAAATAACGCGGTATATTACAAATATCGTATACAAAATTAATATATTATTTCCTTCTACATTAGTTTTTTAGTAAATGAATTAAAATTGTTGCACCTATTCATCGAATACACGAGAAACAATAAGTAAGTTAATAAATGTACTCCCAGATATATACATATATTATTAGGTAATTTTTCCGGATTATTCAGAAGTTATCAGACTTTCTTCCTCCTGTAATAATTCTTCTGGTAGACCAAGAGTTAAAACGTCGTGAACTGATAGTTCGTGAATAAATGGGAGGAGGGAAATGAGCTTATATTGACTGATACATTCTATTACCCATCCGTACGCTAGAGGAACAGCTTTCGCTTTTCTGGCTCGTTCTATAATGGAAATTTCTGGTTACTGTGACTATTTATGATTCTACGAGCAACGATCACGTCATTTCATAAGTCATTTACTAAATGCTGTGTTAGTAAAAATATTCCAACTATTAGTGAGAATATATTTCTTTTAATTTTGAGAAGCTCAAACTCACCGACAATTTCTTTTTCATGGGCATAAGCCTGAGTAACTATGACCTTCAATTTATTCTTTATAGCAGCAAGTTCATTAAACGTCTTCGCAACATATGCTCCGGTGTTAATTAATAAATCCTAAATAATGAAAACAAAAGTATTGCATACGATGAATGACGATTTGATTTAGAGGAAGAACTGTTTAGCGTAATAACATGAAGTGTGTCTTACCTCGAACTCTTCGATCGGGATATGATCAAACGGTTCGATGCAGAAGAAAGCAAACCCTTCGAACAGATCTTTTTCCCTGAGTCGTGACTTTTTAGGTCCTGCTTCTAATGTCGAGTTATCAACGACTTCGTAGTCTTCTTCATTAAGTAGCTTTTCAGCTTTTATACAGTCAGTAATCCACGTATATCCAACTACCCATTTTTTGTGAGCTATTCCCTGTACATACTTTAGCGTTTTATCCACTGAATTAGTTTCTGTACACGCGTTCATTATCACGTGAGTAACATCAGGCTTATACACGTTAGTGAAATTTGCATTAACAAGTTTTGCAAAGGATTTCACACGTTCGATTTGTGCAATCGATAGCTGACTACAAGCGAAACAAAGTTTACTCTTTGCAACTTGCTGATCTACATTTGCCTTGCAATTTTGCTCTTTGCTTGAAATTGAAGTGATGCCTGCAAACGAACGATTACGAGACGTGACTTTTGGTGTACTTTCTTGTAGTGGTTGAAATGTCCTTTCGCCCACAAGATGAGCAGGTTTCATATCTTCCAGAAATTTTTCGTTCGAAGGACTTTCTTTGACGGTAGTGGATATTGCTGTATCTTTGACAGGGTTCATCCGGTTACTTATTTCATTAGCTTGCGATAAATCTAATCGCCTTGGACACCTCAAGCTCGTATCCGATGTTACATATCTAAGATAATTCATCGTTAGAAATAAACGAACATTGTAAGTAAATTGAAATTAATTTCTTTTTAGTGAAAAAAGACGTAACTACCTTTTCGGCTTTCGTTCCGGCGTAGTTTCAATGATTTCGTAATCCATGGTTTCATGTTCAGAAATCTGAAAAATATAAAGACGCGATATCCAGATCATCCTCCCTCATTTCGTGAATTGGAGTACTAATGGCTTCCCCAAACATAATAATGGAACTCACATTTGTAGGTTCACTCTCGGTACATGCTACTATATCGATGGTGGTCGTCTTTATTGCTTCTTGGCTACCTCCGTTTTTATGTAAGACGTTTTGCCGTTCATCGTCAGATTTATTATTTCCAAACAAATCCCGTTCGAATTGACGCATATACAATTGTCCTTGCGTAATGTTCATTAACGAGTCCTGCTCCATCGGTGTCTCATTGATCACATCCTTCTCTTCGAAATTCAGGTTTTCCCCCAGTGGTTTCTGTGCCCACTCTTCGGGTGCACTTTTCTTGACTTCGTTATAATTAGACGTAGAAGTAAAATGTAAGTCTTTGGTACTTTTGATTTTCTTCTTACTTAGAACAGAGTCAGGGGTGCTATCCGAAGGCAAAGATCGATCCTGTCTATTATTTACATTCTTCGAATGATTTACTTTGCAGGAAATGGTACCCGAATGTTTCTCTGGACTGGCGGATACAAAATTGGAAAAGACATTTGCTGCCACTCTTGGGAAATCTGACCGTTTGCCAGATAGGCACTCGTTTGATCGTTGACTCGAGTCACAAAAGGCTTCAGACATTTCTTCCTCGTCTAAATTAACGGTCTCGGGAAAGATGCATATCTTTTCGGTTTCCGTCATCGGCCCCTCTGGTGCAAGTGACACGTCAGGATAAATTTGCTTAGGACCGCTAACTTTGTAAGTAGCATTCGGTGAGGCGTTCTGTGACTTACGTTCCTCGAGCCCGAGTACACGTTGTGCCAAATTAATCTGATTATTTGAAGAATCATCTTCGGGTGGTTCTATTTCAGTGTCCATTACAATTTCATAGGAATTCTCAATCGCCTCGGTATCCTGCACTATACTGCCATCGATTGAAAGATTACCTCTTAATTGTGCAGACTGCGAGACTGCCGGCATGTTGGATACGCTGGACGATGTGGAGGTAAACGGGACGGTAGATGTCTCGTTTTCCTTTAAACCCTTCCTCACCTCCTGCTCCTCCGTCTCTACGGGATAACTATTTTTCAAAGTTTTCGACGCATCGCGGTATTCCGTTGTACTTCTTCGTGCAATCGGCGAAATCCCAACGATGTTACAGATTTCTGCTTGATTCAATAGCGAATACTTATCGATATCGATGCCTGTTACTTCCTGACTTGAATCAAGTGACGTGTCTTGCTTTGATTTATTTACGCCGTTCTCCCTGAGCAGACGACCCGAATGAACATTCGTCTGTTCTACGACTTTATCTTTGGCGTTTTTTTCTTTCTGGGACGATGTCAAACTGGCACACCAGTCATTTAGTATCGTCCGCACGTCCGACCCATCGTCGTCCGAGGTACTTCGAGAATTGGTTCTTTTTTTTTTCGACACTTGCTTGATCGTTTTATTACTAGCTAAGCTATTATTACTGCATCCGGATTCGTTTCCGCCGTTGTCGCTGGTGTAATACCTCTTTGCAGTCATATTTTTTGTTGCTTCGTGTTTTTGTCTTACATTAACGTCGTTAATTTCAGAGTCCGTTTCCGAATTACTCAAAGGCACGATGCGTTTGTATTTTTTTTTCGACCCTTCGAACGATCCAAATGTCTTCCCCCTGTCTACTAGATCGTCCTCCGACTTAGTGCTACAGAAATCTTTCTCTTTTAACACATTTGATTGCCTATGCGTGTTAATCCGTGATATGTTTTCATTTATCTCTTGAGCCGATACTTCTTTTAACATTTGTTTAGATGTCGAAGCGACTGCTCGCATCTCTTTCATTACAGAATTGGAATCTTCTTGTTCCGTGAAATTTAAATTTCGCCTTGTACTCGATTCAAGTGACCTGGCATTACTCGACAATGTGATAGTATCACAGTTTCCATCAGGATTTTTCTCAGAAGATTCCAGTTTGTTCGCAGCTTTACTTGTCGAATACATATTAATTTTCTTTAAAGTATTTTCTTCGCTTTTATAGGTAAAATACTTATTGGAAATATTTTCTTCGGTAATTACAGAACAAGGCCTTTTTCTTTGTCTCCTTGAGCTACTTGTATCACCGATTTGTGTGTTAGTTAACTCAGATTCCTGAATCTTTAAACTTTCAATTTTATTTTGTTCTTTATTTGGACATTTTGTGCAGGTTTTGTCCTTTTCATTATTAAGTGCTGTATGCGTATCATTAAAAATTCGTGTAAGTATATTCGTCGAAAGAGAATTAGATTCGATTGCAGGTGATTCCGAAGACAACAATCGCAGTTGTGAATCTTCTTTTGGAAAAAGTACTTTTGCGTGTCTTTGTTTCAAGTTCAGATTTTTATCTTGCTTGACCGTACAGTCTGGTTTTGAAACTGTCTCGAAGACTCGATTGCGCCCAACTTCAATTTGAGTTGTATCGCCAATCGCTTCGGATGAGTTTATGCAGTTGATTTTATGCATTGAGCTCGTTTGTACGTCACCTTCCGTCTCCAATTGATGTTCACGTATTACCGAAGTCTCTTGTGTAACAAAACACTTTAGTGTACCTTTCCCACGTAGTGGACCCAAGTACCAGAATTTTACTCTTTTCCTTCTGTGGTTAGGGGTCATGTTACTCAGTTTTATAAATGTCACTTTACGCCTTTTGTTTGCATTCTCAATTAAGTTCAGCAACGTTCCACCTTTCTTCACTACATCTGCGATCTTGCTATTATTCTCCTTAATTGCGCGTTCCTTGTCAGATTCTATACGAAGTGCCAATCTACTTCTTGTCGATCCTTCAGAAACTGCTGGTGATATCATTTTTATTTCGTTGACACTGTTATTTTTACTTGCAGTTTGGATTAAAGCCTGTCCCGACGATAATGTACCGTTCAACATGAAAGGTCTGCAATTATTGGCTTCACGCTTTTTCCTGAATTTTACTTGGTCAGGACTATATAAAGAAAGCGACACTTTTAATTTAGGTGAATAATTTTCTAGTTGCGAATTGGTCGGTGACTCTGGCAACTGGCTTTCTTTAATACAGGTATTAACATCTTCAAAAATATTTTTTTGATTTACGATACTTTCATTGATATTACTATATACTGGTGTTAATATTGGAGGGCTAAGGTCAGTATTAACATTTAGAGAATCATCACATATAATTGATTTTAATGGAGTTGTCTCATTTCTTATTGCAATTTTGGACTGCTCAGAGGCTTTGTCCAATCTCGTGTTTTCATTATAATCATTATTTTCATGTAAGACACGAGATGGTTCAACATTTAATTTTGGAATACAAGATTTACTTTCAACGCTAACATCTAAACGTTTTAACTTTTGTTTCTTATCTTGCATTTTCTTTCCAAATTGCGCGATTCTCGACCAGGACTGCTTTGTTGAACTTGAAGACATTACAGTGGTATTATTAACAGTCCTGGGATGATCCTGATTTTCCACAGAGCTATTCTGTGCACACTTTTGCTGATCATGAGACAGTGTATTACCCATCTGCAAAGTACTATCTGATTTTTTGGTGGTTGTCTCTTCGGAGTGTTCTGACTTCTTGTGATATAGGGTTTCATTGCAAATACTACTGTGCTTATCACTGGGAGAGTTTTTCTTCGGGGAGCTTTGTATTGAAACACGAGTTTTTTTATGTTCGACAGCGCTAACATCTGTCCTGTCCAAAACAGGCAAAGATTTATCTACAAAGAATGGACCATTACCTTCAGATAAAGCTTTTTCTTCAAATATTATTGCAATCTCACCGTCGTCCACCGTTTCCCTAAATTCTTGTGTACTCTTAAGCCAGTCCATAACTTTCTCCTTGACTGGAGAAGTATATGAATAGTTACTTTTTCCTTTAACCATAAGCTTAGCATACGATGGTGATGCTACATTAGTATCAATCAATTTATGCTTATCGTTTTGAACGACTTCTTTTGGGTTAGAAACTAAAGGTATTAACTCATGTTTCTTCAATACTTCAGGAATTTTTTTATCTTCAATGATTTCTTTGTTTCCCTTATTACAGTCTCTTTTTGAATACGGATGCTCAATAACATGTTCTTCCACTGCATTTTCATGTGTTGTTGTTTTCTTTAATGCACATTCATTTGTTATCGACGTTGCGTGAGTCTCAAAACTCCTATACCCAATCCCCCTTACTCCTTGTTTTAGATAAGAAGTAACTGTAAAATATAGTATGTAAAATTAATAAAAGACTTTAGCATTTATGTTCATATGATAATTAATGTGATCATTGTCATACATTGTTTAATATAAATTAGTGTTTTTATGTACTTACTATCAAGACCGCTATCAATTTCAATGGAATGCACGAGTTCTTCAAACCGTTCAATAAATTTAATTGTGTATTTATCCCTGGAAATGCTTCGTCTTGTTAAATTTGACTTGCATAATGGACATAGAGCACCTGGATCTTTTATAGCGTCCATTATACAGGTATGACAAAACGTGTGCCCACATCTTGTTTTTGCAGGCACTGAAAGTGTCTCTAAACTAAAAGACATTGGTGAAATCGCAACGGCATTATATGAAACAAAAAATACACATAAATATTTCAGAGAATACAATCGATACTCTAAATTACCGCAATGATTGTAAATGAATCGAAATAAGGACGTAACTGAAACCAAGCATCCTATTATAAGGACAATAGAAGAATCACTGCGATAAATTCAATGCTACGTACTATACAGAGGCATAAAGGCAATATAATAATTTAAAAAAGTAACACTGACTCAGGCAATACAGACATTGCTAATGTACAATGCTACATAAATAATGACTATGGTTACTCCTTACATTCATTACTGCACTAAAACGTTTAATGATTGAGCGATACGTAACCCAGGGCAATGCAAGAAATTGCACATTGTTTTGTACATACATTGATCTTCGGTATCCGACATTTGAGAGCAACAAGTATGTACATACATACTTTAGTTTGAAAACGACACATTCAAACTTACCAGATAGCACACTCCAAACATTTTTGCATACATCTCACCGTTTCTAGTAGTTTGTCTATTTCCATTACTTGTTATTAGATTAATATCAATTAATACAAGAGCCCTTACAGGTGTTCCTTAATCATAAATTAAATATAATTATCTAAATAAAAACTGAGAAGAATAAAGTCTGCTACTCCCGCCAAGTATGGAGTAACATGAACTACGTTCTACCATAGAAAGTGATAGAAAGTAAACCTTTTGAAGGTAATGAAAATATTCAATGGACGTTATGGCACGTTACGGAACCTGGTGCACCAATCAGTGATTTTTTATTTCATATTGGAAACGTAATTTACTGGTTTTTTAAGATTTTTTACGGTAAACTACTTTGTTTACGCAATATAAAAATAAAACCTTGGAAAATGGAGAATTACCAACCCTGATTGCATCCGTGTTAAGCTTTGAAGTGCGTCGAGTGTTGAGCGCGCGGCCGCGCGACGCCATCCTGCCAACTGCTGCCAATTGCTGCCAACATGTCTGCCAAAAGTAAAAGGCGAACGTGTCAGCAGCTCGTCATCTTTTCATATAATTTACACAAATGGAAGCTTCGTTAAATCATTAGATTTTTCATTGAATTGTAGTAATAGGACAGTTGCCATCAAAAATGAGTTTCTCCGTGAAAAAGACAGGTGGTAGGATGTGGCACGAAGCTCGTAAACAAGAAAAGAAGATTCGCGGGATGTTGGTCGATTACCGTCGACGAGCCGAACGTCGCCGTGATTATTACGAGAAAATTGTAAGAGTTTCATACAACATCATTGGATTACGTTTCTCGTTTTTATTACTGCTATGCTTTACCTTTGATGTTTAAAATCATCAAACTTTAGGGTGATACGATTAACCTCAATGTTGATCATTGCGTACAGATGTTTATTCCTTGAGATGTAAATTCTGTAGAGTTATAATTTGAAAACGACTTAATAACTAAAAGAGAATTGTAATGCTTAATTGTTTTATAGAAGTCCGACCCTACGCAATTTCTTCAACTTCATGGGAGGCCATGTAAAATACACTTAGATCCTGCGGTTGCGACCGCTGCGGACAGTCCAGTCAATATGTATGTATTTGTCAACATATGACATAAAAACATCTGTACGATATAATACGTTAATTTTAAATTGCCATTAGGATGCCTTGGCAAGGAAACGAAGATAACTTAATCGATCGATTTGACGTGAGAGCACATCTCGATTGGATTCCTGAAGCACCCGATACCATTGACGTAGATATAGCATTAACAAGCGAGGACAGACATATCAATTACGAACGATATCGCATAATCGTTCAGAATGAATTTCTCGGAGGTTCGTACTTATTGTATAAAGTATTGTACTATTTTTAGATATTCTTTTTATTTAAATATAATCACTTCTCAGTAACCGAAGAAAAGTTTCTGCATCAAATTCATTTGGAGGAACAGTTTGGATCTTCGACTAAGCCCGATTCGGTAAGAGAGAAGAAAAAATCTAGCAATAATGCAGCAATTGGATATAATTATGAAACCGAAGAACCAATACCTGAATCTGTGAAACCCAACGATTCGACTACCCCAGATGAAAAAGCAGAGGATGAGGATAGTGACATAGATTTAGGTATGTTGCACCGTAGACACAAGTTAAGAATACTTATTCGGATAGACGATATGCAGATTATGCAAACCTGTCAATCGTTGCTTTAATCCGTCAGATATTTGCGTGGACGTATCTCAAATCGAACCATCGCAAGCACACGAAATGAATCAAGTAGCACAAAAATATGGACTCCTAGGAGCAGATTATTTCAGTTTTTTAACTCAAGATTTTGAAGAGGCAGAAACATTGAGGCAAGCTCGAAAACAGGAAGAAGAGAAGGCTATGTACTCGGTAATGAAATAGCTGTTTACCTCGGATATATAACATGCATAACTGGCCTCCTCGATTCATATAAATACTCTTGGCAACATAACTCACTACGCTTTATTGTCAGGGTCGAAGATCTCGACGAGAAAGGCGAGCTTTCAGAGAGAAAAAGATGATTGGCCGAGTTATGAGTCCTCCAAGGTAATAACTGTAATACAATAATGGGAACTGCTTCCAGAGGTTACAATGGAATTATAATTACTCCGATCTTATAAATGTAGTCGATCGGTCTTAATAGAAGATGCCATTTCAGCTATGCCGCGAGGGAGAGCCCAGAATACAATCCGTATAGGAAGTCGTCATCCAAATCTCGTTCTCGATCGATGTCACCTGTAAATACCGGACAGATCACGTACATTACAAGTTTTGGTGGCGAGGAAGAAGCTCATGGTAGTTCTTCCCACGTTACCTCTACAAACCCTAGAAGAGTCAATTATTCGCACTTGAGAAGAAGGAGATCAAACAGCCCAACCTTCAATGACCGAATGTCGCATCGAAGGGTTTCAAAATCTAGATCGAGAAGCTTCTCCCGTTCCTTGAGCCGTTCTAAATCGTATCGATCGCGGGACAGGAGGCGAAGCGTATCACGAACCAGGTATGACCCTCTCTTTCTCGAGGAAAAAGGGAATTATATTATCGGTAGGAGGAACTCACGCACAACTTTTACCCAGGACTAGAAGAACTCGTTCGAGACCCAGAAAAATGACCAGATCTAGGACCAGAAGTCATTCGAGACGGCAGTCGCGATCTTGCACGAGGTCACGTTCTCGCTGCCGAAGTCTAAGTAGATCACGAGATTCACGATCGCGATCTATATCGCGTTCTAAATCACGATCCGTCTCGCGATCGTGTCAGAGACGGTCGAGGACGACGTCATCGAGCAGCTTCTCCCGTTCAAAGTCAAGGTCACGATCAAAATCGCGCAATCGGAGTAATTCGCGAGAGAGCTACCGCAGAAGACGGTATTCGCCATCCAAGTCCAGATCGAGATCACGCTCGAGAAGCAAGTCGCAAACGAGGTCTAGAACAAGGTCGAGGAGCCGTTCCAGCTGCAAGCGATCCAGAAGCGTTGAAAACAAAGCCCCCACTTTGCCGAGGTAAAATCTCCCATTAGATCCGTGAAAAGTTTCAGGGATTATTTCGTGTAGTTCTACATCTATTATCCCTAGATACTATGGTCGTCGTGGCAAATCGTCCAGCTTGGAATTGGAATTATCAGATGTCGAAGAAAAAAACGTTCCTCCAGCACCCAAGCCTCCGACGGTTAATGCTAACGTGTAAGTTATGTCTAGTCTTAAAAATCTAATCTTCTTCGTTTAATCCAGTGGAATAATTTTGGTCGTTTTTTTTTTCCCCTAGGAACAAACCAAAGGCAGGGTTAAGTACAAATTCTGGTGGCGGACACAAAGTCAGTAAGAACCGTAACGCTTTCTTAGTCACTTAACGTTCAGAACAAAGAGACAGAACATAATTGAGCTACTTTAACTGCATTTACAACGAGGGGTTTCAACGATTACTTCTCGTTTTCACTCGATTGGGTATCAGACATCGATCGTGCATCGATTTCACGTTAACCGAGATTGTGCACTTAGTTGTATCGTAGGGCAGGATCACATTTAAGATACGATCAAGCAGTTAGAGATCATTTTTCACGAATGAATATTTCAATGTCATCGGTGTTAATGCTCATGCTCCAAAAAGTCACGGACGGATAGTATCGCCCTTATTTTTCGTTGCATCGAGATTGACCTGGTTTAATTCAAATTGCGACATCACGTTTTTTTATTCATTCAACGGTTTTCAATTGATCGTAGCTTCTGTATAAATTGTTCCCGTGTAATATGTTCCGCAGGTCACATTACATCCGAAGAATATTATTATCAGCCATTTTAGTAATATCTGTAATACTTTCATCTATGAGTAACACTTCTTTAAGAGTTTCATGTTTCAGTCGACGAAAATCACACCTCAAGAGCGGCTTAAGAAGAAAATGCAGGCCCTGCTAAATAGGCAATGTAAGTCGGGTGTTGTGTAAACTTGAACGTTACAAAGCTATTCGCTGCTGTGCGTATTTTAGACAAAGCTGACAAGAAAGCGGAACAACTGAGAATGGAGAAGATGGAACAGCAGAGGCAGGATCGCGAGGATGAAATCCGAGAAATGTCTCTGAAACTGAGAAGGAAGTAAGCACGATCAATCCGTTACATGTGTATACATAAAATATTAAATATGCAATAATAGAGACGCTATTAAGTCTATGAATTTAGTGGTGACGAAGCCTATGTACAGAATCTGTTTTTCTATTTTCTTTTTTTAGGCAGAGAGAACGAAGACACAGATACGAGGGACACAGTTCCGATTCTCGATCGTCAATATCACGCTCACCTAGTCCGAGTCGGAGCCCTCGACACCAAGTAGTTAGGAGAGATAGGAGAGACAGGGACATAAGGGATTTGGAGGTGGATACCGAAAGAGATAGGGAAAGGGAGAGGGAAAGGGAAAGGGAAAGAGAAAGAGAGAGGGAAAGAGATAGGCGAGATGACAGAGAAAGAAGTAGACAAGAGTCAAGGAGGCGTTATAGAGATTCTCCGATTCGCTCTTTAAGTCCACGCAGTAGTCGGTAAGATACTTATTTTGTAAATGTTTAATTACAATTAAAATTTAGATGTCGATATATTTAAGTATGCCATTTTTTTCTGTTTCAGAGGTCTAGTTGATTACTGACAAACGGAAAAGAGGTTGCCCCATTGTCCATTAAAAGAATTTAAAAACTCCGTAGGCACTTCTCATTTGCCCGCTCTTCCTCCTTAACTTGTTAAATTTTTGAAAAGTTATAAGAATACTTACTAATTGTATGTACGCAGGATTATGACTTTGTTCCGTGTTATGAATTTAAATGAACTTTGTTTAATAAACGAAGTGAAATACAAAAAGTGTTTTCATGAATTTCAGTATATGTTACGTTTAACCAAAGTTCCTGTTGCGAGACCGTTGCAGTTGTTATCTTTTTTAACAAAAAGTATTTTGCATTAAGAGCCAGTTTCTGATAACTGAGATATATGATAAGATATTATTTTATTCGAAGGCTGTAACCAGCAAATTGTTTTGTAACCAAATTATTCATAATCCAGTAGGATTTTATCATAGGGTGTTTACATTAAACCGAGTGTTGTAAGAAAAATACCATCTGTGTCCAACATAGGTAGTAATTGCTGCAAAAGAAACCGAATTGAAAACACTATGCCTCCTATAACATTTGCTATTTTAACCGGTAAGTTAATCACACTATATGAATTTTCCGAGGGGAAATAATCTGTATGTAGACATTTTAAACATTAAATGTTGTTTTATTATTGTAACGATATCTCGTAATTGTAGGTTAATATATCTACTTCAAGGTTATGTAGGAATTCATTCACGGGCGATTATTTCCAATCAAGTTACAGTTATAAGAATACATACCCAACAAATGTTAATTTAATAGTGTTACAATAATTTTTTATTTAGTTAGCGATTCCTGCTTCAGCGGTGACAATAAGGATAAGAGTGGTCCAGAGTTAGTACGCTTGGTTACCAATGAACAGACCGAGACTGGGAAAATTTTGAAAGGTTTAATTGTAAATACTGCAATTGTTCCCGATGAGCAAAACATGATTCGGGTAAGCATATCAGCCGCTAACAATTCGTAAAGTATATAAAAAATTAACTTTGACGAACACAGGACATATTGCTGGAATGGACCGATACTTTGAAAGCGAACGTCATCCTCACAACTGGTGGTACTGGTTTTACAAAACGTGATAATACTCCAGAGGTAACAAAGGAAATTATTGAAAAAGAAGCACCAGGACTCGTTACAGCTATTCTAATGGCGGGCATAAAAATAACACCACTAGCAATGCTATCCAGGCAAATATTTCCGTGCATTCAAGGAGAATATTTACAATGCACATTTTGTTAGTAACACGAATTTTTCTGCAGAGCTGTATGTGGAATACGGGGTGAAACCTTAATCATAAATCTGCCCGGCTCTCCGAAAGCAGTTAAAGAATGTTTGGAAGCTGTAGCCGAAGTTATTCCACATGCTGTCGACTTGATACTGCAGAAGGAGACACAAGTTAATACTACCCATAAAAATAGTGACTCAAACCGTGGAGATTGTTGTCATAAGGATGTCAGCAATGTATCGAGTATATCGGTATGTTGTCTCAAAGAATGTTTGAGTATATACATATTTATAAAAGTTATTATTCGACATCGATATTCATCAGATTCAACTTAATGACGTAACGGAGCGAGACAGACAATCTCCTTATCCCATGATTTCCATGGATACTGCAGAAGAAATTATAAATAACGTAGAATATAATGGGGAGACGGAGCGCATACACGTGGCAGATGCATTTGGAAGAATATTGGCTGATGATACGTACTCATCCTGTAACTTACCACCCTTCAGAGCATCCATCAAGGATGGCTATGCAGTTCTAGCGAGCGATGGCAAAGGCCGAAGACGAGTATTGGGTGGGGTGGACGCGGGATACACGGTATACAAAAATAACGTTAAAACATTGAGGTTCATCCTTTCTAATTTTCTTTATTTATAACAGCCTGGATCGGTGAAACTCTTTTCTGGCAGTTGTGTTCGCATTAACACCGGAGCTCCTGTACCTGATGGTAAATCATACGTGCTATTCGTATTACAGCTAACGATATTAAAATATACACTTTGTTGCAGAAGCGACGGCGGTAGTTCAGGTCGAGGATACCAGATTGCTAAAAAAAACTGTCGATGGTACAGAAGAAGAAGAAATTGAAATTCTGCTTTCACCATCCGAGGGGCAGGATATACGGTAAGGAACATTACATTATATTTTAATTACTTCGATTAAATTGTTATATTATTATTTACAGGCCCATCGGTAGTGACATAGAATCGGGGAGCTTAATATTAAAGGCATGCACTAAAATTGGTGCCGCCGAAGCAGGAATTTTAGCAGCAACCGGCATTTCGAAAGTTAACGTTACTAAACCTCCCCTGGTCGGGATTCTGTCGACAGGTAACGAATTGCAAACAGCTGGAGATCCACCCAAACCAGGGCACATATACGACAGTAATAAAGTGACTTTGACGATGATGTTGAAAGAGAACGGTTACGGTTCCAAAGACCTAGGTATCGCTATCGACAAGTAAGTGTACCAGACGAAAAGGAAAAAATGCAAAAAATCTACAAATTATGCACATTCGTTCAAAGGCCCGACGTCATGGTTAATGCTGTAAAAAATGCGTTGGAGACGGTGGACGTATTGATAACATCGGGCTCGGTGTCGATGGGCGACAAGGACTTACTGAAACCCATTCTACAGAAGTATTTCGCGGCTACGATACATTTCGGTACACGTTACCGCTTATTAATGCCACCGCCAAAATAACATTACACCAAACAGGGAATGACCCTATAATTGCGTTTTCAGGACGAGTCAATATGAAACCGGGGAAGCCTACAACATTTGCTACTTGCATCTATAAAGACAAGATGAGATACATTTTAAGCTTACCAGGTAATCCCGTTTCCGCAATGGTCACCGCTCACTTATTTGCCCTCCCGTTGTTGAACCGACTATCGGGAAATCCTTCAAAGCCTGTTGTAATTAAAGCAGAGGTAAGTCAATCGCGTTAAATTGTTAGTCCAGGCGGTTGGGTGACGCGACTAAAGTATAAGATCGTACTTGAAAATTACAGCTAACATCCTCGTATAATCTAGACCCCAGGCCAGAATATGCCCGGGCGATCATTCAGTGGAACGCTTCCGACATTTATCCGAAAGCCTTTAGTACCGGTAATCAAATAAGCAGTAAATTACTCAGCTGTAAGAATGCTAATGCACTGTTGATGTTACCCGGTCGAACCCCGGAGCAATCGAAGTTAGAACCGGGAGAGATAGTGCCAGCCATGCTGATCGGGCTCGATCAAAGTGCCCGATAGCGTTTCGCTCGCCTACGCGTAAAGAAGACAAAGGCGCATCAAGAAACAAGGTTTGTCCACGGCTTCGACTCGAAATCGATAAAATGATATTTAAGGAGCGCATTAAGAAAACCGGAACGGCAAAGGTGAAGATGCGCTTGTTTATTATTAACCTTATGTCATATCGTTTCAAATTTTCAATTACAATATNATCTTTTTTTTTTTTTTTCCCCGACGAACGGCGGTCAATCGACGTCCGAGGCGCGTTACCTTATCTCTCCCTTTCTCGGCCGACGATTGCTCGTCAAATTTCGGGCGTATCAGTCGTATTATAGTATATTTTTTTCTGAACACAATGTTTTTACACATGACGTTAGGAAACTTATGTTATTTTACTTAAGCTGCGGCATGTTCCAAAGATTTCCTGGAGTCGATCCTCTGGGGACGATCCAACGAGCGGGGGAACAATGTCCATGGACGTTATTCAAGTTTTTCGTCAATCAACATCCTGGCTTACGTCAGAGCGAATACTTATTTAAAAAAGAGGAGAGGCTCAAGGCAACGGCACACCTACACGGATTAAACGTAGGAACACTCGTCGTCCGCGACACGGTGTGGACTTAGAAAGAAGTGGATGAGACGAATAATAATCTAAGGGACCTTCGACGCGGCGATCGGCAATCGAGGAGCAACGGTGGCCCGGCGCCCGATGTCGTAGAAAATAGTCCCTTTAGGAGGCAATAACCGAAGGCTCCTCTGTAAGTCCCTTGCAGGGAGCGGGCCGAAGGGCCGGCCGTTGCTCGAGTCAATTCGGACAGCGGACGATCGACCCTTAAAGGCGGTCGCGCTCTTGTCATTAATAATAGAAAATTCCTACGTTAAATCCTTCCGCGCGCATTAACCCGAAATCTTGTAAAACGCTATCCCTAAGGTTTACTGTCTAGAAAGTAATACATATGTACAGGAGAACAACTTAAGAGATCTTCGTAATTCGTGGCAATCGCGAGAGACGGAGAGAAAGAGAGAAGAATCCGCGCGAGAGGAGGTCGAATCGAAAGGCATTGTTTTGTTTCTCTTCTTCTTTTTTTTCCTTTCTTTCTTTCTTTCTTCTTTCCGACGACATCGATCGGTCGACGATCGGCGGTCCGGTGGTCGCGCGTAGGAACCATTAGTCGTTATTGATTCGAGTAAAAAGTTTTAGGTGGACGTCCGAGTCTCGTTGCGAGTAAGTCGGTCGGTCGGTCGGGATACCCCGGGATACCCCCGGGACGAGTGCATCCCTTGGAGTCTCTTAGACATTAGGTGTCGCGGTAGAAACGCAATCACTTGGAACATGTCTCAGCCAGCACTTACGCTCTATGTAGATGTATACGTGTCCGTTCTTTGCTAATTGGCTTAAATATTTTGCATTTTGCGACAACTGTTTTTGCGAGCGGTAAAAAGGTCTTCTCTCGCCAGGATAGTTCTTTACGATCGTAGTCGCCGAACGACGACGACGCGCGCGCGCGCGGTAAGGAGCCGGGAAAAGGGAATCGCGAATCAGGGCCTTCCGATTAATTTCGATAGAGAGTGAAAGAGAGAGAGAGAGAGATGAACGAATGAAACGGTACGTACAAAGTGGAAAGGAATAGGCGGTATTCGCTCTATCGGGATGCCGTTGCCGCAACGCCGCGTAAAAGGTTCGCCAGACCGGCCCCGATGTAAGGGCGAGGTCGCTCCCAAGGCATTCTCTCCTTTTTGACACCCGATTAATGCCACCTTAGGCGTTTTGACCACAACTGCGCGAGCTCGTCGAGACCCTATTCCGGGATAAGTCTCGGCCATTAAAAAAAAATTCCCTACAGACTTTTTATTCCCCCCCACCCGCTCCCTAAACGCGCTCGTCGCTTTCATTCGCCGAGCGCAGTTTCTTCGCTAAAAATCATGCCGGCGACCTCGACCGATCGCGTCGCTACGGGTACAAACGATATACAATAATTCCGTCAAAATCAACAATCGTCAAAAAAACAAAAAGGAAAGTAAAGAAGGATACGCTTGGACCGCTTGGAAAGATCGCAATCCTGTATCCAAAAGTCAGGTTGTATGGAATTTACGTTCTTGCCGCGCTTCCCGACTCGTCGAACAATAACCTACCCCCCCGACTATCGATGTACTTCGGTTAGTGAAAATTTTACATTAATATATTTATTTATACCTATATTTATATATATATATATATTTATATATATTTATATATTTATCTATCTATCTCCCTACCTAATACTCGTAAATATCCCATCTATAAGCAAAGTAAGACCAATTTTCATCAATTCGTAATGCAATAACGTCGTATACTCTCCAAATAAGTACCCCCCCTTTGGATCATCGAAATGAGACTGTTCACTTTTTACATCCCCCCCTCCTCGTCGGAGATAGCAAAATAATAAATTCCATACGTCAGTACTTGGACTTTTGGGCACGGATTACTCCCAAGTGAAGCGCGATGATCCTAGCCGTTGCGCGGGGTCGTCTTTCCTCCACCTCGGACGCGTAAAAAATCGAAAAGTAGAGAAAATCCCGGACGGGGGCCCCCCCCCCGAAGGTGGCCGAGCTCGATCCCGGAGATCTCGACGGCTACCGGGTACCGGGCAATCCCTAGGTGGACGCGCTGGCGAGAACCTCCCGAGAATGGGCGCCGCGGCCTTAAAACGCCGACTCGTAGAAAAATATAAAAACCACATCCGGTGGTAGTTGCCCTGCGAACGTAATACACATACACGCGAACATTTGCGAATCGAATCGGGGGTCGATCGAGGGATGCGGTTCATCCCGGGACGTTCCTCGCGTAGGATGGAAATCGGCGCGACAGGCGTGGCGGGCGGGGGGTCATTGCGACAAGCTAAGACGTAGTTTCCCCGCTCGGGGAGTCGTCTCTCTCTCTTTCCGCTCCTTCCGGAGGGGCGATCCTCGCGGTTTTCGGGGGGGATCGGCCGTTCCTCGCGTCCGCACCGGGAGGCGCCGCGTCCGCGGTGCACCGGCTCGCGGTCGAGGGGGCCGACAGGCGAGAGGCGAGATGCGAGAAGCGTGGCCGAGAAGCGGTACCGAGACAGGGATGCACCCGGACTCGGCGGGTCCCCCTCGGAGCGTCGCTAAGGAAGGAAGCACTAAAGCGACGATTTCGTGGCTCCCGACTTGGACTCAAACGCGTTTCAGGTACTTTCGATCAGTGCCGGGCTCGATGACGCGCGGAACGAAGGAACGCGCCGACGCCTCCGACTCCGCCCCCGCGACGTCCGCCTCCGACGGATCGAAGGATCCGAACCTCGGAAACCTCGAAAATTCGCGGAGAGAAAGAGAGAGATGGGGGGAAGAGAGAGAGACAGAGAGGGAGAGAGAGAGAGAGAGAGAGAGAGAAAGAAAGAGAGAGCGAGAGAGAGCGGAGCAAACGGCAGAAATCAATGGTACGGCGACAGACGGAACGCGGGTACTCTCGGTTAATAATAAAGTACCTAGTTCTCGATATACGATTATACCGTTCTTGACCAACCTTACATGTGTATATATATATATATATATGTATATATATTTACTTTTGTTAACTTTCTTACGAATGCTTTATGTATAAATATGTATCGTCCGAGCCGCGCAAACCCCGTTCGTCCTGGAGTCCTCATTCGGCAACGAAACCGACGTTTGCGCCGGCGCGCGAGCGGTCCTTCCGCCGCCTCCGATTGAAAGTAAATGAAAAGCCCCCCCCTCGAGAGTTTACGTTCCTTCCGCTAGTCCGTACCTAAAAGCTAGACCCTAAAGCTGCGCTCTCCTCGAATCACTCGCCCTAGGTGTATCGTACAAACGGCTATCCCTCGGCTCGGTTTCCTTGCATTTCTCTTCCCCAGGCTCGCGCACACCCACTCTCTCTCTCTCTCGGTTTCTCTCGCTTTCTCTCTTTCCCTCTCTCTCTCTCTCTCTCTCTCTCTCATACACATTTATATCGTTAAATCGTTACCCTCGCGACCCCGTGTAGAAAATTCCGCGTACCCGGACGCGTCCGCCCTCGGGGCACTCGCGGGTCGCGAGACGATTGCGTCCTTACGTTACGCGATAGGTAATAGTAATTATCACTTTGTTTGCTCTCTAGGCCACACAGTTCTCGGATGCCGAAAGTCCTCGCAATTCTCGTCGTCTCGTGGACGCGCATCGTCCACCGAGTCGGAAACTCCGGGCGGAGTGTCCTCGTCGAATCGGGCACGGGACCCGAGAGGCCAGCTGGGTTCATCCTCGCTAGGCCGTGTCCGTCCGTCCGTCCCGCTCGGCTCGGCCCCTCCTCCGAAGACGGCGACGAGCCTCGTCCTCCGTTCCTCCCGACGATCCGCGACGATCCGCGGTGCGTCCAGCGGCAGCCGCGGCTAAGGGGGGAGAGGGAGAGAGGTCCGCTTCCGGCTTCCCCCGCCGGCCGTCGAGGAATCGGAGGAAGGAGAGGATGGGGGGGGACAGGAAACGTGGGAAAAGGCGCGCAGCGGTTCTCAGTGGATGGCGACCGGGCTTTGCTGGACGCATACGCCCACCATGGGACTGTCCTCCCGGTCCTGGTCGCGCTGCTTCCCGGAGGCGACCGCCGGCGCTTGCCGGGCCATTCCGTGGCCGTCGGAGCTCGAGTAGCCGTAGTTGTAGAAGTTGGGCTGCTGGATCATCGGCGAGGTCATCATGGCGGGCAGGTGGGGGATGCCCGGGAGGATGAGGCTGTTGTAGGAGCCGAGAGAGCTCGGGATGAGGGAGCCGTCGGGGCCGGGGCCGGGGCCGGGGCCGGGGCCCGGATAGCAGCTCGTCGTCGCGGCGCCGCGCCGCGTCCCCGAGTGGCGGGGCGACGACTCGCAGTCCATCGGCTGGTATCCGCCGGGGAGGCTCGGGACCTGCATCGGGCCGCCGCCGTTGCCGCCGCTGCTGCTGCTGCTGCTTCCCTGCCCTGACACGGTTACCAGTCCTGCGACAGGCGGACGAATGCGTTAGTGCGACCGCGGGGCGGACTAGGGTGGGGGGATCAACGGACGGACAGAGACAGAGAAACGGACAGAGAGCGAGCGAGAGAGAGAGAGACAGAAAGAGAGAAAGAGAAAGGGTCGCCTCAGGGCGATCGATCGTTCCTTTCGCGATCGCCGGCGAGATCTACAGGGGAGAGTACAGACTTTTGGACGACGTCTCTACCGGGAGGGGGTGCAGGCACTAATCGCCGCGGCTCGACTTGGCTCGGCGGAATCTGCCGCGATCCTCGTAGGTGGGTTAAAAAAAGAAAGAGTCGCGAGAGGGGACCTACGCGAGGGGGCAGGGGATGCCACCCGGCGCCGGGAAAGGAGAAAGAGAGAAGCATCGGTGCGGGAAGCCAAGGACGCTCCGAGTCTACGGGGGAGAGGAGCGTACCGGGAGGAAGAGAAACGCATGCGATCGCGGTGCACCCTCGGGCGACGGAAGCGGCGGAAGGCATGCGGGAGAGAACGAGAGAGCGGAACGGCCCTCGTCCGCGAGAGAGGCTCGGCGTCCTGGGGAACGGGCGGTCCCTCTCGGGGGTGTCATGCTCCGCCGGCGGCTCGCTACGAGGAGGTGGGGCATCCATCTACGAGTAGTGGACCGCGGCCGCCCGCTCAACCTCGAGTCGTCCTCGAGTCGTACGCGCGGAGTCACGGGCTCGCAACGTCAATCCGTGGCTCCGCCACTAATGGTAATCCAAATTACGTTCAGTCCGCAGGCAAGCAAGGCATCGCGCAATGCATCCGAGGCCAGGCCGTAAAAGTAACGTACGTATAGAAATATGTATACAATGTGTACGAGCAAACGAGAGATTATTCGTTAGTTGTCTGAGCGAGGTCGGACTCGTTTGTTAGCCAGAACTTACTTATGTTAGTAAGTAAGATTAGGGTTGGGGCCTAGGACAGGTCGTCGCCGCCCCGCGGATACGACAGTCATCGAGCCACGTACTGTCCCCCCATCATATCTACGGGCAACAACAACAAGTATCGTTTAGTTTGTGCAGAAAATAAGCCGGTCGCGCGAAGGGACGCAAAGGGGCGCTCGCGGACGCTTCCTCGCTACGAGGACCGCGAGAGGCCCGCGGGTCGTGTCTCACTTTCTGCACAAATTAAATCTCTTTCCTAAAATCTGAGAGAGCACTCCGAGGAATCGTCCGACGCGATTACCTCCCCGCCAGAGGACGGCCTTCTCGTCGCTCGCGGGATCGCGTATCCTCTTTGGGGAAGTGTTCGACTCCTGAAAAGATCGCTTTAAACGGGAAGGGGGTCCGATCTAGAACGATCCACGAAACCGAGCGACGCGGATCCGCCACCTCGACCTCCCGGACCGCGGGTCGAAGGACTCGCCGCCGTCGTCGGTCGAGGACCTCCGTCCGGGACCGGGTTCACCGTCCGTGGGATCGAAACGAGAGCGTCCAGAGCGCGTAGTCGCGGGACGAAGCGCGACGACGTCGGGGAGGGCCGCCGGATCGCTCCGGATCGGCTGGACGAAACGAAAGGCGAGGCCTTCGGGGCGAGCGTCTCCTCACCGTGATCTTGACTCATCGACACCACCGCCGGACTGGTGTTGGCGCTGTTCGCGGCGGCGATGTTCGTGTTGGTCCCCTCGTCGGCCGTTCTCTTGAAGAAGTTGTGCTGGAGCGCGTAGTACGGCGTGACTCTGGTCTTCGGGTCGAACTCCAGCATCCTCAGGATCAGGTCCTTGAACTTGAGGTAGTCGGAAATCGAGTGGCCGGGCTCGCTCAGTCTCCTGCCCCCGGGGCCGCCGTTCTCCACGCCGAGGATGTCGTGGAGTCGTCTCGTGCCCGGCAGCTTGTACTTCTTCCCGTCCTTGCACTTTTTGAGCACGTAAGAACCGTCCGTGGGGACTTTCTCGAAGTACTTTCGCGCCTTGTGCGCTTGGTCCAGGATGTGCTTGGGCGGCATCCCCAGCACCTCGATGATCTTGTTCATCTGGTCGACCTGCGGTCACGAGAGGAGCGGTCAGTCGGAACGACTCGGCCCGGTCGAGTCGATCGAGTCGATCGAAACGAGGCGTCTCGTGCCAAGAGGTATTATCGAGAGCCAGGTTCGCCCGAGAGAGACGGGTTTCGTTGGGGAAAAGTCAAAGGAGCTCGCTCACCTCGTTGGCCCCGCTGAACAGAGGCTCGCCCGTGTGCATCTCCACCAGGATGCATCCGAGACTCCACATGTCTATCGCCAGGTCGTACGGTATCCCGAGGAGGACCTCGGGTGATCGGTAAAACCTGGACTGGATGTACTGGTATATCTGAAAGGGGAAGCGTCAAGGTCAGCGTCCGGAACTTTGCCTCGGCGTAGCTCCCTTCGGTTTGGCGCTTACCCTCTGTCCGAGCTGACAGGAGCTGCCAAAGTCTACGATCTTGATCGCGCTGCGCTTGGGGTTGCACAGGAGGATATTCTCGGGCTTCAGATCGCAGTGGATGATGTTCAATTCCGGGGTGGAGAGGAACAGAAGGGCGGTGCACAGCTGCTGCGCAAACTTCCTCGTGAGGTTCAACGACACGCCGCGGAAATTGGTATTTCTAAGGAGGTCGTAGAGATTGTAAGACAGCAGCTCGAATACCAGACACAAATGGTTCCGCCACATAAAGTGCCTCTTCAGTTTAACTGAAACACGAAGAGAGAGAAAGAGAGATAGAGACCCGGTCAGAGCGAGGTACGACCCGGGGCGCCCGGTCGGAGGAGGGGCCGCCGCCACGAACCTATATAATACTTGTTGTCGGTATCCGCCCTGTTCATCATCTCCAGCAGTCGAACCTCGATCTGCGCCTGATTCAGAAAGGGCTTCTTGTTCTTGATGATCTTTATCGCCACCTGGGTCTGCTCCTCGTGGTCGAACGCCTTGACGACCTGGCCGAAGCTGCCTTTACCTGCGGACCGAAGGAGGGGACGATAGTAACGCTCTCGAGGCGGTCGGCTTCCATCTACCCAATCGCTCACCTATCAGCGAGTCGATCTCGTATCGATCCAAGAACTTTTCCCCGTTCTTGATGATGTAGTCGTGGTTGTCGTCGTCCCACCCGTAGTTGTAGACCTTTCTCTCCTTCTTGTGGGAGCCGTCCTCGCCTTGCATCTGCTGCGCCCGCCTCTTCTTCTTGGCATAGTAGACCTGCGGAAGCGAGTAGTTAGGTTCGGCCTCCTCGTCGGCGGGTCGCCGCGGCCGGGGGGTCCCGGACCCGGGCGCATCCCTGCAAAAGTGCCGCGCGAGGCGGCGGCGGTGGCGAGGGGAGGAGGAGGGAGAGAGGGCGCAGAATCCGACGCGCAATCGATATCGCGTCGCGGCCACGCGAAAATCGTCCCGCCGAAAGTCGTCCCTCGGGACGTCGACCTCGCGCGGTCCGGCCAGGGAGAGACGTCGACGGGCGACTCGGTCCCCGTTGCTACGCGCGAGCGCGCCGCGCGGAGGCCCCCCACCCGGCGGCCCTCCTAACGGAGGATTCTCTCTCCCGACGAGCTATTTTCGCCCGGACTCCGTCGGCGGCCGCGCGGTGGGGAGCCGAGTCAATGGGACGGAGCGAGAAAAAGAGCCGGGCCGATCGTGAATGGACCACCGCCGCCGCGCTCCACTTTCCGCTCCTCCCCCTCCTCCTCTTCCTCCTCCTCCGACCCGAGGACGTACCTCGTTGATGTGCTTGTAGGTCTTGATGAGGTCGACGCTGAGCTTCCGGAGCGGGGCCGTCGCCGGGTCCCGAAACCTGTGGGGTATCCGGGCCTGCATCGCGTGGATGTCCGCCGGGGTGTCCTGGGCGGCGACCCCGGCCCCGCCGACCGCGGGGGGCAGGGGCTCCTCCGCCACGAGGCGGCCATAGAGAGGCGCGCCTCCGGTGCCGGTCCTGCCGCTCACTGAAACGCGAAACCCCGAGAGTCAGTCCTCGCGCCGTTCCTTCCGCGGCTCCGCTCGAAATGTAGGCCAGGGCGCGGTTGAATGAAAAAAATATCATTCATTAACGCGCGAGAGCGCAGGGGCGCTCAACCCGCGAGCGCGTCCGCGACGAGAGGGCCGAGAGGGCGAATCGATCGACGGCCGCGCGGCGCCGGAGGGTGGGGCGGGGGGGCAGGGGGAGACGGACTCGAGAGCGAACCGGAAGAACGCCTCGCGCTCTTTAAACGGCGGAAAGGAGCGCGCGCGCGCGCGCGGTTGAGAATCCCTTCGGCGAGGTCACGGAAGGCCGACGCGGGCCCGGCGCGATAGCCGGCACGCATTCCGCTTCATTCACGTTTCCTCGTCCACCGGCGGCGCACCTCGGGCCCGGTCCGTTCCGTTGCCGCGTCGCAAGGGGCAGGGGGAGGAGGAGGGGACCCCGATCGGGAAATCCGGCGCGAGCCCTCGTCGATTTCCGTGGGAGCGGAGATCGGCGAGCTCCTCCTCCGAGTTACCCCGGGGAGCGATCCGTTCCCCCCCGTCTAGAAGTCGATATTCCGTCGCGAAACCGCGGATAAACGGCGGTCGCGAGTAATCATTGAAATATGCATGCCCGGTCGCGTTCGAATTGGCCCATTAACCGGGGGGGGCTCCTTTCGGAGTCGATCGATGCCGTCGGATTCGAAGGTCCCGCCGAGCGGCGCGCGCCGTTGTTCCGAAGTCGCGATCGGGCCGCCGGTTTCCACCTCCGGGGCCAAAGTGGCGCGAGAGACGGGGAAAGAAGCGGCCCGTGGCGTCGCGAGGAGAAGGAGGAAAGAGAGAGGGGGAGAGAGAGAGAGAGAGAGACCGATCCGCGCGCCGCGAGCGACGGACGGCAAATGCCGAGGCGAGCCGGCCGGCCGGCGCGAGACGCCAGGACGCGGCAGGACGCGTCGGGAAGGGGCGAGGAAGGGGGGCGAGGAGGGGGCGAGCGAGAGCGCGCGAGTGCAGCGGCGGCGGCGGCCGACGGCGGCGGTGGCGGCGACGCCGACGCCGGGGGAAGGGGAGCCGGCATAGCAACAGAAAGACCGCTCCGAAACGAACGACCGAGCGCGCTCCGTCGCCGCCGTCCCGCCGGCCGTATAGCCGCCGGCGCGTCCGCCGGCGAGGGCGAAGGAGTCAACCTCGTCGCCGTCGCCGCCGTCGTAGGGGGGCCGCGTCCAGAGGAAACGGGCCTCGGGGTCGCGGAAGACTCGCTCGCCCGAGACGGAGAGGGCGCGAACGGGAGTCGCGTATTGATCGCGTCGCGCGGGGGTGGAGCAACCGCCGACCGACTGGCTGGTCCGCCTGCCCGCCCGCCGACAGATCGAGGCCCGAGGAGAGAAGGCGAACGGCCCTTAGAGAAAAGGGCAAGGCGAGGGATCGGAGGCGCCGCGTGGCGCCGTCCGGTGGACGCGGCCCGAATTCGCCGGTCGGCCGGAATCGGGCCGGAGATAAGCGATCGGGACGGACGCGTCCGCGGCCATAGTCCGCGGCGATAACGCGATCGCCGCGACGGCGGGCCCAAAGGGCTCGGTCGGGCCAAAGTCCCCGGGGGGGCGTCGCGACGGTCAAGGTCGGGGGAGAGGCGGAAAGGCGGAAAGGCGGAAAGGCGGAAAAGCGAAAAAGCGGCGGGCAGGCGCCTCCGGAGATATCGAGGAGAGGAGCTCTCGCCCGCGATTACCTTCCGCCGGGCGAGAAAACGGAACGCGACGACTATTCTCGTCGCGTTTCGAGACGACTCGAGCCTAAGTATAGGAGGGCCGGCTCTCGGCTGCCGTTTAAAAATACGCGGCGGTCCCGTCTCGTCCGGGCAATCGAAGCCGTCGATCGACTCCTGGCTCTCGAGCGGGCGCATCGGGGTACTCACGTTGCTGCTTGTGCCTGGACTCCATGAGGATCATTTGCTCGTGCTTGTGCCAAGCGGCGTCGGTGGTGTCCGTCCCCGCGATGCCCCTCGACCCCGCGGAGGGAGGCTGGACGCCCCCGCCGCCCCCTCCGCCTCCGCCGCCTCCTCCGCTCCCATACTCCATCCCTTCCGGCCCGTCCTCAGCCGCTCACAACATGGGGCCCCTGCGGCCCCCCGGCGGCCCCCGGGCCCCGCCGGCGACCCTCCGGTCCCGTCCTTGGCGTCTTCCGTCCGTCGCCGCCGCTCCGAGGGGGTCCTCCGGGAAATCTGAAACGGAGAGAGAGAGAGAGAGGAGTTCTTCGCCTCTTCCTCGAATCTCGTGCCCGATTCCGGGGGTGGCCGCCCCCGATCGATCCTCGGGCCCGTCCCGCGCGCACGTGGGCGCCGCGGGGCGACGCGGGGCGGGGAGGGGAGGGCAGATCGAGGACCGGCGATTCCCGGTCGGGCGATCTCCCCCGCGGCGCCGCGATAAATCCGGGGAAAAAGGAGCTTCGGGAGAGCGATCGATTCGATCCGGCGTCGGGCGCCGAGACGCGGAAAGGGACGGTTCGAACCTCCCGCCTCGCGCCGCGCCGGCCAATCGACGTCGCGCGCGCCAACGATCGCTCCTCGCTCGATCGTCCGCGGCGACATCTGCCGGGGCCAGGAGGGCGAGACGTACCTCGTACCTCGGGGTCCCACGTCGCGCCGCTCGGGCCCGTCCGGTCAGGTCCCGGTAAGGTCCCGGTCAGGTCCCGGCCATCAAGGGGCCGAGCGGGCGGCCACGGGCGCCGTCTCCGTCGGCAGGGGGCAGAGGCGCGCCGCGCGAATCAGGTTACGGCCATGGAGTCGGTCCCGCTCGGCGATCACGTGGCGACGGTGGTGGTGGTGGTGCCGGTGGTGGTGGTGGTGGTCTCGCTTTCACCTAGGGGCGCCGAGGGGCGTCGAGGGGCGCGCGGGTCCCCGGGTCGTCGGGCGGCGCTCGGGAGCGGCGTCGGGCCGCCGGGGCAGGCGCGCCGCCACGGACCGCCGGACACCCCCTGGCTGGCGGACCGAGTGAACTCGCCCGGCCGCGGAGGGTCAAAAGCACCGCGGCAAAATAATAACAAAAGCCCGCACCAGCGCCGGATCACCTCGGGCGCCTCGGGCGGCCGCGGCGGCGGGCTCGGGCTCGCCGCGCGGTGGCGCGCACCTCGACGCGCCTCGCCTCCCGATTTTGGCGGGTTCCCGAGCGAGAGTCTCCTCGAGCCTACGCCTGCTCCGCCTCGTCCGCCTCGAACGCCTCGAACGCCGAGTCGCGCACCTCGCCTCCTCCCCCGATGGGCCGCCTCCTCCGCGCTACCGTGCCCGACGCGCGCCAGCCTCTTCGCGGCCGATCTGCCGTCGCCGTCGTCGCCGCCGCCGCCGCCGCCGCCGCCACCGCGGACACCTCCGCGAGCCGCCTCCTGCCGGACCTGCGAGTCCGGCCCGATCGCGAGCCGAGTTCCGCGACGGGCACGAGGACGCCACGTCGCGCGCGAGCCGTTGCACCCACGAAAACCCGCGAGCCTCGAACGGACACGCGAGAACTGCACGCCCTAACCGCGGGCACACCGCATCGCGTTCTCGGCCGAACGCGGAGCTAGATCCATGCCGACCGCTTGCCGAGTGGCCCGAGAGCGGCGCCACCGGCGACGCGTCGCCGCCGCCGACGGTGGCGCCACCGCCGCGCCTCCGCCAGTCGAACGACTTTGGCTTCGAGCCGGGGAGAGGGGGGTCGACCAATCGCGACCGAGTGGCGAGGAATTCAAATCGAGGGTGGGTGATCGGATCGACGTCTTTATTCGTAAATACCGCCCTCTCGCCGATACATTTTCTCGTCAGCCTGGATTTTGGACCGACGCCCGTCCGCGTTCTATAGCAGATAACGCGATACGTAATTATAACTATTTATAACGCACAACCGAAACGTGAGGTTTCCTTTGCGTTCCTTGACGAACGAGCGCGTCCACCTCTCGGCTTTGGGTTCGAAAACGTTGGCGAGGCGTTCCTCGCCGGGACGGCCGAGGGCTCCGCCGCCCCGATGACCCGGGACGGACGTCGCCGCGAGCGCGTCTCCCCCGCGTGGACGTTCCTCGAGGGTCGAAAGAGGGACGAATACTCTCGGCCGCGTCTCGGGGCCCGAGTGGATCCGATAAAATCGCAATTCTGTACAACGTGATATAAAAGTATCGGTTATAATAGTTTCGTTCCCGCGTCGGTGTCCCGACGACGTTCGCCTCCCGGGGAGACTCGACGGAGGTAGCGCCGAGTCGGGGGCGAGGGGCCCTCAGAACTTGCCGCGGTAACCCCCTCGGCCGCCCCGGTAGGGTCTTCCGGTGAGTTTGCCTCCTCTCAGGGCTCCTCGCAGCTTGTAGAGAGCCGAGAGCTTCCCGCGCATCGGCTTGCCCCTCCCGTGCCAGTCCCCTCGGCCACCATCGTCGTCGTCCTCGTAGCCGGCCTCCTGATCGTCCTCCAGCTCATCCGCCGAGTCCTGCAGCGCCATCGGACTCTCGCCCCTGCTGTGCTCGCTCCTGTCGTTCTCGTCGCGGTAGTCGTCGGGCTCCTCCATCGCGTGCCGATACGTCCCCGGGGAGTACTCGTCCCGCAGAAGGCGCTCGCGGACGGACCCCCTGCGAGCGGAGAAGCCGTCCCGGCGCGTCGGCGAGCCCAGGTGCAGGGTCCGCGAGCCGTGGTCCGGCGTCGGGACGGTGTCCGGGAGAGCGGCGTGGCCGCGGTCCTCGAATCCCCTGCCCGGCGACCCCGACCTTCCCCAAGCTCGCTTCTGGGAGCTGCTCAGGCTCCACCTGAGGTCGTCGGCTTCCCGAGCCTTCGGAGCGTAGTCGAAGGTCTCCCGCATGTCCCAGTCCAGTCGGTCCATGATGGGCCTCTTCTCCTCCCTCGTCGCCTGCTGGATGTCCATTGGGTGGACTTGCACGCTCGCGTCGACGGTCACCACGCTCGCCTGCACGGCCCTCGACTCCGTCTCCACTTCGTCCGTCTGACAGATCTTCTGGTGAACGTTAGAGCCCACCTTCGCGGCCACGGGCTGCTTCTCCTCCTCGTCGTTCCAGGACAGCTTGTTCTTCCCTGCCCTCAGGAGGATGGAGTTCGACGAGCACTCGGTGCTCGCGGTCTTGGAGCGCTCCTTCGTCGGGTCGAAGAAGAATCGGCCCTTCATCTTTAAACGCGGATCTTCCATCGGCAGATCTCGCAACGCGTGTTCGCAATGTCGAAGTATTTCCAGCTTGAATCCTGCGTCCACAGAAAAGGAGACCAAGGCGTCAGTAAGAGGGACGCGAGGACGATTCCTCTGAGTCGGCTCGTACGACTCGTGCCCGGAAAAGCGTTTCTTTTTTTTTTCTCTCTCTCTCTCTCCCTCATTCATTTTCCCCCGGCTCGTACGTTCGTACCGATCGACCCCGTGCACGAATCGTCCCGGGCTTTTCCTCGCCCTCGAAAACGGTGCGACGACTTTCGCTACCGGTAGGAAGAATATTTATGCAGAGATTCTCACCTGGGTACGAGACCGGTAGACCAGTCGAATCTAGAGGACGTGAAACAAGGTAAAAGACTCATTAGTATGCGATCGAAAGGACCAACGGATGGCTGCGACCCTTCCGTCGTCGCTCGACGATAAAAAGGCCACAGGTATAGCTAGGAAAATGCGTCTTCGCACCTTTGGCGGATACCGATGCCTCCAGCAGACTGGACAAGCTGGTCTTTTCGAAGGGCTGCAACGTTCAATTGACGAATTTTCGGTTAACCGCTTCTCAATGAGGAGCGAACGACGATGCGCGTCGAAGAGTCAAGGATCCCCTCCTTGCCCGACGCGCACCGCGTTCGGGACGCGACTCGACTTAACATGGAAACGTGAAATTACTTTTGAATCCGAGATCACTGGCGGCTCGGGCGTCCTCAGACGCTCTTTATGGCGAGCCTGCAACCCATTGTAGGGACTGGTCGTCCGACGTTCCTTGTAGGCGTGCGAGCTCGCGGGAGTCGGCTGGTTCGGAGTCATTTGGACGTTGGAGAGGCAGCGCGGCTGGTTGTAGGGCATCGGCTGGTTCCCGTGGTCGGGCGGGACGGGAGCAGGCACGGGCTGGGGCGAGAGGACCGGGAGCGGAAGGAGGGGCGGCCGGTGCGACGGCTGCACGTGGCCGGGGTTCGGCTGATTGTACATTACCGGGCCTGCCGAGTAGTCGGGTTGCGGAGGTACGGGGTGCAAAGGCATCGGTTCGAAATTCATCTGCGATTGGGGGGGTCGGGACTCGTAGTTTAGGAAAGCCGGAGGTCCTCCCGGGAGCTGGACCCCGCTGGGTGGCCCGGGCGGTCCCGGCGGTCCCGGCGGTCCCGGCGGTCCCGGTGGCGGCGCCGGCGGTCCTCCGGGTCCCGGTGGTCCTTGCTGGTGGTGTAGGTACATCGGAGGTGGCGGTCCCGGGTCCGACTCCTGCTGGTACGGCATCGACAGACCCATCAGCGGCGGAATTCCTGCCATCGTCGAACCTGGGTATCCCGAATTCGTTGGGCCTGGCGCGGCCGCCTCGTTCCTGAACTGCCGGGCGATTTCGTTGATGAAGGGCGATCGCTTCCGGGCCCGCCGATCCACCGATTTGCTTCGACTGCGAGTTCGACGCCTAGGGCTGAATCGTTTATCCACCGACGAGCGGCTGTGCCTTCGTCGGTGGCGGTCCAAGCTGCGGCTTCGGTGGCGATCGCGAGATCGGCTCCTTCGGCTCATAAGCTTAATTTCGCTGCGAAAGTTTTCCAATGATAGGTCACTTCTCGAAATGATACCCGAAGTGATGGTAACGAAAAGACGAGGCATCGCGATAGCAAGTTACGACTCGTCGATTCGTAGGGCACTCTCTATCTTTCCTGACCGATTGACCGAGATAATCGTACGATACGTAGAGGTAAACGATAACGACGCATTTTTTCAAGGTATAATTACGTAATCAGTTCTCACCGTTCGTGCTGTTCGAGTCGTCTTCTGTGCCGCTCCGCGCTCCACCTTCTTTCCAAGCTCGCTCTGCGCTCCCAACTTAACCTCCTGGAACGTTCGGAACTCAGCCTGCGAGGACTTCGACGCCGCTCCGGGCTCGGCAGCAGGGGGCTTCCGTGAAGATTCAGCGGGCTCCTTCTTCTTTCGATGCTTAATCTAATAGGGCTTCTGTGTCGTTCGGAACTTAATTTAAGGGCAGTTCTACGATGGTCGGGGCTGAGAATCAGTGGACTTCTATGGCGCAAGGGACTTAGCCTAAGTCTCTCGGTGCTTCTACGGCGACCTGGACTCGGTTTGCGTCGCTCCAAGCTTCTACGACGCTCTCGGCTTCTTCTGAGACGCGTCAAGTTCCTTTCCTGATTCTGCTTCTCGGCGATGTCCTGAATGGCCTCGGCTTCGGTACCCGGCGGAACGACGTTGTCCGAGTCCAGCAGATGCTTGATGGCCTTCTCCTTTTCCGCTAGCATTTTACTCTCCGAGTCCTTCTTCGTCCGCAACTTGTCCCTTTCGATGTCTTTTGTACTCTTGCTCGGATCCCGACGTAGTTCCTCCCTCTTCTTGTCTTCTCGCCTCGACCGCTCCCGAGTATATGACCCTCTTCGTTCGCGTCGATGATGATCCCTACAATTAGGCTTGTAATCACTTTCTTCTTGTACAGAAAAAATATCGTATACGTAATGTCACGAGGTCAAAACATTATACCGATTCGTACGTCATCCGACGAGTCGATGTAATTTAAGCAAAATAAAAAAAAGGAGACTTTTAAAAATTGCTAAAGTAACTCTTAGACTACCGCTGAAACTTTGTAACGGACGTTACGTACCGTAACCGCGCAATTTTGTTCCAAAAGGACTAACGTACGATTAAATGCGTACCGCTACTCCTGAAACGTATAGAATGCGCCTTTGCGTGTCGAAAGAACCTCTATTCTCTCGACGGTGTTTGTTTCCACAAAATTTTTAACTTAAGCGTTTCAATTATTAATATTTTTATCGGCGTCCGCTTAAAGGCTTAAACTTATGGCATACGCTAATTTGTACATCTCTTCTAAATGCAACGCAAAGACGTTACGTTATTCTAGATGATGGTAATTGTCGCTTCTACCTAGACGATCTTCGGTACTCCCGATCCCTGCCTCGACTCCTGCGTGCTTCCTTCTCTCTGCCCTTCTCTTCTTCGCCGTTCCATGCATCGACGACGTCCAATCCCTCCATGAAATCCTCGTCATCCAGAAACTCTTGCAGATCCTCGTCAGGAGTTTCCTTTGAACCGTCGATGGCACGCCGCACATCGTCGTTGGTTTTACTTACTTTACAAGAATCGGAGTTTCCTTTTCCGCGCCCATCCATCGCGCCACTTGCGCCTTCAACAGCTGATATTTAATGGTAGCTGAATTTCTTTGCAAATCTTTGAACCTCAAATCGTTTACTCCCCACAAAGTGAAAATTGGGCCATTATTCGCGTGTCAACGGTTTAATTGTAAAACACGAGAATCACGTTGATTTACCACCCGCTGGAAATTAAACCACGAGCTGCATGCAAGCACGATGCACCCGGTTTCTTCCCCATTTAACGCTATTAAGCATTCACTTAGCTTCTTGCTTGTACCCGGACGAAAATGCTTCTGAATTCTATTTGCTAGTCCAGAAAGCATTTGTCATTGACCAACATCAAGGGAATCTCCGCAACTATTGATATCGAAAGAACAGACTTCTGCTCGCAATCCGCCATTATACGAATGACCAGGATTACCAATTGTTGCCAATAAAAAACAAGATCTTGAGCATTGACATCCTTACAGCTTTATTAGATTGGGTTAGATTAAAGTGAAGCTCCGGTTCCAGGATTAGCCTAATTCTGAAAACCTACATTTCTGTTACGAACCACAGTTAGAAAGCAAGACTATCGCCTAGTTATTTCCTTCTTTTTCACCCCGAGGAAGTCCCACCGAGTGCAGCGCGACACGCGTCGAGGATGATTAACCAATCGGAACTGCGCTTAACCTCGCGCGGTACTTCCGCCAGAGTTTTTATTGGTTTTTCATCCTCGACGTGTCGACGCATCCTGTGCGACACCCAACACTCTACGTTCAATGGAATGCCGGTCCAATTCCCTATAAGGAAATAACTAGATACCTATCACAAATCGTCGACATTAGTTTTACTCACTTCGATCTCATTGGTCAGTTCCATTAAATCTGGCAGATCACAAATCGTATACATGAAAATGCCGGTATAAATGCATATTATCATACACATGTGTATATATATATACATTTTTCCAACAGGCAGCCAATCAAAAATCACCACGCGTTGTTCTGTCAGTCGTTTAAAAATGGACGCAGCGAGATCTGCAGGACGGCTGTGGTTAACAATTTTTTTAACGTTTTTAACAATCGAGAGTTCGGTCAATGGTAGGTTTCAATTAAACATTTTTTAATCTTTCTCACCATTCGTATTTCTTGATACGTTATAAACTTTATGGTACCGACTTAAAATTGTGTCCCTTTGATAACCTTTCGTGTCATCATCGAATATCTTCTATTTACAGCAAAGGATACAAAATATGTAACGTGCGGTTCGGCCTTAAAATTGTTAAATCTGAATTACAATGTAAGGTTACACTCGCATGATATAAAATATGGAAGTGGAAGTGGACAACAATCTGTCACTGGTATTGAAGTTCAAGAAGATGGAAACTCGTACTGGCTAGTTAAATCCGAAACAGGAAAACAATGTACACGAGGGTAATTTTCGTCCGTTTCATGCTGGTATTTCTTTATTTAAACAATGCTAACGATTTTACATGTTTTTTTTTTACATTAGGAGACCGATTAAGTGTGGAGCCACAGTCAGGTTGGAACATACTGCCACCAAGAAAAATCTTCATTCTCATCACGTTAGTTCGCCTCTTAGTGGAAAACAAGAAGTCTCCGCATATGGAGATACCAAAGGCGAGGGTGATACCGGTGATCATTGGATCGTCGTTTGTCAGTCCGACTTTTGGGAAAGGGACGAACCAATAATGTTGAAACACGTTGACACTGATCTGTGAGTATCTCTGATATTAATGGAAATTTTCTAAATAAATTTATCTTGTGACGTTCAATATTATGTTTACAGATTTTTAAGTGTCACAGGTCTGACTTATGGGAGTCCAATCGTTGGACAAACTGAAATTGTTGCAGACCATACAACAAATGGTCATTCCATGTGGCAAGCGATGGAAGGATTATTTATTCATCCAAGTGACTTCAAAGCCCAACACTTTGAACACACTGAATTATAGGCTTAGGCCGTCTTGACATTAAGTGTTAATAGGTCTCAAATGATTGAAGCCGTATGCCAAAAACATGAGTTGTAAAAACTCTGTACAGCGTGAATGGCTAACAATTACTGTGCTGTTTTAAAGAATGTTAATTACTAGAAAGGACGACAACTTGAAATATTAACTTCTATAAAGTAACTGTGTGTAAAAGAGTTATAATAATACATCCTTCTTGTAATATGCAGAACGATAGTTGATATAGATATTTTTTGGGCAATACTTTATGAATGAATTGCCATTCTTAAAACTGACGAGTGCTTTATTACAATTTCTTGAAATGTCTGCATTTATATTACAAAATTCAGTACATAGTTATTTCACTTGTACTAGTGTATGAGTTAAACAGGCATTACATCAATATGACTAAACAATTTGCATTTATACACGGATATATAAGTATTGGTTGCTAAATGACAATGTGTGTCTAATAATTACACTTCTTTCAACATACTCTTTCCACCGATATCCCTAGTTCCGATGAGCCCGTTATAAGGGAATATAATGTTTGAAATACCATAATTTCCAAAAATTTCTTTCAAGTCTTGCTTCCTTCCTTCGTATAAATAATACCGTTGTTTACCAGTCAGACATGCATATAGTTTCCAAATACCAAATGCGAGGCTAATACAACCGATAGAAACTAGCGTATCAAACAAAGTCACCAAAATTATACAGGTATCTTCTTTTGACATCAACTGTCTAACTAATGCAACGGGAAAACAAAAATTGAGTATAATATTAAAATACGTGGAATCTGGTTTTACAAAATGTTTGAGATGTTCGTGTAAATAAGGACCAAGAACTGATAACGAGTAAAAACTCGCCAATGACGTATATAGACATATTAAAATGAAATTTCCCATATTCTGTCGTAAAATACAAACCCCAATAAAAAAACAATGATGATCTCGAAAGTGAAAACACCTTTCGCAACAAGAACAGTGCTGCGTCGGTCTACCTGTGTAACACATACATTTTTCGCAATACCAAAATTTTGTGCAACTCGATGAATTATTACCAACAATGCTAACAAATTGAGAATTCGAAATGTACTCTTTCCTGGATCGTTTTACTTTAACGGTACTTGCTTTCTTGCATATCGAATAAATAGAATACCAGTTTAAATAAACTTGTAGGCAAAAGAACATAAAAACCATGGAAATCTTGTTGCTTAAATATAAAGTTGTAAAAACTACGATCGTACCAAAAAGTATGGCTAACGCTGGACATAGTTTTATTGCAATTTTGTTGAATAATTTCATGTTTACAAGACTGCCCTAATACAACAACAGCTTCTTATAAATTCCTGAAAATAATAATTTTACAACGAGTTAATCATTATTATTCTAGTTCATGGTATAGAGTGGTTCCAGCATGGTAATATGTAATTATAATTTAAAGCAAACTACTCACGCGAGCGATAGTCAAAGGAACCGGTTTTTTTGTTTCTTGAAGAATTGAAATTTCTTACTTTTCGTCGGGTTCACGAATAAAGTCTAATATGTCATTATCCTACTGAAACTAGATGTAAGTACCACAGTACCGTAAACACACACTGATTTTGATTCCAAGGGCTGATCGAACCAGTACCAAAGTCCTAATCACCTGCAAATCGGGTCACTGTCAGAAAGCTTGGGAATCTGATAGAATACCTTGGCGGATTTCTCCAAGATCTACTAAAAACTGCCAGCAGCTACTGATCGGCAAATACTACCACTTTCATTTTTACCAGTCTTTATTTTTCCTCCCATTTCCTCCCCCATCGGGAGATTTAATTGCCCGCCACGTTAGTGAATCGGCATCCGTTGAGCCCTAAAGGGGATACTTAAGAGACCGTTACCTTCCCTCCTGCACTATCCTTTCTTGGCTCATTGAATAAACGTAGGAAAGGCGACAGAGATTTCTAGTTGAATATTGATAAAGAGATTTTGTTGGAGGCCTTGGAAACAAAGTAGCGAGCGGGATGACATGTTGGGTAGTCTCTAAATCAGCTGATCCGTCTCTGACCTGCTGCGACACCACAGACACCAAACGGAGACGCGAACAAAAGACGACTCGACTTGACTCAACTTGTTCCATAATCAAGAAAAGTAGGATGCTTCGCTTGGTCATTTTCCGAACGAGCGTGAAAGAGATAACCTGGTCTCCCGACAGCCGGAGTGGGAGGTTTCGTGAGGCAGCCCTAAAGTATTCGTGGGCACCCTTGTCTCGCGGACCGCCATGTTGAATTCCTGAAAATCCCGTAAGATTTTTCGAGGAAAGTGTCGTGCTTGGAAAATCCGAGAGAAGATCTTTACCCTCGTTCGAAAATGGAACGCCATTGACAAACGAGGCGCAATAATGTCGGACGCGAATCCGCCCACGTCAGAGGAGAAAAAGAACGAGCTCGAACTATACTTGTCAGGTCAGAGAACCAGCTGTTCCGTTCACCAACAACGATAACTTTCCCCTCGCCCGATGGTTCTTCACGTGCCTTTGTTGTTCCTCCTTTTCGCCTCTAATAACAACTTCTGCTTTCGTTTGAGTAGGATCGGTACGCGCAACGTGTCCAGAAGTTCTTTTCGAGGAACCATCGAACGATGCTCGAGATGCGCGATTCGAAATGGAAATGGCTACAAGGCGTTAATCGAACACACCCCTTACGCCGTTCTTATCTTCTTTCCTTTGCATACATAATAATACTTTTCTTACAAATGGCCACAGGTTTTGTAATTCAATTTTCTCAATTGAACAATGTATTTTCCTTGTTTCGGCTATGTGTCTGCTACACTTAGTCGTAAATGGGTGTTATCCATAGGAAGGGGAAATATGAGAAACATGGTGGGAATATAAGAAATTAAAAGCAGATTTTACATTTTTTTCCCGTCAGTAAATGCTTTTATGACTTTGAAAGTTAATGTAAATCGGTGCTATAAAATTATGAGAGATGAGTCTAACGAATTAAAGACTCTCTTCATGCTGCGAGCAAGTTTACAATTCTCGAATACGTTCTGTTATCGATAAAACTCCAACAGCAAAGCACGACCAACCTATAAAGTTAATAGAAAGGGTACAATGATAAAGTTTATCAATTGGTAATTTTTTAATCATTAAATAGATCACCTCGAAACTTCAAAATGACCAATGTAGATGAAAAAGAAAAGTCAAAGCGTCTGATGAGTTCTCTTATCGATTTTAATTAATGTTTTCAGCATGTAACATATGCGGTCAAAGCCATGACACGCACGAGTGTCCCTTTTTGCTCGATCTGCATTATGTAAGCATTCGTTTTGTCATTTGCATGTATTTAATGAAGCAGTATTTTAGTAATATTTATTTTTATATGCATTACATGATTTAAATGGATAAAATGAAATTAAATAGGTTTCGGATTCACCTGTATTGTCAAGGGCGAGGCAAACTCTCCCCGATACGCTTGAAATCAGCCGTATGGCCGATGGATCGACCACCGTCTTAACTAAGGTTAACCTTCAAAGAGGCACCACTTTTGGTCCACTGTACGCTAAGAGGATATGGACTATGAACCCTTTGACAAACTTTCCAATCCGTGTGTTTGGGAGGACACCTGCAGAAACGTATCATTTAGATTACTCCAATGAGAATAACTCCAATTGGATGTGTTTTGTTGTACCTGCATCTAATGCTAAAGAGCAAAACCTTATCTGTTATCAGGTACATTTTATTATATTTCATATATGTGCTAAAATAATTGTAATCAATTTTTGCCATTGTAGATAATACAAATAATTTACAAAAGCAATAAATATATATGTTCTTAATTAATAGGTGAAGCATGATATATTTTATACAGCAATGCGCGCGATACCTGCTGGAGAAGAGTTAAGAGTTTGGTATGCACCGTACTATGCGTTGAAAATGAAAATGCCACTGTATAATACGGACTTTGCGAATGTTAGCGCTACATTGCCTGAAACTGAAATTCAACAAATAATTAAAACTGAATGCAACGGAGACCAAATCGGATTATTAAGTAAGTCAATTGATTGCAAGTGCAGCATAAACATCTCGAAATGCAAGTCTTACGTTCATCCATTTTTATAGATAAAGATGTTGCTCAAGAGTTAGCAGAAAAACTGCCAGCTCAACATTTAGGTGCGAGAGATGATAAAGCAGCGTGGACTTGTAGAATATGTTCTACAGTTATCTATTCTGTGGTTGCCTATGCAAAACATTTAATGGAACATTATAAACCATTGATTGGTGTACATTGTAACATTTGTAATAGGAAATTTAACAATTTTTCGGTACGTTAACCATACTATGTACTACTTACTTTCAAAAACATACTGTCGAGCAAGTCGGACAATGTGTAAAACTTAAGTATTCATATTAATTTGCGGAAATATATTTTTGCAGGCATTGGAGAAACATAGGAGTACAAAGCATAGCGATGAAGTATCAGGAGACGGTATCGTTGGCATTCCAACATCGGAATGTCAGCAACAGCAAAATGCTCAAGTATGATAATACGGTCTCGTAATTTTCATTCAAATTCTTTCGAGAGTAGGTCTTAAGACGTGTACTTTTCCAGACTGTATTTCTGAATATCAGCGATTCCGATGGGCAGACATCGGATGCTATGAAGGATATACTAGAAAAGTTTAAAGCTGGCAGAGCGATGACAGAAAGTAGTTTACTACTGTCGTCATTGCCAAATGAAAAAGAAAATCAATCCGAACTTCCACTTTTGGATACCAGTTCGATAAATGTCAATGACTTGTTACAGAATAACGGGTCTTTGATAGAAAATGCATCTTTGAAGTCGATTCTTGAAAATCAATGTTTGAATATGAATCTGGGCTTAAATACCATGACAGACTCAATGTTGACAGAGAACATATCTGGCGTTGATTCGGTTAAGTTTAACGTCGAAGAATTAGCGTCCGATTTATTAGACATTGTGCCAGACGTTGATAACATAAATAAGCGAATTGACAATTTAGAGTGTGATATCTGCGTCAAGAAATTTGACAAAGTGGACTACTTGTATCGACATTTAAGGAAACATACTGGAGAGTTTATCTGCCCATCTTGCTTTACTGTATGTATAAATAATTTTTTTAATCGTAACCATGTTTTTTTTTTTAGTCGTATTGCCCACGGCTCATCACAAATATGACAACTCATTATCTTTAACAGGTTTTTGCGAGAAAGGAAAATTTGCTATCGCACACCTGTTTCTCTCAAAAATTAGATTATCATTACGAGTGCCCCTATTGTCAAAAACCATTTATGCTAAAAAAATACTTAAAAAGACACATCGTTAAACATTCAGGTAATCCAGTAATGCCGTTAGTCCCTCTTCAAAGTAAGAAATTTTATTTTTTATTTAATACTTAGATATTTTTATTTGAATAGAATGGAATAACTGCAAATGGTGCCATCGTCCGTTTACCACGCAATCGGAACTTGAAGCACATAAATGTTTGGCACCAAAGCATATATGCGTTCAATGTGGAAAAAGATTCGTACACCGGACGCATTTAAATCGTCACGTAAAGTTACACAACGACCCCAAGCCGGCCACAAAGAGGATTAGAAAAAAGACGGAGAAACCAGAGATCTGTGAAAAATGTGGAGATGTTTTTAAGAACCCTTACAGTTTAAAACAACATTTACGTTCCCACGGTATGGCGAGCCGTTGGTATTTTATCCTATTATTACTGACACGAGCGTTGGATAATTAATAACACTTTGTAGGAGAACGTACATTCGAGTGCGACGTATGCCACAGGCGATTTCATAGAATAGGTGTATTAAAGGAGCATAAAGCTGTTCATCAAAGTGCCCAAATTCCATGTAACATTTGCGGAAAAACACTGAAAAGCAAGAAAGCCTTGGACATCCATATGCTCTTGCACGGCAATAAAAAGTATCAATGTGATAAATGTGATAAGGTATGCTTTGTAGAGAGCGCGTGAGTTAAGTCAAGTAATGTAAGCCTAAGTATCGCTACCTTTGATTTTTTTTTTTTATCGATTCATATCCATTTACAGAGTTTCTTCCAAAGGTGCAATTACCTTAAACACTATAACCAGGTGCATCGTGAAAAGGTTATCCACAAATGTCCACATTGTATGACACAGTTTACAAGCAAATCAACCTTCGACAAGCACGTTGCAAACCATACAAAGCCTGCCCAGTTTACTTGTACGTCGTGTCAAAAATCTTTTCATAAGGCAAGTACTTTACAATTTTTTTTCCCCCATCAAAAGAACGTCAAGATCGTTATGTAATATTTATAAATATTGGACGAATGCGTAGGAGTATCAGTTAAAGCGACACGTGCAAACCAGCCATAGCGGTATCATATACCGTTGTCCCTTTTGTCGAATGACTGCACGTCACAGGCACAGCATGAGAAGACATTTTGAGCGTCAACATAACAGCCTTCGGGATGATTGGGACAAACCTGGTTTTGTAAATCAACTAGCCGAAAAAACGCCCGTGCAATTAACCGAACAAAATACTGACAAACCGAAAATGGATGCAACACAAGCTACTTTCGATGGCGCAGTTTCCAAAGAACTCAGAAATCCGGATAGAGCTCAAGGTATATTTTTATATCTTAATTACCAACTTTGTGGAGTTGTATTTTAGAAAAGCCATTGAAAGCTCTACTTTTCAAACGAAACTTATTATTCTGAGAAAAGAATCTCTGTGTTGATGTATCTCGGCATTGCACTAGCATTATGGAATCGATATCGTTTATATTTTTATTATACTAATGTGCAGATTTAACCAATGAAAACTGTTACTCGAACGAAGGTACGTCGCTCTCTACGACAGAGGTTCATAGAACTGAATTTACCCAACCACAAATGGATTCCTCGTCACAATTAAACATGGGACAAGTTAATTGTGAATCTTTGAATGGTTGGTTTTCAGAATTACCATCTCCGATCTTGTAGCATCAAACAAGTAATGCATCTCTTTTAATTACAGGTCAAGAGATTCTACTACAAGTGTCTGGCATCGATCAGCAGGAGAACATTGGGAATGCCGATTTATCTTTATCCGAAGTACCTCAACTGAGTATAAGTGAGTCGGACTCTCATTTAGCTGAATCCGTGTTAGGAAATGCATACATTTTTGGCGAAGATGGTGGAGATATAATGTTCTATGTGCTAGATAATGCTCCAGTCAGTGCCGAGTATTAAAATGGCATTTCTCATTTTTGTACAGCACATAAATCAGGGTTTATCGTATAAGTGGTAGTATCGTATATTATTTAGCGCGAAAATCTTTAGTAATTGTTACATCGAAGTGCCCTCATAAACGTTGCAAGAGAAAGTAGAATTTAATAGGAGATCATCTGGAAATGAATTGTCCCCTTTTTTTTTTAAATTTGTATTGAACTGTGATACGTTGTAGGTTACAAAAGTGTAAATTAGTTTAACATTTTGTGGACCCAAAGATCCACAACTTGACAGCATTTATAATTGCTCCGTTGCTATCACATGTAGCAGTATACATGTTTATTTTCCTTTACATTGTTTAACAGTGTAGGTAAAATCCCAATTGAGCAATGTGTCGTGCAATTTACGTTCACTAACTAATTGAAAAATTAAATCTTTCGCATTGATACCTTTTTTAAAACCTATAGCGCATGTTACCATATGAAAATGCATAAGACTGACTTTACTGTGATACATGTATTTTAAGTACATGTAAATAAGAAAGCATTGTTCAGAGAATTATGTAGTTTATTCGTAATTATAGAAGCTTCCGATGGAAGTTCTATACTCAATCTAATCCATGTAAATACGATGAAATATAATGTTCATTTTTGCCGTATCGAATGCGAAGGGAGAGCAAAAACCTGATGATCGTTTATCTGAAGAAGTAATAACAGAAGGAGTACTTGTATTGCATGATTCTTTCCACACTTCGAATTAAGACGAGTTGTTGTAATGTAGTGTATATAAATGGAGTGAGCAAAGAGAGCTTCTAAAAAACCATAAATCTTAATGTTATTAACAGTAATTACATTGCTTTCATTATGTCTTTAAGAAACTCACTTTTATCATAAGTACCAACTACAATCGTGAAACCATTCGTCAACTATTATATTAGTTAATAATTGCCCTCTATACTTTCGTGGGGTTTAAACGATCGAAAGTAAGAATCTTTCTGGCTCTCTGTACAATTAGAATGTTTAGACTGTATCTTAAAAGATATTATTATATGTTGTTAAACATATATCGTTAAAAAAAAGTGACCTTTTAACTATATAAATATAAAATAATACGACGTTTACGCGTAGATTGAGCATCTAGATATCACTTTCTATAGTCGTTAAGGTTCAAGATAATTCAGACTAATCGGTCTCTTTTACTACCGTGTAATATAAATCGGAAAATTATATGCGTTGTATTTCCTTAATCGCCATATCCACGATACAACTGTAAGGTAAAACGGTTTTGTTATCGTTACAGACGTGTATAATAAGTTGAACAACAAGAATCAATCGACATCATTTACTTGACGCGGATAAAAACACTGTATTCTCTTTTATACCATAATCTTATCTTAAAGTAAAGAAAAGATTCGATGAACGTTTCTACAGCCACCCACCAATTTGAAATTCTTAAGGATCAAAATATGAAGTGCGTGATTCTATTGCGAAGTTTTCGAATAACTAGCAAATTATATGCATACTTTTGATATGTAAAAATAAATTGTAGAAAACAAAACGTTAGTCCCTTTAACATTTATTTCCTTGTTTAGGATCACAAGTACAGCATAAAAATGTACAATATTCTCTTATGATAATGGCTGCAGACAAACAACTTGCAAGAAACATTAGGATTTAAAAATCCTGCTTTTTTACAAAATTTCCCACGTGATCCAGGCCTCTCACGCATTACGTTTACGAGTGTAATGAAATGTGCTCTACAGATGTAATTGAAAGTACTCGCGAACTAGGACTTTAATCACTTCCTTCTATGTAAGTCTTGTACTTTTTCTAGTAAATGTTCTCGTATGCATCATTTTAACTTCCTATTGGTTTTCTTATCGTACAACTCAGTTCTTTTACACGGTTTCCTCAAGTTAATAACAGTTTGCTAAATAGACCGCAAAAATTACTTACGCAGTCTTAACTTCGGAAAATATATACATAATCGATATACAGTACTAATGTTATTTAACAGGAAATTACTTATTTAAATACATCATCTCGTTATATATGTTAACCTTGATTTATCCGTCAAGATAAATCTTGGATGGAGTGGAACAAATTCTATAGGTATAACATTTACAAACAATTCGTATTTTGAAATTTAATCGTGCAGATAAGGAAGCCTTGTTTGAACAATGATTAACCTATATTTTTAGGACAACCGATATAATGTTCCACTCCGCGAGCATTTTATCTACTTTGTTATGACTTCATTATGTCATGCAAAATAATTGTATGACATTGACACGTCCAAACATCTATAATCATTTTATATAAGTTTCACGGTATATTAAGAGTATGTATATTCCATTAGAAATAAAGTAATCTACAAATTTCTATCAATGACTGTCTCTTATTCCAAATAAAAATGTTAATCGTGTTCCGCTAAAACATCTTTCGAAAGAATTCACGATCAGAATTATGTTTTTTAATCCATGAATTGTGCAGCCCTACTACTGTGTTCTACGAGTTGGTCCGAAGTGTACATTTGTGCACAACTCGTTCCTCAAATCTCAAAATTGAATCCCCTCCCGGAAACGGTGATTTTACGATACGTCAATACTTCCATGAACATTTCCTAATTTCCTACACTCGCAATGGAGAATCTTTGGCTTTCGTTTCTCTAGAGCAAGAGTGGCGTTCGTAGAACACTGGCTACCAGCACCGTGCGTTTCAAAAGATTTTTACTAACCTTTGTATATAAAGGCTGACTGTTTAATTTCTGGTTAACCATGAAAAAGCCTTTAAGAGGAAATATGTCAATGAGAGGGCAAACAAAATTTTTTCTCTCTGTTGTCGTTGAAGCATTTCAAGCTCCACTGCCATTACACGGCGATTCAGTTTGCCAACTTGACGACGCAGGTGTTGAATCTCTTCGCTTGGAGCAAGAGATACGTCGAGTGCACTATAGGATGGTGTTTGTTCTCTGAGAATATCAGAGAATAAAGAACAGCACGTATAAGATATATTTGAATATTAAAGGTAATTCGATAAAAGTTTTCAATAAAATACCTGACGTGTCTGGCGATTTGTGTCTCGCTGTTGTACAAAACATGTGGCCGAGATTCCACGGATTCCAGCACCAAACTTTCATTAGCACGCGTAGAATGAGGTTCGTCTTCATCAACGGCAGGAAAATAGTGGTCATCCAGAGTTAAAACGCGTGGTGGTGTCTAGGATAATACAAAACATCTTATAAAATTACTACTCATTCATTTACGGAGCTAATCGAGTGTGTATCGCGTCACACGACTTCGTCGTCCTTACATAAATTCAAATATTTTATCGTAAACCAATGTTGGTACAATATATAATTACTCCAATTTATTGGCTACTATTGCTTATCATAACATTATCGTTAAAGGATCTAATACTATGTATTAATATAAACTATCGGTTACTGCCCTTAAAAATAGAAACTTACCTGAACTCTGATAATGCCTGGTTCTGGAGACATTACTGAATTTTCCAGGAGAATTTCCCTTGGTGGAGCCTTTGTACCAACGTGTTTCTCTTGACCTGTTAAAAAATTACCGAAATAAGAAATAAATAGAACACAACTAGTATGTACTAATTCTATCTAATCAATGTGCTTATTAATTATTGATAACATCTACGTACGCATAACTTGATCCGCGAGTGCTATAAAATTGTAAAACAGAATAAGGATATCTGCATTTTGTATTTGAATGTTGACCTTCCTTGCAAATAGTAATTGTGGTCAATATACATTTTGCATATTTACGTTATCGAGAATTATATACTGACTTTTAATCGGTTATAATTGTAAAAAAGCATTTGTACGTATTGCTCCAATCTTAAACAGTCATTTATGTACAGATCTTCAACATTGCGAACTTAGTAAAGCATTTTAGACGAGCTACTGCCTATTGTAAATAGAGCACGTATAAATTTAACTTTACAACAGGGATAAAAAATTGTGGACTTTTGCCAGGTAGGAAAGAAGATGAGTCTTATTTCAATGTAATTATCACGAAGCATTGGTTCTTAGATATATTAAAAAAATTAGCTCAAAATATCATTGTAACATACCAACAACAAGAATTCGATCTGGAACGTGCATTTCAAACTTCTCATTGGCAAGCATTTGATTCCAAGAAGTGCCGTTTGTGTTCCCCACATTGTCTTCCATATTGTCACCGTTTACTCGAATACTCTTTGGAACGCGCATTCGTTTACTGATGTCAAGTGTGAAATTTGAATCGTAAAAATTATCAGCTTCTCCATTGAAACGAGTAGGACTGTGAGCTTTTGACATTCTGGCTGAAATGAAACCATGTTTGTTAATAAGTATGTACGATGTATTCTGAAAAAATTAAATAATTCATGAACAATTACTGAAAACATTTAATCGAAATGCATAAATCAACTGAAATGCTTCTGTCCAACATAAAATGATAAAATTGATTAAAAAGGAAAATAGGGGCAGCCATTGAAAAATGAGTAAATATTGAATTGTAATATTCATCACTTTGCAATTCATGTTTACGGAAAGTATTAAGAATATGGGCATTTGGCAGCTCACTAAATTTAGAAAATACAAAGTACGCCGTTATCGTGATTAAATTTGTGGTCGGTTTACCTAGTAGCAAATTACTTCGGAACAACGCGTAAGGTTAGTGACGGGCATAAATGAATTCCATGTCCACTACCAGATAAATAATAATCTCTTCATCTAAAAATTCAATAATTTATACATGGACCGAAATAATACTTCTTGAGTACAGAAAGCCTACCTTTCGTTGTTAATCGAGTTCTCTCGCTCCAAACTGCTCCAAACTGCTCCGACTGTTCCAACCTAAACTGGTTGCCAACTTTTCAATACTTTCATTTTATATATCAAAGAATACAAATATAGAGAGGGCGTTAATCCACAAGGAAAAATGAGGGAATGAAAATAATTAGGTCTGATTTACACAGGAATCATGTCAGCGCCATAACAGGAACTGCGAGAATTCTTGAATTTATCGGCAACTTTCAACGGGGTCTCACTTCTGACCATTAGTTACCATTCTAAGGCATCTTGAATTCATCGGTAGAACAGGTTCACATTATGTCAACATCTACTTTCCTGCGATATTTATTTGTACAGTTAAAATAACATTAATAAGTACAGTACGAAAGAATACTTTTTCAAAGCAGGACGTACAACATGGACAATATTGAACTCTTATTCTTCGACACTTTTTCACACGATATTTCAGAGGTGCGTTTTAGGTTAGGTGAACTTTATATTTTGACAACTCTTTATTAAAGGAGATTTTATACAATGTATGGTTTTATTTTGCATAGGAACTTAATTTAGATTTGGTACAATTCCCTAAACCTGTGTATATTAGTGAAGTCAGAATAATTCCATTGGGAGCTCGAGTTCAGGCAGACTTTCCAGGTGGTGTTCGACTTGGGTAAGATGCTAAGTTCAACAACAAACTTTACTTTTGTATTGTTTATGTAAAACGTATATTTTATTTTTTGTGATACATTCTTAATCTATATTTCCAGAGCTACGAATCCATCTCAGTTTGAAATAGAATTCTTTGTAAATGACTTAAGTAAGCCAGGAGCTTCGACATTTGAATCTCTTGGAGGCTTAGAGTACAAGCAAAATGTACACATTCAACTGGAATGTGAGCGTAAACAAATTCCAACGGATGGGTTAGTTCTTCGTGGTTGGTATACTACGATAACTTTGGCAGTGTACGGAACATTGACCAAGTCGCTGAGCAATCCACAGGAAGTTGTTGGTTCAGGAGCAAGTTCCACTGTATGCATGGGAGGCTTGGAGGAGACGGTAGATATCACTGCACAAGTAGCGGAACAACAGTCAGAATGGTATTATGAGAATCAGCACCAAACAAATCCGACTGTAGGTATTATACGAGTAAATTGCTTTTCGTACAAATGTAGTATTCAAAAACCTGTGTTACCAATACTTTATAGCCATCAGAAGCCTGTGCAACGGCAACTCCTTCGCCACCTGTCCAACTTATACAGACCGTTGAGCCATCCAGAAATTCAGTTACCGAACCTGCAAAAACGGAAGCTACAGAATGGGAAGAGAGTACGTCCGATGCCGTTCAAAAACCGGCAAAACGACCCACCTCTCCACCCTCTGAGTCCCTTGTTTCACTTAGTCCAGAATCTATTTCTGCAGAGGAAGATGGCGAGCGAGATGCAGCAGAAACTGGTACGGTGGAACCTTTTGAGCCTATTCTATCAGATGAGGATATTATGGCAGATGATATACCATCTGCAGTGGACTACGAGTGTGACAACGCTCAAACATATGATGTATATAATTTGGATCCTCCAGATTTGTTAGATTTAGACAAGTCGTTGATGATTAATGATGAGACTTTGTTGGATGATGAAACATTAGAAAAGGTACGGGAGATGCTTCAATGTCTCTCTAAGTCTGTCGCAAATTTTCTTAATGCTCCTGGTCAAGAGAAGGAGGCTTTCGTTCATAATTGTGAATCTTTATGCGCTGTGCTTGGTAATTTTAATATACAGCAGGAAGACATAAAAGATTTAACAGATATCTCTATTTCTGGTTTGGATATGGAATTTGCTCGGGCTCAACCACAACCGGCATACAAGGTCAGACACGTGAAAGTTGGAGTCCGCATAACTGAAGCATTGAGTAGACTTACTCAAGGAGCGGACATACTTCTTAAAGTGAATGCACCATTTAAATTACTCGAACTATGTATGCGAGAAAACGTTGCACTCCCTGTCAAGCTTTCGGCAATTCGTGCACTCAATGCAGCCCTAATCAGTCCAAAGATTGTACAAGAATTTTTGAAGCCTGGAAGCAATTTGTATAAAATGGCATTAGAAATGTTAGACGGAGTTAAACTGGCAAGATTAAAGTACGCTTTGAGTTCATTACTGCGAAAAATTCACATCTACGAATTATTAGCCGAGACCAATGAATTGACAGAGCTGGCCCTAATGGAGTTATCAAATGCATATTTATGTGCGCCAACATTAATGTCACAGCCAAAACGTCAACTTCCTGCAAGTGCACAAATGGAATTTGAACGAGAACCAGGTCGCAATCCTCGCAAACATCTAATAGCTTACTTTGTGCATCATAAGTTGGTGTATCGTTTGGTTTTGGCCCTTACATCTCCGCAGTCAGATGTAGGTTTGATGAAGGCAGCGCGTCGTCTCGTATCTCGTTTGATTGATACAAAAGAAGGTCTTCTATACTTCTTTGGAGAGCCAGAGGGAACCAAGCCTATGCTCAAAGCTCTCCGATGTGATCGTCCTGGAGTAGGATCCACTTTGGCTTGGCGCCTCCAAGTTGTGAGATGCTTGGTCTACCTCAGACATCAACCCGAAGACTGGATAGCCTTGAAGAGATTGCACTCTTTCTTGATATTTCCAGAAGGTTTGCAAGCAATTGTCAGTGTCCTCCCAATGGATGGCTTCGTTGACATCTTGATACCATATCTAGCGGATGGGAACCTGTGTGAGTTTGCTGCAGAAATAATATCTGCAACGATTCGGTATTCCGATAGAGTAGAGATCTTTCAGAATCGTGCAGGAATTCTTTTAGAGAAGTCCCGGAGTCATGCTGTGCTCCGAGATGTCATACCATACCTCACAGTGGCTGCACAAGCTTCCAATTGGAACTACAGCGACGTCTCCTCTTTGGTTACGACAATTAGGAAAAGTGCAGAAAAAGCAGCATCTCTGCCAGGAGATTTAATAACTGCTTGCAGAATCCTACATTACCTTGTATTTCCCTGCAGAAATGACGTCGACCCGCTGGAGCCTTATATAGAACTAAAGCACAGAAATGCCTTGACGCAGTTATTTGCAGCCGATGGATTGACAGCCCTGATTGCTGTAATGAGCAATGTTGCGGAATTTTATGAACAACCATTCTTACACCGAGCTGCACTTAGGGGGAGAAGAGGATTAGCCCTTGTAGCTTTGCTGCTACCCTGTGTGAAACTCACAAGAGCCATTCTTGAGAGACTGGTGAAATGTATGGCTACGGAGTTTAAGGATTTGACTGCGGTCGCTCCCATGCTTGGAGTTTACTCCTTGGTCGAGGCTATTCCTACCAATTCATCGGTTCGTGTACTTTCCAGTGAAATCGTGGCTGCACTTTTAGTATTTACTCGTGCGGTTGATTCGGACGGTTCTGGCAATGTAGCAAAATCTCTGTGGACCCAAATGTTAGGGGAAGTTCTGAAAATGGTTTCCCTTAGTCCATGCAATTTTGTGCCAGGCTTGAAACTACTTACTCGACTGTTACCTCCAATTTTGACCTTAAAGGAATCAGTATCGGAAGACATAATGAGAATCCTAGGACTGAGAAAATTGTGGTCTGCTCATTTGCAAGCCCAAGCTCATAACCTCACTGAAACTCTGCGATTGTTGTGCGCTAGTTGGAATAAGGATCTACTTACGCTTCTTTCGATAGTATGTAAGCAGCTTAGCGATCTGGCTGCGCCAACCGCTCTGCTTGTCGGAAGGTGTTTACTGGATGGAGTTCTTGCTTCGACGCCTTTAGAAAACAATGCTACGATACTTGCTTTACTCAGTGATCTCACAAGACATGCTCCGGTTAAAGCTACGTTACTCACTTTGACAAGTCCTACTTCTAGGGCACAAGTTAAGTCCGATCAGAGATATCCTCCAGTTATAGAAATGATGTGCGCGACTCTGAAAACTACCAGTGACGTGAATGTACAACGCGAGATACTTGACATTTATGAAACCCTTTGTGATTGTACCATAAGCCTCGTTCAAGAGCTTACTCATTCTATACCGAGTAAGGAACCGTTACTCTCCATCCTCGCTGCTCTCATTGATGTACTTGCAAGTGCTTCGAAGTTCCAATTAGACATTTTGGAGAGCACTTTGCGCATACTAGTTTCACTTACTAGTCACAATTATGGACTGTATCATGTAAAAAGTTGTTTGGAGAATAATCCTGATGCGCTGCATGCTTTGCTAGAGCACATATCTGGGTTAGAAGGCCAGAATATCAAATCCGTTTCCGAGTTAAGTGTGATGTTTTTGGACAGTTTAATTTCGTGCAAAACTCCTGAAAGATCGTTGTACTTACGGTCACAGCAGTTGGCTACTTTGATATCATGGAGTAAAAATGGTCACCCGTTGGAGAAGATACAAGGGGCCCAAACCACAGTGGATTCATTAAAGTCTTCCGAGGAAGACGAAAAGGAACCCATTCCTGAGATGCTGGAACCTCTGCTTCCTACTCCAGAGGCTTTATTGAATCAGTTCTCTCAGCGATCTCTAAGCTCACCTCGGAGTCCAAAGAACTCTGAAAAATGTTTCGTTGTTGCATCTGGTCGAACCACCGATGAAAATGCAATCGACTTGCTAGCTTTGGCAGCTGAACTTCTACCTGCTGATTTTAATTTACTAGCCGAGGCTCAGCAATTGTGTTCCAAAGCACCACCTGACGATGCCACGCAGCCTTTAGAATCGAAAGTACAAGAAGAGGATGAGACTGCCAAAGATACTCAGAAACAAGCTAACGTTCCTATGGCGAAGACTAAACAACCATTTGGTAATGTAGTTTGTTCCTTTTAAATGTTTAAGTCAATTAGAAATGATCTTATGAAAATTCTTTTCTCTTTGTCGCAGTTACTCTTATGCGAGGTAGAACTCAGTTTGCAAATTCTCTGAGAGGAGGGACAACAGGGGGTGGTGCAGGCAGAGGATCGGATCCATTTAGATCAAGGCCGCCAAATACTTCCAGGCCTCCTTCTCTTCATGTCGATGACTTTGTAGCATTAGAAACTTGTGGTGCACAACCGACAGGACCTACTGGTTATAACAAACTTAGTATTCGAGGTCCTTGTCCCCCTCGGGCAGTTATCGCTGGAACTAGAAGTCGACCCTGGGGACCAGAGGCACGACCTCCATATTTGCGTTAATATTTTTACTCCAAAAAGGATAATGTGAGATTATGAGAGGATTTCTATGTTCGCCTTTAAAGGTTTGTACATGAAATTAGAATAATATTGATTAAAAAGCACTGCTGAAGGCATATATTAGATTTTATTATTAATCATATATAGAATACAACAAAAAGAACTGATAAAGAAATTTGTCTTCAATGTTTTGGCTGTGGCTTTTTTATTTTTTAAAAAATGTCCTTACAATTGTAAAAATTTTAAGTAATAACAGATGATCGTTCTTTGGGAAACGTCTCTTTCACCTTTTCCTTCCATTGAGTATATTTGTAGTTAAACTTCTGCACTTTGGTTTGGAAAAGCGGATAATCTGCCCACTTCGGCTTCTTCTAAAGTTAAAGGAAAAATATGAAAATACTTGAATTTTATAAATCATCAATTTGGTAAATACGTGATGATACCTTTGCTGATATAGCTGCTGTTATCATGTGCTGAAATTTATCTAGTATTTCAAATATCTTTTCACTTGGTCGAATATTATGAACAATCATTTTTTCCATCATATCCATTATAAACTCAAATTGATGCCCACGACAAGCGTTTTTAATAAGTGTACCAATAATAATAGCATTTAATCTGTAGCCAGTATTTTCTATGCCCACAATTAAATTCATCTTATCTTGAACCGAGTGGCATCCAAGAGCCAATAGTCCCCAAGTCATGATATTTGGAATCAGATTTTCTTTTTGGATTTCATGAAGAATTGCCTGCAAATTAAAACAAACTTAAGTCGCATTCAAAAATGAATAATGTGTACAATAAATTGAACAGTGTAAAACTAAATTACCTTTGCAGCATCATATTCAAACCGGAAACTTTTTTTCTTTATAAGAGTGTTATAAAAATCAATGTCCAATTTCACGTCAAAAGATTTTGCTAAATTAATTACCATCTTCTCAGAAGCTGGAGAATTTGGAACTAATTCTAATAATAATGTGAATGTTGATATAGATGGGGTCACCTTGTCTTTTTTCATGTGGTCGAGTATGCCTTGCAAACCGCCAAAAAGAATTAATGGATTGTGAGACTTAATAGCATCTAAACTTTGATTAGACTGCGCAGTAAGGGACTGAGGAAGATTACTTGCAAATCCATTTTCACGTTCCCAAGTATTTTCTTGATCTGTTGTCGATACATTTTCAGATATAGAAAATATTAAAGGACTGACGACAGGTGGATTTGCCAATAGATCTGGTTTTCCATCATCTTTAAAGCAAATCGTGCATGGTTTCTCTCCAGGAATCAAAATGTCATTAATTTTTAAATCTCCTAATGAACAATCTCTAATGCATCTCAATAATAAATTATATGTCCAAATGTTTGGTTTTATTCTATGACGCTGCATTAATTGCCAAATGCTAATGGCTCGTCTCAAGCCTGTATTTTTATCACCAACTGCAGCATGAAATAAATTGTTAAATGTGACTACATCCGTTGACATCTTTTTATCTCTCATTTCGTCAGCAATCATAAATGCTTCATTAAAATATTTGTGGTGGCTATATGCTTTTATCATTGCATTATAATGCGCTTCATTAATGAGAATATTTTTTTCAATAAAAAATTCTCGTAACTTGATCAAATGGTCCATTGCATTTTTTGTATCATTTGAGGTAGCACAGGCATTTAATAAGCTTACATATGTTGCCAAATTAGGCTTTAGTGCACATTTTTTCATATCATTGTATAGTTTAAAGCTTCCTTTTAATTCACCTTGAATTGCACATTCTCTGATCAAGAGATTATACATGTATGTAGTTGGCTTATCTCTGTTCTTCTTGACAATGTCCAGTACATTAATAGCCGATAACAAGTCTTTATTGTTTAGACAATTTTTTATCATCTGAGCATACTGACCTGGACTTGGTTTTAATCTACGAGGAACATGAACTTCATTTTCAACGAATTCCTCTTCTTCTTCTTCATCTGCATCTAATTTAGAACGTTCAAATGTTCTACCTCCTAAATTACCAAAAGTATCAGATTCCTTTTGTACGTTCCAGGATTTCACTGTCCTGCATGGTAGCGAGAGAGGATGCGAGATGTTCATACCTATGAAGTACTGTAATTTTGTAAGCGACTGAGGTATATTTATATTTACTTTTTGTTTATCATTAAAAATATTATCATTGAAAGTATACGAAGAATAGTTTACATGATTTTTAATGCACTTTCTCTCAAGATTATACACACTATGTACAGATTGTATGTGAATTTTCCTATCGAGACACTGATTGTCGATAATACATGAACACATCAATGCAGCGTTGTGCAATTTCAAAGAAACATTCAGCTTTGTAGAAAGCATTTTAGAATAGTGTATCACACTTTGTCATTGTATATTTTCTTTTTACTGTTTGAATCGTTCACATGTGAATTACGGGAGAATATGTTTACTGAGACAAATGGAGAAAATAGCCGGAATCAACCGCAGCCATAGACATAGGAATATAGAGACCGAGTGGTAATGCTGCGGGTGGGAAGCTACTGAGAGGCGGGTGACGAGAATATGACGAGTATATAACCTAACTTTGATTGGCTAATGTTCTGCGCAAGCGTAATGATGTAGAAATGCATTCGAAGACGGTTATGATCATAGAGCTTATAACAGAGAACAAGTGGCGCTATCTCACAAGCGCGGTTACTACTATTTCCTTAAAAAGAATTACTTCTTTTTATAACAGAGTTTATCAAAAGTTCTTATCCGTCTTCTAATAAATCGTCAAATATAAAAAAGACCAATTATATGCATGTCATTTATTCGAGCTCAGTTCTTATGACAATTAACATAGATCTATGATTATTGTCAATAGTGTTCCACAAATTGTGAATTTCTTCTGACATACAATGTTCTCAAAATAAAATAATTATTGATTCTTTTAACAACTAAAACATCTTTCAAATTCCAGCAGGATTTAACGTAAAACGTATATACATCAGAATACATAGTCACAATTTATGAAGTAAATCATAGCTTATGTCCATATTTAATTTGTTTATGTGTCATAACTATGAAATTAAATTTTATATTGTTTATCTGCCATATCCATCAGCATCGTTTTAATTATTCTACGTAATTTACTACTTAAAAATGGTCTCATTTCACGAAATATGTTATTAGTGTGACTTGTATCTTCAAATAGTAACGAGACATGCACAGGTTTCTGTTGTTTTTTAAATTTACATGTAAAATCTATTTTAACATTGTCCAAATTCCTCTCTGGGTATATTGCAATCAATTCATCCGATACATGAGCTTCATGATCCATATAGCTGATCGATGGACCAATAAATGATTTCTTGGATTTTCGATGGGACCATATTCTATGACTTCCTGTGCAATGCATAACAATAGTATCGTTATCATTTGTGTGCACATTGGATGGTGTACCAACTTTCTGGTGTTTTGCTTCTCCCTCTGTTAAAAGTATTTCGACTTTTAATTTCATAACCCGTTCAAAGAAATCTTTGACTAGACCAAAAATGACCGAGTACCAGTTTTCTCTAATGTACTGCTCTTTGTTAGGGATATCACTTCGCAAATCAAAGTCCTTAGGTAGACCTACTGTTAAATATGATTCACTTGTAATATCTATAACAAATACTTTGGTATCCTTCGTTTCAGCTTCGGTAACAAACAATGTGGGTAATAAATTTTTGTTCTGATTTTTCATCATCTCCCTGCATACTTCTGCCGATAATGAACACTGCTTTTGAAAAAGAAGCACTACATACGGTGGAGCATTTCCAGTAATATTATGAGAAAGCTCAAAGGGATCTTGCACACACATTGGCTTCTGATGTTGCAACTTGATTGACTGATCAACACGTTGTTTATACCTCATAAAACTATCTGGTAGTTTGTCTTGATCGTTAAAATTTTCTTTTGTCTGTATCTCACCATTAAAGGGACATGCAACCGAAGACTCAAAATCAAAGCTTCCGTAAAAGGTAAAAAACCCTTGTAAGAGTTCAGGGATGCTGCTCTTATTTGTGCATTTGTGAGAATTTAAACGTTTCTGATCAATAGCTACTTGCCACCCTTCTATAATATGAGGTGTGCAAGTTTCTTGAAGCTGCGCTACCGTGGGTAAAATGTTTACCTCAGGTTGTTGAAGGTAAAAGATAGCAAGCATGGTCATCGCGTAACAGGATATTTTTTGTGGCCCAATGAGGTTGAACATCTTTGCCCAGCATTTTATAATAATCATTAAAGGCCGTAATCGGTCATCACTGAACAAGTAAGATTTGATGAGATGACTGTTGTACACACAAATTCCATTTTTGAATGAAACATCGACCGACATACTGGTGGGTATGTGAGTAAATTTTATAATTGGCGTTTTTGCTTTAGGAATTTGGATTAGATCGGTAAAAAGTTTGCTCCTTGAAAATAAAAGTTTCTTTGCTTCTTTAAAGACTTTTTGTGGAGTCCATTGGAAGCCTGTGGGGGGTTTTGGGGTTTGATCTGTAGTCTTGATAACATGTTCACCTAAAATAGAAACACGGGACCAAACATTAAATAGGTTGCAGTCTTCTTACTAATTACTAGCAGTCAACAATTACATTATGAATTCTTACCAACATCCACTAAAATATCTACATCACTGGTTTTAAAGTACAAGCCTGTTACCGTTGAACCATATCTATAACCTGCACACTTTGGAAACACCGTTGAAAATACTTGAGCTAAATCAGCACAAATTAGGTTGCACTTAGATTCAATTTCGTCCTTATCGGGCTGCACTGCCTTCAGTAAAGATGTAAGTTGGACATCAAACGTGTCATCTACCTGAGATATTGGTATCAAATCCTCATCGCGTAGACTCTGATTTACAATTTCCTTTTTTTTAGTTTTTGTTTTACCTGAAATGCAGAATATATTGTATTTAATCAAATATTGATCCTTACGGACCGTTAATTAGAAGTACTTACTCTCGTCCCGTATGATTCTTTTCTTGATACTGAATTTAATACCATTCATCCGAATTGGATTATTCAGTAAGAAATGTACTGGTCCTCTGAAGGAAAGCATTTGGATATTTATTTAAGAAACCTGCCGCTTTCTTAGAATAAATTAAAATGAAGAAAAAATGTATACTTTCATAACCCACCTGTTTTGAAATTCTATGATCATATATTTTTGAGAAAAGATATGGTTTTCTATTGGACCAAATTTTGAGAAAAATTTAAACAATGTCTCCTTCGAAGCAGAAGGAGGCAAATTTGTCACAAACACAGAATTCATCTTTTTTTTCAAAATCTTTTCATTTTTCTCAACATTTCTCAAATGTTTTTTACCTTTGATATGACCTTCATAAGCAAAATGGTCAACAAGGTCCAAAGAACAAACATCACAGTGCAATCCCATTTTAATTTTACTGCGAACGAATGACCAGGTGTATTGAAACTATTATATCATAAGGTAATATTTATTAAGACCAACTTCTCGTTAACTTTAATTTTTTCTAGCACGGAAATAATAGTTCTCCATCTTTTGATACAGTTTTCAAAAAATATTTGGTTTCAATGATTCCATTTGAGTTGCCTGTACAAAGAATCACGCCATTATTAGATTCTTCAAACCGTAAACCATTTTTGATTGCTTTCTCAAAAGAAATATAAATGTAGATTTCTGAATTTTTGCGTAGTCCACAAATAAAGTTTAATCCCTTTGCGAAATGTATATGATTTCTTTTCATGCGGGACAATCCTTCCCTCTTTATTTTTTCCCAACAACTAAAATAGGTCCCATGAATTATATCAAATGTTGGGCTTTTGACAGGTCTTAAGTTAAGAGTGTCAATTTCAGACAAAGAATGGCCTTGATTGGCCTTAATCCATAAAGCGTTATTAAAACTACATAACGTAAAACGATTCTTGCTATTATTTTCAACGACTCGTTGGATATCGTTTAATGTATACCCTCTAAGAGACTTTGATAGTAATTCCTCTACCAAAATAAAGCCATCCGATCTAATATTTAATCCTTCTCTTACAGCACCATGACGTAAAAGGTAAGATAACTTTTTGCTGAGTATGACATCTATTTTTTTACACTGAAAAAATAAGAAAAATTAGTATTTAATCCATTCAGTTTATATCCAGCAACAAAATCCCTTGTCACATTTTGCAGAATTAGTCGAACTATCTTCTGATTAGAAAATGCGTCTTAAACAAAGGGATGTCTATTACGGAAAGAAAATATGAGTACTTCTAGGAATTATATTCAACAGAGGACTAACCTGAGAGGACATAAATGCCGAAATGAAAACCGATGATGTCCTGACTCTTATCAACAATATTAATTGAAAAGTGACGGGTAAACACGTTCGCAAACAATCCGAAGGCGCCCACGTTTTCACATATATGGCGTCAAAATAAGAAAGAATTATTCAGGAACGATTTACATGGTTCGATTGTGCTTCACTCTCGTGATATCCTCAAAATTAAACACACTTCCGGACACCATCTAATGAGAATTCAGAGAACATCGCTAAATTAACATTGGGACCGTCGGTTCATTCGGTAAAATAACAAAACTGTAATGTGCTCGTCACTTCCGGTTTACGTCTCCCACGGTAGATGGTTCTGCCTGTCGATATCGTAATTTTACATTTCCCCCTCATAGCAGAAACAAAAATTCATTTCTATAATATGAAACAGATTTCTACTGCCACAAATGTCGAACTTATTGTTTCGAAAGAATCAAGATATTTGTACCGTCGTAACCGTTCGGAGGTGAGTGTAGGAAATATAAGAATTAATCGGAGAAACCCTTTCGATGCGCGTTATCGGCGGAGCGAATACGTTGAATTTCCGCGGTGCGTCTCGATTCGTTCGAGAATAGTCGATAGGGAGCGTTGACGTCGACAGGCTTCAGCGTGCTCATGCAGGCTTGAGCGTACTGCAAGTCGGGGAGTACCCAAGTGACCGTGTACATCCTGGCATATCGGTGTCTTTGTCTGTCCTATTAGGACAATGAGTGCGAGTGAGATAGCATGGTCTTTTACGTGCGAGAGAGGAAAGAGGGCATTAGGCGGGCTCGTAAGTAACCGTTGCATCGACGGCTTGGGGGGAGAACCGCGAGAAAGAAAATGGCCGATGGGTCTACAGCAAAAGGGCAGGGACGTCGAGTGGCACGAGTGTCGGTGGAGAAAATGCGTATCTGGCGAAGAATCGCGCGACCCGAGGCTCGAAATCACTGAGGAGAGTCGTGGGAGCGCCCGAGGATTCGGTCCGTTGTGAAATTGGACGGAAAACCTGCTCGAGAACGAGACGGTCGCCGTTCGAAAGAGCGTTCGCGCGGCCCAAGTGGCAACAAAAGGGCCGCCAGAGGTAAACATAAATCTGTCGCTCTATCATCGGGTCGTTGTAAACCTCGCTCGTTAAGGCAATTGATCTCTTCCGTGGGTCGGCACTCACGAGGAGGAACCGCGGTCGCGTCGGCTCCCTCGGAAACTCGTCTATTTCTCCAAAGAGAGTCCTTTTGTGCGGGATTCATCGATCAGGGCTGGCATCACGTCAGCCACTTGTGGCCATCTACGGACACTCGCAAAGGGTGCCCTATTTTTTTCCCACCCTCACGCTCGCGCACTCGACGCGATCCTCACGATTTGTCTCAACAATTGCCTTTACTTATGCACCTGCGAGTACGTGATTTAGAAGCCACCATTGAAAGTTTCACGCGGTTTTTTACGGGAGCTATCTTCAAGGGAGGGAGTCGTTTAAATACCAGAGCTGTCTTTTAAAGGGATTAGATGAGTGTTCTTGCCGAGGTGCAACGGAGAGTTCTTGCTCATTTCAGGGGTTCATAGAAATTCCAAATTTATTTGATAAGCTTATCTTGGGGTAGTTTAAGGACTGTTGGCTTGAGATAAGATAAAAGATAAGCAGGGGATGTTCTGTTAGGCAAATAAGAGTCTTACTTTACTTTGGAGTAAGAGAGACCTAAGTGGATTCTGGACTTGAAAATTTTGAAACTTTAAAAATCAATTCCTAGTCATGGAATATTATTAAAAAATTTGTTTATGCAGTTTATTATCAATTAGAATTACTCCATATCCGTAGGTATGAGAGGTACATATAAATTATATTTTTAAACTCTTGCAATTAATAGTGTATCATTTTTTATTACAATTTTTGCTAATTTGAATATATATCTTCATGGAAGGGGATTCATCAAATTTAAAATGTGACGTTGTAGGTAGATCCTGTGTCTCGAGCGACTAGCGAGGTTTTAAATCAACAATGGCGGTCAGGTAACCAAAATAAAAGAGATAGGCAGTTTTGAAATTGCGAGTCCTTTTCCTGGACTAAAAATGTGAAAGAGAGGCGAGCGGAATGAAGCCTCAAAAGAAGGCAGTTGTTGCCAAAAAGGCAACAAAGTCTCCAACCATTGCTAAGAAACGTCGTGTCTCTCCTGAGAGGACTGTGTTAGATTTGGGATTGAAGAAAAATTCTAAGAAACAACTGAATCCTGTCAATTCGAAGAAGAAAACCAGTGGTGATAAAAAGAAATTAGAGAAGTCTGAAGACAAGAAGAAACTAGAGAAATTGGAAGATAAAAAAAAATTGGAGAAATTGGATGACAAGAAGAAATTAGGGAAACCAGAGGATAGGAAAAAGTCAGAGAAGTCGGAAGATAAAAAAAAGTTGGATGAAAAGAAGTTGGATAAACCAGAGATGATCGATGAAAAGGTAAAGCAAAACAATGACAGTGATAAGAAGTCTGACAAGATAGATGAAAAGAGAACGGACAAATTTGACGATGCCGAAGAAGAAGGCAATGTTATTACTGGTGACTCCTTGGAACGAAAGAAAATAATAAAGCCAGATGAGAAAGGCAAGGTGGACAAGCAAGTGGACATTAAGAAAAAGGGAATAGATAAAATGGACGAGAAAAAAAGGTGTGGAAAATTAGAGGCTGACATACTAGAAATTGTAAAATCTTGTGAAATAGTCGAGGATAGAGTTTCTCATGACGAGTCTCTGAATGTTGCTTCTAAAAAGAAGAACAAAGAAGAGAAGAAAAAAGACACAAAGCAAGGTAAACCAGAGACAAAGGATAGTTTAAAGTGTACTTTAATCAAGGAGAAAAATCGTAAGAAGTTAGCAGATAAGGAAGGTGGAAGGAAAACATCGCCCATAGGGGCAAAGAAGGAATCAAAGGCAAAGGAACTGCATAAGAAGAACGTTGTTAAAAAGACTGTTCTGGCCAAGAAATTGGTGTCCCATTTGCCTGTGTCGAAAAAATTAATCGACAAGAAGGTCAAACTAGTCAAGATGCCGAAGAACGAAGGAGCACCGACCAAGGAAGACGACGACTCTAAGAAAGCGAAGAAGAAGAACTCCCAGATGCCCAAAACCAAGATCGCCCAAGAAAAAAGACCGAAGCTAGCTAAGCAGATGAAAGCCAAAATGCCCTCGAAACATATGAAACTAAGTTCTTCCCTGAAGAAGCAAGATAAATTAAAGGCTTTGACGGAGAAGATCATCATGAAGAAGAAGGCCGAACCCAAGGACACGGATAAGGCCATTAACGAGATCAAGAAGAGCCCTAACTCTAGTAAAGAAGAAGTAGCGAACGGTGCTATTGTGAATATCATCAAGAAAGAAGCTATCGAGATGCAGGAAGACGAAAAACCCAAGGATGACGTTCCCCAGGAGGCTCAACAGGATCTCAAAAAGAGCGCGAAACCTGCGGTAAAACCAAAAACCACCAAGAAGGCTGCAAAGAAGGCGACCAAGTTGCACCAAGGGAACGATCAGAAGTCCAGCAGCACGGAGGACAGTATGGCCAGTCTGGAGGAGCTTTCCGAAGAGTCAAAGATCATCGAAGCTGCAACCTTAAAGAATGTTGCAGCCGCGAAACAGGACCATGGAGAGGGTCCGATGAAGGTGGACCTGAAAGTGGAAACAGTGAACGGTGATACCAGTGGCAGTTCATTGCCCTCGTCCGAGTCGGAGGACGAGGAGGACTCGAAGAGGAGCAAGAGGAAGATCTCGAAGAAGAAGGAGAGAGTCAGGTCGCCATCGGAGGACCAAGCTCGAAGGATGAGACTCCTGGAGTTTTGGAGCGGCTCGAAGAGGCACAGAGTGGCCTCGCTGAATGCCCTGGCGAAGGTGCACTGCCTCTACGAGAACGAGGCCGGTGGCGTGTATCTTGGCGGGTTCTGCAAGCCCAAGCCGGAGAAGGAGAGGCAGAAGAAGGTCAAAGACGAGAAGGAGGACAGCCGCAAGGCGAAGGACAAGAAGCCCGACGACCGTGCCGAGGAGAACGTCTCGAAGAGGAAGTTGAGGAACGTTCCCGGCCTCCGGGGCAAGCATTGGGATATGATGGAGAGCTCGTCCACGTCGTCGTCCTCCTCGGACGAGGAGTGCGAGAAGGAGAAGAACGCGGAACGCGGGGAGAAGACGAAGCGGAAGGTCGTCAAGAGGCGGAAGAAGAACGAGGAGGTGATGGACTTGAAGGACATGGTGGTCTGCAAGAGGATGGCCAGCCTGAACGCCTCGGCCATCCTGGCGGCGTCCTACTCCGACGAGAAGAACCGCTGCGGATCCTCCTCCACCAGCGAGTCCTCCAGCGACTCGGAGGTCGAGCTCGCGAAGAAGCGCAAGCAGAGCGACACCGAGGTCGACAGGCGAAAGTCCCGCCAAGGCTCGGATAACGAAGACGTCGTCAAGCCCTCGAAGAAGGTCGTCATCGTCAACCAGGACACCGACGTCACCATCACGGGTACGGTACCTTCCTTGCGTCTTACCCCTTCTCCTCGACGGTCCAAACTCAATTTTCCTCCTCCCGGAACCTCACCATCTCGTGAATATTGCGCGGTATTCCGTCGAGAGGATTTTACATTTTAAAACGGAAGGAAGGGAAAAAAAAAAGAAAAATACGAGAGGACCCCTGTACGAGCCACGTTCCCGTTTGTTTCGGCGGAAGGCGCGGTTGAGGCTTTCGACGGATTTCTGTTATTCTAATCACGACCTTCCGCTCTCGACAGGAGTCTACGTAAACCAGACTCGATCGACCCATCACGAGGGATTCTGCAGCATCGCCGGAATGCAATATAGGATCAGCTCGACCAGTCACACGCAAACTGCGGCCACCGCCGTGGCCACGGAACTTCACGACCAGGTAAGATTTGGATACCCCCTTGGGATTCTTCGGATGACTTAGGCGTGTCACAGGGTCTTGTATCAATTCGTTTCGTCATCGATCCTCCCGTGCTCGTCGATTCTCGCTCGATAACGGGTCACTCTTCGTGTTGCAGCAGAAGCAGGAACAGCCTTGCAAGTCGTACACACCCCTCGGCGCCCTGTCCTCCATGCAGCCACCCGGAAGCCAAGGAAATCACCCCGCGATGTCACCCAGGAGACAGTCAGCCTTCTCGGCGCCTCATCAACACGGTAAGTCTCGACGTTCCGTACCGAGAGTTCAATTTTTTGCGACCCTACCTGCGGCACCGAGATCGAAATCCGTCGAGGTACCTTCCCCCAGAGGTCCGAAAATTCAGACCGACCTAACAGGTACACATCTTTACCGGATCCAGCCTATGTAGCGAGGCGTGGCGGAGATATGCATTTAAAGGTGACTTCCGGCAGGAGGGTATCAGTCCTGAAATAGAAACGTTTCATATCCGTCCGTATCGCGGGCTAGCTTATTCGCGGTAAGAGGAGTCGGAAAGAGATAGAGCCCCATTGACCGGGGCGCAGAGCCCGTTTCTTCTTTTTTTTTTTTGTGGCTTTCACATCCCCTTAAGAGGGTGCTATTTATACGTCCACCCCGGACGAACTCGGAGATCGCATCGGGCCGCGACCCTGCGACCCCTCGTTCACGCGCGTCGGGAGGTCCTGCGTCCCTCTCCGAGGAAATCTCGCGTTTCCGGGCGAGAGGGTTGACGGAATTCCAGGGTGACTTTCCTGGGGCGCTAAATCCCGGCCTCGTTATCCCTCGGCGTAGATTCTCGGGGACGGCTCGCGGATCCGTCCTCCGGGCGAGGGGAGCAACGTGTTGCGCGGCCCGGAGCACGCCTCTCGTCCATAAATTTCTCCTGCCCCCCTAACACCTGTCCGCCCCCTCGGCCGCCCCCTTCCAAATCGGTTTGGCGCCCGAAAATTCGTTTCCATCTCCCCTGCGTGTGTACGTCCCTGCACCGCGGGCTGCGCGCGCATCCTTGGCCGCCCCTCCCCCTCCCCCTACGGCCGTCGGAGTGCCGCCTGCCGCGCGGCACGTAATCGCGAGCGTTCCTCCGCCGCGCGCCACCGCCGTCGCACACCGACGCGCGCCGCAGCCCGCGTAGGACGCGGCTCGACGCGCACACGGACGCGAGTCGATACGAGGGCCGGCGCGCACACCGACGCGCACATTGGCGCACGTTGAAGCACATCGACGCACATTGGCGCGCCGGCACTTGGCTCGCGTGCTTCCTACACTATGGCGCGATATCCTTATCTTACGTAAAACCGTCGTCGTGGTGGTCGTGTCCTGGCGTCGTCGCCGCGTGCGCCGGCTCCGGGCTCCGGACCGCGCGTGTGTGCGCGCCCGCGGACCGCCATCGCGGCGGCGGCGACGCGACGGCGACGCACACCTGACAGTCTCCGTCGAGCCTCCGAGCCGGACGGACCGGAGTGCGCGCGCGCATATTGGCGCCGGCGTGTGTGTACCTGGCTTTCCTCCACCTATGCGGTACGCGGCGTTCCTCGCCCGACGGAGGGAGGGCCGCGGTGGCGACGCCACTGCCGCCGCCGGTCCCGCCGCACTCCGACCGGCCGACGTAACGCGCCGGAGACGAGTGCGAGCGCCAGTCCCGCGTGTGCCCCCGAGGGGCAGGGGTAGGGATGGAGGGTCGCGACACCCCGAACGACGGGGCGCGACACCCCCGTCGGTACGGAGGACCTGGCCGACCGAACGACCGACCTTCCCGAACGTTCCGTCCGCGCGTTGCGGCCCGCAACGCGAGGTGCATCGCGGACGTCCCGCTGCCGGATCCGCCGGTCGGTCGGACACGTTTTCGGATCTCGAATCCGAATGGGCCGGGACTCTGGACACCATCGCCGGTGGCAGTCGATGTCGTTAGGCGGATTAATTTTATGGGTTAACGATATCGATGGCTTGCGGGTTGGCGGACGGAATCCCGCCTCGGCGGCGTCCGGAGGATCGACGACGCCCGTGTCGCTCGGATTCTTGGATAATGCGACTACGTCGTGGCGCGGTCCTCTTCTCCTGGGGATGTCTTGTATGAAGGGAGGGAGAGTGAGATGGAGAGATACCCGGAGATCGAAGGATCCGTTCGATCGACTCCTTTACGAGACGCGCGTGCCGGGACGTCGGCTCGTCGCGACGGTGACGTCGGAGACGCTTGACGTCACGCGAGTCCACTGCCCCGCGCCGGCCGGGGGAGGGCGCGAACCCCCCTCCCCCCAGGAAGGGGGGGCACCTGTCCTTCGATCTCCCTCTTGTGCTCGGCGATGTACCGGACGATGTCTAGACAATGGGAAATTGTTGAACCCGATCGACGGATCGATGGGTGTCATTGAATCTCCCCTTCCCCCTCGTTCTTTTCTCTCTTTCTACGTGACCGCAAGGACTCCGAGATATCTACCGAATTTCCTGGAGCGTCTTAGAGTTTCGTCGTTTAACGTCCGGGACTATGGAATCGGGGGAACGTGGACAAAAGTAGGGATTTTAACGATCGGACCCTGCGATCGCCTTTGAAAAGTTAGAATTTTTTTATTTCTTAAATTTATCTTTTTGGGGGGCTGTTAGATTTGCGCGCGTTCCGCGCGACCTGTCCCGGGTAAGATCTCTCCCCGGATTCCGCGGATGGACCGTCTCCGAATGCGACGCTCTCGTCACGTCCTACGGTGACCGCCGATGTTATCGCCGTCGTGCCCCGTACGCGAGGACCTTCTGCCCGCTCCGCGATTCCGCGACCGGTGCGATGATCCTCTAGGACTCTGCCCCGCACCCGGAAATTTCCCTCGCTTAGGAGAAGACGTTCCAAAGTGTCCCTCGAGATGCGCGGACCCTCGAGGAGTCCGAGCGACGTGTCGCGAGGGTCACGCCGACGAACCTCGCGACCGCGGGAAAAACAGCGCGGCGAGACCGTCGCGTTGGTCCGCGCACGATCTCGCTCGATTTTTCCTTTTCTCTTTATTCATATTCTTTTTTTATCCCATGTTTGCGCGATCGGCACGTACCGAGCACTTTTTCCGCCGGTTTTTCTTTTTTTTTTTCCCTCCCTCTCCTTCATTTTCCGCGGATTCTTCGCATCTCCCGATAAGCGCTCGTACCTCGTGAATTATTCCCCACCGAGTTCGCGGAGACTCCAAGGTAGCTCCTCGACTTTTGATTCCTCTGGTGACCCCCAGTCGACGAACCCAGTGCGGCGATTTTCGGGCGGATCGTCCGGCGGGTCCCACCCCTTAAATTGCGCCCCGTGTCACCGCGAGTGTGTCGCAATTGAAACCGAGCGTTGCGGGACGTCCGAGCGAGTTTTCGCTTTTCCTCCCCCTGTCCCCCTTCTCGCTCCTTTTTTTTTCGCCGATTTCATTCCGGGATCGGAGAGTCAATGAATATCCGTCAAGCTGTCGGCGTTTGCGCCGTTTCCCCCGGCTTTGTCCGTTGCTGCTCGCTGTCGGCCGACCCTCCACCTGGGGCACACCCCGCGCCCTTTCCGCGAGTTTCGGCGGTCCTTGGTAGAAATTACGCCGCACAGGGCCACGTCCGACCAGGGTCGCCTCGTCGCCGAGGTCGGTCTCGTCATCGCTTGCGCACGCTGCCGGTCCTTCGCGTCATCGGGCCGAGACGTTACGCGCCGCGACGCGAGGATCGGCCATCCTTGGGCGAGACCGAGCGCGCGACCTCGAGGAGGGACCATTGTTCCGAGTCTCTTTTCCGGATTTCGTCGCGAGACAAGGTCGGGTCTCGGTCTCGTTCGGCAAAACGGGCGGATCGAGAATCCCATGCGATCCTTTTAACGCGTATCGGCGCCGCGTTGGAACGAACGTGTCACGCGATTTTCCGGCGATCGCCCAAATTTGGGCTGAACTTAAGGCTCATTCGTGTCGTTGTCATCAGGGACATTTATTTAATCCGAGGATTTAGTCCCAACTAATGTCAAATTAGACGTCACGGGATTTTAATACCAGGGCGGTATGGGGGGGTGACGCGTCATGCGACTTGCGAAAAACTGCGATGTGATGGCGATTCGAAGGAAATCCTATGTCCCTTGTCTCCAATGTCCCTTGTACTTATTTTCTACGTCTCCTTTGACACTTCCGAGTCCTCGGTGGCCCCCCTCTTTTTTTCCTCTCGGCATGCAAATTTGCCGTGTATCTCCGCACCGGGAGGTGCAGCGGATCGATCGGGTTTGTTGCGTCCGGGCAGGGGGACGAGCATTTCTTAAGGGGGGGAGGGAGGGCGAAAAAGGAGCGGAGTTAATAAACGGCGGATGCTCCGCGCCGAAATGAAGCGTCGCGGCGCGCCGTGCGCCCTCGATTCCCTTGTCGCGTATCAATTGTTATCGCTCGACGGGGCCCGTAGGCTGATCGCGCGATGATCGCAAATCGACACTTAATTTTCCCCTCCCCGCTGCGTCGAGGTTTAACCCTTTAATTACGAAACGCCGCTATAGTGGCTTCCGCATGGCCGACGTCTTTTTACGAAGCGCCGCTAAAGTGGCTTCCGCCTGATCGACGTGTTTTTTTTTCTTTTTTTTTTTTTGCCGCGTGAAAATTCGACTCGTTGGGGAACGGGAATAATATCGACTCCTCGGGAGCCCATCGATTCAATTGTCGAATGTCGATCGATTTGCCTATCGTCGAGCAAGGTCGCGAGGACCGTCGCATGACCGCCGGGGCATCCTTGAAACGTCGGCCTCAAGGATGCGGTCTCTTTTTCCCCTCTTTCTCTCTCTCTCTTTCTGTCCCCCCTGCATACATATATTTCCCTCTCGCGGGCCAAATTCCGTCCGTCGCGTTTTCCGCCGCGCGCCCGAGACGCGGAGCGCGCCGTCCGCGTTCTCTCGGGTCCTCCCGGAGGCGTAATTTATGTTCGGGAACTGACATCGGGCGAAAGTGCTCGTAAAAGTTAAGGCGCGTTCGAGGGCCCCCGCGCGCGGAAAGTTTCTCGACGCAACCGACCGGGTTAATGGTAAACACACAGCGGCCGTGATTCCCTGTAAGAGGGAGGGTGGAGGCGCGTGTCTCGAGCTTTAAGGGGGCGAGAGAGCGTTCCGCATTTTATTTGGGAGCTTGAGACCCGTGTAGAGGTTCCGGGTACGCGGAAAAAGCGCGGGGAAAGTCGAAAGGATGGGGGAGGGGGAGGGGGACGTCGAGCGATCCCGCGTGGGCGAGCGCGCGCGCGCGACTGAGCGAGGGCCGCCGGTGGGCGGGCGCGCGGCGTC